AAGATTGCTTCGCTAAGGAAAGAAAACGAAAGACTCGACAATGTGATACAGACCGCTGGTGGCAATGACGAAAAGCACAGGCAGAAGATAATCCAGCAAGAAACCAACAAAGCCCAATCCGAAAAGGAGATTGCCCAGCTCGAAGCGGAACTCAAGGAGTTTGAGAAAACACCCGAGGGATTCTACGAGCGTAAGAAAAAGACGGAAAAGGAGTGGGCTGCTGAAAAGGCTGTCTTCGATACCGCCTCCAAGGAATACAAGGACTACAAAGCCGCCATTGCCAAGGCTGTGAAGGCCAAGGAGGACGAGCAGGCTGCCGCGCAGAGTAAACGGAACAAGATTGCAGCACGCATCGCCAAGGTGGACAACGAGCTCGGCAGAATTACGGATGCCAACAATCGCGGGCTGGATGAGGCCGAGCGTAGGCGCCAGGCCCGTATCGCTTGGCAGGGGGATGCATCGACGATTGAGAACAACTTCCGGGGTAGCATTGCGGATATCAAGGCGGCCAACGCGAACAAGCAGGAGCAGGTTAACGCTTTGCTACAGCAGCTCCAGGCATATCATGAGCACATGAACTACGCCACAACTGCCGCGATGCCCTACGATCTTCCCGAGCGTCATTCCGCCCAGCCTCAGACCACGTCGTCCGCCTACAATCCCGCCGCGCCAGCCTGGACACCGCCGTCCGCCGCGGCATCGCAGTATGTGATGCCTGCCGGGCCTATGTGGCCCACGTCCACCATGACTGCGTCCGGCTCCGTGTTGCCGCTGCCAGCATCCTCTTCGCAGCCTGTGTGGGGTTATCCGCCTACGCACCAGAGCACTGTCTCTCTCAAGGCTAGGGGCCGCTCCTCCTCGATGCTTAGCGATGTTTCTGGGTTCACGCAGTCTAGCAACGGCGACGACGAGTTCTTGTCGCTCCACAACACGCCTGCGCAGCAGCCCATGGCCCAGCGCACGCCCGTTACGTTTGCCTTTACGCGACGTCAACGGAGCGACGGCGCAGGGTCAGGTTCTGGCGGCAGCAGCGTCCATAGTGGAAGCGCTAGCGGCAGCGGAAGCATGCGGGATCCTCAAAGCCCAGTCTGATGTGCGTCTGTTTTTTTGCCAGGGAATTGTGTCTTGCTCTTTGTTGGTCGACTTTCAAGCGTCTCTCGAGTCGGGACAAGTTGTTTGCTGGGCTGTCTAGTCAACCGCCATTTGATGGATCTTGTCCTCATGCCATTATTCTCCCCTCCTCTGAGTTGGAGGGGTATGTTTATGTCGAGGTTTAGCCTGTGAATAGGTGGATTGCATGTCCGCAGCAATTTCGTCTAGCGAAATGAAGACAAAAAAAAAGTTGTGCCTTTGTTTAGATTATCTGTCTTCTAATATGGTCTCGTGATGTCTATGGTGATGCACCGTGAACTGGTAATTGGTGAGTGAGGTCAGATGCCTCTCTAAGGTAGGTGAGCACCTCAATTTACGATAAGATATGATGACTACCGTAAGGTATGGAAAACAAGGTTTACGGAATGCTGCAGGGACGCCGGCTCGCCGCACGCCTAGAAATTATGGCCGGGAAGGGCGTCGGCGGCGCGGCGCCGGTGCCGGGGAGACTTTTGGATTGCGTTCCGCCTGCCGTTCATCCCATTTGCTTTGGCTTGGGGGTCAAGGAATCCTCCTCTCCCCCTCTCCGGCAGTTAGGAGTTGGGTCTAGCGGACCTTGGTGCGACTCTTTCTTGGGGGTTTGATGAGGGTTGGACGACGTGGGATTAGCTGTCGGATGAATGGATTGTACTTCATGTGATGGTTACAATGTGGTATTAGCTTTGGCATTAGCAATGGTAGAGGGGAAGGGAAGTGAGATGAGAGGGTTGGAAAAGCGCGGAGAGAGGTTTTTGCGTAGAAAGGTAAGTCTAGTCCCGTTACATGGTTGATTCGAGATGAGGCAGGCAGTATAGGAATGTGCCGTGTAGAACGTGCATATCCTACGAGACATGAATGTTTTGAGCATGTGAACTAGAACCGGTGTTTCCATATCTGTATGCAGTGATGGCGGGTGAGTTAACCTATCCCTAGGAACGTCCAGCGACGTTCAACAGCCCTTCGTGCACACACAATGAATGGAACATTGGAGCGTTGCAAAAGTTTCGATAAATTTTAACCTGGTCGATTGCTTTGCCGCAGGTTTGATGCCCAATGATGAAACGAAGAAGCATGCGTTCTGTTTGTTAACCTTTGCCGTGTAGAAACAAAACACGTTTTCCGCAAGTTCTTGAATGGGGACCCCGTCTTCTACCAAGGCCATTGCCGTCCATGCCGTTGTACACGGCGATAATTGTCATCGGATACAATAGGTGACAACTGGGCACGGTGGCTCACCGTCAAGGTGCAATTATAAGTCTGAGTCACGACAATCCATGGCGTAGTTCATCCCCCCCCTGATAACTGACCTTCACATGTTCGGCAGAGTTTTTTGATATCAACTCACGAGATGCACGAGAGAGAAAGGAAAACATCCCATGTGCGCGTTTGGTGGTACTCTACAAACCCCCGTACCACCAACCAGAAACACAGAACGCATACAAGGGTGTTTGTGAGCAATGAGGGGTCATCGTGGCGGTAGCGTCGTTTCTGGGCGGCTACGCGCATGTGAAGAAACCTAGGAACTGATTTGCGACTCGTCGAGTATTGGTCGGATCATGGACCTGGTTGTAAGGTGGGTGGGGGTGGTTGGGAGGGAATTCTAGATAGCCCCATGTATGTGTATGTTCCAGTCATGAAAAGCAGGCTCTCACTCTCTATGCCTTTGCTCGGCGTATGAGATGCTGGAGCATGATGGTTGAAACGACTGAGGCTCATGATTTGTCCAGTGTTGCATGTGCATTTCCAATGCCACCACTCTACAGATGCTTCTGAGGCTGTGTTTGAAATGCATAGGGGAGCTTTGGCCCTCTCCCAATCAAGGTGTAACGGACGAGTTCCACAGGCGGTAGAGGGGAGCAGGGCGCCCGTAATCGGCTATGTGAGGACGGAGTCAGGGAAGTCTACCACTCACCACTCTAGTAGCTACAGGTCCATAGAGCCATGATGTAGTATTGGACCCTGGGCTAGGCTTGAACTGGATCGCACCCATTAGAGGTCGAGGGGAGAACATGGAGGGGGTCGCTGCGCCTGGTGTGCAGGTCTCCTTGCGCGGGAGAGCGCGGACTGGTTGGCGGGCGACGAATCAGGTTGGATAGACGGGGGTTTGAACTTAGGTCTACTCAAGCTTGTCAAGGGAGGGATACGCCGTTTGGGGGAGTTTTGGGGAGGGGGATATTGGTAGTGCCCGCGTTGATGATGGTGGTTGTGTCTTTAACGGAGTAGTCTGTACTCTTTTGGTGTGGTTTGTATGGGTTGGGTACTTGGAGTAGAGGATGAAGCAGAGACGATAGAACGGTTAAGGGTGCCATTTTGACCCCCCTCTCCGACATTGGATTCTCGTACCTGGCGCGATCTAGGGAGCGGGAGAGGTGAGCGGTGGTCGGTAAAGAGGGTAAAGGAGGGCTCTAGAGGAGACACATGACTTTTTTTACGATGTGATTTGTTCGACTGCGCCGGTCCATCGTGTGGCACATGAATAGAAGAATCGGAGGATATCCGGAATTTCTCTCTCACTCTCTCTCTCTCTCTCTCTCTCTCTTACTTTGCTCCTCTTGTTTCTCCCACGTTCATCCGTGTCGTGTCTTGCGGCTGACAACTCCTCGTCCGGAGTCTGTTATAACATCTTCTTTCAGCTGCGTGTTCTCACGAGGGGATACCCCTTCCACCACTAGTCCCGTCTCTGCCGGGCTCTCCTTCCCGCCGTCTAAGCCACCGTCTCGGCCGCGGCCAGATCGCCACCGAAAACGCACCGACGGATTGGATCCCAGTGCCGCCCCCGAACGTAGCGAATAGCTAGCTACAGCAAACTCATCGGTGGTATTGTCAAACCGGGACAATAGCTACTATTCTGCTTGGGCCAAAGAGCAGGCGCAGACGTTTCTAATTCAGTAGCAACCAAAGGGCGACTGGAGATATCGCGTCACGCCTTCTCGCCTGTTCGTCTGGGTACCTTGGTCGGAGACAAGGTTCCCAGTTTGTCCCGCAACACTGATTCATTCCCTGGACCGGATTCAGCTGCGCAAGGTCACTCGCCTCGGACTTTGACTTGTGATTATCCCCATTCCCTCAAACACACCGAGGTAGAACGGAAAGAGGAAAGTCAAAAAGAACAAAAGTAGGATCCCGCTCGACACCGAACGCCTGGGTACACAGCACAACCGGGACGCCTTACTTCCTGTTCTCGTGTTCCCCGCCTGTCACACGCGAACTTGTTCCTCTGCCAGACCGCTCCGTTGAATCTTGGCGAACAAGTTCCCTTCGTGCCTGGAGGAACCCAATCTTATCAAAAGAGCTAAGAGAATCAAAAAGGGCGTTCCCTTCCTGTTCTTCGATCTGCCAATCCACTTTTGTGCAGAGAGCTAGGCTTGGCTTCCCAAGCTGATCGAAGGTTGGCTGCCGGCAGAAGGTTTAACGATACCCCCCCGGCCAAGAATCGTGAATCTGGGCGGACGGGAAAGACCTCATTCGCAGATCTCAGTACAACAGCGCCCGGAAAGCAGAACCGGAGAAGAGAGGACCAGAGACTTTAGTGAACTTTCTTTGATGCTATCGTCACAATGGGCTGGTTTGACCGCAAAAAGGCCGTCAAGCATGGCCCCGTGCCAGTCAAACCTGTGCCGGTGAACCATGACCAATATCACACACCACCACCACCACACCCACCGGTGCATCAATCTTCAAGATACGCCACCTCGACGACGCAGACGCCGCCGTACTGGCAGCCTCAGCCGAACAGCCAGGGACAATACCAAAACCCCCCGCCTCCATATCGCCATCCACAACCACAGCATCACCAACAACAGCAACCGCAGCAGCCTCATCGCGCACAAGGCTGGTCCCAACAACACCCCCAGCGCGGGGCCCAATATCCTCAACAGCAGCAGCCCATAGTCGTAAACCAGCATTACTACCTCCACCCACCACCCTCACACCTCGCCCTCCCCGCACCGCCAGGGACAACCGGAACTACGACAGCACACCCCCTCGGCCTGGACAAGTTCACCGGCTCCGTGGTGACAATCGCCAAAGACTTCACGTCCCCCACCTTTCTCGAGGAGCCAAACTTCCACCCGCACGCCACGCAGCTCATCAACTCTACCGCCGCGTGCGTCGACCAGATTGCGGGGTGTTTCAACGATGTCATGACGCTGATTGATCGGGACCGGATGGTGGGCAACGAGAAGGCTTTGTTCACGTACCAGAATGGTGGTGGTGGTGCAAGCGGTGCGGTGCAGACCACTTCTTCTCCGCCGGGTGATGGGAGGAGGAGCGGCGGCGGCGGCGGCGGCGGCGGGAAAAGCGACAAGAGCGGGCAGAGGAAGAAGAGTAAAGAGACTTCTTCTTCCGGGTCAAAGGGCCAGTCTGCGGCTGTTGCGACGTGTATGGTGTCGGGGGGTTACTTTGCCAAAGTCGAGTTATACGCCAACTCAAAGTTGCCAATGAACCTCCCACCCTTGAGACTGTGAGTTACTAATTTTCCTGAATACCATTCGATTTTCATGTGAGGAGACGAACTGACACACCCCAGATACATGCCCACATGGCCCCTCCTCTGCATGGCCGCCCAATACGCAGAACGCGTCTACGACCACCCCAAAGGCGCCGAGCGCGACGCCCACGTCTCGGCAGACTGGAAAACAGGCACCAAAGCAATGGTCATCAAGTCCGTCCCCATGGACCACATGAACACCATTGTCTTTGCCATCCGCGGCTCCGCGACCTTTATGGACTGGGCCGTCAACCTCAACACGGCGCCCGCATCCCCCGAGGGCTTCCTCGACGACGCGGGGAACTCGTGCCACGCCGGCTTTTTGGCGGTCGCGCGCAAGATGGTGAAGCCTGTCGCTGCGCGGCTTCGGCAGCTGCTGGAGGAGGACCCGGGCAGGGCGGCGTATAGTTTGTTGATTACGGGGCATTCTGCCGGTGGTGCGGTGGCGAGCTTGTTGTATGCGCATATGCTTGCTACCTCGCCGCGGGCCGGGAGCGAGTTGAATGCGTTGACGGGGTGTTTCAAGAGGGTTCACTGCGTTACCTTTGGGACGCCGCCTGTGAGTTTGTTGCCGTTGAAGAGGCCTGAGAGGGCGGAGTTGAGAAAGAGTTTGTTCTTGACGTTTGTGAATGAGGGTGATCCGATTGCGAGGGCGGATAAGGCGTATGTGAAGAGTTTGTTGGAGTTGTATGCCAGTCCGGCGCCGTCGACGGCGGCTGGTTCTGGGGGTTGTGAGTCTGGGGGCGAAGGGAGGGGTGAGAGGAAGGCGAGGTTGGCTGCTAAGGCGAGTAAGATGTCGTTGAGGAATAAGGAGAGTAAGATGTCGCTGGTTCAGCATGCGCCTGGTAGGGAGTCGGATAGGGAGAAGGAGAGGAGGAAGAGAGAAGGGAGCAGCAAGCCGGTGTGGCATCTTCCGCCCGGGACGCTGAGTTCGCCGGGCCGGATCGTGGTCTTGCGGAGCGGGGACCCGAGGGCGAGGCCGCGGGACCGGAAGACGGTGGCGGAGAGGCTTGATGAGGGCGTCATTGCGCAAACTGTGACGGACGAGGAGCTGAGGGGGGTGATTTGGGGGGATCCGGTGTGTCATGTGATGAAGTTGTATTCGGGGCGGATTGAGACGTTGGCTGTTGGGGCTGTCACAGGGAGGCAGAAGTAGGTGAGTGGAGGCTTGATGCCCGTGAGAAACGAGGCTGATCATGGGAGATGGAGGATGAGAGTAGAGGGATAGGTCTGATGAGGCGTTTGGGTTTGGTGATACCATTGCTTTTTTACAGTTTGGATACCTCTTATGAGTTACGAGATACGAATACATTTTACTACGATATCAATCCTGGTGTTGCATTGATGAGAAATCCGCGAGAGTCCACGGTTACCTAGTTCTTCTCAAAGACGAGACGGTGTTCCTAGCTGAGAATAGGTCCCCACAAAGTCGAACGAGGACCTTGAACCTAATTTGCTGAGAGTTCCTTTGAATCATGTAGTGATGATTGATCCGAATAGGGGATACAACCTGCTAGAAGTCCAGCAATACTGAATCTTCTGGCTCTCATCAAATTTCGAACCTCGCGCTTGTGGTTCTCGATCCGCTGGAGATCAAGGGCGTTGCTGCCGGCATGTGTCTATCAGCGAATCCAGGCACTGCTCGGGATGTGCTACGAAGGTGGTATATGATCCTTGAATCCTTGTGAGGTCCATGGGAAGCTTTTAATGACATGTTGAAAAGATGATGGGTACCAGGAAAAAGGGTACGATCAATGTGCTCACTAGTTGAAGAAGAAAACGATAAGTGTACGAATCATGAAAAAGATCTCGATGTTTTCTGAGTCGAAACGTTCATTCCATTGTCATAGATTCCAATGATATCCTGGTCATCCGACCACGTACCCGAATATAAGGTAAGTACTTGTGGAATCCTCTAAGCCCTTGTCGTCCACATTTCGAGACCAAGAAAGATAATGGCGTAATGTTATGCAATATACGCGCGAACCTCCCTTCCAGGTTCAAACCTAGTATTCATCTTCATCACCTTCCTCGTCCCCAAATTCGCCTTCATCCGCCAAGTTCCTGAACATGCCATTCTCATCGTCTTCTTCGTCCTCATCTTCCTCGTCTTCGAGATCATCATCCTCGCTGCCGACCACACTGCCTTCGGGCTCGTCCTCTGACTCGGACGCAATCGGGTTCCGTCTGCGGTGCGTCATAAGCTTTTGCGCGAGAGACATCGTCTTGGGTGGTGCTGCCTCCTCCTCCTCGGAGCTCTCCTCGCTAGACTCTTCTTCGGAGACCGGGTTGTCGCGACGATTGCGAGCAAGCTTCTCAGCTAGGGATAAGGGATTCTTCGCGCCCACGTCTTCGTCCTCCGAGTCTGAGCCTCCCAGCGTCTCCTCCTTGTTGGCAATGTCAGCCCCACCTTCATCGTCGTCATCGTCCTCGTCGTCAGAAGGGAGGACTCGTGCACGGCGACCGGCAGGCTTCGCAGGCTCCTCCGCCTCTGCCTCTTCATCGTCGTCCTCATCGTCTGACAGAACAACGCGACTCCGGCGACTCGTAGGCTGAGAAGGCTGTGCTTCATCTTCTTCATCTTCGTCGTCAGAAATGACCACTGGACCACGTCGATTTGTGCTACGGCCTGAGTCCTCTGCCTCTTCCTCCTCACCCGATTCCTCGTCCTCGTCGGATGATGCGACTTGTCGTCTCCTCCTGCCTCCGCGGGGCTGTTCGTCTTCTCCTGAGCCAGGCTCGGGGCTGGACCAGTGAGCGGCAGGGTTTATGGGGCCGTTGCCATCAAAGAGCGTGCTGTCCTCGTCTGCGAGTGGAGAGAATCCGCCATAGTCTGAAACATCCCCTCCTCCCTCTTCGTCGTCGCTCGCTTGCTGCGTGTCGATAAGCAAATCGTCCTCGTCCTCATTTACGGACTCCTCGTGAATGCTTCCATCGTCGATGCCATCGCTCTCGTACTCGTTCTGATCCGAGGAGTCATCCGAGTCTTCTTCTGAGTCGTCTTCCGACCCATCTTCCTTGTCGTCTTCTGAACCGTCGGCGGCGGGTTTGTCTGCTTTGGCAGCCCCGTGTTTCGCCCGAAAGGCATCGAATCGGTCGGCTGCATCCCACCCAAAGCACTGCATCGGCCAATAGCTGACTTCTTCCAGGCGCTCAGCTTCATCCGGCTTCAGGTAGAGGGAACCCTCCTCCACCATGTCGAACAGTTCCGTGAAGAGATCGATCCATATCTCATCTTTGGACAGCTTCTTCTTCAATGCGAATTCGCGTTGCTGCGGCTGCGTGAGGTCCGGCCAGCAGTACACGAAGTGAAGATCCTCGCCGATGTCCACGTCCTTGCGCAATTGCTGGAGCTCGTAGTGGTGAACCAGATCCGACGCGCACCACCGCAGCCTATGCGGTATACGCCTGTCATTATGCCACTGAAAGTCGAACAGTTTTCTGAGATTAGGAAACGCCAACAGGAGCCGCAGTTCATTGGCGTCCAGGTTAGCTCCGTCCATGGCCAGGTTAACGATCTTCTCAGAGAAGCCAGGGACTTTGAGGTTGTGGTCCCAAACACGCTTAATGCCGTTGAGGTGAACGACGTCTCGTTCCTTGTTGAAACGAATGCTGCGCCGGCCTTCCCGGATCGCTAGGGTGTCTGGAAATGCCTTGAGAGCAATGTCTCGAGACTCGTGATGGACGCGCAACATGGCGTCCACTGCCGCAATCTGGTTCTCCAAGGGCGTGCTTTCCCAGATGGTGTCCTGCCTTGGATTGGGCAGCACCTGGAATGAGAAGACGCGTGGTGATGGATCGAGATCGGGGCAAAAGTACTGCCAAATGCGATGGCGAAGCTCGATGGGAAGTCTGCGAAATTCCGGGAAGAACACCCGTGGGCTCTTGCGACGGTATTCGCCAAGAATCGATGCATCTTCCGAGTCCGATTCTGATGAGTCGTCAGAGTCGCTGTTCCCCTCTTCTGAAGCTTCGACGTCGAGAAAGCCCTGGCCGGGGTCGTCGCCGGCTTCTGTTCCGGATTTGCTCGCCGAGGACTCCCGGTCGGATGCATCATTCTGCATGAGGCCGACGCCATCGTGGTCCGATTCGTCGGATGAGTCTGGCATGTTAACCGATGGAATTCCTTCGTCGGCGGGAGAGAAAAGTTGCGTTTGTTGAAAGACAAACGGGCTGAAAAAGTGACGGCAGTGGTGAAATGAGGGTGAGACGCGACAGCCCAACTACAGGGGTCGAAAATTGATGCGCGCTAGGGAGCTATGGCACGTGAGTCGGTACGTATTGAAGCTTATTTCTGCCCACCTGCTTCACCGAGCTGCCCTGGAAGGTCAAGGGGATCCACCTGCTTACCGAGTGTTGCACCGAAAGCCACAAAACTTCACCGAAAGCTACTGCTCCTGGTTCAACTTCCTCAGACAGCTTAGTAGTGATCACAACTTCAGAAAGGCACAAAATTGATAGCTGGACATCCGACGAGAATTCTGCGACAACCGTGCCACTTCTTCTCGAGGCATTGATATCGATTGACCTCCAATACGAAAGGCCCTTGCCGCAAGCCCTATTGCCAAGACCCAATGTGCCGATTCCTCCACGAACTCACGACTTTCCTCCTTTCTCCCCCCCATCTCTCGGCACCAGAGAGTTGACGACAACGCCCTCCCGATTCGACGACGCTCTGTAAGGTCGTCTGCTTCTTCGCTCCTCTCCAGCCTACCTTACTGACTCGTTTCCACTCTATCACTTCTCGCTTTGACGATTCCCCACACTACGACGCGAGCTCCATATTCCCAAAAATCGCGCAGCCCGTCAAGTCACAGAGACACAACATCTCAACATCCCCGATGGCACAATTGGCTAGCGCGTCAGACTGTTAATCTGGAGGTTGGTGGTTCGAGCCCACCTCGGGGAGATTCGGTGGTTAAATTCCACAATACAGTTGAAGATTTAATTTTTTGGCCTTTTTGGGGGCTGTGGGACTTGAACGACTGCAATGGGAAACAGGAGAAGGTCTCCCACGAAGATTTGTAGACGAACAATGACGTTCGAGTCTTTCTCTTCGAGCAGCTAGGTGCTCCATCAATCTACACTGGTCTCTCGATGGATGCGTTCAATGCCTTGCAAGGTTGCATGCACAGTACCCAATTGGCATTGGTAGCTGGATCATTTCTTGCAGCTTGAAATGACCCATCAGACATAATAGTCCACCGAATGCCCTTTCCTTTTGATCGACATGAAGGCACGTATTTGAACGCGTGGGAGCGACTGCCGTCTAGTGTGCCCAAGAGATCTAGTAGCCCGCGGCCCTCCGGAACACGGGAACATCGAGTACGATCGCTGGCGACTCGTGAGGGGCCAGGATATTGTCGGCGATTGAACTTATAGGCATCGTAGAACGGCAGGGACATCAATGGAGACATGAACTCGTCTGATCAATGAACTAAGGACTTTCGAAACTTTGGCTGGGGGCACTGGACTGTTCCCGATTGTTCGAGCTGGTCTCATAACGGCACGCGCCATAATTGTGAGCGAGCGTGGACTCTGTATACGGAACGCATCAATACGGCGCTAGAAGTATATGAACAGGGAAATGCGCAGCCGACGCCGGAAGAACAACATAATCCGCCCGTGTAATAAATGCTTCGGTGGTCTGCAGATGGCAGTATATCTTGAGGCCGGTCCGGTCTCGGGAACCCAAAATAATGTTAGTTCTCCTACATCATAGCATTGGGACAGCGCCATGACTCCGCAGGAGTCTGAGAAAAGATCGATAATGACGACGATGCTTCTGAAGCTCCCAAGGTCAAAATCGAGACGAGACGAAGCTGACGACGAATCGAACAATGCTTCAATGGCAAAGCCCTTCCAGTTGGCTTCAGTTCCGGGAAGCAAAGAGATCTAGCCAACCAGTCGCTTACCAGGCGCGGCTCACAGGGCTGGTTGATTGAAGACGCGAGTGTTCAATAAAATGCCGTTATTCCCGCTGACAATAGAGCCGAGTTCCGCCTCGACAGGCTCGATCGGTCTCAATGTGTGGATACTTTGTTTGTTTGTTTGTTTGTTATATTTAACGCCGTGGCGGCAAGGGCGCAGCCGCCCTTGCGGCCGACCTCCCGAAGGGTATATGGCGTGGAGAGCCGTCGCCCTATAACTATTGCTAGATACAGTTCAAATCGTCCTCCAAATCGTGCCTTATGGCTACTATGCGTTCTATCTGTCCCTGGTTCCCGCTGGTGCCCCAGTTCCATTCTTGAATTTTTTGCGGCTTAAGGCCGGATATGTCTGGAGAGGGCGGCCTGCCGAAACAGGCCCCTCGTACATGTTCTGATTTGTACAAGACCATTCCTGCCCCAGTACTTGGTTGACGACGTGTACTCGCCGCATATCCACTTTTTCTTGGTCGGAGGGTGTGGATATGAGAAAACCCTGGCGAGGGCCCGGAAAGGGTCCTAGGCCCCGCATTGGGCTCTGCCCTACCCTTCCCACAGGTAGTTAAAGCAGTTGCCGGCGGCTGGAATCGTGTGGATACCAGAACCAGATAGGAAGTTATTTTCCACTAATCACTTATTGCATCGCTAGCGAAAAGAGCAAGTCCATGTTGAGGTCAAGACTATGTGAACAGCTTCACGGAACGGAAACGCGCGACAGTCGAAACCGTTCGATTCGTACTTTGAGTATCGTCTGTCGACGGGGAAGTTGGGGATCCTCAACATTTCGCATCGCTTTCGCTAAACCTCGAAGGACGCTCGGGGGATTTCTTCGAATTCAGACCTTGAGTCCATGTCGACATGTGGCGGATGCCACGAAATTTGCGAGTACCAGAGATTGTGTGACGATGGACTTGAATCAATCTGCGCTTATCGTTTGAGTGTCTCGTCTTGTACCAGGTCACTTGTTTATTCAAGTATTCTTTTTAATAGAACAGGTTCGGCAAGTTCTTCGTACTAATCGTATCCGTTCGTATTCGGGAGACTTCGTTCGTCGTAATTCATGACTGTAACATCGTCTCAACTCTCCCCCACCATCGAGTATATCCTCAGTCGCCAATCGGTTCAACAGCAACTCAAGATCTGAGAACAGCCATCAGTCCAGCCCCCGCAGCAAGATATGCGAGCAGTTGTCGATGTATGTCGAGTCTCTTCCAATCAGCAGCCCATACTCGAACAGCCTCGAGACTCGCCCCCTCTGCTCGCTCATCCGTCTTTTCCGCCTTGATAACAATTCGATGCTCCTCCAAGAGCTTGTCGTTGACGGGGAAGACCCTGAAGTGTGTGTACGGCCCGACGGCCCCCATCAGGAGTCCGGCTGCGAGGTTGAAAGGAAACGCCGGACTTGCAATGCCGTCTAGTTCAACAAGAGTCGTTAGCCGCGAGTCCTGTCCATGAATGGGAAGGGGGGTCTGTTCGTCTGTTTAAAGTTGCGGGAGCTGTAGTAGAAAGGGCAGGGTAGAGTACGGATTAGGGGGTGGACGGGGGGCGAAAAATAAGGGAAGTGGGCGCGCACCGTTCCATGCCAGGAAGCCAAAAACGGCGGCCGTGCCGACGACCATTGCGGGGCCGTATACACGTCCAAAGTCCCATCCCCGGAACCAGAGCTTTACGATGGTGTCCTTGTCATTGAGTTTTAGGATGCTGTGCATGGCAATCTTGTCCGTCCCGAATTGGTAGCCTACAGACGACCTTAGCTTCCCACGCTTCCGGAATTTCGTGCGCCTTGTTCAGATGGTTATCACGGTACCGGCAAGATGAGTGACTCCCAGCAGGTTGACGAGCTGGAGCCCTCGAGTCCATTGTATAGAGTCCCTCATCGTCCAAGGTATGTGGATATTAGCACAGATCGTTTTCGGTTCTGTGAATCCGACGCTCGGATATTCGACTCTGGTGTCTCGAGCAGAGGAAAGTTTCGAAAGTACCACTTCGTTATCGTTAACTATTCGATGACCGCGTTGCAAGTTTTGCTGCAACTGTCACTGACACTCCCTTGAAGCGCGGTGACCGATCTGCCCACTTGGACTACGGTAGGTGAGGGCGGCAGACGTCTAATTTGACTATGAAATCTCTATCCCACCTAAGCCGGAGGCAAGTCAACCCGGCGGCCCCAGCTAGTTTCTGTTGTGCATAAAGCGTCGGTCACCGCGCCACCCCACTCACTAGGTCCAGAGCGGGAAAATTATCCCGCTATCCCACCGGCACACTAGGATCAAAACCCCCTTGATAATGACCTGTTGGCCGGGTGGGATGCCGAGTGGGCGCCGCCGCAGCAAAATTGCGCCGACGGAAAGGGATAGAGAAAGAGAGAAAAATAGAGCAGCCTTGTGTGTCGGTCCGACGGTCGTTGTAGGCGTCGCGGTTGATGAGGTCTGGTCGTTTGGTCGTGATGTTTGTCGACGCGGAGAATGGTGTAGTCTATAGGCGTTGCACGTTTGTTAGTATAGGCAAGCTGTAAAGATGCTTTGCGTCATAGCAAATAGATCGCTGCTAGTGTACCAAAAATTTCCAGTATTTTTTCTTTTTGTTTATTTCGCATTGATGCCATCCCACCTAGCCGGAACCTGGAAAAACATTCGTATCCTTCAACGGATCGAGAACAAACGGCTTCACGTTCTCTCTAAACTCCTTGTCGCTCTCGGACCCCCGTAGACACCAACACCAAATCGCCATACCCAAACACCGGTCCCAGGAAAGTAGAGGGACGAGGGCCTTGTTGTCCATCGTCAAGCTCGCCTTTTCGCACATTTTGCTAATCATCAGCACCTCGTCGTCGCCACTGCCGCCGCCGCCGCCGAAGCTCGCGTCCATCAGCGCGGGATCCGTCGGGACCATGCCGTACCAGTGCGCCGCGGGACCGTCCCACATCATCAGCGGTAGCGGTATTTTTATCCTGAGCATGGCCGGCTCTGCGTTGCGGGATAAGCGCAGGGCCGGGTGTATTGTGATGAATATTGTTTGGAGGATTAGATGTAGCTTGAACTGGAAGACGGCGAGACTGTAGACGAATAGAGTTAGTCATGACTCGCGTATTAATCAAGTATTGGAAAGACTGTAGTCGCTGAAGGACTGTTTCTCCAAGTTTTTCGGCGGGAAGAAGCTGCTGTTGGGCGATACGATCTTTCCGATGCTCTCCCTATTTTTCCTTTGCGGGTTGACATATCAAGAGAAATAACTCTTACTTACCGTTGGTATAGTTCTTTAAAGATCCAAGGGTATCCACTATGCCCACAGAGCTGCGACCCTAGGTTGATCTTTGACTGCTCGTATACACCCGTGGCTTTGAACGTCTCGAGCAACATGGCGTGCGTCATCATCACGTTGTCCATGGACTGGTCCGCTCGGTACGGCACGAGTATTGTCGAGATCAGCATGGACTGGAAAATTGGTAGCAGATCCATCCGCGGCGAGAGCAAGCCTTGTCGTGACTGCTCCAGTAGATCGAGCTGTAACGACGGTTAGCACAGGGCTCTTCTTTACGAATAGGTTGCCTTATACAACAACCAACGTCCGTGTAGCTGGCAAGGACCTCCGCCCAAGCGCATAGATACCAGTAAAAGACCAGAGGAAAACACATAGGCTGGTAAACAATAGAAAGCAACAGCAACTTACAAGTTTGTTTCCTGTTTCTGCCAAGAGACTGTCGTGGAACTTGACTGCGAGGTTCCTAGCGTCCGGCCATGAAGCAAACCACAGCCCAACCGTCATAACGGCCTGCATCAACAACTTGGGTTGCGCCGTCGTCTCGAACGTCTCCCGATGCAGCAGCGGCCACTGGGGATGGAACTTGGCAAAGTAGATACTCTGCAGCTGGAGCCTCATGGCCTCATCCAGGATAGATCCCGGGGTGGTGAAGTCGAGGGTGTCGGACATCGTCGTCATCGGCATGGGGCCAGCCGACATCATCGCATGCGAGGTAGTAGTCATGCCGGTGGGCGAATGGTGCTGCTGATGCTGATGCTGCATGGACGGAGCCGTCATCGGGTGGCCGCCGTGGTCGGGCATGGCCATGGAGTCCGAGGGCGGCGTGCAGCCCGAGGTCGGTAGGCCGGAGGAGCTGGACAGCGAGGAGGACGACCGGTCCGTCAGAGACTTGCTGCCGCCGCGCGGCTGGGGCCATTCGCACGATTTTCCCTTGTCATTGCATGGTGAGCAGATGGGCTGCTGACCATCGCATCTGGTCTTTGTCCGGTGGCATGGAACACAGGCTTGTGCTACGCGGGTTGGCGGGGCTGAAGGGCCGTGTAGTACCATGTGTCTACGGAGGGTATCTCTACAATTTTGATAGAAAATTACCGCGGTTAGTTATTATTCTTCGCGCGGGATCCAGAATCCGATCGACATCGACAAACAATAGTCAACCCATGAAAAACGTCTCGGGAATGCAACCCGATGGACGCGACAGGTGACAAGACAAACAGTGTCAGAGACACCACGTAATAGAGAGGGATAAGCAGTTGTCAACCACCAATGTCATACGTACCCTCTTGTGAACTTGGTACCGCATGACGAACAGGAGAAAGAAGGCGTTGCAGAATGCTCTTTTTTGTGGCGTGTGAGGTGTTCCTTACGAAGATAGGAGCGGCCGCAGCCTTCATGGTCGCAGGTGAAGGGCATTCTGGGGACCTCCAACGCAAGGAAGGGATAGATCCATTGCCCTGGATTAGTCGCCGGCGGGTTGACTAGATCTTAAAGAGGTTGCTTGAAAAGGGGGTCGGATAGCCTCCCGGAGCAAGCAGAGCAGAGCAGAGATAGGATAGGTTAAAGAGGGCTAAAGGCTTAGGTGGTCTGGGTCAGGTCCTGTGTGCGCCACGTGCGTGGAGAGAGTGTGTGGGCGTTATGTTGGGTGTTCGGATGTGGACTTCGCTTGATTCCGCCGTACGCTTAGCTCTTGGACGAGACGGAACGACTATGCTTGCTGGGTACTGGGACGACTGGGAGACGAGTGACTGGGAGCCTGGGACTAGGAGGGAGATGACAGAGGTGGACGATGGGTATTTGGGGCTAAACCTTCCGCGGCAGTTGGATGCGCCAACGCTCGCCAACGATTGGCTGGGCGTCCGTCTGGCCCATCTATAAGCCCAGATTACTCAGCCGGTAGGATACCGAGATATGTGGAGATCTGCCGCCGGAGCGGGGCCTCCGGGCGCCGAGGCTTATGTATGCGTCCGCCGGTACACAGGTAGGATAACGGTAAGCAGCAGCGGAGGGCCCAGACATGATGAATAATGATGGTTATAGGCAGAGTCTCATAGTCTTTCTGTATAATATGAATAACGTACTTGATAAGCGAGCTGCCCAGACAAGCGAGCTGCCCACCCAACCGCGTTCATCCTTCCTCCTCACTTCTAATGCGTATCACGCCACAAATAATCATGTCGTCACAAAGCAAAGAGGCCCAATTGAACTTAGCAGTCAAGGCTATCCAAAAAAACCCTAAACTCAGCATTCGAGCCGCAGCAAGAATCTATTCAGTCCCCCCTAGGACCCTAGGCACCCGATTAAAAGGGACACCTACACGACAAGATACTATACCTAACTCACGCAAATTGACGGAGCTTAAAGAGGAGAAGCTAGTTAAGTATATCCTCGACCTGGATTCCCGATCGTTTCCTCCCCGGATCAGCGGTGTGGAAGAAATGGCCAATCGATTACTCGCCGACCGCGATGCGCCCCCAGTTGGGAAGCGCTAGGCTTCAAACTTCGTTAAACGACAACCACAGCTCCGGACGCGCTTTTTTCGCAAGTACGACTATAAGAGGGCCCAATGCGAAGATCCTGACGCGATAAACGCGTGGTTTCGGCTTATAGTAAACATAATCGCGAAATACGGCATTATAGACTCCGATATCTATAACTTCGACGAGACTAGGTTTATGATGGGCCAGATTGCATCCGGGATGGTCGTCACGAGTGCCGAAAGGCGTTCAAATACAAAAATGATGCAGCCTGGCAATCGTGAATGGATTATAGTCATTCAGGCCATTAGTTCGTTAGGCTACAGCGTTCCGCCGTACATCATCGTTGTAGGCCAATATCACCTCTCTACCTGGTATATAGAAACAGATCTCCTACGCGACTGGGTTATCGCAACGTCTGAAAACGGATGGACAACAAATGAAAGAGGCCTAGACTGGCTCCAGCACTTTGATCGGCATATAAAACTGCGTGTAACTAGCAGTTATTGCCTCCTCGTCGTCGATGGGTACGAAAGTCACTACTCTGCGGACTTTGAGATATATTGCAAGGAAAACAATATCGTTACACTCTATATGCCGGCCTATTCGTCTCATCTACTTCAGCCCTTAGACGTTGGGTGTTTTGGGCCACTAAAGACGGCTTATGGTCGACAAATTGAGGATAAGATGCGCCGGGGTAATACCCATATTACGAAGGAGGACTTCTTCCCTGCATTTCACAACGCTTTCACGCAAGCCCTAACGGTAAAAAACATCCAGGGAGGCTTCAGAGGGGCCGTGCTTGTTCCTTTAAGTGCCGAAAGTGTGCTTTCGAAGCTTGATATCAAGTTACACACTCCAACACCCCCAGGGTCCCTACCAACAACACCCCCCGCGTGGACTTCTCAGACGCCAAATAACCCAACAGAGGCCTCTTCTCAGTCCGAACTCATCAAAAGGAGGATCTCCCGCCATCAGAATAGCTCCCCAACTTCAATTATTGAAGCTGTAGAGCATTTATCAAAGGGAGCGCGGGGATTTATGCACCAGATTGCCTTATTAAGGTCGGAGGTCCAGATCCTCCGGGAGGAAAATAACCTACTTAGCCGACGCAGGAGGGCTAAGAAAACACGTCTCAGACAAGGAGGAAGTCTTACTGTAGCTGAGGCAGAGGACATTCAGTCGCAGAGAGAGGCTACGGCCCAGATTGAGGAGGAAACGCACCAGAGTAGTGGTCGTCGGCCGAGGACAGAAACAGGTTAACGGCGATGTAGCGTCTGCGGAAACACTGGCCACAATGCGCGAACATGTCAGTTTAATGAAGAAATATCTGAGGAATAGGATTCAGAGTAGTCTCAATTGATTTTATGTTTTTAGTGTTGCTCCTTAGTTAGATTTATAATGTGATCATGGTTAGGTGGGCAGCTCGCTTGTCTGGGCAGCTCGCTTATCAAGTACGTTAGGGGATCGCCCTATACCAAAGAAGTTGGAGATGCCCTCACATCGCCAAAGAGGATCAGAAGCATTAAGCACTCACGTCTTTAGCCGTTATCAGCCCATCTCACATCAGACACGCTTCACCTCATCAATCAGGCCCCCTGTTCTTTCGAAAAATAAACCATGACTACGGCTACCCTGGAGAATATTGCCGTTATTGGAGTAAGCCACACTCTACCTACTCTTTACAGATTGCATGAGCCACGCATCGTGGATCCCCCATCTCCCCTTTGCCCCTACCTTACCCTTACAAGTTACACTAAACGGTTACGGTTACTCCGTACCCGTACCCCTAAAGCCTAACATAGGCAGCCCGATCAACTGCACTGACCACCGTACCACCCATACTTACTACCCGACGTTAGGGCACCGGCGACCTCGGGCATGTCATAGTCGACCAACTCGCTGCCGCCGGCATCTTTAACCTTGTAGTCATCACCCGGGGCTCCCACGCCAAGACATTCCCACCAGGAGTAAAGACTGTCGCAGCTGACTATGAATCATTGGACGACTTGACCGTTTCTTTCCGCGGGTTTGACGCCGTCGTCTGTGTCGTCCCAGGTCACCTCGAGGCCCTCCTGCTGCGCATCCTCGAGGCTGCCATCGCTGCGGAGGTCAAACGATTCATCCCCTCGGAGTTCGGCTCCGATCATCGGAATCCGAGTGCGCAATCCGTGCCCCTCTCAGCTTCCAAGATTCGAGTCGACGAGGCGCTGAATAAAGCCGCCGCGGCTGGGCGCATCGAGTATACCAGCATCCTCGGCGGGCCTTGGACCGAGTGGCTCATGACTTGCGACACTGGCATGTGCCTTCCCAAACGCAAGTTCTACATCCACGAGGACGGCGACATTCGGTTTGGGCTGAGCACGCGCAAGGCGTTTGGAGATGCGGTTGTGGGTGTGCTCAAACGACCCGACGCGACCAGGAACCAGATCTTGACGATTGAGGTGATCAACCTGACGCAGAACCGGATCGTGGAGCTAGTCAAGGAAGCTCTGCCCGATATAGAAATCGAGGTCATCAACGTCAGCACCAAGGAGCGCTACGAGAGGCGCGTGCAGAAGCTACTCTCTGGGGATTTTGACGCGTCGGTCATCGAAGACATTGTGTTGCGATTTGTCTATGACCCTGAGCTCCAGCTCCCTTTCGATACCGATGACACCAACGAGTTGCTCGGGGTCCAGAGGATGACCGAGGTGGATTTCAAAGAGCTTGTCAAGACCTTGGCATAAGATAGCTCTGAGGTTGAGGCTTCGCGCGCGGGCTCTCTACATGATCCCGACGGGATCCAATGCCGGTGCCGTGCCACGCGAGTAAGCTCTTCATTAGGATAGCTGTCATAGGCTAGAGGTCATAGTAGACTCTAGAGGCTGGGGTCGCAATCTGACCAGTCCAGAGCTAGGCGAATACTACTACTCCTAGCCTAAGCCCGTACAAAGTGAACCTGGAAGAACTATCAGCCCAATGTCTACCCATCTTTGATCCCATTGTCAAAAAGTATAGCGGAAATGCTAACCTCTTCTGGGCAACCCATGCGTCTTTAGGCCCAAGTCTTTAGGGCTTTTGCCGTAGAGACCTTGGGCTTGGCTTGCTTCGTTAGAGTTGCCCGTGAGCACCGACCGCCGATTGGTTTTTGGGTTTTTTTCTTTGTCACCCTGTTTTCCCTTTTCCCTTCACCGGCAAGTGGGTGGAGATTACCGAGCGACCCGCACGACAGACGTGACATAAGGCGGTACGATGAAGCTTAAATCAAAGACAGCCGCAGCACCAACTCGCTCCAAGTGCCGGCCGGATGGTGCTACCGGACTTGGTGAACCGTGGCGCCGTATGCCCGTACAGTCAGCCTTACACATCAACCACAAACAGACTAACGCAATGACACGCAACGGGAATACGGGATGGATGACCAAACATCTTTTTTGTTTTCTTTCTATTCTCATACCCTGTCCTGCCCCTCCTGCGACGGACGGGCAGGCAAAGCATCGGACTTAGAGCCAGTCTAAAGCGTCCGTTGGCGAGATAAATGTGGCCTGAAACTGTAACGGGCCTGTAAGCTGAAAAGCTATGTCGTCCGTATCGGCGCGTAAGACCCAACCCGTCTGAAACCCAAAAGAGTCCACGGACGGCGCAACGTGTATTCGTCGGTAAATACGTGGTCTCATTGGTCAGTACCAAGATCTAGTAACGTACAATGAAGCCTCCCTCTTTTGCCCAAATGCTATATACATCTATAAGTAGTTATACTTTTTTCAACAACTCGGAACTTTTTGCGCTCTGTGCATACTACCCGCGCTCTGCCTAACTATCTTAGTAGGTGTAGCGGAACGACTTGTTCTCCTTGTCGGTCATTGACTGCCAGTTCTCGGGGGCCATGTAGGCGTCCTCGGACTGCTTGATGGCGCCACGGCGCTTGTTCTCGAAGCGGTAGTAGGCGTACAGCGCCAGAGTGACGACGGCGCAGCCAGCCTGGGTGCCCATGACGGCGATCTTGGCCGGGCGGTACTCGGGGGCGTCCTTGGCCTGGAAGGTCTGGGGTCCGATGATATTGCCGAGCGAGAAGGAGCCGGAGACGATGGCGGCGGCGAAGGCACGCTTGGTGGCACCTCCAAAGTTGGCGGCAGTCCACTAGATGCTATGTTAGTCATGTCGTCCAACGTCTGATATTGGACTTTGCGAGACTGAGAGGTCTTTAGAGTTGGAGATGTGGTGTACTTACGGCGTAGAAGACGGTCAAGGGGGCAACGACGGCGTTGACGAGGTAGATACCGGCCAAGCAACCAGAGCGGTTGCTGACGGGAAGGAAAGACATCAGAGCGCCACCGATGATGCTACGCAGGGTTAGTATTTTGCTTTTTCTTCAGACGCTAGATTCACTCTTGACTCACGCTGGGATGATGCAGGCGACGATCCAGGCCCACCGGTTGGACGTGTAACGAATGCCATAGCCGACGAGGAGAGTGAAGAAGATGCTCACGACACCCGAGGGCATGTTCATCAGAGCGGCGTGCTTGGAGTCGTAGCCGAGATTGCGGATGAGGGTGGCAGAGTAGGTGGTGACAACACCGCTGGAAACGGACAACTTTGGAAAGGGGTCAGCGGACTTCGAACTACACATCTTCAGGGCTAACGCGGGACAAAACTCACGAGAACGACGGCAACGACCATAAGGTACATCTGGGGGTCCATGAGAGCCTCGAGGATCTGCTTAGGACGGAACTTGCGACTCTCGATACCGGTCTGGTTGACGCTGACGTGCTTCAGCAGAGCAACCTTCTCAGTGTCGCTCAGGAAGGTGGCCTTCATGGGCGTATCAGGGACAAAGAGGATGGTGCAGATGCCGATGGTGACGGTCATACAGCCGAGGACGACGAACATGATGCGCCAGCCGGCGAGGCCCGCGCCGGGAGCGATGTGCTGGAAGCCGTAGGAGATGGCACCGCCGAGGATCTGGCCGAGGCCGAGACCGAGGTACCAGAAGGAGAAGCGAGGGGCCTGCTCGGACTTGGTGTACCACTGGGCGCTGATGAGCATCAGGGAAGGGCCGATGGTGGCCTCGAAGATACCCAGGAAGACGCGGGAGACGAGGAGGGACTGGTAGTTGTGCGCGGCGGCACCACAGGCGGTCGCGGTACCCCAGAGGATGACGTTGGCGCCCAACCACTTGGCCGCGGGGATCATTTGGAGGAAGTAGACTGTGGAGGAATTGTTGTCAGTTTCGAAATTTTCTTTTTGTTCTTCCTTTTGCCAGACCGTGACAATGGTTCGAGTCTTGATAATTCATGTCTCTCCAACGTCCGAGTTTCTCCATTCTTCCGAACTTCTCCAGAGTCTCTTCATCGTTCGAGTCTCTGTTTTCCTTGCTTTTCTTCCGGTGAGATTGGGAATGAAATGGGGTAACGCACTGTTAGGAATCTCAAAGCAGAGAAGACCGACAAAGAGGAAGGTGGCAATGTTGGAAAAATCGTTGCCGACGAGCTTCAGGTCCTTGTTCAAGCCCATGACGGCGGCGTACTACAATGTCAGATATCATATTAGCATTGGTCGCGTGGTAAGAGAGAGGCCCGGGCCGCAAAAGCAAGCAGTCAGACATGAGCTGAGAGGGGTCGTAGTGGGAGAATTGATCTCTGACGACCGCCTCGTGGAAGTACCTACGTTGAGAATGACCTTGTCCAGGAACTGCATGGTGTAGCAGAGGAACATGAGGGGGACGATGCGCCAGTCGATCTTGCGTCTGAGCGCGTTCATGTCCACGGCGCTCGTGTCGGTGCCGGCATCGCGATGGTCGTTGAGGAACTTCCACGCGGCGTCGACGTTGCCCGTCTCAGCGTGGGAGTCGGACGAGGCCGAGCTCACAAAGTCCTTTGGGTTCTTCTCGTCCACAGACATGTTTGCTTTGTATCTATGTTGTCTTGCTTTAGAGCCGGTAGGTAGGACGGTAGGACGAATGAATAAGCAAAGCAATTAGGAAGAATGTGCCCCCTTCTCGATTACTACCGTAGCCTCAGTAGCGGGAAAGGAAGAGAGATGCCAAAAAAGCAAAGTTGTCCGTCCGTCTGGTGATCGACGACGAGGCGCGCACAGGCTTCCGCTGCGGGACTGAAGGCTAAAGAAGGTTGGATGGGGGTATTCGAGATTTCTGATCCAATGTGATCTGATCTCCGCGCGCAGGTGTCAGATGGAAAAGAAAAAGGTAAAAGAAGTAAAACGGGACGAAGAGGAGGGGAAAGTCGCAATGAAAAGGGAGAAAAGCAACGAGTGACAAGAGTTGATTCGACTGGTTAGTAGTTCGTCCAGTAAAAGAGACCCCGCCAGGAGATGTGTACAAGACGAGCAACGTGCTACCTGCGTGCTGCAGGCCTCACCTTTGTACATCTCACCCCATGTCGACGCAAGTATTATCACTTTTCCCTCCCAAAATCGACCACACCAACAGCTTAGCGTACCGTACGGCGCAGCTCCCCGATCCCCGCCTGCAGCATGCAAGGTTTGCGTAGTCGGACCAGGGGGACCGGGGGGACCCCTAACTCACGAGAAGGAAGACTGGGGCTCGATCCCCGGTGGCCGATGCATGTAACCTGGACCTCCAGTTCGAGAACGAGGGATATCCGGTCTGGCGAGCGATGGATCTCGACAAGTTAGGTACTCCTCCAGGCTCCTCTTCTCCCCAAGTACGAAGTACTCCACACACAGGTGAGAGTGGTGGCATATCCGTACCTCTCAGCTGAGGACTGGATCCAGGTGAAGCCAGAACCCGGCCTGCTACGGTTATTCACCCCATTTAAAGGGCCCATTGAAGAGCCCTGTCCCATTCATATCCGGCCGCATCACCTCTTAGCCTATGATCTGTATGCCAATACCAGTTCGTTGTGCGACTTTTGCGACGATTCTGGGACCTCTAGGCTCTTGGTTCTCGTCGGCCCGCTCTTCAGAGTGGTTTTGCGCGGGGATCTAGGCTTGATGGCGACCGTAAATAAGGGCCCCTCCTCCCCTCTCTATTAGACTGATTCTCAAGTTATCCCCATCCGCTCATCTGCGGCCTGCTGGTTCTTATTGTACATCCGTGTCATCAACCCAGAAGACGTCGTCGTGATGTGGCGGGCCAGCGCAGATAGCTGGGAATGAAGGAGGCTCTGAGCCTCTATGCTCTCTGCCAATTGGGGGGGCAGAAAAGGGAAAAAAAGTTCTTCTGCGAGCGGGGGCGTTGCGAGAACACGGGCAGAAATGGGGACAGTTTTTAATAATGACAAGGCGACAAGACGGGACGGTCTAGCCGACTTGTCAAAGTGTCAATTTGGCTTCTGCCATCGAACGATGTTAATCTTTGTCGCCTGCTTTGCTGGGTTCTGGACACACCAGACACTTGCGTAGGAAGTTCCGCATTACGCACACACTCACAGTATCCGTACACTTTGGGGAACATATGTCAGAAACTTTCAAACTTTCGCCTCGGCGGCGGCAACAAAACAGAAGAAGCCAGGGCCGCGAACGGTGGGAAGTTTGACAGATACCGTCCGTGGTCCGTTCAGACCTTGCAAGTTGCCAACGACTTGCAGCAGACGCAATGCCGCTTAGCACCGCCCGCGTCCCTTTGCCGTCGCATCTTCTGCTTTTGGCCTAACCTCTCTCACTTCTCCCCTCCAAGAACCCTGGTTCGTCGGCCGTCGTAGGTTGTTGCACCATGGTACCATGGTTGACAACCCAAGCCAACCGTTGTCTTTCCGTGGTCGTATTTGGTAACTTCTGAAAGTATTCTCCCGAAGAGCGATTTTGTTCCGTGGAAGTTTTTCTGGCCCAAAGTAACCACACGCATTTACAATACCACGCCAGACGCCCCCCCCCCCCCCCCCCCCCTCCTCTTCGGATGGTACTCCGGACGGCATGATGGAGAACAACCGAAGCCAGCCCAGTCCCGGCCCCAGGAAGAAGAAATAATGTAATTCGGAAACCAGACTTGGGAGGCTTGGCAACGCTTTAACGTGTGGCAGCCAGAAACCCAGAAAGAAGATGATGCATCAAATCGCAAGAAAAGGGAACGATGCAGCGATGCATTCGCTGCGGAGCCTCTTGTGGTGATCCCCCAAACAATTTGTCTTTCCCGCGCTTCCGTGACCTACAGACCTTCCTCTTCTTTGGAAGCTTCTCACATTTCATGTTGCCCAGCGTCACATTCGATTTACGAATAACCCGAAGACATCCACATCACTTCGGCGTGGAATCACTTGGATTTCCCCCCTTCCATGGCAACTTTTTCTAGCCTTTGCCCCATGTCCGATGGATGAATGCCCTGCGGAGCCTGATCATTGGGCCACTGGCCGAACATCGAGACATTAGCAAGGCCATGCCAGCACTAGGTTCCCGAGCCAGCACCAGGCCCCAAAATCCTATCACATTGCACGGATTCCATCCAGACTGGCACAATCCTTACGATGGTTGAGACATTTGAGGACCGATTGCCTTTGCCAGACAAGGCATCCCAGATTTCCCCCTTCTGCCTTGTCACTTGTGAAAGCTTCTTGACCTGCCCAAAATGTCGTGACCTGCGAGCTTTTCAGGGTGTCGAAGCAGCAAGGCCAGGCGGAGACTCTCTCGACTCCTCCTCGTAAGGATAGAGCTACGGAGTACTTGACGCAGGTATCCGTACCCCATAGCTTGTTCGTTGTTGTTTTTTTTTACTTCCCAAAGTTCCCAGAAGCTCGGGGCACATATACGCAAAGCGACTGGCTCATATTTTCTTGTTCCTTGTGGATAATGTCATGTCCCAGCTGGCAAAGGCAAGGTGAAGGGGCCATGCGGCACCACTCATCACACATGGTGTTGAACGCCACGCACACCAAACACACAACCGCGCGAGCGAGCGGGCGGTGGAAGACCGCACCGCACGACGTAATAAAGATTAAAGTGGCCAACCCCCCTAGTCTTGGCCGTTCAACGTCTGCGGATGCTGTTTGTATATTGCTGCTCTCCACCAAATTCATAAAGTGTCCCTTGCTTTCGACCTGCAGGCTAGGATCTTATTTTACCAGTCGGCTGGTTGCCTCCCCTCCCTCTCCCCATCCACGCTCGCTTCTCCCCTGAGTCTCCTTAAACCTCCGTTGGCCTTTTTATCCCTCTCCCCATTCGAGCCCGGCTTTATACTACGCCGTTGGTCCCGCGTTTATTTGGTCTTGGTTTCCTCGTTGGAACTTGGAAACTTGTTGGACGTCAAATCGTGTTGGTTGCAAGCCACAGTTACACACCGCATCGTGGCAACGCTAGAACGAGTCACGAAAGACCTCGGCGTTCTTCATCGGAAAGTTTGTTGGTTCTTGTCTTGGATTTTCGACTCAGCGCCACGCAGCCCGCTGCGCCAACCGTTTGTTTATAAACCGCCGCCATGGGCTGGGTTCTCAACGCCACGCCCGAGGTCGAGGCCATTTCGCAATGGCCGACCATCATCGCCGTCGTCATCGTTCTCTCTGTACTTTCAGTCCTCGTTGTGGGCTCTCGAATCTGGATCCGATTTTCCGCCAGAGGTCTGGCTGCTGATGACTGGATGTCGGTTCTATCGGAATTCTTCGCTCTCATCTATTCCGGTCTTACAATTGCACGTAAGTTCAAACCTTCTGGATATGACTTCCACCACTGATACTAATGGGGATACCAGAAACGAGATACGGCCTTGGTTTGCCCATCAAGCTTAGGCCAAAGGACAATCTGATTTTATATACACGTATCAACTTTGCAGGTCGTCCTTTTTACCAACTGGGCATCAGCTTTTTCAAAATTGCCCTGTTGATCAGTTATCTCCGCCTTCTCAAGGGCACCGACCAAAAGAGCTATCGCCGCATCGTCTGGCTGACCATTATCTTGGTCTTCATTGCTCACCTGGCATGCTCATTCTCGCTTGTCTTCGCCTGCACGCCCGTCGACAAGTCATGGAACCCCCTCAAAGCGGGAACTTGTCTGCCCGCGGGCCCGTCCTTCACCGCATACGCCGTTGTCACCATCATCTCCGACGTTGTCGTGGCAGTACTACCTATCCCGGTCTTGCTGAAGCTCAACGTCCGCGTGGAAAAGAAGGCCGGTCTCATCGCTATTTTCCTACTCGGCCTCTTCACGACGCTGTGCTCCATTCTCCGATACCTCGAGATCAACCGCATCCAGTACGGCGACGGCAACTCGACGATGCTGGTCTTGTGGGGCACCATTGAATTTAACGTTGGTGTAAGTTTTCTCCCGGAAAAGCGTCCGCGAGCTTTCCCGTATCCTTCCGGTGAGACTAAAAATGGCTAATGCATCTGGGCAGAATATCGTGTCTTCACTACCATTCCTGGCACCCGTCTGCATGAAGAAGGCCAAGAACTACCGCTCAAAGTACTCCGGAGGCTCGTCGCACGGACGCAGCAACCTCAAGGGCGGGGAGCGGTACAAGCTCAGCGAAATGAACCACGACAAGAGCGTCTTCGCGTCGGCGAACCACAGCAAGGGCGACAACGGCAGCGAGGAGAACATTCTGCCCGGCAACATCATGAAGTCTGTGACGTACAGCGTCCAAGTCGACAACAGGGTGGAGAGCAAATCCGGCATGCAAGGTGGAACGACTGGCGGCACGCGACGGAGGGATTCACGAGATTCAGATGTGTAAGAGGGGGCTGATATCACGCGTCGCCACAATATCAAAAAAATCACAAGATAAAGCATTTAAATGGCGAAAATATAACATGACAATGTGTAAAAGGGACTTGGTTTGGAAAGAAAAGCATCAGATTCGATACATTGATTGTAGGGAGTTGGAGGGACACCAACTTTGAGGTGTTTTCTTCATTAGTAGCGATCACTTCCCATTGAGGACTTGTTTTTCTCGGAATCCGGTTGGGATCTGACGGAAGCGCATCGCATCGCATCATGACTCTTTCGCTTCTGCAGAAAAGGATACCCTCGATCGCTAGCCGGCGGGAGCAAGATGGGGGGAAACCTGGTCATCACACACACAGCACGGGCAAGGCACAGCACAGGCACAGCACAGCAGCACAGGGCTCTCGTCTTGCTGATCTCTCTCCACTGCGGTGGAGGAACCACAACAGACCGGGGTGGTTGGGAGGAGGTGGAGGGACGGTTACGTGTCGAGAAATCACCCCATCACCCCATACATCCCACAACACAATGCTGATCCCCATTCCCGAGAACACGGTGTACGCGATCTCGTAGGTCTGTTTTTATATCATGATTGAATCAATTAGACTAGAAAGAATATTAATTCTACTGGTGGGACATCCGTACGGAGTAGTTCCATAGCTCCTTTTACTCTTCATCAAACTGAAGCTTCATCTCCCGCTTGCTGAGAAGAGGACTCGTAGGGCTAATCTTGGGCCAGTCGTGCGCATCCATACAGGCCCGCCGCGACGCCAACACGCCGGGTCGGGCTCTGGAGACCACGGTATCTTCGTAAATATCCAGAACGGCTCGAAGGTTTGCGAGATTGTTGTTGCTACCGCTCAACTTGGGCCCAACGGTCTCTGCGAAGTCGAGAACATCGAGGATGGCGTGGTTAGCACCCTCGCCTCTGTCTGTGCGTGCCGTCAGCCATACATCCTCGTCTATTTGAGACGAACCACCCTCAAGGATAGATAGAGGGCCAAGAAACCCAGAGTTCAATGCCGAACGAAACGTTTCGGGAAAATAGGTAAACGAGGTAAACGTGGAGATTTGTCAACAACGAAGGGTATTTCTTGGACTTACACATCGCCATCGCATGAAAGGCATCTCCCATCAACACGACCCTCCCTTTGGACCTCAAACCCTTTGGCGGAGGGAAATCGTAGAGGTCAAGGTGTTTCACGTCAGTGTCAGCGGGAATGCCGAGTGCAAGGGAACGAAACGGCTGCGACCACCCTTCGGCAAACGACCTGATGAGCTCGACCTTGCCGGCGTCCGTCATCGGATAGCCGGTCGGCTCCGGCTTACCCAGGAAGCCCGGGCGATCCGGCCATGAGACGCACAGTTGGCAGCTGTACTCGCCCGTGCTCTCGTCGTTGTTTCCAGGGGCGTCGAGCACTGCAGGGAGCGTGCAAAGTTTGTATTAGTCTTCGTCAATCTTTTTTTGGGGTTGCTCTTTTTTCCGCCCTGCGTACATGCGCGCGCAAGAGCAAAAGTCAATGAGAAGACGATGGAGACGGAAGGGGAAGGGAGGGTCTCGGCCCCATGGTAGCACTCTCGGCTCAGGGACACACCCCTTGTTCGGCAGAAAGCCAAGATCTCGCTTTCGCCTTGATCGGGTATCAAGAGCCACTCTCTGTGACAAGAAGAAAAGAGAAAAGATCGGATACTACGCTCTGATAAAAACCAAGAAAGACAAGATAACTTACTGCTAAGATAAAGAAACGTATCGTTCCGAGATGATGCACCTTGCAGGAAGAAGGGGTCGAGCTTCCGGATCGGCTCCATCTCTTCGGGAGTCAACTGCAACTTGAGGCCAAGCACCCGGACCGGGATCCGGTGTCTTTCGTGCTGTTCCGGGAAGAGCTGGCGCCGGACACGGGATGGCCCCCCGTCGCAGGCAACAAGCACGCGACCGGCCACCGAGGTGCCGTCTTCAAAGTAGACCGCTACTCCGGTTTCATTTTCTTCGTATCTCGTGAAGCCTTTCCCCCACTGCGATTACGACTCAGCACGAGAGCTGTTGACGGAGCATTGCCAAGTGCCCAGTAACCAACCAGGAAATGCGGGTGGGTATAATAAAGCACCAAAAACATACCTGAATATCGATATCCGTAGCCAACAAACGGCGCAATCTTTCCCTCGTGACCCTGATCCTCAGACTCTCCGGTGCGCGGGGGCTGGCGCCCTTGAGTTCGGCGGTGCTCAAATCGAAGAAGGGAAACGCCGACGCCTCACCCCTCGCGACGGCAGCCTGGTCAACATAGGCCTCGGGCAGCCGCGCAACGAGGTCGTCCGGCAGCAGGGATCGCAGCGCAGGGAGAGACCAGTGCAGCGTCAGGCCCCAACCGACGCCGCGGGTCGTGAGGTCCGTGTCGCGCTCGTAGATGCGGTAGGGGATGTTATTCTTGCGGAGATACTGCGCGAGCAGCAGGCCGCTGACACCCGCGCCGACGATGATGACGGGGAGGGGTCCTTGCTGTGAGATTGCCATGGCTGCTGTGCTCTGTGCTGAACTGGGCTCTTCTCTTTGCTGGGCCGCTGGGCAGCTTGTTTGCTTGGAGCGTGCTTTTCTTGTGGCTTGCCCGTTGGACGAATAATTGTCTTTGGAAGAGGCTAGGGGGCGTGTATAACCTTGACCAGGTCTCTTTTCTTTTTTGCGACGGCTGAAAACGATGGACGATAAGTCAGAATTCTATGCAGCAACAGTGGCGGCTGTGCGGCAAGCAGGCAAATGAAACGAGCAAGAGAGCATACGGCACCAATGAGATGCAGTAATAATGTAATTGTATGTATGCTAACCGGCCTGGGCGCGGAACACACCTCTCTGAACTCTCCCGCCAGCCTCTGCACCCATCAGCCCAAAGGGCTTCACATCCGATGCAAGAGAACTCGCAAGTCATCTAATTTCACGCAACTAGACCACAGAAAAGCCACTCACCCTGGTCCCTCCTCGAGCTTCATCGAACCACCCCTACTGTGATGCTCTTTTTGAACCGAAAACTCTAATCCCACTTCCCTTGACCCCTGCTTGGGGGAAATCGCCTGATGTCGGGGGCCACCGGCAAGGATGGCCCGACCAGAGACACCCATGGGGCGGGAGGATCGCCGGAGACCTCCCCCCCGGGCGCCAGCTGTGCCACACACCCACACCAAGAGGCTAGAGCCTAGGAGAGACGCCGTCGACGGGCAAGTTTGGGTCCCCCCCCTCCCCCTTCCAACGGGCGCCATTCCTTCAGCGGCACACACACACGCAAACACACACACACTAGGGAAGAGCGCGGGAGCGCGGGAGGGAGCGAGGGGGAGGAGAAAAAGGCTTAACAAACCCGTTTTGTTTGCTTGCCAAATGTCTGTGCCACAGCGGAACGGTACGCGGTCGTGGCCGCTGCCACACCCCAGCCCGACAAGCAAACGGTAGTTTCAACCACCCTTTGACGATAGCCCTTATTTTCGAAATCTCTTTGGTTTCCAATCGCATGGTCGAGCGCCAGCTCATTTCAATCATTGGCGAGTTATCGAGACAAAAAGGGAGTTGGGGGAGGTTAGCGAGGCGGCCAAAGTAGTGTACCTCGCTCGAGAGCAGGGGATGCCAGACCAACCCCCAGAACCGCTAATCTCGGACAGGCTAGAAGGGGTGGGGGTAGACGAAGTGAAGGGCTGAATTGCAAAAGTTCACTTCTGGGCCCGTACGTAATTCCACCGAGGAACCCACAGACCAAAGAGAAAAGTGGGAGATTTCGTGTTGCTGTGCCTTTTCAGGCGTTCTTGGCCATTTTCCCTATTTACGGAGTTCAACTCCCACAACCTTGTAGTGAAGCTAGGCCCCCCTTCCCCCAGAACCACTCTTTCAAAAGGCGGCTTTTCCCACCTCTCTCTTCTCGCCTGTGTCTGGCTAAGCATTCTCGTCCAGTGGAGGCTCCCGGGAAACAATGCCGTAACTCCACCGAGGCCTTGTACTGAATACTTCGTACACGGAAAAGATGTGGTAATCTAGCGCAGCAGCCGAGCCTCTCACGACCACTCATGGCGGTTTCTTCAAGGATAATTCACTGACCTCAGTACCTCGCAACCATGGTACAAGCTCACAAGGAATGCCTGGTCCTCAAACACCAAGCCTCCTCGCCCTCTCAGGCGGCCTATTGGCTGTCTTCAAATCGTGACCAGCACCAGGTTTTCTATGCCTCGCCGTATCTAGACACTTCAAAGCAACAAATTGGGCGACGAGAGCCCGTCTTGGTTCGCATCTTGTCCTTCTTGCTATCTCGTTCGCCCCCCTCAGATATCCACCGTCTCCATCAGTACTTTACTCCCATGATTTATCGCCCACGCTGAGCAAAAAAATGCACCGAAGATGGTAACATCGGTCGCAGATCAGACTTTTCTCTCAGGCGTCTTCCTGTTCTCTTTCGCCCGCAGCCAACGACCCATGCCTCAGCGATGCAAGGTCGCGGCACAGCACGCCGGATACACGACAAAGTACGTATACTGGTACATACACCCTCGTCCTCCTGCTGCAAGCACGTAACATGGATATTCTTCGGTGATTTGCCTCCCCTTTCGCTACAAAGCCATACATTTGGTAAAGCGCCGCGTTCCGTGTCACCTAGATTACTGGAGCCCATCTCCTACGTTCCTGCTTCCCGAAACTGCTACCGAAAGGCGAGGAGGGGACGACTCTGACCGTCTGACGAAAGGCGAGACTGACAGAGAGAGTGCGTGTCATGGAGCGCGTCATAGCTGACGGTGGACTGTATTCATACAATCTTTCAGAAAAAACCTCGAAATGGAACGTTACTCTGCCGTCATGTTACTGAGCGTACTAGTCTTGAGTTTGACTAGCGGGTTGGTCTAACCAGTTACCAACCAACCAAGCACCATTCAAAGTTCTGACTGGTGCCATTTGACAGCTGAACATCAGATCGAACCGCGCTTACTAGCAATACTCCGATCCCCGAATGTTGGCTCGGATTCACATCATGTCTTCCGATCAGTAATCACCATGCCCGCCCTACCTTCTCACCCCTCTTTCGACAAGATACCATCTGCCCGGCAGTCTGGTTCTTGTAAAGCTGCGCTGACAGGGCAGCACAAATTTTTGTCGTGCGCATGTCCCTGCAATTCCCACTCGTCTATATTCAACAAGAGAGCCACAGCCATTGCATAAAAATCACGCTATCCTGTAGCTGGCATTGGACGACTGTCCCGCGTACGCACGGCACCATGTATATTCGTACATATACGGAGTACTTCATCCTCAGGCATGCCAGATCATATCACACTGTATGCAACGCGCCTCGCAGTCCTCTGTACAGTCCAGGACTCCAGGTGCCCTCCCGACCAGATTGCCGGATCAAGATGCCGCCCCGAAGCCAGATATATCACATTACGGCTATGTTCAACGCCGGTGTCGTTACACCCTATCAAAGCTCATCGCTAAGGAAGGACGGGCCCCTTCGCCGTGCCTGGGACTGCCTGTTGACATTTGCTCTGAGTCCCCGACTCTTTCGTAGAACGGTAGCGAGGGGACGTAGCGAGTAGCCTGGTTGGGAGAGCACAGAGTCTGGACTCTTGAACGAATCTCTGGGAATTTCGAATGCGACGCCAGCGGAGCCCCGACCCCCGAGTGAAGCCGGGGAGGACATGCAGCGAGAAGAGTTTTTGATGACCGAACCTCAGGGGGCGGATAGGAGGACCCATCAAGGCTGTTGGCGAGTGAGAAGTGACAGTATGGGGACCAAGTGCGTTAGCCTTGTCCATACAAGCAAGGGGTCAGGATTGGACTGGACCAGTGATAGTGGTGTCTTAGGATTTCTCAACGGTCGTTGGATAGTGTGGGAAAACGGCCCATCAAAGAGGCGTCGATGGCAACGTCGTCGAGTGGAAGCTCATATGTCGACGACATGTGGTGCGCGCAGCTACCCGTTCGGATACTTGCCTCGACCGATATGGGACGATGCGACGCAACAGGCGAGAAAGTGATGAATCGACTCACTTAGTAAGCTCCATTGCCAGTTGGTCAAGAATTCGCATGGCTTCCATGTTGTTGACAGGGCTTTGAGAAGGATCCTGGCATTGGACGAGCTGATTTGTGTCCGGAGTATTGGGAATTATTGCCCGCATACGCAGTAGAGGATGGGGTCTGCCAGGTACTAACGTGTACACCACATTTGAGGTACTTTGGGAAGACATCCACGGATTCGACACACTCGAGATGGTGTCCCACTTGTTGGTATCTCACCATGCCAGAGACGCTCTTTGAGCTCCATATCGAGTAGCCAAGGTCCGTCATTACACGCCACAACTGGAGGATTCCGGTATTCCACGCCATGCAAACGAGCCCTTTTGGGGACGAATACACAGTACATGTAGCATGGGACACTTTCCGCTTCCAGCGAAAGATGCACTCTGTGTTCCCCGGAGTTTTCACGAGGGGATTTCTAGACCTTCAGAAATTGATATCTATTAGTCAGACCTCATCAGACCTGGCTAGACGTGATCATGTCTGGAAAGCCTGACCCGAACGTAATTTCCCTTTCCACGGCTTCTTTATCATATCTACGTCCATTTGAACAGTGTTCGGATGAACCGGTTCTACTTGTCCGCATTAGGTGTTGGGTGATTGTGCGTTGATTTCTCTAGGTCCGGAGATTTTGAGCCCTCAGTCTGTTCGAAAGCGTGACTTTGACTCTGAGTAAATGTCACATTGTGCATGTGCTCTACTGCTATTGCGACCAAGTAGTGTGTATGATGATCTCTAAACCAGAGAATCCGAGACACTGTAGCCTTCCGTCTGTAGGCGGATCCAGTTCCATGGAAGCACGTATCACTGAATACGGATAGTTGCTGCTGGGAAGAGGTCGACGACTCGACACTGCTCTAGCTCGCTTCTCCCTTAGACATTGAAGGGACTAAAAGATTAAGACTTCATGGCTCCACGTGACAATAAATTGACCAGGGGCAGCAAAAATATCGCAGCCAGGCCATGGACAAGGGGTGCTGCTTAAAGCAGTCTACTTAAGCGAGACTAGGGCGAATACTTGGGACTAAAATGCTGGAGTGCGGATGGTTACCTTGAACTTGTAAACGGCCGCACGTTAAGCAGATAGAATCATAATGGAGTTTCTGCTCAGAACGGTTGTATAGCGGAAGCTAGTGTAACGGCGGCGAGTTTAGGTTCAATAGTGTGAATAGGACCATCTGTGAGAATTAGCGCCTTTCTAAAGAGCCTTCGTTCTCCTAGCGTGATAGTTGTTGAAACTGGTAGCCTTGGCAAACCATTCGGCTCCCGCATATCAACTGACTATCAGAAGTCAATTCTGGGTACAGATACTTGCGAATACGTACTTTTGATGTCACTTTCAGAAGATTGCTAGAGCATAGACATCTCCTCCCTCGGTGAAGTCTTCAGAACGGACATGTCTACCAGCTTCAAGGGTCCTAAACCATCGAGGGAGATAGTACACTTCGTAATCGCTCGCACCCAATTGAGCTACTAAGTCGTGTTATGGAAGCGCTTTCGGATGTTTACAAGCTCGCTTGTAGAACAACCGCAGTCTCGGACTGTTGGGGTCTAATTATTGATATTAAACACTAGCTCTAAGATGATGTTTAGTCTTGTACTGCTACGGCTGCCTATACACCAGTGCCGTCCCTCCCGCTTCGATCATCGTGCCCCGGCTATATTGCTGGAGGTCTGCGAGACTCATCTTGACGAAGTCGTGTTCCTCAAGTGCCTCCTCGGATGAGCGGGAAGCTATTTCCGGTGGCATTTTCAGATAGACGTCGGGCTGACTCATTCCGCCCCCATTTTGGTTGGTGTCTTTGGAAGCTTTGGAACGAAGGACTTGAAGTAAGGGGCGAAGTGTCGGTAGACAGCAGCAGATCACGGCACTATTTGAGTTTATTAGGGTAAGCCCTTATTATGAGTATCGTGAGTGAACGTCAGGTGCTTACCAATAAGCCTCTAGTCCGGTCCAGATCATGAGGTCGACGGTTCCCCATGTGGGATCTTTGTAGTCAAAGGTCGAGACTTTGACTAGTCGTATGATGGTGATGAAGCAGTTGCTAATTTTCAAACGTCAGTAAGGTATCCTTATCGGTTCTCAAGGCAAAAAGTACGCATAATAGAAAAAAAGAACTCACAAACCGCCAAAGACGAAGGACGAGATGAGAAGCATCTTCTTGAAAGGTGACATCGTCAACCTCATGGCGTAAGGTATCGGAATGAGAATCAACACAAAATCGGTCACGATACTGCCGACTGCTATGCTGATATATAGTTTAGATAGGTCAAGGCAATTCTTATGTGTAGTCCAGAAGTTTTGCACGGGTATGCAAGCTACAATTGTTGGGATTGTCTAGATCTCAGGTCAGCAATTATGGCCCTCGTCCAATTAAGTCCTCCCGCACCCATAGCTGACTTACGGCGTAGATTGCCCACGCTCCGATGAAGAACATGAGACCATACAAGTAATATCTTGCACTGAAGAGCCCAAAGATGCGGTGATATAGTATCACTAGTGATAGCCGCGCGCTTGCCAGTCCCATCGGATACATAATCTCGTTGGCGAAAATGGTCTGGTAAAACCGGGTAATGTTCATGGGATCTTCCTCGTGGACAACTACTTCGTGTCTACCAAGCCCAAACTTGAGCCAGAACATCGTGCCAATGAACACTCCGACGATGAAGACCTGCAACATGTGTGAGCAATATTCATCACTGGAGAAAATTGGAGAATCCATGGGAGTCACGAGACCTTGATCTCGTCGACTCGTTCGCTCGAGGAATCACAAACTCACCAGGCAGTTACCGATAGCCAGTCATCCCAAGCCAGCCTCCGACCAGACTGTCTCGCCGCAGCAAGCCGCGCACACACTGAAAGAATCGAGAGGACGAAGAAGATGATATGTATTGTATACACCTCTCCCGATCGATTTTCCGCCCTAAAAGCAGCCTCCCGCTCCGGCGTCATCAGAGGCATGCCTTTGACCGCATCCAATGACCGAAAGAACGACATATCGCGATGCCGGGGGTATCGGTCGGTCGGTCGGTATAGAAAGTCACGACGCTTCCATAGGTGGCGGGGAGGAGGAGGAGAAATTTTGACAGGAAGGGCAGCAGCGGTGATGACATCGAGGGGCAGAAGCTGAGGAAGCACTAGAAAGGCTCTAGAAGGGTAAAAAGAGACATCTGATTGGGAAAGACTACGAAAATGAGGAGGGGACGAGAGATTGAACTGAACAAGCTCTGAAACGTCGTGCCGGTGGGTGATCTTTCCCAACGTGAATAGAGTTCGGCACAAGGCATTCAGGAGGGTTGCGAGACGGGAACTCAGTGTGTGCTGCCATCCCTGACAGAGTACATGATAACGCAAAGTCAAAACTGTGACCACCTTCACAACTGGAAGTCCGGTATTTGAATTAGAGGGCTACATTCCCGGTAAAAAGCACGCAGGCTTGGTGTAAACGCGTGTATGTCGCGTTATTCCACCAACTGCAATTCAGCTAGAGTAGGTGATAGATAACTGGGTAAGTTATGGCTTGACGTTGACGAGGTAGAGTTTCTGCTAAGCAGAACTTCGCTTGCGACGGCTCAAACCCCGACTCTTTCCAATGTTTAATGGCATTGGCTAGAAAGTCGGTTGTCTCCCTTCAGCCCGGAGATTCCACGTGCGACATTCCTTCCATTGCGTTTTGTCTTCTTCGGACAATAACCAAGACTCCGGGACAATTGTGTTCAGACAGCTTGATCAGCCAACACATACACGTGTTTGATAGCCGGTAGACCAGCCAGCCAGACGCGCGGAAAAGAGGAAAGAGGTGCGCTTCTATAACTTTAAAAGTCAATCAGGGATGAACATGGAGAGGTCCTACCGCTGACGTCAAACACGAAGCCGAGAACCCGAACTGACTCGCCGAGTCCGAGGCTTTACATACTTCTTTTAGTTAACAGGGCCGAAGAATGTGAAGGAGATATTTCCTCTTCTGTTTGGAGGGTGTTGTGAGATGTGAAGCTGTGTGTTGCTCAAACATACTCACGAGAACGAGTTGCTTCTGGCTGGGTGCTTGGCTGTCGCAGACATCTCTCCGGTCGACGGCTGGTATGTTTCTTACCTACTTAAGTATGATGTACATTGTTTGCGTTCCGTAATGACAGGTCGAAAGTTTTACTAAAAGATAGTCGAGTCCATGTGCAGTTGGAAGAATCCCATTTTTGATGCAACATCAGCAGGCATATTGACCAGCAAGTGAGCTTTTTTAGAGCCTGTCACAAAGCATCGACCACACTTGCCGCATTGCCATCCAGTGTCAACGATGGTTTTCGCAGAAAATCGCCAAAATCGCCTTCACTTTGGCATCTTACTCCGTCGAAGCTACTAGAAGGATCTTGCCTGGAGACACAACCGCATTTCAGCTGAGAAAAAGATGCTGCCCGCTTCCTTGCGGCCGAAACCTAGGCGTTAATACCCAGCCGTGCCGGCTTGTGCCTCAAGTGTTGTCGCCGTCGCCTAACTCCGACGCGAGCCGTGCCAAAAATTAATCCATTCCGACCGCATCGCACATCCGGGCCAATACCTAATAAACCCTGTCTACCATTAAAGGCCCCTTTTGCCTAGGCGCGGGGTAGAGACGAGACCTGACAAGAAGCTAGGCGGATGGCGCGGGGCAAGCGGCTGTATCAAGGACGGACCTCGGCTCATCCCGCACCGTGCACCGGGCCGCACATGTATTTTAGGAAACTGATGGACAAGAGTCATGACATTCTCAAGAATCTGAAGGGCAACTGAATTGAACCAAGCGCTGAGAAGAAACGATGTCTATTAAAGTCATGAATGTTTCTGTCGTTGAGCCGTACGGCAACCCTGCACCCTTTGCGGAGCCAGCGTGGTACAATACCCTGGCTTCTCCCTACTACAATGAAAGTCACCGAAGAGTGAGAGATTACGTTCGAAAGTACATCGAGGAACACATTGCGCCCCATATACAAGAATGGGAAGAAAAGGGCCATGTCCCTGATGAAGAAAGAGTCCACTTTGCCAAATCAGGTCTGGCTTTCTCAGAGCTGCCGCGTCAATATGCTAGCGACATCCCATTGCCAGGGTATGTCCCGGCTGAGAGTAAGTAGGATGCTCCAGTGTGACAAGTTGTCATCTGACATCATCTGTAGAATGGGATATCTTTCATTCTCTTGTTGTAAGCTACGAGGCTAGTAGGATCTGGGCTGCCGGAGTGTCAGTGGGGCTCAACGGCGGCACCACGATCGGTGTACCCCCCGTCATCCATCATGGCACAGAAGAACAGAAGAAATGGTGGCTGCCAGGGCTTGTCACCGGGAAGACGAGCTTTTGTCTCGGTTGCACCGAACCCACTGGTAAGTTGTCTTCAACATTTTCGTTGACTAAAGGTACTTGGATCGCGGTGATTAATGCCGTCAAGGTGGCTCCGACCTGGCGAGTCTAAAGACCATGGCGATCAAATCAGATGATGGTAAATACTACACGGTAAACGGCAATAAGGTAAGTCAAGAACCCAAGCATTCTATAGTTGAACATCGGCTTCACTTCAGGGTTCACGGCTTGAGACTAAGGAACGTTTAGAAATGGATCACTGGTGCGATACGTGCGAGCCATATGACGACTGCCGTAAGGACTGGAGGCCCTGGCATCAAGGGTATTTCAGTTCTTGTAATTCCTCTCGATCTCCCCGGTGTTTCTCGACGTAAGATCAGTAACAGTGGATGGAATGCTGGGGATAGCACGTGGGTGACGCTAGACAATGTCAAAGTACCCGTCAACCATCTCATTGGGCAAGAGAACGCAGGTTTTCAGTACATTATGACAAGTAAGTGCTCCCGCGAGATATCATCGTGAGCCTTGACTCAAATGCTGACAAAACAGACTTCAACAAGGAACGATTCATTCTTGCAGTGCTGATGAATGGCCAGGCCAGAGTGTGCTTGGAAGACGCCTGGGCATATGCCATGGACCGCCACACTTTCGGCAAGCCACTCATGTATCACCAGATCATCCGACATAAGCTCATCACGATGGCGCGCTACATCGAGTCTCACTGGGCTTGGCTTGAGCAGATTGCGTATCATGCTCATACTACCGGGTCAATGGGCACAGAACTTGCATCGAGGATTGTCATGGCCAAAATTCATGGCGGTCGCCTCCTAGAGCTCGCGAACCTTGAGGCGCAACAGATCTTCGGTGGTGCTGGATATCAGCGCGGCGGCGTTGGGGCTCGAGTCGAGCAGATAAGCAGAGATCTTCGAGTGAACATTGTCGGCGGCGGAAGTGAAGAGATCATCACAGACTTGGCTGTTCGGCAAGAGATTGATGCGGCTGTAAGCAGGGGCGCTAAGCTTTAAAGAACATTAAGGCTTGAAGCACTGTAATGAGACAAGGAACGATGACTCAAGCGACTCGGGAGAGAGTCCGAAATGTAAAGGTATCGTAATAACCGGATCGATGCTCTCAACACTTTCTTGCGGGCTTCCGTTCACAGGCGAGGAAAGAACCATGCATTTCACCCTTTCTCTGAAAAAGGTTTTCCCGTTCCTCTGATGGAGTGGAGGGGGCCTTACTGCCCTGAGCCATGGATTTGACCCCGCCTACGGCAGACTGCAAGAGGCACTCCGCCAAAACACTTTTTTCATGCATCAAAGCAGAAATCGAATTTTACAATCACCCCACCACCAATTATTAAACTTTACACTAGTGAGATAAACTATAGATAGTTATAGTTTATATTAAATTACGGCTTAAAATATATTATTAATTAAACTTATAGGACCCCGTACGGCAATATATAAAATCGTATAACTAACTAACTATTATTTGTTACGGCCAGCTAGTCGTAGGGGTAGTTTGCAGAAGTTGAGGCTGCGGAACTGGTAACAGTAATCGTAGTCGTGGAATAGTTTCAAGGAAACTATGTCTGTCAATCGTAAGGGTAGGTAAGGCTTCGGTGATCAATCGTAGTCTTGTCAAGGTAGTAGCTGAAAGCGGATGTTAATCCTGATACGAAGTTAATTGCTGAAGAAGCTATGGGAAGTCTGTCCTAGAGCCCGGCTCGAGTCCATCCTATATACAAGTCCTGATCCTGAACATATCCTTTGTTGCCTGGTCACCATGTTCGTTGGTGATCACTAAGTGGATACTGGTGAGCGCTCACTTTGGGTGATCACTGTGATCACCTGATCGTGTGCTCACTTTGGGTGATCACTGTAATCACCTTATCGTGTGCTCACTTTCCTTATCGTCACGTGACTTGTTCCATAGTTCTTCCGTTCCATGAGGAGTCACCTGAGTTCCCGGATTCTCTGCGTATATCAGGTAGATAGCCGCCGCAGGCCTGTGGGGCGGGCTGTTACGACCCAACATGAAGACCAGGGCGTGCCCCGCTGACGCCTAGCGGCTACGGCGCATCATATATGCAGGACGGGACGGAACATTGGGGAAACCCCAGGAACGGAAGAACTATGGTACAAGTCACGTGATGATAAGAGATATGATAAGGGATAAGGATATGTTGGATATGCGACATATCCAACCGAGTCAAGGATATGTTGGATATTCGACATATCCAACCGAGTCAAGGATATGTTGGATATTCGGCATATCCAACATATCCAGACAAAGTGGACTGTTCAGCACTGCTCAGTTAGGATCGGACTTGTATATAAGGATGGACTCGAGCTGGGCTCTAGGACAGACTTTCCATAGCTTCTTCAGCAATTAACTTCGTATCAGGATTAACATCCGCTTTCAGCTACTACCTTGACAAGACTACGATTGATCACCGAAGCCTTACCTACCCTTACGATTGACAGACAGCTTCCCTGAAGCTATCCCCGACTACGATTACTGTTACCAGTTCCGCAGCCTCAACTTCTGCAAACTACCCCTATGTTACGACCCGACATGCACGACCAAGTCCAGGGCCTGCCCCGCAGGACCACGGCGACTAGGGCACACCATAAGTACACGAACTATGGGAACACATGCGTCACCCTACGGAACGGAAGAACTATGGTACAAGTCACGTGATGATAAGATAAGGAAAGCCGTATGCCAAGAATACGGAGTCCGTCCCTTTGAGGTACGGACCCCGTATATTCAGAATACGGAATCCGTACGGTAAACATACGGATAAAGGATATGTTCAGAATCAAGACTTGTATATAGGATGGACTCGAGCCGGACTCTAGGACAGACTTTCCATAGCTCTTCAGCAATTACACCGTCGCAGTACTTCCCGAAGACCTTGATAGCGCCTGTACAGCTCAATGTAGGCCCGAGAGGTGTGATAACGCAACTGTACGCCCACACGAATCGCCTCCGCTAGAAAGGGGCACACCGGGCCAATTCAACCCCCTCGACGTGCCCTACCGCGCCGCAACAGTACGGGGTCTATCTACTACCCCTTTAGAGCTTTTTCAGCAGTATGTGCCTTTGAGGCTGGTTGAATCGTGGGTACAGTGGACCAATGAAGCCGCAGTACGAGGCCCTGTTCAACAACACTCACGATCCCACAGAAAAAAGACGAGGTCAGGGTGCCTGCAGTGTGGAGTAGCGCTTTGTAACTCGGATGATTGCTGGTACCTCTTTCATAGTCAGAGTATATAGACAACAGAAGTATCCATAATCTAGGCTTTTTGGTTGGCTAGAAGAAGTCTTGGCTGTCTCCTGAGTGGTCAGTTCCCCTCAAGGGCATGTACCTGTTGCCAATTGGCACTCGATGGGATATAGGTGCCATGGGGTGGCCGTAAAGGGCACGCTTGAGGAGGCAGACTTTGTCTCCTTGGCGATAGCTATGGGGCTGCTGGACGTACACCTTGGTATCGTCCGGGATAGAGGCGTGAAGAAAAGCTGTGTCGTAATCGAATAACTCTGCGATGTAGTTCTTGGTTGCAACAACAGCAAAGAAAACACGGATAGAGGTTGCATTAGCGACAGCTGCGTATAATTGTTCAGCGGACCAGTCAGATACCGCGTGGTTGCCACAGACAACCTATCGGGCACGATATCTGCCGTCAGACTTGATATCGCATATCCATTGGCCAGGAAGAACCTTTTCTCCTGTTGGAGGGTCAACGAGTTCCCAGGCTTCGGCTTGCTGTAGCGCCTTGATTTGCTTATCAAAAGCAGGTTGCCACTTGTCCCACTCAGGACCCTCTTTGGCCTGCTTGAAAGTGCGAGGTACGGTTGGACCAGCGAGTGCGGCAGCGGCGATAGCAGATAATACTGGAGGCTGGTTGTCTTCCCGCACAACTGTGTCAAGGCTGACATAGGCTTGTTGATAACCGTCAGACTTGGCATACGTGTTGCCTCGGAGAGAGCAACCGCTGAAACCGCCCCTCTTCTTGACCCAAGTGCCCTGTGAGTTTCTGACATGCTCACGTGTTGAGGCTCTGTTTGGTTGGCTTGGAGGAGGGCGAGATTGACGAGTTCGTCTAGTTGGTTGTGTTATAGGTTGGAGATCGTGATCTTCTGTGGCAACTACTATAGTTGCTTCATCTATATCCTGTTGGATAGCTTCTTCGATAGCGTCATCGAAAGATGTATCAGTATCGTGCTGTTGAACAGTTATGTTAGTGGACATCTGCTGATCAATAGGGCTGTCTGGTTCAGGGGTTGGAAGAGGGTTTTGGGCAGTTGCCTCTTCGGCAGACTTGTTGTCAGTGGTTTCGTCCTGGCGGTCAGGAGTGCTGGACGACTTCCGTGCTCCTTCATACTCAACAGATGAGGTGCTGGTGTCTGGATCAGCAAAAATGGCATCGTGATCAATGGTTGGGTCATTGTCTTCGTCCTGGTGCTTGCCCTGTTCATAGAAACGAACATCGCGGCAGCGGTATACCTTGTGGCTTTGAGGTACGTAGACGTAGAAGAGATGGCCGTGAAGTGAGTCGTATCCAACGAGATATCCCTTGATGGCTCTTGTCTCCATCTTGTTGGCGCGGGCTGGTTACAATGACCCCTTGCGGTAGAGATAGGCAACGCAGCCGAAAGTGCGGATATGGTGGATATACGGTACGTGATGGGCTTCGTCAAGATTGAGATCTTTCGCGAGCATCTCGTGGGGGCTGAGATGGCCTGGATTGGTTGCTTTGGGCAACAGGTTGGCAATCGTGATGACTGTGGTGACGGCATAGTCCCAGAGATAATCAGGAAGGTTGGCGTCAATCAGCATGGTTCGGGCCGCCTCTGCAAAAGTCCGGCCAGCTCGCTCTGCCTTTCCATTCATGCTTGGGGTGTCAGCAACAGTCAATTTGACTTTAATGCCTCGTTTGGTGTACAGCTCCTGCGAAAGAGCATTGAAAAGCTCGGTGCCGTTGTCTATTTGAAACGCCTTAATCGAAAGGTTAGTCTGGTTTTCGAAGAAGTTGATGAATTCTTCGATACGATCAAGCACTTCGTCAGCACGCTTGCTCTTGAGCAAGTATCGCCACTGGAAGCCTGTACGCGCGTCGATCATGTGAATTAGATAACGTGACTTTGTATAGGACAAGGGTTCGAATTGTACCAAGTCCATGTGAATGAGATGACCGGGCTGGGCCTCTCGAATGGGGGTTTCTCTGCTGATGAGTTGTTGAGATTTGCCTAGGTGGCAAGCCTCGCAGTGAAAGGTGTCAATTTCTTGTTGAGGAAAAGTTATGCCCACACGACGGCAGGCTTCAACGACCCTGCTCTTGCCCGCGTAGCAAAGTCGCTTGTGCATAAGGTCAAATGTGACTTTGTTATTATTCTTGCTTACCATAGCAAGGTTAAGGGCCGTGTTAATTTTCGGGCCTTCGTAGTTGTTGGTGACGATAACGGCAATATTGTTATGCTAATCGAGTTTGGCGATCGCGACGTTGTTTCTAATGTGGATAGTGTCGTTGCTGACCTTGTAGCCCTGCTGACGGAGTGTGCCTTGACTCAGCAGGTTGACTGGGCAGTCAGGGCAGTACTGTACATCCTCAATTGACCAGTCGACCACCTTGTTGCTGTCACCTGGATCAACGGCAGTGAAGTAAACCGTGCCGTAACCAGCTGGCGATGCGTACTGACCGTTGGCGACTTCCATGGGTGGCAGTAATTATTGCCTCGGTGAAGGAGGTGAACCAACTGAGGTTGTTGAAAGTGGTTCGCGAGCACCCGGAATCCAGGATGATGTCGTTGTGGTTAATTCTGCCCGTTGATATCGAAGTTGAGTACGATAAGACTGTATGTCCTATTGTGTTCTGGTGGAGAACGTTCGGCGTAGCCTTGACCGCGACTGCCTTACCCTCCTAGCATTCGGAGGTGCAAGTATGAGCAGCAGCTTTCTTAAGTAGGTTCTTACGGTACTTATGGTTGGATAGGATGAGGTCGGGATGGGCGACCTAGCAAGAGGTAGTCGCATGTTTCTTGCCGCAGTGTTGGCAATCAGGACCATTATAGTTGTTGTTAGGTTGCTGATTGTTGTTTGAGGTGTTACTGGAGGCCTTGTTATTGCCGTTGCTGTTGTTTCTAACGGCGACGTAGCCCTTCGCGGCATTGAGTGAAGTAGTCCTTTCGGCATTGGCCTTGAATGTGAGATCGCGTGTGAGATCTTCAAGAGTCTTGGTGTTGTCCTTGACGTACTTATCGTAAAGTGCTGGATATTCTTGTTGGCATCCGTTGAGTAGGATAAACATGGCTTTCTTGTGCTAAAAGGGGACCAGCTCTCGAACGAGCTCGGCGACGGCATCCTCTGAAATCTTGGGGATGATGGTCTTCAACTTGTTCATAAGAATGAAGGGGTTGCGGTCAGCCGTCTTGATGTTGTATCCATCAGCGAGGAGACGATCGAGGACTTTGCTAATTGATGCGATGATGATGCCGTACGTTTCAATACGCTGGCTCTTCCAAGTGGTGAAGGCCACAGCCTGCGCTGGAGTGATAGGATTATCGCGATGGGGTTGAGATACGTCTTCATCAACGTACTTCTCGTAATCGAGAGTCTCAAGGGTGAGATGCAGTACTGCGTACCATTGGTCCCAATTTTCTTCTCCCTTGAGGTCGGGCACCTCCCAGCGGGCGCGGTTGCCAGCCATGATGACGATGGAGGTGAAAGATTCGTGATAGTGTGTGTATATGTGTAGACGGCCTGTACGGTCGCGTCTGTTATTTTTTTTTTTTTTTTTTTTTGAGGAATCTGTACCTCTGCCGTTGCCAGTCGCGACGCCGCGATCTCTGGTCGACAGATTAGTAACTGCTCAATTGAACGGGCTCTACGCAGAGCTGGGCGATCAATTCATATGGGGTAAAAAGAAAAAGAGTCAACGCTGGGCTCTCATAACCTGTGGAGGCAATACTACTGTATTGGATCTGATGATGATGATGGGAAAAGCTGAGCGCTGGCTGGGCTGGATATCTGGGCAAGGTGTAGGTGGGGCAGCTCCGAGATGTGAAGGAGCTGCCTCACGTGACCCACCTGCACCTGCCACAGAAGGTATCTTCACCTTGTACCTATTGTGGTAGTAGGAAGGTTTTCAAGGAGATATCTGGGAATACCATCACTCGGCAACGACGGCAGACAACTCGAAAGGTTTGCTTAGATTGTAATGTACCATTATGTATTAATAAAGATTGCTGGTACCTCTGGCATACCCAAAATCTGTAGGAAACAGAGGTACTACAGCCCTATTGGTTAACTTTATAGATTTGCAAGCCCTTATTGGCTCTACCCCGCCCTTGGCGAAAGTGCTGTCCATCCGCACCCGATGGGATATGACGGTTAGTCAGGGTGGCCAGCGGAATATGCATATGTGAGTGAGCAGAAAAGAGCGTCTATTCGTACTAAAGAGTGGATTGAATCACCACAGGCTTGTGGGCCTAATGCTATCCTAATAAGTCTTGCAGAGCTAGGACCAGGTGGAAATGACAGTCTGGCCTTTTTCGTGATGGTCAGACCATTCCGAATGGGTTATGTCCATGACTCGCGTAGAAGCATGCATGGATTCTGTCAGGATACAAGTCCGATCCTGACTGAACAGTGCTGAACAGTCCCTTTGTCTGGATATGTTGGATAGCTCATATCTTGATTATCCAAGGATCGCTTGGATAGGTTCATATCCAACATATCCTTATCGTTATCTCTTATCCTTATCGTCACGTGACTTGTACCATAGTTCTTCCGTTCCTGGGGTTTCCCCAATGTTCCGTCCCGTCCTGCATATATGATGCGCCGTAGCCGCCAGGCGTCAGCGTGGCACGCCCTGGTCTCATGTTGGGTCGTAACACCGGGCACTGTCCCTTGCCATCTGCAACTTCTCTTTCTTTTCTTTTCTACGCAAACGGCAAACGGAAGTTAAGTGAGCTCTTTGAAAAAACATTACGCACAAGCGTGGCCTGCTTTTTCTCTTCTGTTCACTCGGCCATCGTACAATTTCTCCCGCACTAGACAACCGACTCAGATTATTGATCTCGTCTACAAAATGGAGCGAGCGGTGAGGGATTTCAAAACCCTCGGTCGGTCCAAGACAACGCCGTCAGGTCTTGACAACAAATGGGTCTTCGGCATCCGACACGTCGACCTCAATCCACCTGGAGATCTGTTGCTCGCCGTGCACCCAGTTAGCAGGTTCGTGTTGCAGGGCGGCCCGGCTCAGATCCTCTCGCAGCCTACCGAGCGTGATAGGGCCAGGGCGGCTGTGATTCCCCTTCTTCAAGCCTTTTCCAAAGGCAGTCCAGGCGCTGAACATGCCGCATTTGCACCTTGGAGCTGGTCAACGGACAGTTCCGAGCTCGCTGCCGCTATTGGGCCGGAGCTGGCTGCTGCAGGGATCTCGGGTGGTCTTGAGTATGTGACCGTTTGCTCTGCCCAGGAAAAGGAGATCCTCGGAGAAACATGGTCGAATGTCAGGAACCATCTGATGAAGTTGATGGGTGGTGGCAGGCCCGGAGCGGATACCGCAGCCTCGTCTGCTGTGTCACCTGGCGATTCATCCAAGTGCCACGGTTGCAGTCTCTCCTCCGAAAACTTCTCTTCGCCGATGAAGAAGTGCTCCGCGTGTCTGAAGGCGTGGTATCATTCCCAAGACTGCCAGCGCTCGCATTGGAAGGAGCACAAGCCGACATGTGTCGCCAACCGCCCGAAGACGCAGGCGCCCGAAGATCCATCGGCGACTCCATCATCCGAAGTAGCGTACAACTATTATAACAATGTGGCGCGAAAGTCCCCGGAGGGACAGGCGTTGATGCGCTCCCTTCATCTCGATCCTATCTCAACTCACAAAGGATTGTCGCTGCCACTTCGACGTCTCGTCATCACCGGCAAGGACACGCCGGAAAACATGCAAGTTCTCTTTGGGCCGACGTTTCTTAGCCAGAAGAATGAGCATGAGAGAATTCGGCTTGAGATTCTCTTGGACGCCCCTCGCGGCTCCCCAGTGCACAAAATGGCAGAGTTTGATGATGCCGGGGTCGACCGCCTCACTCGTGCAGTCCGACCGCCGAGCCAGACTGAACAGGAGACAATGAAGGAAGTGCGAGAGATTCAGAAGAAAGTCCAGCGGAAGATTGGAGTTGGAAATTCGCCTGATTCGGGCGTCATGCGAGAAATCCTGATGACGATGGGGCCGAATTGGCCGGAGAAGATGCACCTGTACACGCTTGCAATCAACACCATGGACCAAGGGGTCGACCGCTAAAGATGAAGCTGAAGCTGAAGGGTAGTCAACACATCTTTGTCGGTCTGAGTGAACTTTGGAGCCCGAGTCAAGGAGAAAGCTATGGAAGACTATGGGGGTTTGAGGAAATACGTGTTTAGCTTGCGGTGGAAGCAAGGGCGTTCGTTGTCTAGAGCTTGACCGTGGGGAAGGAAATTGTTCAGCTAGAGGGGACAGTATTGAGCGGCAAAAGTTACGTGAACTGGAACGATTGCGACTGTTCTGCTTTGGCAGTGATGACCAATGTGAAGAGGTACAAATATGCTGAATAAAAGTAGAACGAACTAACTTGAGGGTATGTACAAGAAACTACCTGCTGTCCTTGGCTCATCTGTCTCTCACTGCTCAGTGACGGACAACGCGGTTGCGGACATGATAGTCCAAGCCATGCCTCTTCTTCCCAGTGGCAACGACTCCCTTTTCAAGCACATCTAGTAGGCCATCGATCCCGCGCTTGGCAGAACCTCCAGATAATGTAACGCCCCCATCAGTCAGGGCCTTCCTGACGTCTGCAACAGTAGCCTTTGAGGTTGAAGCTGGCGCCTCAATCTCATCAAAGCTTTTTTCTCTAGTTAGCCTTGCTAGATTCAGGGAACGAACACCGATGCTGGTTTACTCACTAATAGACAGCGTAGGGACCTGGCTTGCCCGCCGCCTTGGCGGCCTCTCCACCGTTCAATTCTTGCTTGCCGATGAGCTTGAATTTGCCCGAAATTCCTTGCACAAAGGAGGTCTCGCGGTATTCTGAGTTGGCAACAGCCTCGATATACCGACCGGACTTGGAGTTGATCATGAAGAGGTAGTCCTTTGTGGTTGTGAACATGCCGTCGCCGAGGTTGAGGGTCGTCGCCATGACTTTGCGAACTTGGCCCGTGCCGCCTGAGGGCGTGTTCACATTGAGAACGAGGTCTGGCGTTTGGTTAGTGAGTAAATCACGATGCAAGTTTCGTAAGGTATCAGCATGACTGACCTTGAACCTCGTAGATGCCTGCCTTGCCCTTGCTAATCACACCAGACTCAAGCTTGTTGAGCATATTAACTGTCGCAGCATCAAGATCAGTCGAGCGGACCACCAAGCCGGTAGCAGAAGGCAACTTTGTCAAGGCGTTGTTGAACTCGGGATTAATCATGTACCACTGAATCCACGTCTTGAGAGCCCACTTCTCCTGATCACTCAAACCGTAGGCCTTGGACGTGGCAGTAGCGATCTTGCCCCAGTCGGCGGTGTTCTTCCTCGCCTCAAGGAGTACCGTGCTGATCTCGTCGACGTTTGCGGAGACGGACTGCGCCTTTGTGTACCAGTTGGCAAAGCCCTCACTCATTGTGGTGATGATTGTCTTCTCTTCGGCGGAGAGGGCTGCTGTCTTGGATAGGGTAGCAACGACACGGTTGGCTAAGGGGATGGCTTCGGACGTGCCGAGGCTGGTTGCCAGGCCGGTCTGGTCGTTCCAGACGGGCTCGGGGGCTTCTATGGTTTGGGGACTCAGGAAGCAACAGAACTTGCGAAGAATGCCCTTTTGACGGCGGACCTTGACACCGCCGCCCTCGATGCAGATTTTGCAGTTGTCGAATCCTGGTTGAAGTCAGCCTGGGAACCGGATGCACCGAGATTTCAAGCTGGGCGTTGCTGGGACTCACCTCCTTCCTCGATAGATTTCTCCATGGCAGCAACATCGCTATCGGTGTACAAAAGCTTCGGCTTCCCATCACCAGTATCACGGAAGATTTGAACTGTATTCTCACCCTCTTTGGCTTCCAGCATAAGCCCCTTGCCTTCGCCAACGGTTGCGGCAGTCTTGCCGAACTTGGCCAGTACGGCATCAACAGCCCCAACGGCCTTTGCTGCCGTTGCGACATCCTTGGCCAGACTTAAAAGTCCCACAACATCGGCGAAGATGCTGCCTGCCTTTTCGATGTCGTTGTCGTATGTGAGTTCGTGGATGCTCTATGAGTTTTGTCAGCGAATTCCACTCGGCAGTGCCTCCCTCCCTGACTCTGCTTACATCGAATGCTCTGAATGCATCTCTGCAACCTTCTCGAATGGTTTTCCCAACGCTTGCCTCAAAGATGCTGGTGAGATGGCTCATGCCCATGCATGTGATCTTGAGCTCTTGGACGTGCGGTGTGGCCAGAAACTTGAAGGCACCGATAGCTGAGTTGATAACATTTTTCATGACACCTGGGTTGAGCTTCGTATTAGTTGACGGGCCTCTCTTGACTCTGGAGTTCCTCCAAACTTACCCATCCAGAATTGGTCCTCGAGAGGGATATTCGACTCGGGATTCCCAAACAGAGGATCGTTGGAAGTCTGACGCTTCGACGTCGCGCTACCGCCCCCACCACCAACACCGCCAACATACTTGATCCCAGCAAACAGGTTAGAAGCGCAAGCGGCTCCGGAGGGATTGGCAACGCAAGGTCCCTGGCTGATCTTCCTCACACAAATCTCAAGCGTATCCGACGCGTTGGCCCCAGTGCGAACTTCAGGAAGGTCCAGACAAAAGGCAGGCCACAAGTGAAGGATACAAGTCTTGTTGGAAGGGTTGGAACCGCAGCCACTGGGAATAGTCGCAAAGGATCGCGCGACGATGCAGTCGGTCGAGCCCATGCTTTCCAGCATGGATGTTGACGTGTTGCCTTGGTCGGCGAATCTGCACTGAGGAATGTCGCCTTCGGATGCTGGGGGGGTGGTACCGAAGGAGGTGGATGTGAGGTTTGTCAGCTGTGCTTGAGGGTAGTACATAGTCCCCATGGCGGGAGGTATGACGAGCTTTCCGGTGTCATTGGCGTACGCGCAGAACTGGGTCTGGCTGGCCGAAGGAAAGGTGAGGGCGTCGCCAGCTGTGGCGGGCCTATCGAGGGCTCCTAGTGTTGCGGAGAAGATGAAGAACGGCTGCTTGTCACCGGGGATCCCGACCTGACGAAAGACATGATTAGGTGCTTGGAACTTTGGTGTAAGTGGTGTCTTTGGCTTACATAGAATGTCTGGTTCTTGGCTAGATCGCAGGCCGCGACCTTTACAGTGCCGCTGGAGATGTCCCAGCAGCCACCACCGGAGCCGCCTCCGGCAACTCTGATCCCCGAAGGATCGGTGAAAGATTTACTATCAGACAAAATTCCGTTCGTCAAGTAAAATGTGGTGGCTAGGTCGGCGGCAGTGCCTCCCGCCATCACCGTGTCAGTACTAGACTGAACTGGTGTGAACGTCTTGGCGTCGCCTGTTGCGTCTTGGAAGCTTGCGGCGCATGATGGTGTATTTTCGGCTGTAGCAAAGAACTTCAGGGGCATTCCGAGACTCTATATTACAGAATGGCTTTTGTCAGTTTCGTTGTACTTGGAATATTGGGAAGTTGGTGTCCCAGAAGGAGGCTAACCCATTCAACCGTGTTGTCCGTCTGACCATTAGCTCCTACTACTAGTGTAGCAATGGCAGTCATGAGACCCCCAAGGGCATCTCGGGATTTCACCATGGTCACGGCCGAGAATTGCTGAAAGGAGGAATATAAAAGCTCTAAATGAGTGAATAGTGGCAAATTCAAATGAGTGACTAAAAGAAGGAACGGCCGGAGCTGACCAAGCTAATCAGATCCTATCACAAAGCGAGGTAGCAAGTGGAAGACTTGTATGGTAGAGAGTGGCTTGATTCCTCTAAGTGGAAGACCCGTATGAGGGTCCTATCTATATACCGTACAAGACGGGTAATCGGCTTGTGGAAAGCGGTATCGTACGGCAGTAACCGGCAGCTCCACGTGTGGCGCTGCGACAGATCCCCATCGCCTCGTAGGGCAGCTGGCCTTCATTTTTTCGTCCGAACATGTCAACAGAAGACTTTCCACTAAGACGAACTGTACTAGTAACAATTTACAAGCTCGGTCTGCCCGCCGTACCTGACGCAAGAGACGTGGTCAAGTTGCAACATGGGGTTTTTAGCTATACGGCGAATAAAGTTGCGATGGTTCGCCTACATCGTCATGCATTCACCTCTTTCATCTTTCCCCCTTGACTCAATACAAGGAAACCCTTTACTGTAACGCGAAGAATCGGCTGTGCAGGCCTAGAATCATGATATATTGTCCGAGCTTGATATCCTTCTCACCTGTTCGCTTGTCATGGTTTCATCAGTGAGCCTTGTGGGGCCAGCACATCCGATCGGCTGCGTTCTTTCGCTAGGGTAGTGATAGAGTTTAAGCCAGCTTCATCAAATTGACGCTCGGATCTATTTAAAGACCACTGGCCACCCGCATGGTATTTCCTCTCCTGACGAAAAAGAATCCTCCGCAACCTTATTAGAAGTCATCTCTATACAGCTCGACGTTTGCTTCACGGGTATCCGCGATACCTGTTGCTACATACTTAGGTACCACGCGAACGCAACCAACTCTGCAGAGCGCACGTTTATCTTAGTATTGAAAAAAACAGCTTGTTTTCTACTCCATAGGGACCTGTGAGAAACTTGGTGAAGTAGCAAGTTTAAAAAGGCCAAATCAACCATCAGATGTGGTAAGTATGTCGTGATGTCCAATCGTTCAATACGAGACGAACATTAGGCTTGGGACTTCCGCGTTGAAGTCTTGACGACATTTAACTGAGCTCTTCGGCCCATTTGCTCTCCCTGCGGGTCATCCAATCAACACGGCAGGGAAATGCCGCCTGGTGCGCGGGACGCCGACAGTCAGCGGGATGCTCACCAGAAACCCGAGTATTCCGACAGTCTCGTACGAGGTCTAGCCAAGAGTCTTAACACACGATTGAATGAGTCATGCTATGCCCTTGACCAGTTCTTCAGTTTTGGGCCTCGAGGCGCAGTTCTTGAGATGCCAAGCCTGGCTTCACAAGGTGAAACATCTTAAGAATAATCGTTGGTAATAACAAATGCCCTCACCCACTCTTCTGTGATTCGTCGAAGGTCAGAAGGTCCCACGGAAGATTGAGACTTTCTTATATGAGAGCTGGGCAGCCTAGACCCAATTCTAAGAATGGGCTGCGAAATTTTGGCCCCGGGTAACTGGCAATTAAATAGACGAGCATAAATCCGACTTAAGCAAGCTTTCAAAGACGCCATAGAGGTTTGACTTGATTGTTTGTTTCCTGGGATCAGTGGCTCTTTTCTCGCTGGAAATTCTCCTTTATTCTGCATACGCGAGTTTATCACACGCCACTGCTAGGGACAGTCTATGATGATCATGGATGGTTCGGACATGGCGACAGCTGGGTAGAATATCCATAACGTCTGCTCAAATGTAATAACGCATGAGGGAAATCGGATGTTCAGGTTGTAGTGACTTCTTAGTGTACTTTATGACATAGAGACCGTTTTAACATGAAATGAGGTCTTGACTCGGCGGTACTTGTGAGCGAACGAGGGCTGAAGGTGGAACTGCCGGCCTGATATCTCTCAATTTCGAGCCCTAAATTGCGAAAAGATGGCCAAGTGTCAAACCTCTTGTGATGCGACCATCCTGCGCAGAGTGAAGACTAATACTTGTGGCAGACGGTGCTATGTTGCACTACACATGCTATCATTGCCGATTAAAATTGATGATTCATCCATCCGCTGCATTACGCCTGGATTCATCCAGACTGACTTAGAATCCTCTAGGCCAAGACGTCGTAGCTCACGTGAAGCAGTAGTCGATGTCGGGGCCTTTAGGCCTATACTATGACCTTCTCAGCGTCCCATCCTAAATCCTTGACTAGTTCGAGAACTTGCTCTGCTCTTGGCCCATGGTTTGCGAGGTAAAGTTCGCTGAAAGCGTACTTCAGAGACGTGAAGTCTCGGTCGTATTCTTCGGAATCCATGCTGTAATTCTCCAGTGACGACTAACTCTTGGACCTGTGTTCGCGACAGTCAGAAATTCTTCTCGCACATTCCGACAATTGAGCATCTGCGAAAGTTAAGGAAAATGTTCCCAGGGGTTGATGCACGGTGGTCTCAGACCTTATGTGTTCTATTCTTAACGTCGCTGGTGTAGAATCGTGTACGATCGACCAAAAACTCCTCCTTCAGTTCTATCGGCAAAAAAAACAAAAGGAAAAAAATAAACACAAAAGCGTGGTAGGTTGTGGCGTTTGAGTTGCCGGCATATGCAGGAGGCCGTCCAGATTCCCCCCTCTCAGCATCCAGACTATGATGCAACAACACCTGGACACCCATTTGCATGCAAGGCCCCTTCAACGTGGACCAACAACCAGTGTGAGATGAAACAAGGCGGACAAGACAAGCGGTGTAGTATATGCACAGCAAGATCGGGAGAAAGCAGCCTGGCAGCGAGAAGCTCTCCGAATTGTTCCCGATTACCTTTACTCAAACCTTCTTAATCCGATCACAATTAGCAGTAGTTGTAATTGGCGGATGCATGTTACTGTCACACGACGCATAAAGTATATTAGACCCGTGTTTTTGGAGGACGGAGAGGCCTTGAAATCAAATGTAGCATTCAGCTTCCACAGCGCATATAAGGACTAGCACTAGCCATCGTCCACGCTGCACAGGGACATCGGTGATCCGACGCATAGATTTTCCTCCTTCCTTGAACACGACTCTTTCAACAGCTACATCTTCTGATAGCTTTGACTCTGGGAATCACTGGCAACCTACAGAAACGATTCGTGCAAGATGCCGTACTTCTTCACCAGCTGAACCCGGTGAGGGGTAGTCCGACGGCTTACGGTCTCGACCGCCATCCCCATGACACGGATGTGTCCCGAGAAGTGTTCCTCAAACGGAAGTTCCTCGATTCCTTTGCTCTACTGGCTTCAACGCACAAAGATGGCGACAGAGTATCGGCAGCGACCTTAGAGGTAGGAGCGCCTGAAGGCTCAGTTGTTCGCATTGCCAGTAATGCTGGTGTATGTGCGTCGACGCTTGTCCTGCTCCGGGACGTGATGGAAGACCTTCACAATGTGTCTGTCATGGGTAATACAAACTCTGAAAATTTCTTAGAAGACACACGCTGATCTCATGGCTAGGCCTCACAGATGAGCGGAGGATGAGTGTTCTGTTGAAGATAATCAGTCTCGATTCGCCTAAGATACGTCATTATTTTGCGGAACTACGGAAACATCGATCCAGTATCTTGAGGACTGAGCAATTCTTGCCGCAACTTTCTTCCACATTCAATACCAACGAAATCGAGAAATTCTTTACGTGGATGGGAAACCTCAGTGCAATCACAACTGTCACAGCGGAAGCGTCTCCATCAGAGCTATTGCCTTACATTCTGTGCGCAGAGAAGGCCAAATGGGAATTTTCCGCCTACCTTGAGGCTCTTTTCTCTGCTCAGGGTACTGACCTGCCTGGTTGGATATACAGCATTTACAAGCTGGGAAGTTATGCGGTCGCATCAAGAGCTTTGTGTTAGCTTCCGGCAGAATACCGCGAATTGTTTTGTCCGATGCGAATAGAAGCCGTCGAACCTTTTGAAAGGCATGATTTTGTCATGGAAGAAAACGAATTTCCTTTGAGGGATACCCTTCGGAGATTTGCTGGAGGCCAAGAAGATGAGTTCGCGAGGAGATTGGCTACGATCTGGGGTGTGGCAAATCCCGAGTCGCGCTTCCGGAAAGCTTGCCATCTCCAACTTGCTGTTCATGCCGAGTTGCAGCTTATCGCATTCTACGACCAAAATCCCGAGCTTATGCCGCCGTTTAGATTCATGGGGGTTAGCAAGAAAAGCTGCTTCTTGTGTCAGAGATTCCTCCAGAGCCGCCCGACGTCCTTTTCTGTATCTTCATGCCACCAGAAGCTGTACTTGGCGTGGAGATCCCCACCGACATCGAACCAAAAGGGTTACCAGACATACAAATCAGTCATCAAAAGCATGTGTATTTCAATGGAATCAGTAGCCCGGCAAGAACTATCTCCCAAAGCAAGCAGGGCGTAGCGATCCGAAGAGACAACCTCATTACCTTCACAGGTTTTCAGGGAAAAAGACCACAATTTAGACTTCGTCCTTAACATCGGGCGTGCTGACGACCCTCAAAGGCGGGATCTTGTGGCCTCCGAAGACATTCTGGATACGTCACAGAAGCCTTCATGGCGGAAGCTGGTTGAAATTCTGAGCGATACTGAACATTTTGGGGTGCACTTTGTCGAAGAAGAAGAGTTTTTGGTGATTGATGAAAACCTGTGGGTCAGAAATGAGCGACAGTTCCATGCTTGTCTGCAGTTCTTACGCAACTCTGGGTGTCAGAACGTGGGTATAGAGGTTAGGACGTATGCATCGTTGAGCTTGAAGACCTCTTAGTCATGGCGGTTCGTTCGAATGATCCGTTCGAATGATCTTTGGGAGTCCCAACTCAGGATTTTGATGCTTTTAATTGAGACCTTCCAGGTCATACTGAAATCTCAGTCCGGAATTTGTCTTGGGCCCTGGAGACACATATTATTCTATATAGCTTCATCCATCCTGACTTCAAGGAGAATACAAGGGTTTCAAATATACATGCCTTATACCAAGAACTATTCCAGACTTTTAACTACTACCTTAAGTAGTAGGTCCTGAGGCAAAGTAGGTATTTAAGAGGCCGGTAGCCCAAAGGCCTAAGAACTCGAATTTCTGTACAACAGAAATAAAATATATTAAGATGTTACGGGTAAGTACTACCTTCAAATGAAACAGAAGCTTATGTCCTCTAGCTGAAGCAGGTATGTGGCAGCTGTCGTCGAAGGGACGTACATGTACCTTCTAGCAGCATTGATCTTAAATTATCCCATAAATAATCATCTACCGCACTCAAACATGACCATCGGCGGTGTAAGGTTTTCCAAGCAACTTTACTCAAGATGAAGTGTCAAAGGCTACTGGTCTCGTCCCGGCATACCTGCACTCTTAGCTCAAGTACAGGTTCCGAGCTTGCCGGCCGATTGGGAATCCACTCTTCGGCGCGGAGATCCACTCATTCCCGGGATGTCGGATTCGGGTTTCGGAGGTGCGCTGGGGAAAGACACCGCATCACAAGTTACCCGAACCAGCATCTGACGCTCAAGCAAAGATTTGACGCCGAAAGATACCAGCAGGAATGATCCGATAAGTCGTCTCTGCAAAATGCTTCCACATCTAGGAGATTATAGCATCTGTTGTCGTTAAACTTGCTGTTTGCGGAGCTGTTGAGTCCGCACGATAACGGCGGGAGGACCATTCGAGAGAGTCATGTCAATCTAACTCGATTCGGGAAAGCTCCTGGAGTCATTCGATAGATCTCTGGCATCAGGTTTACCGTTCTGGATGCACACATTACCGCAACAGCTACGTTCCTCTGGGCATCTGCCGAGAATTACGAAATTTGTATCTTAGATCAAAGCTTGGTATCTCGAGTGCATCAATTGACTAAACTATGGCTAGCAAACCGGTGCCCGGATGGCAGCCAACGTACTCAAACAATTGTTGCTCGGGCTTGAGTACTAGCACCTCGTGGAAGAGGCGAAGCGAGACGTTATTCTCCAACTTCTTGGCATATTGCAAGAAGCCTCCAAAGATTTCCAGATGTGTTGAGTGTTGCTTGGCCCACCCTTCCAGCGAGCCTAGCTCATCGACTAACGCCAGTCCAAAGGTGCGATCCTTATCGGCCTTGCCCGTTACGGGATCAATCAGATCCATAAATCGGCAGCTGTGACAACCAACTTCCTCTCCTTGATCGCGCAAGAAGTTCATTCCCTTGATCAGGACAGGGTGCATAGTGTTGAGATAGAGCTGTCGCTCCTCGGGCAAAGTGTCGGACCAGTCTTGGCCGGAGCGAATGATGGCCAAGTTGTGCTTGCCACCGACTTTGACTCTGCGAGGTGATTTTGTTGCGTCTCCGTTGGTTTCCGTGCCGTTGGTATGGGAGGTCGTCGTCGGCCGATCAACCTTTTCTCCGGCCAGCTCGTCATCTTGGGCGGCAGCCATGCGATCACGCATGCTACCCCAGTACACATGCTCCTGGATCGGGCCCCTAACGCATTCCCTCATATGTGCTGCACCCTCGGGCACTTCGTTGTTGGAAAACACAGTTTCGAACCGGTCAATCGTCGGGAAAAAGATCTCGAGGAACCATCCGTGGCTTTGTGACTCGACGTCCAGGTCATCCCACCATTGTTGGAACCCTGAGTCGACAGCCCATTTCTCGTAGGCTGTCTTGCTCGGCCAGTAAGCTAGGTGGGCAATGTTGTAGTAGCCCTTGTTGTCGGTGACGGACGCCCACTCGGCGAACTGAGGGCGGGCATCGGCGTCGACGGCCTTAGAGGTGGTGAATTTCGTTAGCTGCGTGACGGCGGCGCCATCTGCCTTGGATGCAGAGGTGTACTGAGCCCCGATGACTGCAAAGACGAGATCTTTGGTGTCCTTGGGGAAGCTGGCACTATAAGCTGGGAAATGAGGTTGAAAGCCGGGTGGTGTCTTGGCAGCTATCTTTCGGGGGCACTGCTGGAGGTGCTCTGGGATTGCGGAGACAAGCATCTTGTGTAATACGGGTGATGGGATTGGTGACAAGGGGGGATAGCGAGCAGCCGTACGAAGAGAGGAAGTCGGGGGACTATGTGTTGGTATCCCTATCACAGGGAAGTTGGTTCGAACCGTAGGGTCCTGGGGGTGACGAAGTATCAATATCTCTGTATTGATTGATTCTGCGTAAGGAGTAAAAGGGAGATTCCAACCGGAGGTTGGGTGGGTAGTCGAGGTCTAATCGTACTCCCTCGAGGTGGCCCATGCTCTGCCCTTACTCGCGGCCGAATTGGGCTTCCAATCCGACACTATGCTTTTAAGCCACATCAAGGGGATAGGAACCTGACTGACACCACGAAGCGGAGGAACAAGGCCATATCTTGGGAAGATGGTCTAGGGTCAAGCCAAAATGCCATGCTGATATGCAAGTACAGGGATGCTTGACAAGAAGCAATGGGCAGATGTCGTTTCCCAAACGGTCAAGTCCTTGGAATCGATGGGGTCTGTCCCTACAACCTTAGTTGCGGCTCCGAATCCCAACCTGGAGTAGTGTCGAGCCGTGGTTGCATCATGAGTCGAAATATCATGTCGGAAGATCCGAATTGCTACCTTCACTATTCCAAGTCGCCTCTGCCTTGTTTGCCGTCAATCCAGTCCCGAATGACTCTATCTCACATGGCTATCAATCCAATGTCTCGCGTCCACGAGGACGGTAGTGAGCTAAGAAAGAGGCGGTTGACTTCCCCGGGCACTGACTTTACGCTAAATAGATGGCGCACCGAGACGTCTTCGCACCAGGAAATAACAAAGAGACATTCTGCAGCGGAACGACAAACGCATGATAGATATGACTGCGCGTCACGTCTTGGGCAGCACTCGGAAAGGTCCCTCTCGCAGGGGTCGCAAAATATTGACATCCCGACTAACGTTCCACCAAAACCGCAAACCCCACCGGCGGTGGGCAGAAGGACGGCCTTCCCAGGCTTCCCAGCCAGCTGCAGCCTCAGAATTGCAAAGACAGGCGCATATCTATATCGCGAGCCCCGACACTAGTCCCCCAAAGACGTCTTTCACGATTCAGGTACGGATGGGGATTCTGTTCGAAAGGCCCCTTTTTCCCACGGCAGGATGTCGGAATGCAACTCAAGGTGTCAACATGGCACCACAAGGTCCTAGTTGACCCCCTGGTTCTATAGTGTTTTCTGCTTCCAAGATCCCAGAACTGGCAGACACGCGCCTAGGGCGTGACTGAATTTGGACAGCGGGAATTTTGTATAATTCATGCCTGGCCCCAGCAAAAGCTTTTTGCTTCCTGGCTTGAAAAGGGAGGCCACATTACATTGCAGAGGTGAGGGGCGAAACTTGCGGATGAGAGACCACCGCAATTGCATAGCCCGCATCTTCCCACCCAGGCACTCCCCCACCACCAGCACCGGCACACACCATGGCGACGCCGTTCCAAGTTGAGGCCTGGACCGAGTATGCCATCGGGCTGCTCGTGCTCCTGGTACGCATCGTCTATCGGACGAGACTTGTTGGGACCAACTGGGAAGGAGATGATTATTTCGCGGCCATCGCGGTGTTGTTCTGGACGGTAAGGATGTACCGCCCAGCGCACGACCGCTTCAAAAATAGAATTTGGAGCTGACCCTTGGTTTCTAGGGCGAGTTGTTGATGCTTGAGATGATCGGTGAGGATTCCATTGACAAGCCCCCTTACTTCATGAGATCGGATCGAAGTCTAACTTTCTTTCTCTCCGCTTCAGGTCGATATGGTAGCATCACCGGAATGAGCGACGCGATTGCTCTGACGCTTTCGGACCAACAGAAACAGTCAATTGTCATTGGGAGCAAATGCCTTCTGGCAGGATGGGTTCTCTACGTTACCCTCATCTGGTGCTTGAAAGCATGCATGCTGTTCCTGTACATAAGACTCACGTATGATCGATTGCCTCGTCCTCACATTCTGCGAAGTTCGGCTAACGTGGTGGTTCGATGGGGTATAGGCTCAACCTGCAACAGCAAAAGATGGTGAAGATAACTGCTGGAGCGTGTGTCTTGTGTAACGTTGCCACAGTCCTTGTCATCATGACAAAGTGTATGCCAGTACACAGGAACTGGCAGATTTACCCATACCCCGGTGGTTAGTTTCTTTCTTGACCCGATTTTGATGGACCTTCAAGTTGACCTGGATACAGACGCATGTGCGCTGAACATTCCCAATTACATTGCACTGGCAATTACCAATGTCGCGTACGTCTCCCCAGTGGACACATTGAGACCCTATGACTCTGTGTTATCGTGGGAAGACTTCTGACTTTGAGACAGAACCGACATGATGATTCTGTACATCCCAATACCGTTGCTATGGTCGGTTCAGATGCCAATGGCCAAGTAAGTCAGCTCGGCGGTGAACTGGGCTTTGGAGTAGTTACTGATGATGGACAGGAAAATCATCTGCTCTCTGTGGCTTTGCACAGGTATCTTCATCATCATTGCTACCCTTCTCAGGTGCATCCTCTGCCTGCAGGATGCAAAGTCGATCAATCTGGGCATCATTTGGTCAATCAGAGAAACAGTAAGACCCACGCTCACCCAATTTGCATTGCCCCCTCTCCCTTTCCGGTCTCGTTCACCTCACTGACCCCGGCCTTTTCCCACCCCCGACAGTTCGTCGCAATCCTAGCCGTCAACGCCCCGGTCCTGGGTCCCTGGATCGCCAAAAACGCTTCGGCCGTGCGTTCCCGCACGTCAAAGAACCGCTCCAAGACGGGCGGCCAAGAATCGGCTAATCACATTGTCACGATTGGCGCGAAGAGCAGCAGTCATCGCCTCGATAAACTGACCAAAGACGGCCGCTCCGCGAATATGGGATGGACCGAAATCGACAACAACAGCGAGGAGCGCACAATGAAGAGCCTACACGACGTGTCTGTTTCGGCAAAGCGTTCGGATGAGGAGGTACGAGGTAATACCGGAAGTATCCATGTCACGACTACGTTTGAGATCTCGAGGATGGCGTAGGGTTTGGTTCGGCGAGAGAAACTCCATGGGATCCATGTTAGATAATGTACAGTAAACGATCAGCTTGTAATTAGTCGACAAGCCCGCCTCAAAGGCGTTGGAGCTCTAGTAATGAGGAACACTAATACGTCATGTCCACTCGCCCCTCAGTGTTATTGCGGGTGTGTGATCACAGATGAAGCTTCTAGCCCTCTTCTCTGGAGCGATTGTTATCGCGTCCTGGTTCAAATCTCAACGCTCTCAGGGCGTCAACGCTTTTTTTCTCGCTGTTCGGAAGAGCACAGAATCCACGAGTCGAACATGCCAGGGTTCGGGCCTAGTGCCACACGCTGTCAGTGTATGGCCCAGTGATGGGCGATGTTCACGGTTCAACACGTGTGTTCTGCATTATAGGTCAACATCGGCTTGCGGGGTACTCAGGTCTGCCGAGATAGGCAAACAACATCCTGGGAGCTGAACCGAGGAAGGTTCTCGGTTTTCTTGATACTCGGTAGATGGATAGGAGGTTGAAGAAAGCGGGACTGCGGAGGGATCCACCCCGCAGATCCGCAACACACCTGATTGGATGGAACAACAACACCTCGTCCTTGTATCCTGCAGGATAACATCGCGATCTCTTCAAATCTTGGTCTTCACATTCATGATGTGTTGTTCATGAGTAAGAATCCCCGCAACCTGATATATGATAGTTATTAAGACTGTGATGGTTGCCAACGTCGACTCCTGCCCGGTCGTGTTTCGATCCGGCAGGCTTCGTGAATCGTGTAGCGCCTTAGATGACGAGCAAAGTGGTGCATGCACCTTACCCATCCAGGGGCGTCAGGCATAGAGCTTGGTCAAAAATTGCCTTGTAAATTGTAATACTCTGTCTATATTGTTGTAGGCAGAAAACTTTCCATCTACCGATACGGAGTCAAGCTTTCCAAGATTTCCGGTCTCTATGTTGTTCGCTTCTCGTTGCAACGCATATGAATTGAGGACAGCCCTTTGGAATTTTGAAGACCTTGACGAGACGGAAAAGCAGAATTTTGACCCCTGAGTGCTGGGTTCCTCGCGTCATGATCGCGGAACAGCATTACCCGGCCTGGGTCGGTAGAGTGGCGCACTTGGCGTGACACCATCGAACGAAGCCCGGCATTTCACTCGCCATATCCTGGAAGACCCCAAATCACCCTCTATCAATACGCGACCATCAGCCTAACATAGAAAAGGTTATCTTGAGTAAACAGCTGGGCTGAACCGATTAACTTTATCCTCTAATATTCAAAGTTCATGACGATTTGCTTGGGAACACGGCAACACCTAGATCTCCAGCCCCGAGCAGTCATTGAACGACAAAGGAGGGACAGGGCAAACTTCTGATGCACGGCGCAAAGCCTCGACTTTAGTTCCCCGAATAGCGCGACCCGAGCGCAACCTATCTTGGAATATAAACGGCCGAAACATCAAGAAATAAAATCCAAGAGCATGAACAGGTGGCCAAGTCCATTCCACGACTGTTGAAACCTTACGACTGGAGGATACGCCCTTTACTGGACCCATGCCACAGACAGTATCGAAGAGCTGCGCTTCCAGGAAAAGGTACCCTGGGCAGGTTGCTGAAGTCTCAACTGCAATCCCTCCGACAACCATGATCTTTGGTTGATATCTGATGAGATGGCGGGCTAATTGAAGTAACTCCATGTTCACATTCGAACCAGTCAATCACCAAAAATTACAAGATCTCAGAACGTATCATCGTTAATCAAAATATGTATTTGACGATGATTATCCTACTACTTACGAGCCCATGATACTTTGCGTCTGTTAGTGAGCCCAATATGTCGGCTAAACCGATGCCATACTTCGATTTAGAGAAGTAGGAAGGTTGCCCATCCTCGCAACTACACTCCGTAGGTGGATCAGGACCTACCATTTTCGAAAACAATTTTGGGTCATTCTATTGACGGGTCATCGGCCTATATTGTCCGAATCGTCCATATCGTATATGTAAACATTCACTACAGTGATGTGCCTTGTGTGAAGGGCAGGCCCGCGTAGCGACAGTAGCACCCAGCGCACCGTCGTAAAATTCTTATGTTGATCAAAAGGTAAGTTGCCTCGTGTAACTAGACGTCCCCGGCTTGTAGTCTGGTTGTACTTACGCATGTATCAATGGGGCCTACGACGGAGATACTACAGAAGTTCAGCCCGTGACTTTGGATGGTTTTTCCATCTTCATCTAATTCTTGATTGAATGCCTTTCATTGCCTAAGTTTTTACACGATGCACAGTATGGTTTATGAACGACAAGACCTGCAATGACGCAAAATGCTGCTAAGAACTAAAGGAAAAATTGACTGGTATGACTTGAACATCCCGTTGAGCTTGCATGACACGAGGAACACCAATCGAAGAACAACCCCCATCAATGAGATATCCTTATCATAGAGAGAGAGATGATTACTTGAAACTCCCAGGCCGATGTCCTCGTCAGTGGGCAACTTTTGATTCCTGCTGACTAACAATCACCGAATGACTACTCTTAGATAACGTCTTGAATAATCCGAGCGTTTTCAACCTCCCCCGCATGGGCTCATTGCCAGTAAAGATAGTAGTCATCCAAGTCCTCGCAGAGATTCATACAAATAATACCCGAATAAGTGTTAAGCCACAACTGTTTACTCAAAACCCCCCATTTCCCGCCGAAGTACTCTTCTCTTCGCCAACCCAGGAGGCTAACTCCTCTCTCCTTGAATGGCTGCCATATAGCAGGAAAGGTAACTTTGTGTCTTTTTGCCCATGCTGCAAGATCCGGAAACAAACCTGTGTGAATTCTCCAATTACCGGATCCAACTTCCAGTTCAACGAGTCCGGCCTCCGAATGCTCTGATACCAATGCCAGATATTCCTTTCTTCCAATCTCTAGGTCGACCCGACGCAAGCTGGAGAGAGATTGTAAGATCTCAATATTGTTGGAGTTGCTTGGCGCAAAGAAGCTGCCGTTGCCAGTAACAACTTTGCTCATGCGCTCGACAAGTGGTTTGAGTGCCGCACGAGGATGCCCAACGGCATCCCACGCAAGGGGGTCGGCGACCTGGAATTGGTCTTTTTTCGGATTGATCAAGACGTAGTTGGAGACATCTTTCTCTTCTTGCGTCTGTGGATACAAAAAGTAGAATTTGCCAAGAACCATGGATCTGATTTTCTGACTGCTTTGGAGCAGGGTGCGAATACCTCTGAAGCGATGGCGGTGTGAAATATTCGGAGGATTCAGATTAGCTTCTGCGAGAACGAATGAGACGCCGAGAGCTTGACTATCGTCTCTTCATCTCCCAACTCAATTCCAGAGAATCCATGCTCTCAATGTATAGAACGACATGGTCCATGATGTTGAGGACAAGCTCGAAAGGCAGGGTGGCAGCTTCATCGAGTGTGGGGACAGTAGTCTCTGCACCGGCTTTGGTCGTTGCAGTGCTAAGCGCCTGGGTATTCTCGTCGGCGGCGCCCATGTTGATGGTGTCTCGTCACTAGTGTGGTAGTAAGGCAGTGATTGGTTCGTAGCGGTCCGAAAAGCTTGTCCTGGTATCGACGACGGAAGTCTGTTGCACGGGAAGACAAGTAAGTTATGCTCAGCCGTTCTCACAGTGTTTGGGAAGGGGTTGAATTGCCCGATATCTCGACCACCGATGCTTTCGACTTGATCAGAAAACCGGTACCCCCGTGCAAACATAGACCCAAGGTTCCGGGGTGATATGACTGACGACAGCCTTGAGAGAGAAGAGAAGGGCAGAGTGGGGGAGCTTTCCAGTTGATGTGGGTGAGAGGGCCCAAGGCAGCACTGCGGTGCTGCAAGGTAAGGTAGGTGAGGTATCGGCAGCCCCTACATGTAGGATGGGAAGGTGCAGTCAGCGCGGTTGAAAAGAGGAAGGCACCAGCCTAGTGGTCTCAATCAAAACAGGCAGGACCATACCAAGCACAAAAGACCAAAAGGAGGCAATAAAGAGGCACTGAGGTACCTTACCTTACCTCACTTTAAGAGAGATTTGCTAAGGTATTCTGGACGAAAGATGAACTTAGGCAGCTGAGAAGACGGGAGTGAGATGGTATGTACAAACAGACCTCTTTTCTCAGGTGATAGGGCGGTGAACTACTCTGCGGCTTCACCTGCGGCCTGCCTGAATCCATAGATTGTCTCACTTGCTTTCTCACTCACCAAATCATATGGAGGATATCAGTCTCTCATTCTCTCCCCGTTTTCGCTACTTCCACACACTAAGATCTTCTCCTCTACTCTTTCCACGTTTGCAAGGAAAGAAGATTGACTCTTCCCCTCCCATCCACCAACAGGAGTATCATTCATTTGCTCCTATCGCAAGGGTACATCCAGCAAACGACCGGTAAGACGGCCATTTACTTCCCTTTTTCACCAATTTCTCACACAAACCTTACTCGACAAACTGTCCCTCTCCTACCGGCAACCCGAATGATGCCTGGCAACAACAAGAAGAACAAGGGCCGCCAAGGCACCCAGTCCTCCAAGCCCATCTCCTTGTCCAAGGGTATCCAGCCTACTCCTTCTGGCAAGACTGGGCCGGCTTCTCTGTCCATGGACATCATCCTGCACATCGTCGACGCCCTCATCACCGATGCCGCGTCCAAGGAGACGACCTTCAACTGGGGTATCGCATACAAGCAGGACACGGCCTCGAAGCTTGTTCTTACCGACATGAATGAGAGCGGCTTCGACCACGTCAAGGCCATGAAGCGACGATTCTCTCGCATCCGCATGGCCTCCCAGCTCAACCAGAAGTCCTGCGCCCTCGTCCATCAGACCTACCGCTGTCTCCCCAGAGCCACAATGAGCCCGTTCGGAATGGCTGTCGGATCTCTCATGACGGCCTGGGTCTTGCCCACCACCGATGACTTCGTCGTTGGCTTGAAATTCGTGGGCGGAGAGATGAGAGTCATCCAGCGTTACGCAGACTTCCTCGGAATGGCACTCCACCTGCCCACTCCCGAGGGACTCCAGTTCATGGAATGCATCCAGAAGTTCAAGATCATGCTCCCCCAGGGCTTCGACAAACACGTCCACGCTGCCATGGTGCTCCCCAACCTGAAGGAGCTCCACTTGTACTACGCGATAGTCCCCATCTTTGGCCCCCCCCCCCCCCCCCCCAATTCAGCACGCTGGCGTTGTGCCCCTTCGTCGCGTCGACTACGAGGATCTGGCTGAGTGGATGATTATGCACAAGAGAAACTACAGCACTCTTTGCAAGATCTTTAAGGAGAAGGGCACTACGGTGTACGCTTGCGGCTGCGAGCTCTGCAAGCCGGTGTTCGAGATGCTCTTCACCGAGAAGGGCGTTCGCTTGCGCAACTTGTTGGGGTCCAACTGCCCTGAAGGCTGCGGATGCCGCGAGGTCAACGAGTCGCAAGCTTCCATGGCTTAATCTGAGGTCGCCGTTGGAGGAGGAGCTCCGGTGCCACAAACGCAGGCATGACAAAGATGGGGTGATATTTGAATGTCGATTATCATTCAAATGGCTGGCATACATGAGTAGCTATCTGTGGACTGGAAAAGCTTGTTTCTCATTGTATGAGGAGAGGTGTGGCAATAGGCATGGCATGTCGTTCCGAGCCGATGACGAACGCGGAGCTGTCCCTTACGGCCACACCTATCGTCTTAGACAGTCTCCAATAGGTCAAGCAAGACAATACGTCACTGCCCGTCCTCCAGAGTAAGCCACTCGTTTCAATTATCGTACCGTGACAGAGTGCTACATAACCGCAGAGTATTTTCTTAAGCTTCAACGGCTGGAGCAGCTGGCGGAGCCGCAGGCGTCGCCGGCTGAGCTTCAGGTGCCGCTGCTGGAGGCTGGGCAGCCGGCTGTCCCTCAGCAGGCGGCGGAGTCGCTTGCTGCTGGCCATTACCCTTACCCTTGCCTTGTCTTTGGGCACCACCAGGGCTGATGTTAATACCTAGAGACCGTCAGTGAGGTTCAAGCTAGGGGAAAGAGGCGAGATCGTCTTACCAGATTTGCCGCCGACGGATGTGCTGCCATCGCTGCCCTTCGTGATACCGAGATTGCCTCCAACTAGGATCCACGGTTAGCCCATCAAGAGATCTGGATTTTGCGGTATTGAGAACTTACTGTTTTGAGCTTGGCCATCAGTACCGAGAGTGATGCCGGCGTTGTCCTTGAACTGCTCAGATTCCTGTACTGCCTTGGGCTGTCCCTCGGCAGCTCCTTCAGCAGGCTTGGCTCCCTCCGCTGGCTTCGCTCCTTCGGCAGGTTTGGCTCCCTCAGCAGCATTCGCAGGCGGAGCCTCGCCAGCCGGCTTAGCCTCCCCGAGCCCGGCCCCAGCACCCTTCCGCTGCGCTTCCTTCGCGGCCTCGTTAGCCTTTGCGGCCTCGCCGGGGTTCGCTCCGAGTCCCTGCTCAGCCTTGGCGGCTTCACCGGGGTTAACACCAGGGCCGCCCTCGCCCTTCTGCTTTCCACCACCGGCAGCAGCACCAGCACCAGCCTTTTGTCCTTCGCCACCAGCAGCCTTGCCCGGCGCAGCGGCACCCTCGCCCGCATTAGCAGTGCCATTGTTCTTCTTCTTGCCGTTGGCCGCGTTCAGGAAAGCATCCAATGCGCTGTTGCCGGTGCCTCCAGTCCCTCCGGTAGTCCCCACGTTGCCGCCTCCGAGGTTGATGCCGCCGATAGTCAGGCCGGCGTTGTTGTTGGCGGTTCGGTTGCCAGCGACATTTGTGCCGGGCTGGCCGGCAGTAGCCTGACCGTTGCCATTGCCTTTGCCTTTGCCCTTCCCGCCGAGCTGGAGTCCTCCGGCGCCGCCGATACTGATGCCTCCATTCTCGAAGCTGATTTGTCTCTTTTCGACCGTGGGCTTCTCGACTTCTTGTCTGACGAGGACCGCGGCGCGGCCGGCGACGCTACCCTATGACGGCAAGCTATGTCAGAGACGGTAATGGAAGAAGAACGATGAATGATTCCAAGACATGATCTGATCTCTAGATCGTAGTGGGATGCCTAGGTAGGACGACTTACAGAGAACAGCTTTGACTGCCTTTCTTGGCGATCGCAGAGCCCAGTCTCGCCAAGTGCCAAAAGGGCGACGGCAACCATTGAAGAGAAACGCATCTTTTCTCGAGCAAATCAAGGAAAGACAAAAAGAACAGTTTTATACGTGCGAAGATCGGGCTGCACAGCAGCAAGGAATGAATTGAAGGGAATTAAAAGGATACGTCACGAAGCATCAAGCTTCAGTTCTATCAAAATGAAAAAAGACAAGAGGAACGACAACAGTCACGAACCAAGTGAGAGACGAGATGAAATGATGAACAGTCCGGGGAAAAGAGAAAAAGAGGGAACCGGACACTTACAGTCCCACATATCACCCAAGGGAGGAACGACATATGGGAACGACATATGGAATCGGATGTCGTCAGAAGTGCGTTTCCCCAGTGTCCGCAATACAAGAACATGCTTACTTTGGACTAGGCTAGCTGGCTCTGCCTCCCCGTGTTTGCAAGGTGACGTGGACGTGAACCCGGGCCGTAGAACGTGGTATCGAGAGACCTAGAGCCGCATGAAGCTCTATTGACTGGTGCAACAGGGACTTGCCCTGGGTGCTCGGGCCCTAGGAGGGCATCTTTTTCAAAACCTTCAACTTTAGGCGTGTTGTCCGCCGATCCAACTTGCCGGGTATGGAGGAAACCCTGCAGTATTGTTGGCAGTGGGAAGAAAAAGGTAGTCAACATCCAGGGGAAGGATGCTATTAAAACGCTCGTCAAGTTGGAGGCATTGGCTAGACCACCGCCAAACACCAACAGGCCGCACGTTATAACTGGCGCGCATGAGGTGGGATCGGTTTTGAGTGACATCGGACGGCGCCGCAAGTGGTCCGTCTCCACCATCTCGGCACGGCTTGGCGTCACGGAGCTGCGGCAGCGCGGGCTATTATTGGCGTTGCTGGGGTTGCTTGTGTTTGTCTGTTTTGCAACTCTCGCAAGTTTCCGGACTCTGCAATTGCGCATGTCAAGGGTCTGGATCTGGGTCATGTGATGCCATGTGAGTTGATTTGATGATATCATTTTTTTGTGGTGTCATGAGACATTTAGACATTAAGAAGTAAAAGCGCATACACAAAGAGAAAAGAAGACGCGGTAGGGGTGATGCGACGGAGTTGAGGGCTCAAGGGGAGGGTGTTAAAGTGATATCGAGGATCGGCCTTCACTTCGCAACCCCCATTTCGATTTCTTTCTCTGCTGCCCAAAAAGTGCTACACCAAACCACCAACGTCCAAGAAAGTTTTTGCCTCAAAGGAGACGACGCAAGCTGCAACCTCTTACTCCCCGGTTTTTTCCTCCCGGTTTTTCCGTTTCCAGGTTTCGGCCACAAATTCACATCAAGGCCGTCTGTTAGTCAGTCGTGGAGAGAGTTCTTGTCAGTGATGTTTGTCGTGTCAGGTACTCTAACACTTGCAAGCACCAGTCGGGGCCAACTCCAAAGGCAGGTAGGTGGTACGGTAGATGGTAGTCACCTCCTCGTCGTGCTTGGCGCTGAAGGAGCCGGTCGGGTAGGGAGCGCCGGTGACCTCGGGGGCCTTGGGGGGCTTGGTAAGAGTTACGGGGTGATGGTAGTCTGAGGCCCAGCCAACGGTGTCAGGACAAGTGCCATGGAAGACGGGGGCATCGGGAGTGGTGGCCGGGACGGCGGCGGTGGTCGTGATGAAGCTGCTCTGGGCCGCCGAGAAACCGCCCGTCGCCGTCGCGGTGGAGTTCTTGGAAAGGGTCTTGCTCACCGTGACAGTGACGGTGCTCGGCGGCGCGCAGGTGGAGGGCGAAGCCGGGGGCAGCGTGGTGGGATCGGTGCAGTCGGATCCGGTGACGGAGAACTTGGGAGTCTGCGCGTAGATCACGTAGACGTTGGTGCCGTTGATGGCGTTGCTGTTTGGATGTCGGGTTAGCCATCCTCCCCTTGGCTTCATTCTTATTTGACCCCCTGTTTTCATTCTTCTGTTTTGGAGTGGTTCACCCCGATGTTCATTTAAAATGACCGTTGCAGCGCATGACTCGTCAAAATCTGACCCCTGCCCAGAACAGGCTAATTGGGGCACAATTCAGGGGTACAAATGGGAATTCGAGACTCAAGAGTCAAGACAACTTGACAAGAGAGAAGAAATAACGGCGCAAGAGCCAGAGACACAACGAACAAAGAAGAAAGAGAATGTCTCACAATTGGTAACCGTCAGTGTTGAGGGTGGAGCAGGGGACGTCGATGGAGGCAGAGCCGGCGGCGGTCTCGAGGTCCTGAGCCAAGAGGACGTAGGAAGGAGGCCAGTTGACAAAGTTGACGAGGAAGACGCTGAAGGTCGAAGGGTCAGTGTCGACCGTGTTCCACGACAGCTCGTAGCTCTTGCCCTTGGCAACGGTGGAGTTGGCCGAGGGGCTGGTGAACTCGATGGCGGAAACCAGAGGGGCCGCAATGGCGAGGGCAACGGAGAAGAAACGCATTTTGGTGGAGTTTTTTTCGGATCCGGATAGTAGTAAAAGAGTGACTGGGATCGGTGAGGAAGCAAAAGGGAAACCTGAGAGTCCGTAGCAAGTTTAGGGGGGCATCGCGGCCATTATGTGCTCTTTGGGAGGTCGAGGATGCGGGAAATTGGCCATAGGCATCAGCTGCACCCGCGCCGCAAAAGGGGTGGAGTCAACCCCGGATCCTCTCGGCCGTGAAATTCCCATCGAACGACGCGGAGCCAAGGCGAGTTCGTATTATCGTCCACGGCGCGCCTCGGCGTTGGCAAGCCGCCCAGAGAGTCAGTTACTCTTACTCGCAAGGGGCCTGTCGGTGCCAGGTGGGCGGTTCACGATGGCGGGCATGTCACTCAAGACAGGACCGTGGCACGGATGGTACTTCTCGGAGAGGTTAGAGTGGCCTCACGTAGCGTCAACCTAAGCGAGAGCATTTAAGCAGTTTGCGGCACAGTTTAGCCCGGCTTTGCTGCTCGGCCTCTGGTGGCTGCTTGGTTCACCACTTTCTGGTCTGGTTTGTGTTGTGGTGTTTTGAGAAAAAAGGGGGAATTGCTGGCCCAAACCGGACGGCTGACTGCGTCGCAACTTCACTCGTTCACAGTCTATTGGGCGCCCGACAGTCGGCAGGGGCTTCGATTGGGTGTGTGGCATCCTACCCAACTTCAACCTTCAAGCGCCATCCCGCGATCCTCCAGGCGAACTTCGAGTGTGTTCCTGCTTCCAATCTTCCCATTTCATGGCGCCCGACTTCTTAACAGCGTCTTTGCGGCGTGGCGCCCGTGGCGTCAACCCATTTCAACAAAGCAAACGACTCAGTTGGGCAAATGCACTTGCACCGATCCGGACGCCGTCCATGTCATGACCTTTAAAAGGTTACCCGCGCCGCAATCTCGACACCCTCTGGAAGATCGGTTTCACTGCTTGTTTCCCTTCTCCCCCGGCCTAAATGACAAAAGTCCCCGCAGGAGCCGCAGGATGGGAAATTGGGAAGACGCATGATGGATGAGCCTACGGGCGAAAGCAGCAAGAGATTTGTTTTTCATTCGGACGTGGAGTTTTGCCAATGTCGTTCAGATCGACTTCATAAAAGGTGAACCAAGATTCTGACAACTTGATAGCAGAGCATGGGAAATAGGGACCCAGCGCATTTTCCTTTTGCTGGATCTCATTTCCTCTGCCATGGCGGGTTTAACGAGGAGACGCGTCTCAGACTGGAACAAACGCGAGGTGGGCTTTTGGAGCCTGCGGGCCCACGATCCGCTATAAGAAAAGGAGGGGTTGCCTTTGTTCCGTCTTGGCGATGAGGCAAAATTTGGGGAATTAACAAGCAAGACATGCGCCGTACAATGTGCCAATTGCAATATCAATCATGAGCGGCTCGCCGTTGTGTATATACGACTATGAGAGTCAGTTTGTATCACGTACAACGCATTTACGGACTTACACAGCGCTTGTCGAAGCCTGCACGTGTGCTGCCATCACACTTATCCGCTTCGTAGCGAAATTCGACAGAGCCGAAACGACCAACCATATCGTGCTGGCGCGCCAAGCTCCCCGGTCAGCGAAGCCTTACTGAACTTGTGGATGACTGCAGGAGGCAAACATGGTCCCTTCTCACACCAGGAACAAGCTTAAAGTATTCTCGACAGCTCAAGGCCTGCGTCTTTCAGACCATACTATTCTGATCAAGGGTAGCGGGAAACGCTCGTACATCCTGTCTCTTTGTACCAAGTCATTTCATCTGGAAAATTGGTAGGCACGGGCAAAGAAACGATCTCATCTTTTCAGCCGATGATGGGGAGCGCGGGAGCTTGGCTACCAATCTGTTGACTCTGTTCGACCTCGGTTCCGGTGGGATGCGCATCAACTCTCCGACTTCCGACTTACGGATACCCTCGTGGTCAGCAGCTTAACTTGTTGTGTAATTCGATGACACAAATATTTCTTCATTCATACCTCTCTAATACGTTTCCGAGAGTGATTTCGTCTGATTTTCGATATGCGATTGCCAGTGAGAAGGAGTGTAAATGTGTGAATAATGTCCTAGGGAGAGGCCATTCATGCCTCCTTCCATGCATTCCAGGCCTAGATGCACCACTCCAATCGGACGGGAGCCTCCCGAAATGGGTTTAAAACAACATTCAGACCATGAAGTGTTTGATGCGATGCCTCTCTTGCAAAAAATGCAAAAGATAACTCCTCGACGGGGAATTGAACCCCGGTCCCCTGCGTATCTTCGAAGGTCAATGACAAGCAGATATCCTCACCACTAGACTATCGGGGATTGGTGGATGTTTACATCCAGTGATAGTTGGTTGACAGGGGAGGCTGGATTGGGACCTATATAGGCTCAAGAGGTGGTCCGTGCAGTGGCTACATAGGGATCGTTCTCAACTTTTTAGCATCGCATGTTCTCGTTATAGTAGCGAGGGCAGGCTTTCACTAGTTGAAAAGCGCCCACCTTATCGAGCGTACTTTATTTATCGACGTTGCATTTTATAAATAGCTATTATGAGTATTAGTGGCTTTGCTTTAGGCTTCTACAATCTACGTTGTAGCGTACCTTATTGTTGGTATACACGTCAGCAGGGCAACCGTACGGTTGGAACGAAGTGTCAATAATGGTCTATTATTGCTGCGTCCTCAGGTGGAAGGAGGAGGTTGTGGGCAGAGCCCACGGCCTCTCAGAAGTGGTATGTAAGGGGTCGTTTGTAAGTGCCCATACCGCCTTCCAGATCCACCTTTTCTGCCGACTGCTCAGAGATCCAACACTTATCTTAGATGAGAAGCTTCTATTTTATCCCATCAACTACTAGATAGCGTCACTGCATCAGTCTCTAGTCTTGCTCCAAGTTTAATCTACTTCAAGATTATTGTTTTTGTCGTTATATTTATCGAGATCATTCATAGGCGGATACAAGGGAAATAGAGCAAACTAGAGAAAGACTGGAGACGGATATGGTGACGCTATCTAGCAGTTGATGGGATAGACAAATGGTCAGTCCTCATCAGGCGACATTAGTCTTTGGTACCGACAAAGCTCAAAGGCAGCTCATCTACATACATAGGTACAAAGATGGACTTCTTTCAAAGGTCATGGTCAGTCAAGCCGCAGTCGGGGCTTTGGTTCAGAGCAATATCTTTTTTCTAAGAGAAATCTTGTGTCTCGGATTGATTGCAGAGTCTCTTAGGGTTTCATTGCTTTACCTTCTATGACTACTCATGAACGAAACCACTTATCTGGACAGGTTCCAGAATTCTAAATGGCGACATGAGCATACCCACATGTCCTCGGTTTCGAAGTACTACAGCTAGTATGGCCTGTTGTCTTGTCTCTTAGTATTGAAACTCGAGGCCTAGCAGTCATAACCCCCATCACTCTTCAGGAGCTTCCTCGGGAGTTTCTTCAGTCAGTGGCTTGCGGGCGTAAACAACGTGACTAATAGTGTCAGCACAAGAACAAGTAGAAACACATTGTTGAGGTAATTCATCGAGGATAGAAACTTACACCCTCCAGTAGGCGTGGTACTCCTTCTTCTTCAGGTCATTGCGGAGCTCGGCGCAAAACGCGTAGACTTCCTCCTTCGTCCAGTCCATCACTCGCGTCAGCAGACCCATCGAAAGTGCTTCGATGCCCAAGTCAAGGTTAACGAATTGCCACTGGCCGATCTCTTTAAGGTTCTCGTCCTTGGGCCATGAGTTGAGAGGCCAAACGTAATGCTTGTTCACGATGTCGACGAAGCCAGCCTCTTCGATGGCGCTTGTGTACTTGGAAGGGCTCTCAATGGAGCGGCCGCACCGTTCGCCGGCTTCGGCGAGAAGATCGTGCCAGCGGGCGAGAGCCGAGTCCTTGGGGACGGTGCCGTCGTCACAGCCCATGGGAAGCACGAAGCCTCCGGCCTCGAACCACCCGCCGGGCGTGAGGGCTCTAGCTGCGGCGTTAGCGTGTACTTGTACTGGATCAGCAATTAGATTGTGATGGTCTCTTTTACTTGTAAATCTTCCTGATGATCCTTGGTGGATCTGCGAATGAGCCCTCCATTGTACGACAGTGGATGTAATCGAACGGCTCAGCCCAGGTCCACTCCTTCTCAAGATCGTCAATCTCAAATACACAGTTTGGAGGTGTCCTGTGTCGAATTAGTCTGGCGGCGCATTGGTACTGACAAATATAGCTAGAGTTCACCATTCTGGTTGGATGGGGCTAAGGTCAACGCCAATGACCTATTGGTGTATTAGCATAATGATCAACGACTCGGAAGAAGATCCACAAGCTTCTCGGGAACAAGTATAGTCTTACCTTGGTAGATGGGAACTCGTCCGCTTTGCGCATGTGTTTCCATTAGCCAGGGGATGATGTTGAAGCGCCGGACTGAAAGAAACCAACCGTATTCACAAGCCCAGATACCAGTACCTGTTCCCATGTCTAAGACACGCTTCGCAGTCTTATGAGCAGGGGCAGTTGCGAGTGCACCGCCTAAGGTGAGTTTCCAGATGTGATGTTGAAAGTCTGCATTGATGAGCATCGTGGCTGAGTAACAGACTTCATAGCGCATAGCTCAGGATACGCATGTGTGGTTAAAATACCTAAACGATCATTCTCTTTCTGACTATGATGTCAGTGAACAAGTTCTGCTGAGGCAAGAATGCGCCAGACTGACGACCATGAAGCTACTCACCTCATCATTCGGGTATTGGTATTCTTGGAAGAACACAGTCAATACATTGACGGTAGTTCAAGCTCACTGGGAAAATAGACGTACTTCCGGAGCTCATGGAGTGATATGTGCGGCCGTTTTCGAGCTCATGCTCCAGAATACTTGATCTCAGTGAAGCCACCGAGGAGTCTTCGTAAAGCTTGGACAGATAAAAGCGTTAGAGCGAGGTCTTGGAAATTCGGATACTGCATTGAAAAAGCATGCCAATAACTTACGTCTCCGGTTGAAATTCCATCGTCTGCCTCGATATCCTGCATTGTCGTCGTCAGCTAGTTGTGATATCGAAAGCACATAGCCAAGCATGCTTACGGCTTGAGGGGGGTCGATTTGCTGCATTCCTGAGAGATGAGTCGGTATTACTGGAAAGGCTACTCGGGTTTCGGAATGATAATCCAGATATTTCACGTCCAACGACAAGCACGAATGGGTTCGCGTAGCAGATCAGTCAATAACTAAGTGACACAAGACGAAAGGGCAGTCCAGTCGGAGGCACAGAAGCTTGGGACTTCGAAGAGAAGGGGAACGTGCGTTCTAAATAAATCACACGCAGGAAAGGCATGTCCCAAGTTCCAACACGTTCTTAGTGCCGGACTTGTTGTTTATCGGCGGAGTAAAGTCCCATCAATCGGTTCTCAAACAGGCATCTGAACTTGCACCTGCACCAACAGCACAGGCTTGCACAACGCATAGTGGCTCATAATTGGCTCATAATTGGCTCATAATTCTGCGCCCAGAGTTCAAAGCGGAGTGTTCTACGGCCCCTGTCTCAACCAACACGTGTGATAGGTTGTGTTTGCGGGCGTGAGGCGATAACCCATACGGACCGGCCGGGCCAAGTTACGCTACAGCCGGGAGGAAGCTCCCACTCCCCATGGGACTAACAATTGAGAAACGTCAGCCAGGAGCCACTCGATTCCTCGGATCTTTGTCCATGTCTGGTATCTTTCTGCAGCTTTCCACAATTACACCACGTTTTTTTGGCGTTGAAGGGCTCAGCTGCTGGGGCCAGCTAGCTAATTGTGTGATTGCTGGCGTCGATGGTTTTTCCAAGGAACCTGCAAAATCTTTGCACGACATTATGTTGTGCTTCAAGCCTGTAGTGATGTAGAATTGTCAATGTCTATCATTGTGATGACACTAATACTGAATTACCAATCACCCTTTTCAAGTTCCATGCCTCAAACGTCGGGCCAGATCTAGTCACGCTGCAAGCAAATTGCGGTAGCAATGCAGGCCTAACTAGCCTCACTTGGAGTAACAAACAAGGCGGCGCATAAATGAATATGAGCAACACCTATCGTTTGTCAGCCTGCCGCATGAACGGCCCACTAAGGACCCCGAGCGATGATGCCAACATCATCGATCCAGTGTACAAGATCAACGGCGCAAACCGACCAAGACCATAGCTACGTGTGAGAGAGCCCATTACCAACGGTGTAGAGATCGCTCCAGTCAAAATATTGCCGACACCTTTACCAAAGGCCATGAAACTGTATACGTGCCCCGGATCCTCCGAGAGGGCCGATCCGAACTTGTTCCACAAACACGGGAACCCGCCAGTCGCCAATCCGAACACCAAAGAAAAGGCGAGGAGCGGTGCAAGAGACGAGGCATAGCCCCAGAGGGAAAAGGTCGCAACTGCAGCAATAAAGGAGGAGGCAAAGACGAGGATGAGAACGTTATTGACACGATCTGTGATATAGCCGAGGACAAGCTGGCCAAATATCGTAGCGAGGTTGTTCGCGGCCAGAATCAGCGCACCCATCGTTCCCGAGAAACCCAACGACGTTGCGTATGTTGGTAGGAAGAGTGCGGGTATATAATATCCAAGCGCTTCGAGGAAGTTGGTCAAGGCAAAGCAGTAGAACAGAGGCCTTTTGAAGAACTTGAAATCGCCTTTCCTCAGCGTACCCCGTCTCGAGGCTGGAAGCCGCCCTTTGATGAGGGGAACCATGGGAAGTAAAGTGACGAATTGTGCCACCGCCATTGCTCGCAAAGTTGTTTGATACCCGTACTTCGTAAGGAGTGACTCTAGAAGAAACGGCAAGCCAACTCCACTACATCCAGCACCAGTCGACATGATTCCATACGCAAGGCCTCTGCGCTCGATGAACCACTCATTGAGCATCCGAAGAAGTGGGTAGTTGACGAAGAGAAAGGTAAAACCGTAGAGAAACCCCTGAGTTGCAATGAGGCCAGGTACCGAAGTCGCAAATGAGGCTATCAGGAGGGATAAGGCACATCCTAACCAGCCGACGATAGTCATGTGTCGCTGCCACGCTTGGAAACGGGCCGCAAAGGGTGTTGCCAGTGGTCCACCGAGATAGTAGACACTGGTGGCGACGGTCCCAATGACGGCAATATTTGGGTCATGTTTGAGGGCAGGATGTTTCGAGTAGTAGTCTTGGAAGACGCCATACGACAATGGGAAGCCTGGATTCTCTGTAAGTATCTAAGATGAAAGCGATTGAGGGTTTATTTATGTAACTTTCATACCCCAGAGGACAGCTTCAGCAACAAAGGATGCAAGTATGAATAGCCAAGCAGACAACCCTTTGTCTGCAGGGCGAATTGACCGACCCGAAGCTTCGTCATGGCTTTCTTGTTCGCCGCGGTTGACGGTCTCGAGGCTCACAGTTTCGGAGTGGAGAGACATTTGGTACCTAGACTTCGAGAGCATGCAAATGATCTCTCTTCACGGAAAGAAGAAACAGTTGGTTGAGTAGATGATGTTCTGGTCAGCTCATATATGGCTGTTCAACTGCTCAACTGCTCAATCAAGGTGTTTGCTACACTTTGGCAGTTGGCTTGTGCTTGTGTCGGAACATCATACCACTGGCCTGATGCAGGCTAAAGGCTAGATCTGCCTGCACTATGCACGCGAACCAAAGGGGTTCTTCTTTAGTCATCAAAGAAAGAGATAATTGCGCAGTCTGACTGCCGAGGAGGAGGAAGGCGATCACCTGCTTGCGCAACAAGGTCATCTCGCCGGATATTATGTATCTATACCAAAGGTTAGTAGATTTGGTTCGCACTCTGCGGGTTGAATCAAGACCTCGCGGAGTCTCCCAAAGCTGATTAGTACATGTAGTATTTATTTTAGGAGTATACTTAGAAATTATATCATCTCTATAGATTTCATCTGTATAGATTTCATCTTTAGCTGTGTTGAGGACCTATGGGATGTGTTTCATTAACCGCACCGTACTCAGTCTCCATTTGTGTCAGTGAACGTTGGCTCCGTAGACTAGCATCCATGTGACAACATATTGTTCTCCAAGAAGCGAAAGATTCCATTTAAGAAGCAAGATTATGAATTTACGCTTGGTTCAAATGACGTCCAGAAGTCAGCTCGCCTCCGAACAGCAACATCTCGTGACCATATGCGTGAGCTCAACTTTAGCAGGATATTATACCATCAATCGCTTGCAGGTTTTGTAACGCGACATTCACTACCTACATGTGCTAAGTTGTACTCACTTGCTTTAGTCAGTTTATGCAACTGGGAGTCGATTACTTCTTTGAGTTCGCTTGAGTAAGTATTTTAACAAGGTAGTCTACATCGAAGGATGATTGGCGACCGCGGGGTTCGAAGGGTAGCAGCACATTGACCCTCCTTCCAGATTGTTATTGCGTATGATCATTCGTCTACGACTTTGAACTTTCCTGGTCTGTAACTTGTCCCATATTGTCGAAGGAAACACTGCGCAGCAAAAAACTTATTTCTCTGACTCTACCAGGTGATTTAGCATGCACATTCAGCCCAATCCTACTAGCCTAGCCAGTATTGGTAGCCCCAGCCGAAATTCTGCAGGCTGCAGCTAGTCGGACCACTCATTGAAAGCGACGTTTGATTGCTGCCCGCGACCTGCTTAAGTAACGATCATGCAACCCCAATGCGCGCCATATAACCAGAAGCCGAGCCCCTGGTATCCCACGAAGTTTCACTGCCCGTCTACTGTCATCGCATCAGGACGAAAGTTTTCACCATCAGATGACCATGCCGGCAGATGATCCACCTGCATACTCACCGCCGTCCTATGCGTCGACTATCTATACTCCTCTAGTGCAATCCAACACGATTCGGGTGTTGACCCTTTACCCCGCCCTTAGTCACGATGCCGAAGTTCAGTGCGGGCTATTGTCGACAGAGATATCCACTTGCCAAGAGCTCGAGCAGTCGTACGTAGCGTTGTCGTATGTCTGGGGGAACCTAAGTGATCCTCAGCTTGTCTATGTCAATGACCAAGAAGTTTACATTGGAAGAAACCTTTTCAAAGCACTCCGTCATCTTCGTCGTCGAGATCGTCCAATACGGCTTGGGCAGACGCGCTATGTATCAACCAAACCGATATTACGGAGCGAAACCACCAAGTTTATCAAATGCGCAACATCTATTCTTCTGCTTTGGAGACAGTTATTTACCTTGGAGATGATGATGGAAGCAACACGGCATCATCGGCTTGGAATTTTCTCGAAAGACAGAGCGAATGGGCACTAAACCGAGATGGCAACGAAGACATGAAGTTACCGTCCACTCTTGAGGAGAATCTGATTCACTTCAGAGGAGAGGTGGCTGATTTTGAGCTCAGTGTCCTCCAAAGACAATGGTTCTTGCGTGTTTGGGTTCTCCAGGAAGTCGTTGTATCGAGGAAAGTGTCAATACAGTGTGGTCATCGAAGAATCCCTTGGGACGATTTCTGCAAGATCATCTTGCTGAATCCGCGATATCACGATCGCTATGGGTACAGCATGCGAGCCATAGAAAGAGTCGACATTGTGCGCGACATGTTTCAGGCCCGCTGCGCCTACCAAGAGTCGCATGATTTGGCCCAACTTCGACCTTCCTGGCACACGAATGTCGCCAACTATGGTGGTAGAAGTGCACACATTATCGATATGCTTGTCAGGGCTCGTCAGCTTGAAGCATCTGATCCCCGGGACAAGATCTTTGCCCTTCTAGGGATTTCAACGAATGTGGATGTCGACAATAGATTGGTGGCTGTTGATTATGGCAAATCTACGGCCGAAGTACAGACTGATTTGGCCTGCTGCCTCATGGAGGAACACAAGAGTTTGGATATGCTGAGCTACGTTGACCACTCAATCAACGGCTTCTCTTCCTTATTTGGCCTTGGTCAGGCTGAAGCGCTGCCTTCGTGGGTTCCTGATTGGGATGCAAGCCAAGTTGCTCGAGGGCAGCGGCTCAAGACCATGCATGCCTACGATATCAACTGGGACTCACTACCCCTGGACACCGCTAGCCCCATCGTTCCAACAATTCTGAGTTTTTTGAATGAAGAGAAAGATGAAGAAACTGAAAGACGGCGGGACATAACCTCCAAGAGCATGGCTTGGCTCAACGACAATAAGATTCTACTAACGATTGGTTCAGTGATTGGCAGTATAATACACGCCGGACCTGACCTCCAACTTTGGGGAGCCGATGAAATTTCATTTCAAGCGATCAGAAACCGATGCGATGATCTCCCAGAGTTGCGTCGGAAAATCATGGCAAGATGGGCTCGGCTTCTTCTCTACAGACACAGAAGAAATTGTGTAGGAACCCACATTGACCCAAGACAAGTACCTTCTGGCCCAGAGGAAAGTATGGAAACCGTCCTCCGATCTTTGTATGATATTCCAGACATGAGATCACACACAATCGAAAGTCACTTGGTCTCTCGAGGGCGACAGACAGCTGCCTGGTCCGGAGAAGGCGAGCAGGTCATCAACCGAGTCACTGACAGGATGAGCATACTTGAAAATAAGACTATTGGTGCCTACGATAGACTTTCCGATGTTATCACAGAGCTTGAGAAAGTTATACTACCACCCGGGGCGAGAAGGAACGATCTCATAGTCTCGTTACGCGGTGCACGAGTACCATTTGTTGTTCGGCCGATGGACGACATTCACTTCGTGATGGATGTGGACGAGACTCAAATTCTATCATTACTCCGCTCCGGCTGCGACTTATTGAATCTCCAGAACGTAGCCTTTCTCGGTCACTACAGATTCGTCGGAGAATGCTTGATCAATGGATATGAAGATAGCCTCGATCAAGCGGGTAACGAATGGCGGGCCATCGCACTTCACTGAAGATCCGCAAACTTACGCATTCACAATAACACGTGAAATACCAATCTTGGCAACTTGAGATTAAATTTTGCTATCCAAACGAGTACCAAACCAACTTTTCATTCAATCTGCTTGAGTTTTCCGCCATTTTCCGTTACACCGCCAGCTGCTTTGGCCCAGTCCCGGTAGCATTGATCGGAAAGTACAGCGACACGATACAACTTTTATGAGACTCAGACACAAGAATGAGCCTGCGACACAATGAAAAGCAGAGTATAAAACGAATGAACCCATACTCCCAAACCATAGTTGCCAAATTAACTGCCATCGAACTCCATTGCGAAATAAGTGACCGGTCACTTATTTCGCAACATTTACTTGGCAACACCGATGCAGGAGAAGCATCGCTTGAAGGAGTCAGCCTCAAGGGCGAAGAGACCGCCGTGGTCGAGGAGGGTGGCGGGGTTCCAGATCTCGGGCTCGAGGCGGCCAAGGAGACCGGTGTAGCTGGTGAGGCCCTGGGGCTCGGTGACACCCCACGGGTTGCGGAGGACGATGTACTGCTTGTCGCCAATGACGCAGTAGCCGAGAACGGAGTAGGCGTGGTTGGCAACGATGTTGGCACCGTGGAACTCGCGGCCGGTGGCGTAGGTATAAGCCGTCATGGGGTTGATAGTCTTGTTGTTGACGCTGTTGGCACGAACCAAGCCCAAAAGGGTGTGGGAAGAGTGGTTGTCGCAGTTGTAGTAGTGAGCCGTGCGGCCGTTGATCTGGGCCATGGCCTTGATGGGGTCACCGCAGTGAGTCTGGGTGATATCCGGCTGCTCAGAGTTGGAGCCAGTGATCCACTTGGCGAAGGCCTTCTCGTAGAGCGAGGGCCAGATGTCAGCGCCATCGCTGGAGCGGCAGTAGAGAGGCTCGTTGTCAGAGTTGTTGATGGGGATCTCGTAGTTGACATCAACAGTCTCGGTCTTGTTGTTCTGCTTGCCGCCCTTGTCGTGGAACTTGACGGACAAGAAGCGCTTCTTGTCGTTGTCGTGGGTGTGGACGCGCGTAGCGCGGTTGATGGCGCTGGGGTCGGACCAGAACACGGAGAAGAGAGCAGAGACGAACCAACTGTTGCTAGAGCAGCCCTGGGTGGGGTCATCGAACTGGCGGTTGGTCTCACGGCGGTCACCAAGCTGGAACATGGTGATGTCGGAGATGAGGCGCTTGTTGACACTCTGGAAGAAGTAGTCGTACATGTCGCGCCACGAGGCGTTGGGTGGCTGCCAGCGGCCCTTCTGCATTCTGAAGGGAGTGACGAGCTCGTTGATGGACATTGTGACCTTGCGGTTGGAGACAGTGTCACCGAGCTCGTGGGCGTGGAGAACAAGGCGAAGCTTACCGTTCTTCATGCGGGCCATCTTGACCTTGGCCTCCTTGAGGTCCTTGAGTCCGACCTTCTCGAGATCCTCGAGTCTGCGGACACCAGAGAAATCGGGAGTCATGAGATCCCGCTCGTTGAGAATCTTCATGTCCTTCTCATCGTACATCTCAGCCTTCCTCTCCTTCTCGTTCAGCCTCATACCGGCGAAGAGAACAGAGTGGTGGCGCATGTCAAAGAGCTCATCATAGTCGGTCTGAAGAACATTCTGAAGGATCTGGGCAGCAGCCATCGAGTGACGGTCAATCTTGCGGCCAATGAGAGCTTCAGCCAGAGCGTACGGGTTGACGGCACCGACGCAAGGGTTCTTTGGTGGAGAGTCGGGACGGGGACCATCCTTGCTGAACTCGTGGTCCCTGTTCATGTCGACGAGGTCCTCGTAGTCCTCCATGGTGCTCTGAGATGAAGATCCGGGCATGCTCTCGATCTTGTGGCCAAGGATAGCCTCGACAAGAGCAATAACGTTGCTGTCTCTCTCGGTGCCGCGGATGTCACCCATTTTGAAGTTAAAAGTTAGGTAAAGTATGTTGTAATAAGCTAAAAAGATGTTGTGATTTGTTGATAGTGATGAAAAATTTGGTGTGGCTGCTGGTCCTCAAGTTGACAGAATTGCGTGACATTCGATGGGTCTTTATAACTTTTCTGAAGGACTAGAAGATCACACTTTTCTCCAATTGTGCCTCAATCTTCGGCTCTGCAAGGTGAATCATGAATGCGTAAACCTCAACTCAAACAGCTCGTACGTGTTATGCATCTTTGTCCATCGGTGCGAAGGTTTCGCATGGTCTGCTGCGGGGCAACAAAGGACGCATATTAGAGCATCAGCTACATACACGAGGTCGAGACTTTACAGCGTCGGATTCGATTCTGCAAGTCACAGCAACGAGACCTTCGTGGTCGTATTCACCTCGCAACGTGGACTAACCATTGGTCTGAGTGTCGAAGAGTATCGCCAATGTACCTGGAGTCTCGCGGTCACATGTAAAATGAGCCAGCGTCAGATGCTGAGGCAGACCTTGACGCTAGACGAAGTCAAAGGCTGACGACTCTTTCGTGCCCAAAGTCCGTGAGGGGCCCATCAGCACGACCCAGACACTTCTACAGAGACCCACGATGTAGGTTTCACTGAAACCCTGAGAGGAGCATTCGTGCAGTAGTCCGTGAGGGGTTACAATGTTGGGAGCAAATCTCAAGAGAGCATGTTCCCCGCGTGTGGACATGGGGCCATCATGAGGCTGAGAATCAGTCCCAACAAACTCAAGTCTGCAGCTTCAAAGGCTGATCCGAAGCAGGGATCCTTGTGTTGCGGCAACATCGGAAGAAGCTGGGGAACTGGTCCGGTTTGAAGTGACAACCGAGCTAGACTCAAAAAAGTGAGCAAAGTGTCAGGTCTATGACATGAAGCTATGTGCCACTGATGCTACCGATGAATAGCAAACTTTTGATCCCACATGGCAGCGCGGACTTGGTGGCGTCTTGCTCTACTTCCCCAAAGTCGCACGTAACAAATCCAAGCCGTTTCTTGTTTAGGTTTCTGGACCCCTCATTCTTGCATTGATTCTCCAAATCCATTGGTTTTTTCCGTTGCTGCCGTCTCCTTGCAGAGAAGCATCACAATCTTACGACCTCAAGCTTCATATCGAATTACTTCTTATGGGATCGTAAAACACCCGGCAATAACCGCAACAGAGCGGTACAACAGCAATAACTTCGAAAATTTTCTTCGTGCCGGGACAGAGCAATCGAGGCTTTCAAGGTTGTAATGAAGGTTGCGGGGTACCGGCGAGGCGCGCGGGGTACGTGAAGTCTAAGACGGTAAGGCTATGCGCGGCACTCGGGCTAATCTCCTGACTTTGACAAATGTGCCGGTTCCAGCCAGAGATGCGGTGTAAGAAGGTGAGATTTGGACATTCGACGATGACGATGGCGCTTTCCTCCCGCTTTTCGGCATTCATTCTCAGTCCCTAGAACAATGTCAATGACAAGTCAATGACTATGAGAAAGAGAGTGGCGTTCGGGCATTGTAATGCCAGGCTTCCTCCAGGTTGGACTAATATTGATTGATCAAAACATCCCATTTGGCTTACTAGGGAGAAAAACCGAATCCGAAGAGCAGATTGATCAGTAAATGTAAATGAAAGTGCCGCATTGATAGCCATCCGTCGAAGGAATGTAGTCCAGCTAGCACGGTCCGGTATTGCTCAAGTCCACAGCCTCAGTGTTGGTACAAAGAAAGGACGGTGTCTCAAGAGAACGTCGGGCGGGGCGGGGCTAGCGGCCCGAGCCCGATAGGGCGGGCCCCCGCCCGGCCAAAAGTGGAGTGTGTAGTGGACACCTCTGCCGCCTAAACGCCGGCTGACTGAGCCGAGAGAACGGCGGAGGGGAAACTCTTTTCCTAAGTGGTCTTTGTTTTGCGCGCTTTGCCCCGAAAGCTCGCATAAGAGCGCGACTATCCAACCGGGTTTTGCGGCCGGCCTCACGATCATCTGAGCTGAAACCATGTCAAAGCAGCATTTCTGCTTCTGCTGCGAGCTGCGAGTGGCAGCCTCTGGCTTATTGGCTCTGTGCTTAAGATTTGCAAAGAGCAGCATAAGCGGGACAAGATTTCCATTGGAAATTGCCCTACTACTATGGGACTGACCTTTTCCCAAGCCCCGGCGTACCAGAAAGTCGGGTCGGGCACCAAGCAATGCCAAACGCGTAAGGCTACACTCAGCCTCACTGTCGATCGCGAGCGTGCATTGTTATTGCGGGGAACCGCGGGCATCTAACCACACTGCACGATGCACTCCTCATTCTGAATGATCGGATAAGATTAGCAAAGGCTTAGAACAGCATCTCGGTCTCCGCAGCTCTGCGTGCGGGCATTCGAGATGTTACAGGTCGAGAAAGATACTTTTCACGTTTTTGAATGTCGAAGTCAGAAGGTTGTGGACTTTCATCCTCGAGCCTTGGAGTAACGGGTCCTTGACTTCGCCTACCTTAGGTATGGTGAATGTAATTTCCGAAAATTTGAGGTGCGAAAGTAACGGAGATGATATTACGAGGTTCACCGTGTTCACACTTCACAGTTGACCACAGTTGAGGGGATCCCTACCCATGTCAATACAGTGTACGATACACTTCTAGGCGGAGTTGATCTGATCCTAAGATTGCTCTCTCCACAAGGCCCAAGCAATCTCACTGCTCATTGCCGGACATTCAGACGAGCTTATGTCCGAGTCACATCAGATGAGACAAGACAAGCTGACTCCTATACGACGAGGACGACGACGACGACAGGAACGATTCTCGCTTATCACATGCTTCGAAATTGGAACGGAAAATGCATTGAGCGCTACTCCCATGATGTATCATCAGCCTTACGAGCATCTGACATTGAGATTGCTGTGATTATGGCGGTTTCTTATACTCTTAGCATTAGACATGTCAAGCGTGACCGGGAGATTTCCTTTGATCCTTTGGTAAGGTCGTTTACCCACTATTCCATTGCTCCATGTATCACCATCTGTGCCTCGAGATACGAAGGCCCGAAGTAAGAGTTTTATCAATTCACTAACAACAACCAACTCAGCTACCCCGCTTTGGACAATCAGTCGGTTGTTTGGCTGGCAATTATGTTGAAAGTGGTCAGACTGACTGACAAGTTGGATTAGTGTCGAGTGAAGCGCTATCTCAAGTGCAACCGGTCATTGTTCCATCAACAGACATCGGTCCCAGAAGCTCAAAATGGTCAACTCCCGCTCCACTCAATGCTTCTATCATGTGGACCAAATATCAGAGACTGGAGGGCATGTCAAAAATTCACTAGCGCAAACAACAAGCGTAACGTGCGTGATCTAAGATCGGCAGAGATAAGACATTTATTGGACCGCTTGTTTGACCGTCATTCTTCCCTGCCAAGATCCTATCAGATCCTTCGGGTCAAGTCCAGCTAGCCCCTTGCTAGAAGGCTGAAGATCCGAGACACACTTTCGAAATTCAATCGACGTGATTTGTAAAGTATCCGAGGGGGAAATCTATCCCAGAAATCAATGCGACAATCGTAGGGAGGCTCACAGATGGTAGCCATTCCAAAACTCCCAACGCTGTGGTAATTCTAAATCCACTACATTCATGCCCCTCAGGCACATACGATCCTGAGAAGGCACTGAAAGCCACTTGATCATCGTTAGGAGGTGGAGGCAGATATCATTCGGCCTGTGGCTGTCTATGTGGTACATATTAATGCCGCTTTGAAGAAGTACTCACATCATCTTGAGTGAGGCGCGCATCCTTCTCCGCCGAATTACCATCGTGGGAGGAATATTGAAGCCTGATATGTTTCTCGATGTCTGCACATTACACAAGTCTGGGGGGTTAACGGGACATGGAAGGTTTCTGTTCGCCAAATTGTCACCTCTTCGACTCGATATTCGTCCATCGATCGAAAGATACAAAACTGGCCATGTGAATCCCCAAAGCCTCATCGCTAACATAAACTAGAAGGCTGCCTCAGAGACTTCGAGTGTCTCGTTCTCCTGTCTTACCAAGGCGGGCAGGGCCAGATTGAACCAAATCAGCATGCCAGCATAGACAGTCTCCCATTCCTTTGACTGCCAGACGTATTTCCTCGGTGTAACAAATAACTCAATTTGTAACATCACTACATTCTTGAGACCAGTTTCCTGAGGAAGACAGGCTCCAGCTACCGGGCAGTCAATCATGTTGTTTCCGAAGCGAATATACAATCCGCGTCCGCCCCTCGGGCCAGACATGACATGGATTATGTTCACCAGTTTGATACGAGGCACGAAGACACATGTTTGCCTCCGCTCAAGATAGGAGCTTGCCCCTAAACAATTGTCCCGGTTCATCCTTCAAACGCTTTTTACGAATACCGCTTGCGATTCCCGTCTCCAGGCCTTGACCGGGGATCTTGCCTTCATAGAATCGAACGAAGGTATTCACGATATTTACGAAAAAAAAGCCCGATTGGCCACGCTCTTTCTATACAGCAGATCAGCGTCGAACGGCGGTTAACCAACACGATGGCGCGATTCCCAGCAGCCCGACTGCTCCTGGCATTGGTAGTAATGGCCGTCACCAACGCCCAAGTGGACCAGTCGCAGTACAGTGTCCCTTGCGTGATGCAATACGTCGGCTGTGTCGGCATCCGAAACTTCAACGACGCCTTCAGTCGTCTACTAGGCGACGACTTAATGGAACCTGTCAAGTGCCAAAAGTTCTGCAGCGGTATAGGCGCAACGTACGGAAGCTTGTACGACGGTAACTACTGCAGATGCTCGATTGTGCCCCTGACCTCACAGCCCATCATCGTCCCAGTCCCTGAATCCTATTGCAACAGAGTGTGCCTAGGCAATTCTAACGCAAGATGTGGCGGTGCCCGAATTATCTCAATCTGTACAAAGCGGTTTCTATCACTACCACGTGCGGAACCAGCAGTACCAGTACGACGACATCTTCTTCTTCCTCGTCGACATCCTCGTCCATCTCGACCACGTCCTCGTCAACTTCGACGACAACCTCTCAGACAACCACAGACACATCACTAACAACGTCTTCACCCACTTCAACATCCTCATCCTCCTCGACGACCTCTCCAACAATGTCAACCTCAACAAGCTAATCAACCTCATCAACAAGAAGCTTCCCAGCCAACACCCTCGTCCCCGCCCCGCTCGCACCAGCACGGTATATAGGTTGCGGCCGCCTAGACAACGACATGGTCAGCGACGTCGACCTCCTCTTCAACCCCACCGTAGCGAACCGACCCGCAGTATGTCAACAGTACTGCAAGGACAATAGGCGAACGATCACCCTGATGTCCGACAGTCCAAGTTCCTCTGTATCTGCAGTGTCCTGATACCGGGAGCGACATCGCCTTTTGTGTCGAGCATTCCTCCGAACGACAACTACTGCACGAATCCATGCAGCGAGATGCCTTCGGCGCCTTGTGGCGGTGCAGTTCCATTTGAATTGGGTGCGCCGATTTACACCGTGTACCAGCTGGACGCGAGCTTCTTCAACACTACGAGTTCGAGTTCGTCTTCGACTATCTCCTCTACTTCGACCGCATCTGCTTCATCGTCCAGCTCGGCCAGTATTCTCTCGAGCACATCAAGCCTATCGAAAAGCCCGGTAGTTTCGAGCACCTCTCCAGGAACATCATCAAGTAGCTTCAGTTCGGTATTCTACTCAAACACCACCACACCAGTAACAAGCTCAAGCATACCAGCGACTTCGGGCTCTTCAGCTTCCACAACTCCAGTGGCGAGCACTTCCAGCAGCGGATCCATCCCTGCAACTCTACCCCTTTCCTCGACGGCTCCTGCTTTGGTTCCCGCTTCAACACCTTCTGCAACGCCCTCCGACAGCTCGATTCCAAGCAGCAGCACTCCAGCCGCGCCCACTTCACCTGCCTCGACAACAAGCACTATTCCAACCACGGGTCCCCTCCCAATAGACACAAGGTCCTCGAGCCCTACTCTCGCATCTACCAGCAGCCCTCCGGGATTGGGCCCGGCTTTCCTTCTCACAGTCACCATACTAGGTCAAGCTGCACCAACCCAAACCCTTAACCCCTAGGTGGATGAAATGTAAGGACAGGTTTTTTGAGCTTATTTTCTGATTTTCAGTTTTCAGATAATGTCTTCCATGTAGACTGGAGGTGTGCCTGTAATAATTGTTGCGTGGATACTGGCCAACCCATTCACCTGACATTGAATCATCAGTAGATTCCATTTCAGATAAGTTAGTAAACGACTAGGGTATTTATGGATTCACTCGGACAATTGTGTTGTGGATGCGTGGGTAGTTCGTGACATTTTTCCAACTTGTTTAATTCTCGATTTCTTTTCGTTGTGTTTGGAAGTACAGGAAGCGTTTAGAGTCCCAACGCTCCTTCGAGGAACTGAACAGCCATTGAACCAATAACCCCAAGAGCAACAGCATATCATCAGTATGCATCAAGCCACTTGAATTGGACACAACAATCCCGACGTCTGATGTAAACCAGAATTCTCAACCAAGCACCCATCTGCCATCCAATGCACACTACTCCGTAAACCTAGCAGCATGTCACCGGCCCCCCACAATCCCCACAACCAACGGATCCACCCACAGATCCCCAGGGCTGCCACCCAATAAAACACTCCCATGCAAAAGCGGTGAGCCCACCAAGCCACAGCTAGCCCAAAAGCCGGTCCCCACATGACGCGGCAGAATCCCCAGACAAGCTCCGCCTCGGACAAATGCTCCCAAGGCTCAAGCTCCATATCGCAACCAACGTCACCGTCAATCCCACGACCAGTTCATCCTCCTCCTCCCTTCTAGCACCATCCAACCTTTCTAAGGACCGACGATTAAAGGAACACGGGAACTCGGAATAAGAGAACCACAACCACAATGGCGCCCTCCTTCCGCGCCCTCCTCCAAAATCTATCCTCTCTCCTCCCCCACCTCCCTACCACCCAAACCCCCATCGCCAACACTAAAACCTCCCTCTCCTCCTCCCCCAGCACCAACAACATCCTCAAAACACCACAAACAACCTACGAACCCCTCTCCGGCGCACCGAAATGCCCAATCGACGGCTCCGGCCAGAACGCATGCTGTCACGTCTACCCCTCCGGCCGCCTCCTCCTGACGCAATTCTGGGATGACACCGTACACGTCGGCGGCGCGGAGGAGGATTGGACCGTTCACGGACTATGGTAAGTCATTTCCCAATCCCTTCTCTCGTCTTCCCGTCATTGTTATGGGATCGGATCGGATTGGATTGAATGAGAGAATCGACCGCTCCCTTGCCAAGCCCACTCCCTTCGGAAAGACAATTGACATCTAACCGGGATGATTGCGATAGGCCCGATTCCTGCGATGAGAGCTACAAGGCTTTTTACGGCATGACGCCTCAGTTTGACAACATCACCGATATCCTAAAGCATTACGGTCAAGATGACCTCCTGGCTTCAATGGAGAGATACTGGGTAGCAGCATAGTAAGACCCCCCCACACCCGTCCCCCGTTCTCCGCCCCCGTCCCCGCCCCCGTCCCCGGCCCCGTGCAACCCCGGCCGGGATCAAGCAGTTCCCCCCGGCCCATCATCGGCCGAACCTACCTTGAGCATGCATCGATCATGCTAACAAACACCCTCCCTCGCAGCGGCACAAACAACCACCTCTGGGCCCACGAGTACAACAAACACGCAAGCTGCATAAACACCCTCTCCTCATCCTGCTACGACACCGCATACAACCCCGGCATCGAAGTAGTCGACTACTTCACCCGCGCCTTCTCCCTCTTCCGCCAACTCGACACCTTCACGGCGCTCGAGAGGGCCGGCATCACGCCTTCAAGCTCCAAGCGCTATGCTCTCGCCGACGTCACAAGAACGCTGGAGAACCTGAGCGGCGGCCGCGTGGTGCTGCGGTGCTCCGGACGCGGGCACGACGTGCTTCACGAGGCTTGGTACAGCTACTTCCTGAAGGGCAGCCTGCAGACGGGACAGTTTGTTCCCGCGAGGGAGCTGGGGGGCCACGTTGATGCGAGTAACTGTGCCAAGGAGGTCAGGTACCCGCCCAAGAGATGCAAGGGCAACTGCCCGAATGCGGAACTATAGAGCCTTTGTTGAGCTCGGACTGCGTTACGGAGATGTCACTCGCGATGCCTGTTGGATAATGACTTTGTATGTGAGATTTGCTTTTGGGGATACTGGTCTGGCGTTTGGACAAGGAATGGGGAGTTTGGTCCGGGTCATTGGTGATATCCTTCTGTCCGGGACCGAGAATTGGCGTGCTGGTCTCCGGTAGTTGAGCTGTAACAAGTAACTTGTTAGAAAACTCGGTATGCTCGGCATTGCCGATGCGGTCATTTTCGATACTGTGCTGTTGGAAAGCCGACGGCAAATGACATTGGTGTTTCAGCCTCCTCGTTGGAGGTAATTGCCCGTGGAGTTTTTCGGATAGCCTAACGCCGACGAGGCTGGAATACTGAGGGACAACTTGAAACTATCCTTTAATATGGGATGATGAAGTCAGAAGTCTAACCGTGTATCTGATGGCTGTCTCCCAAACTCAGAGCTGCAGGTGCAGTTCTGGAAGATTGCAGCGGCGTTTTCCGAAATTCGACTGCGGCTAGTCACTGAACAGAAGAAACAATGTTCTTGAGTCCGCACGTGTCTTGACCTAGTCCACGGCTTCTAGCCTCGACGCGAAGGATCCTGCCTCAGACGTTGAAATCTCCCTCTCTGCCCCTACCAGCACGCCAGCCTTGCATGCAGACGTCTAGACAGGAGTGGTGCAGACTGGCGAGGCGCTGAAGAACGCGGATGCATGCCTTATCGGACCGACCGTCGAAACTAGCGCACGCTTGTGCTGATCTGGATTAGAGCGTGTGGAGGTGGAAGAGTGGGCTGAGACGGACACCGATGCACAGCACAGCATGGTGCCATGGTCGGATTCGGCGTGGTACAGCGTCCTGTCATGCCTGGCTTCTTTGGAAAGTTGTCAAGGCATCTCCGCAGCCCCGACTTTGGGCGCTTGCTCGAGCGCTGGTTCGTTGTCGGCATTTGAGGAGAAGGGGGGGGACGGGGTGGAGAAGCCACGGAATGCAGGCTATTTCTCTGGGCGCTGTCATCAACAATGATCAGAGCATGGGCTCCTTGGCCTCTCCGCCAATTTGTTCTGGTGCTCAGATCGCGGTTGACCTATTCGTAAAGATACAGGCCATCGACACGAATGGAAGCCGGTGGTCCTGGAATCCCGTCCCACAGACGTAGGAAAACCGCAGCGGGTATCAACAGTTCCGGTGCCACGAGGTGGACAAGGTGAGAAGAACGAGGGTTGGAGACGGGCAGATTCTTCAGCCCTGCCAGTGATTTCCAGAGACCAGAGGGCAGTGCGATGTAACCTGTCCAACGCGAGGACCGTGACCAAGTTACCAGAGCCAGTGGTCGAGAACGATAGAAATGTCTCGTTGGACCACCCAGCTGCTATGCGTACCTGTTCTGAGAAGAGCTTTTCGTGCTGACATGAGCGGTTCCACCACCCTCTTCTTCTCCCCCTCGTCCACGGGTGTACCGGCACGACGGCATTTGCAGACGGTGGCAGTGTTAATACTTGTTAGCGTCGACGGCTCCTGAAGCGGCGGCAGCTAACAATGATGCCTCACAAGCTGCTTCAGTGGTCTCCGCCACAACGGGGCTTCTGTTGCTGCAAATGCTCCTACTTGGCTGTCTGGGAAGTGCCGTTAAATTATTGACAAAACTTAAGCCCCGATGTGGGCACACGACACCGATCTGAGATGCGTTCAAGTCGAAACTTCGACTGGTCTTAATGGCATTCCAATGGCCACGGCGTTGTGCTGATGCAAATGGACCCCCTGGTGACAAACGACAGCTGAGCAGCAAACCCAAGTTGAGCAAACTCGTGCACTGTTGATCGGGCCAAGTCGACCTGCAAACGGCTTCTTGCATTGGCGAAGGAGGGTGGCCACCAAGGCGTCGTGGTCTGATAGGTGGGCTGAAGCGAATGGAAGCATGGTGGAAGACGCTTGGAAGGTTTCCCTCATGCGCCGTTCTAGGGGCGATCCGGGGAGTGGCAGGCCCAGGGGTTAGATAGTTAACTGAGGGTGGTCAGTGTGAGTTTCTGCAAAGAAATGAGCAAAGATTGCTTGCGATTCACAAGATTGCCAAGTCCAGCGTTCTGGGACTTGGATATGCCCACCAGCGTGAGTTTAGGATAGCCGCGACCGCTATTTTGGTAGGTGAACGCGAGAGCCGACCATCTGTAACCATCGAGCAGTAGGTAGCCTATCAGCCAGCATCGGTTAGGAGGAGGATCTCGATCCCATTCTGTGGGTTTTCGTCGCATGCTTGCTGCAGTCGCCAAGGGGTAGCGCCATCTCTGCATCCGTACGAAGCAATGCGGTTGGCATTTTGCTCCCGAATTACCAAGTTTTTCAGAACAGTCTACTCCCTAGGAATAAACAGAACAAGGTGGAAATCCCAAGCAGAACGCTCGGTCAGTGGGAGAAGCCTCTGTGCACATTGTTGCTCAGAGCTGGCGCTTTCCGCCATCCCAAGTGTCGGACGATCACCATGTTGTCGAGACCAACGAAGTTCATGCTTTGTTGAACTACTGAGAATAGTGGCCTCGAGCATGGGCGGCTTTGATCCGAGCCCCATTGAGAGACGAGACCGCCGGTGGTGAGAGGGGCCTTTTGGGGGCAGAACCTGGCAGGGCTCCATCTGTACCGCGCGCTATCGACGCTGCCAGCAGCAAGTTGTGAGGAGGTTGAGGGGAACAAGCAGCCACGGCAGCGTCCCAGCGTCGATTCACCCCAGGGGCAAGCCATCAGTGCGTGGTGTTTGTGGCTGCTGTCGTGGCTGTCGAGGTGCGGTGAGGGATGTCCCTCGCACAGTTGTTTCGTGTGCCTCTAATTTTCGAGCATTGTAGTCTCATCAAAACAAGAGCCAAGAGTCGAACTTGCACTGGGCAGAACGTCGACGGCTCTCACGGGAGATTCGGGTGGAACACTGTAATTATTAGCAACATTACAGGGACGATGCAAGCTGATGGCAGGCTACCGCTAGCAAGTCCCGAGGATCCAGCGCCGGAGGTCCAGATCAGACCAGACAATAGGCGGCAAACTTGAAAGCAACACGGCCCCAATTAAACAAAGAGACGGCGTGGCGCACTGGGGTATTCGTAAGGCTCGTTCGTGTCCAGACAGTCCAGTTGCCAGGTGCCTTGCGTGCCGGTGCTGTGGTCTGCGTGAGCAAATTTTGGTCTGGCGGTGATGGCAAGTCTGGCTGGGCGAACTCGAGGAACAGTGGAGGACTATCACGAGACCGTCAGCGCAGGTGGCCTGCCAATCAGGCGTGCATGTCGTAGACAGACAAGACATGTATGATGCCCGCAGCTTGTATCCGTAGGGCACGAGATTTGCATCCGAACGAGGAGCGAGGAAGTATTCCGCCCAGAGAATGGCAGAGCAGAGCAGTCAGAGTGAGGCGAATAGGAAACCTCGGATCGACCTCAAGATGCGCCTCGGCCGACTACGAGTGAAACGTACTCGTCGGGTACAGCGCCAGAGCAACTACAACAACGGCAGGCAACGGCAGGCAACGGCAGCCATGATCCATCTGCCAGCGGCCAGAGTCTGCAAGCTTCCAGGCGTGCGGCGTGCCTCGTGCCGAGTACCAGATGACGGGAATGTGGTGGAAAGGTACTCATTCCGCAGGTGGGTGAGAGGGGGCAGCGCAGCGCGGCCTGCAGTGTGCCAACCGACAGTCTGGTTTCTGGTGCCTCGGTTTTTTCCCAGCACAACGGACACCGGTGACCGACGACGAAAGCGGACTCGATTGGCTTGTTCGTTTTGGATTGGGCGTTATAAGCGACTTGTCGTCTTGGACAATGGGCGCCCCAGCCTTCGTACGACGTTGCAGGCGGCGTGTTCCGTATGTTTGTGCTGTCGTCACATCAATAATCATCTCGGATCCTGCCACTTGGCTAAGCCTGAGAGACTGTCCGACTCTGACAGTGTTTGGTATCCGTAGTGTTGCTGGTTTGTTTTCGAACTTGTTGTCTCTGGGATCCTCTGCATTGACCGTGGAAATTTGTTATGTCTGGTACAATCAAAGAGGGAAATCATGAACAACAATAACAAGGCGGGGGGGATGCCTTGAAAGTGAGGAAGTCACCAACAGTCGGTACGTGGAAGGTGATCCATCGGCGCGGAGGTAATTACGAACGACGAGGAGGTGCACACAGTACGTACACGACGCATCATTGTGGGGAAATATGTTAGGAGATGGTGCTCCTTCTCGATCTTTGCCCATTGTTCCTGCCCATTTTCGAGTATTTTCTGTGGGTTGTCACCAGACACCCACATTGCCTTCACACAGTGCAGAACGAGGCCCGTCCTCATTTTCCAAGCTTGCTATCCCTAAAGAAGACTAGCGCCTCAGCTGCAATGGGCCTAGTAAAATCATGATTAACCCACTTGACAGCCTAAGCAAGGCAAGAGGCCTTGTCCGTTCCTTCCATCCTGGCGGCCACTGGTGAGCACTGCACTGTGGCTGTCCTCTCTCTCCTCACTGCTGCTCAGTCTCGGTCGTCCCTCTTGAGTCTCCCGGTCGCCGTCCAGTCTCTTTTTGCCCGACAGGTTCCCACTTGGCAAGTCCATTCCATTCCCATTCTTGCCCTGTCCGTTCCTCTTTTCCACTCCCATTTCCCTCCCCGTCTCGCTCGCTCATCCTTCCCAGTCCACCCTCCTCCTCTTTCCCTCCGTCCACTTTCCTTCCGCCCACTCACAACCACACCACCCACCACGCAACTCTCGAATCCGCAACTCACTCTCCCTACCCGACCGATCCTCACCGAGAAAAATCATCCAGTCTCCCCTTCATCGTCTTCGGTCTGGGGCTTCATATTGGACAAAACGACGACACTCACGCACACCCATCAAGATATTCGACTCCTGGGCAGACTTTTCACACAGCAGGCTTTCTGCACAGACGAACGGAAAGGGTTGTAACGGGCGTCGCAGCCCCGGATTTTGGCACCATCCCCCGCGTTTCCCTCCCAGCGACTGCATACAGAAAGGGCCGAATACACACTCCATCTCTCAACAACACACTACACGGATCGCTCCTACAGTCCCAGAAGCCCGTTTCCATCACTCTGCACCTTCTCTTATCAATCCTCTTCCCCGCAAAACTCAATCAACGCCCGCTAGACCTTCATTGTCGATGCCAGCGCCCCTACAGAGCCGTCGCCGTCGCTCGGAATAATCCTCAACTATCTGACTGTCTCAGAGCGACCGTCGACCACCGACGACAACAACCGCCACCACGTCTTCACCGTACGTCGCCAACATGACACAGGCCGTCAAGCGGGCCTGCGATGCCTGCCATCGCCGCAAGGTCAAATGCGACGGCGTCAACCCATGCCGCAACTGTCACACTGCCCAGCTGTCGTGCACATACAATGCCATCCCCCAGAAGAAGGGCCCCAAGGGCTCCCGTGCGAAGGTTATCAGCGAATTGAGGGAAACACAGCGACAGACCAGTTTGTCGGCAAAGGTTCAAAACCGCATGAATGGCATTCCGAATCCTCCAGGCCCCGTCAGCTTGGCCCCGACCCCCGGTCTGCTCTCGAGCGAGCTCGTCAAAGAATGCATCGACTTTTACTTTGCGAATCTGTACGAAAAGATGCCTATCCTCGACCGACGCCAAATCGACCAGCAACTCCCATTCATGGAGCAGAACCGCGATACCTACTGCTTACTTACGTCGCTGTGCGCATTTATGATGCTTCAGCCTGGAATGTCAATGCCAACAGGCGACCCTTTCAACCTCGATGTGATGCCTGGTGCCACCATCGTCGCAAGCCAGTTGCTTTTGGAGGAGACTCTGCAAGTTCGCAAGGGCTACGACTACCTCGACAACATCAGCTTCAATACCCTTGCAACAAACTTTTTCATCTACGGCTGCTACCACGGCATCGAACTGCATGACAAGGCTTGGTTCTACCTTCGAGAGGCTTCTACCATGATGCACCTCAACGGCATGATCAAGGAGGAGACGTATCACGGTCCTCAATGGGACAACGCCGAGTCCTCTCGGAGAAGACGGCTATTCTGGCTATTCTACATCATGGAAAGGTAAAATTTGCTCACTTTCTGGCCCCAAGTAACCGGTATTCTGTTTCATCTACTAACGGCCGTCTCTGCAGATCTCACGCCATCCAACGCCAACGACCTTTGACTTTGCAGGCCACTATCAACCCGCCCAACTCCGCCGATGACCCGAGCGACCCACTTAGCCACCAGCTGAACAGCTTCATCATGCTCGTGAACCTGTTCCGCCCCTTCGACGACGCCTTCACAGCCATCTGGAATAAGACCCGTACCAATCTCTACGTGTCTAACCTGCAGAAGCAGTTGAACGAAGTCCTTCCCACCTACCTCTGCCAAGATGGCCAATTGTCCGATCTCCGTACCAACCAGCAGTGGCTCAAGAGCACTGTCTGGCAATTGACCCATGGAAACTCGTCCAACGAAGACAACATGAACTTCAACTACCCAGTCGACCTGTCTCGCGAGCTTCTGATGACCCTCGCCTCTCACTTCCCTGGGCAAGGCATGGAGCTGATGAGCTCTGGCTTGGTAAGAATCCCCAAGCTCACATCTGTTTTCCTCCCGTTACTAACCCGGTGTGCAGATTGAAAAGCTTTTCGAGATTAGCTGCAACATGACCGACTTTCTCGCTGTTCAGCCCGCCGCAAGGGATCCTTTCACTGTCGGTCCCCGGGAGCAACTCAACCAGACTCTCAACATTGTTGCCGTCCTCCGCCACGGCGATCATCGCTTCCTGCCGTTGTTGCTGAACAAGGTTGCCGACATTATGCCCCGTCTGACCAACCCCATGCTGCAAAACGCGCCCGAAAACTCCAACATGGGCAACATTGACATTTTCGATGGCTTCGGAAACGCAGGCATGGCGCAACCTCCATCTCAAATGCAGATGCAGATGGATACCGACTACGACCGGAAATTCTCCGTTGCCGACTACGAAAAGAAGTATGGCGTGTCCGATATGAACAGCAACGGCAGTGAGGCCAACACCATACCTGCCACGTCTGCCAGTGCATCCTCCGTTCCTCCAGCGACTACTGCGGATATGAACTCGCCTTTTGCCAGTAGCTCGCCTGCCATCATGTCTCCACCAATGGAGTATCCCCACAACGGAATGAACGACTACGGGTGCACGCCGATGCCCGATATGGTCATGAGCCCGGCTGGCCAAAACGGATCGGCGATGAACGGTCAGAGTAAAATGAACAATCAGCATCAACACCAGCAATCGCATCACATGATTCAGAATCAGTGCATGACGCCACAACAAATGCAGCCCAATATGAGCCAGCATCATATCCACAACATTCAGCAAGGTCAGAACATGGGCGATATCAGCCCACCATCAGTTCAGGCCCAGCAGACAATGCCGACGTCCCATCCTATGGGTCCAGGTGGAAACAACCTCATGAACTCCATACCCCGTCAACAACCGCAGCGTGCAAGTAGCTATGCTATTCAGCAACAACCGATACCACGCACCGTAGGAGACTTCCACGCACTTCAGCGTGCGAATTCCGATATGCCCGGTCTCTCCGGCATAAGTACGGAGATGGACTTCAATACTATGCGCTGATTGCTGTTATCATTGGCAGCGCGCGTTTAAATCGGATTACCTTGAACACGCCGCTTTTAATTGTTTTCTCCCCATTTTTTCTTTGTCAGAAGCGCTGGCTATTTCTATCATGTTTTTTCACCATTTTACTTTAGATCTTTGTTCCTTTGCATTCATTCCACCATCTTCGGGATGGGGCGCGGGTTGATACCGCCGCCACTTGAAGATCAGCGGGGATGACAACAAACCAAAAAAACTGGGGTGCCTTGGGTTTGGGGACTTATATTGCAAAACATGGACTTCTTGTATAGGCTTAGGGTCATGGACACTCTCGCATCTGCCGGCTAGGGCATGGGAATTGGAGTTTTTCGGGCGTTTGAAAGAGTTCTGCAACATCAAGAGGAGGATACTTGGATATATGAGCAGGGCCGACATGGGAGCGGGTATTCTGGCTACGGCCGAAGCTTGGTTGCGCAGGCAGCGGCATTTCTACCGACTCCCATGATCGATATGAGAATTAGGAACTCGTCAAGTCTGCAAGCGCGCAATACTGACATGCGTCTGTCTCCACGGAGACTTGATGAATGAATAAAGATAAACTTAGATTGACTTTACTTTGACTCCACCTCCGTAGGCAGCCCAGTCCCATGTGAATGTGTTACTGTCGTACCTTGTGTGAGGTTGGGTAGTAGTTCCTAAGATGGCGACATGGGTCACTCTAAGCGGTTGATACCAACCTCCCTCCTCTGACCTGTCTTGGACTTGGTTGACAATGGCTTTAGAGCATATCAGCAACGTCATCTCACAGAAAGCAAAACATCCGCCCACAGCCTCGCAGCCCATACATCTCGTTCACGTGCTCGACGATGCGTGTCAAGAACCCTCTTTACTATCACGGGAGACTACCTGCTCCACGGCTCCCAGAGCCCTTTATAGTACCCGTAAATACTCTTCTTCTCGCTGGCCCCTTCACCGTAGCGAGTCACGTGTGAGCATAACGAACTCGTAGAGCAGCGATCAACTTGCTTGGTCTCAAGCAGTTGCCCCATCTTATGCTGCTGCTGCTTCCCGTTGCTAGTGCTGGTACCACGTGCAGCAACCCTAGATTGGACCTTGATAGTAGACCCAATCTGTTGTTGTTGTTGTTGTTGTTGTTGTTGTATTTAACGCCGTGGCGGCAAAGGCGCTGCCGCCCTTGCGGCCGACCTCCCGAGGGGTATATGGCGTGGAGGGCCGTAGGCTCGAGCTATATACTCTATCCCATCGAGTGCCAATTGGCAACAGGTACATTATGCCCAGTTTTGACCCACTTTTGCCCCCTCACCGCGGGAATACATGACGGTACGTCATCAACCCCTATATTTTCCCAGCTGCGTTCACCACCACAACTAACATTTCTACAGATGGGCAACTGTCGCGATGTCCTCAAGCGACTCTGATGCGTCTGATTCGTCAGCGCTTTCACATATCACCGTCGCAGTACTTCCCGAAGACCTTGATAGCGCCTGTACAGCTCAATGTAGGCCCGAGAGGTGTGATAACGCAACTGTACGCCCACACGAATCGCCTCCGCTAGAAAGGGGCACACCGGGCCAATTCAACCCCCTCGACGTGCCCTACCGCGCCGCAACAGTATGGGGTCTATCTACTACCCCTTTAGAGCTTTTTCAGCAGTATGTGCCTTTGAGGCTGGTTGAATCGTGGGTACAGTGGACCAATGAAGCCGCAGTACGAGGCCCTGTTCAACAACACTCTCGAAGCAGCAACTGGAGGCCAACCTCTGTAGACGAGGTCTACCTGTTCCTAGGTATTCTTATCTATATGGGAATACACGTCGAGAGCAAGATATCGCAATATTGGTCAACCTCTCAAAATAGCGAAGACCCCATTCATCTGTTTACTCGCTTTATATCACGCAACCGCTTCCAGATTTTATTACGCCGCCTATGTATCTTCGATACTGCCAACTTTAGCCAGCCAGACTCTCCGCCTACGAAGAAACGGCGCCGCAGCGAAGCCCAGCCTCGTGAGGACCTCATGCCTAAAGTGTACAGGCAAGTCAACCAGTGGTCTAGCCACATACAAGAAGTAGGGGATTCTTTCTACATACCTGGTAGTAACCTCACGGTTGATGAGGCAATGGTTCGATTTACAGGTCGTTCTATTGAGAAAACAACAATACCTGGAAAGCCTACACCAGTTGGCTATAAAGTATGGGTTTTGGCGCAGTCTGGTTACTTTATACGTTGGTTGTGGCATGTTCACGGCAAGGGACCCTACGGGCTCGTTCCACAGCAGCGCTCACAGCGTCACCAAAAGAAGAGGGATGAAACTAGCCTTACGCCAACCCAACGCGTAGTTACCACACTACTAACGCTACTGCCAGTTGCTGAATACCACGTTTTTCTTGATAATCTGTTTGCCTCTGTCAAGCTCTTCAGGGCGTTGCGGTTGAACTCAATAGGGGCTACGGGAACCTGCCGGAAGGATGGGGGAATCGATCGATTACTTGTCGATGAAAAAGAAGATGAAGGGAGGTATATCCCATGGGGGGAAATCCACTGTATCCCTACGAAAGATGGTCAGGTACGTGAAAGAATAGGCCGTAATCATAGTATCTAACATATCCCTAGATCAATCAACTGAGCTGGAAGGACAACGCTCTCGTCCTTTTCCTAACAACCGTCTTTCGTGGTACTGAAGAGATCATACGAAGCCGACGCCGACCGAATAAATCCTCTGCGGCAGCTCGTGCTGCCCGGGAAGTTTTTGGCACCGAAGCCAGGAAGAACCTACCGATCCCACTTTGTATCGACGAATATAACCATAATATGAATGGCGTAGATACAGGGGATCAAATGAGGTCTTATAACCAGTATGGGCGACCAGTTCGTCGCGGTGGGTGGCAATCCCTTGCGTGGAACTTTCTTCTAGAAGTAGTTCTTGTAAATAGTTTCCTTTCACAACGCTGGGGAGAGCCAGGGTGGGCACGAGTCAACTCTCAATATGAATGGCGGCGGTCCCTTTCTGCCCAGCTAATTCAACACTTTGGGCCATTAAGTAATGGAAGGAAATACAGCCGGCCCCAACGGGCGACAGATAAAAGGAATAGTTCTATTCCGTCGGAACAGCATGTAAGGGACAGGCGGAAAAATCCCTCGGCTTGTGTAGCTTGTACTCAACAGAAAAGAGCACTAGGCGAGACTACAGGAAACTCGCGATCCCACAGAAAAAAGACGAGGTCAGGGTGCCTGCAGTGTGGAGTAGCGCTTTGTAACTCGGATGATTGCTGGTACCTCTTTCATAGTCAGAGTATATAGACAACAGAAGTATCCATAATCTAGGCTTTTTGGTTGGCTAGAAGAAGTCTTGGCTGTCTCCTGAGTGGTCAGTTCCCCTCAAGGGCATGTGCCTGTTGCCAATTGGCACTCGATGGGATAGTACACGCCTCTTCCTAACGTCCTCCAAATCTTACCCGTGGGCTACAGTCTGTTCTATCCGTCCCTAGTTCCCGCTGGTTCCCTAGCTCCGTTATTACCGTCTATCCCTCTAGGAGGAGAAATTCGTTAATCGGGCTGTTGGTTTGCGTGTACCACAGGTTAGTCACACAGGTATTCCTGGTATCGCGATCGGTAGCAATATCGCTGGGTTAATCTGGTGTTCTTGTTGTTGTTATTGTTGTTAAGGAGAGTATCTAAACGCGAAGGCTCGTGATATGGAAGGAGGGAGCTGAGGTGTGTCACGTGCCGAAGACACGTGACATAGCTCGGCTCCGTGTATACCTAGCGATTGCCGTTTGTTCCCACACGGGCCTAGGCACATACCTCGAAAGGTACCCACTGTTAGTAATTGTTAAGGTTATAGAGGGCTACGGCCCACTGCACTATCATCTCTCAACATCAGCCTATACGAGCTGAATTCCACGACCATGGCGGTCTCCCTAGATGTAGGGCCATCGATCACGGTTCACGGGGACGCCGGTATATCTCGGCGGTCGGGACGAGTCCGGAAGCCGACTGTAAAGGTCAGAGTGGTTGAGTAGGTTAACCACCAGGATAACTCTGAGCTTAAAGACGAGATTAACAAGCTTTCGAATCTTGTCCAGGACCTCCTACGTCGGGACGCCGAGAGGGAATAGTTTTTGAAAGACTGTTTGACGAAGATCGAATCCTTGGAGAGAGAACTTCAGGAGGAGAAACAGCGTTCAAACCGGCATTAACGTGGTCTAGTAAGGTCTATGTACGCTATTGGCATAGGGCCTAGCGAGACTGACCTGAGTTCCCAGGGGCATCCCTTGCACATAACCCAGAACCAGCCGCCCCTAGTCCGTTCATACGCGGCGGCGGCGAGCTAGCTACTGTCCAGAAGACAGGATGAACCAACGCCAGCTAAACAAGGCGCAAAATAAGCTATAAACCGGGCGGCCTTAAAGGATCTACGCGTCTTCGCGCGTTTATTGCTTGAAAGCCCGCTTCGGAACGAGAAAGCCTACGATATATATATCTTCGTTCGGGAAAGGCTAAGTCCCCAAGCCCGAGAAGCCCTTAAGGGGATCGACTATGTTAAGATAGGATTAGTACTCCTACCTTCGTTAATGGATGGTGTAAAAGTCCTGCTAGAGAATAGAGAATAGATCGCTGCCCTTCTTGAAGCGTAAGCGATCGAGTAATGCGATACCTGGATCCGAGCCTATATCGTAAACGTCCCTTATACTAGGTATTGTCTGGTAACCAATACTGAGCTGGAAATCACGACCGAGGAGCTCCTTGAAGAGATCCAGGTCTCGACGAAACTCAAGCCTGAAAAAGCATACTTCTCTAGGAAGGACGAAGTCGAAAGGCTAGGCACGGTGATAGCCTGGTTCAAGGCGGAAGCCGTAAGGTAACTACCAAGACGCCTCCGTTTGATGGGGGCTAGCGTTTTTGTAAACCTGCAGTTCCCGAAGGAGAAGAGGTCTCCTTAATGTCTCCGCTGCGCCGGTTTTCATAGCGAACGAACGTGTACTAGAAGGAAGAGATGCCTCAAGTGCAGCTCTCCTTCCCACACAACTGATCAATACCGGGCACCCTGCGGCGGCACTGAGGGTCACGATGGCTGCGACTGCCCCTTTAAATGCCCGTCGTGTAACGGGCCTCACGCCGCCTTCGATGCGACTTGCCCTATCCAACCCAAAGTGGTGAAGGGGGTAGTCCAGAGGAGGGATAAGGCTCAGCTACGGGCCATCCGAGCTGAGGGAGAAAGATTATGGAGAAATGCGACCCAGCAGTCGCATCGACATTCCCGTGAAGAAGAATAAGCGATAGACTGTACCCCGGCGAATGAGATATAAAAGAAGAATATAGCCCTTTAAAACCCTGCAAATCATGCAAGCGAATGTGGGTAGGCGGGCATCCGCCTACGAAACAGTACTAAACCTGGCTTACGTAGCCCAGATCGATATTCTCCTAATATAAGAGCCGTCTATCCGTTCGGAAGAGAGGAGGCTCATAAGACACTACCCAGGTTTTGAGACTTTCACCCTAGTAGATAACTGGACCGAAGACCGTCCCAGGGTACTTACCTACCTCCGTAGAGGAACTGGGGTACGAGGCGTATAAATACGGCCTCTACCCGTTCTATCCACAGACCTGCTCTTCTTACGACTCCTCTTAGGAACGAAGGAGGTCCTCATAGTCATTAACGTATATAACGCCCCTCGTGGCTCTTTGCGATCTGGCCAGGCTCTCAGGAACATCCTAGCGGCCTGGTAACCTAAACCTGAGGATCGAGTACTGATTGCGGGGGATTTTAACTTACACCATTGGACGTGGTAGCCCGAGGCCACGAGTTCCCCGGACGCTGAAAACCTAGTAGAATGGGCAGAAGCCGCTAGCCTTGTCCTAATGTCACCTATAGGTGAACCCACGCACAAAGGCGGCAACACCCTAGATTTATGCTGGGCGTCCAGCAACCTCCATGGGGCTTCCACCAGCATAGAAACGTCACTACACACGACATCAGACCACGAATCTCTGCTTACCCGGGTCCCCTTGGCCCTGATCGATTCACCCAGCCAGACGCCGGGAAGGTTTCGGCTCGACACGATGGACGAGGAGCTTTTCCTCGGCATCATTAAACGCAACTTACAACCCATGCGCCGCACTGCAAGCAACATCCAAGACCCACAGTCTTTAGATCTCCTAGCACAATAGCTTACGGACTGTCTTATTAAAGCACTCACGGCTTCCACAAAGCGCACGCTCGGGAAAGGTACAGGGAGACCATACTGGAGCGAGAGCTGCATACGTAAATACCGAGCCTATGCGAGTAAGCGAGCGATGTTAGTAAGACTCCGCGCAGCCGGAGTGAACTACCAATGGGAAGAAGAGGAGGTCGAAGCTCTAAAACAGGACTTCCTCTACGAATTTAAACGCTCCAAGGATGCCTTTTGGAAAGATAAGATCTCCTCAGCCTCCTCAAGCAAAGATATATTTGAAATGGTCGGTTGGCATAAAGCCACAGGATCCTTTCAGACCCCGCCACTCCGAGATGTAGATAACTAAGATACGCTTGTCTTATAACCAAAAGAGAAGCGCGACTTATTTACCCGCGTCCTCCTTAGAAACGCTGCAATCTCCGAGGACATACCAACAGAAAGCCCAGTCCTACAAAGGCAAGCTACGCTTCCTTTCCCGCAGGTTACGAAGGATGAGGTACGGTCTTCGGTTCTCACCGCGGGAAACACGACTCCTGGGACCGACGGAATCACTACGACTGCTTTGAAAATAGCATGGCCAGTTATCGAGGATATTGTCCTCTCACTTTATAGCGGGTGTATACGCGAGGGTTGGCATCCTACTTGTTTTAAAGAAGCAACTCTCGTGATCCTAGCAAAACCGGGAAAAAGAGACAAGACACTCCCGCGCTCCTATAGGCCAATTGCGCTCTTGGCCGTCCTCGGAAAAGGCTTGGAGAGACTCATCGCCAGACGACTTGCCTGGATCGCAGTTAAACATCGTGTTCTGCACGATCAACAGTTTGGAGCACTCCCTCTTCGCTCTTGCAGCGACCTTATCGTAGCGGCCATCCACGATATCGAGTGCGCCTGGCAAAGAGGCCTGGTTACCTCTATACTTACGCTCGATATAAAAGGGGCTTTCGACGCCGTGCTCCCAGGACGACTGGTCCGACGCCTCTGCAAACAAGGATGGCCGGAGAACCTCGTACGCTAGGTCTCAAGTTTTGTTACCGGAAGGAGAGCAAGAATAAGGCTTGATGGGGAGGTAGGAGACGTCTTCGGTCTCGAATACGGACTACCACAAGGCTCACCCGTGTCTCCTATTCTATTTATGCTCTATATTGAACCTCTTTTCAAGCTAGGCATAGCTCGCCTAGGAAGGAAGCGATCTCGTTTCGGCTACGCCGATGACGTCGCTATCTTAGTAAGCTTAACATCACTAGAGAACAACTATGACATCCTAACTAAGGAATGGAAAGAAACCTTAGGATGGGGCGCGACGGAAGGAATCACTTTTGACCTCGATAAGTCCGAACTAATCCACTTCACTAAGAGATAAAAAGACGGAAACCCATTAATTATAGTAGGTTTGCCGGATAGGAGGTATTATATAATTCAGGCTATCAAAAAAGGCTCTTCTCTACGCTGGCTCGGCGTTCACTTCGACCGTAAACTCACATTTAAGAGTCACGTAAGAAACCTCTCTGTAAAAGCATGCTAAGTAATCAATGGACTACGGGGACTAGGGAACACTATCTGGGGCGCGCCTACGTACTTACTTCGTCGAGCGATCACCTCTTGTATATTACCCACTTAGTACTATGCATCTGAAGCATAGTGGCCCGGCAAGAGCCGGATAAAGAATGGACGTACTATCTCAAACGGGGTTAGTAGTTTACTATACCAACTGGACGCGACGCAAACCAAAGCCATTAGAGCGATGGTCCCCGTATACAGAACTACGCCTATACTGATCCTATAGCGCGAGGCGGCTCTACCCCCAGTAGAGGTGATACTGGACGCGAAGCTCCACACAGCGTCCACCAGAATCCATCGTCTGGACGAGCGACACCCTCTCCGAACGAGACTCAGGAATAAATCAGGACCAGACTCACGGCTACGACGAATGGCAAGCCTCGTAAGCAAAAATACCGAATACATCGATCCGTTAGAACTCCCCCCTTGGGAGCAACTAGCGGACTGGCAGACAGCCCTCGCCAGGGTCGGCTACGAACCTAATAAGACCAAAGAAGAACAGGCCCTCTCCTTTGCAGGCAGGATGGCAACTTTCTCCAAGCGGGATATTGTTGTCTATACTGACGGGTCCTAGATGTCGGACGGTAGCAGCACCTCCGCCGGAGCAGGCTGGGTAGGGTACCAAGCTACACGGCAGATCTTCCGCGGATCCGAACCACTCGGCTCCCAAACTGAGGTGTATGACGCGGAGGCACATGCTGCGTATCACGGCCTGATGGAAGCCACCCGGGCTCCTACGGCTCGTATGGCAGATAACGTCCATATCTGCCTCGACAACCTCGTAGTCGCGGCTAGACTATACTCCCAGAGCATAGGAAGCAGCCAGGCTAGATTTAGGGCCTTCAATAGGCTCTCTTCCTCCTGGACTCGGAGACAAAGAGAGAGCTGGACAACCCCCGGCAGGGTTTATGTTTGGTGGTGCCCTGGGCACACGGGAGTACCAGGAAATGAAGAAGCGGATGCTCTAGCCAAGGAAGCCTGCAAACTAATCCCAAAATCACAACCACAGCCCTCATTAGCGCACCTAGAAAGGCAAGCTAAAGCAGCTGCCTTCCAAGCCTTTGCCAGAAAATGGCTGTCCCAATGCCCTCGGCAATATGCCGACCTCGAGATAATTCTTCACCCCAAGCCGCCCGAACTCCGCCTCCCTCGGCACTTACTAGGAAGGCTATACGCAGCAAGATCCCATCATGGAGACTTTGCAGCATACCACGAGAGATTCGCTCATCAAGATGCGTTGCTCAACTGCAGCTGTGGGAAACCCAAGACACCAGTCCATTTCTACCTCTGCAAGCGTGGACGCAAGGCTACACCGCGCTACCTCCGCCAACGTATGGCTAAAGCAAGCATTGATTTCTTGTTAGGTTCTGCTAAGGGAGCCTCTCTTCTATGCGAATAGATAGAGGAGACCAATTTCTTTTCCGAAATTTGCCCGAGTCATTGAACAGGAACGTTAGGTGAAGACGGTAGCCTGTAATATAGTTTAGATTAGTATAGACCATGTCGGCATTGCGCCCGGCACGTCCTTTTGTCACCAGACGTTAAATACATCATCATCATCATCATCATCATCATCACCTTTGAGGTACGGACCCCGTATGTTCAGAATACGGAATCCGTACGGTAAACATACGGATAAAGGATATGTTCAGAATCAAGACTTGTATATAGGATGGACTCGAGCCGGACTCTAGGACAGACTTCCCATAGCTCTTCAGCAATTAACTTCGTATCAGGATTAACACCCGCTTTCAGCTACTACTTGACAAGACTACGATTGGTCACCGAAGCCTTACCTACCCTTACGATTGACAGACATAGCTTCCCTGAAGCTATCCCCGACTACGATTACTGTTACCAGTTCCGCAGCCTCAACTTCTGCAAACTACCCCTACGACTAGCTGGCCGTAACATTTAACCTCGAAGTTAAATTAATTAAGGGCAGAGTTTTAGTAGTTATTTATTTTAATTAACTAAGTTATTGAAGTTACGTTAGTTATGTGGAGCGCTACTTAAAAATAATGAGCCCGTAAGAGATACGCCAGGTAAAGAAATCTCAATCGCTTTGGTAAAGACTCCGATATGGCCCGCGGCAGGATCTGGCACCATTTCTGCTATGCAGAAGGCCGGAACTATCCTCCGAGATAAAGGAATCAAGGTAGAAGAGGTCTACTTTCCTCCCGAAATATCGGACCCCGACGAACTGGAGCGAATTCAGAAAGTCATTATTCTAGCTGAAACCCAGACTTCTTTCTTTAGAGAATACCGTTTGGACAGGAAGAATCTGGCTCCAGAGATTCGCGATATTGTCGAGAACACCTCTAAGATAGAGCATGAAGAGAGGGAGAAGGCTTTAGACAGGTATTCTCATATGCGACGCGTTTTCAATAATTCAGTCAGGGGTACACGGCCATCCTTACCCCTAGCGCAGTAGACGAGGCCCCTGTTGGGCTTGGAGACATGGGTTGCGCGACTTTCAACATGACGTGGACGGTGAGAGGTTCCTCTTGTACCTCCCACTAACTCGCCAGGCTTACATTGAATAGGGTTTTCATATGCCCGTCATCAACGTACCCGTCTTTGTCGGAGCCAATGGTATGCCTGTGGGCATATCTCTCGTAGGCCCAAGGTTCCAGGATCAGCAACTTCTCAAGACGACCCAGGTTCTCGTCGAGGTCTTCGGGGCCCAAGGCAGCTGTAAGATTCCGCTCTAGCCATTCCAAATTCCGGAGTCAGACTGACCGAGCCACCAGAGCTTGAAAGTAAACCAACAGTTACGGTCACTGCTAGGAGCCATGATGAACCACCTTTCGAAACAACACCTATCATCTTGCTTCTGCCGTTCCCACAAACATCGGCCGACGGGATGGTCCGGCGCGCCTTCATGTCTGAGCACAGTGATATGCTTTTTGTAACCAATTTGGGGAAGAGGAAATTCCAATCAGACCCTCGTGATTCGACAGAGTCCGCACGAGACATCTCACCAAGTCGAGTTGAGTCAGCTTTCACATGCCAAGTGTGTCTTGCATCGGTTGTCTCACCGCCGGGATGAAGTGCAAAGGCACGTGAGAAGGTATGCTCCTACGACCGAAGCAGACGTGACGCGGCCAGCTGAGGCGTTGGAGCAGGAGATCTTCCCCACTTTCAGAGACCGTATTCTGAAAACGCAACTTGCTTTGCGATCTGTTGTGAGCGGATATGGCTTGCAAGACATTCTAGTCTCCAGGATGGTGATACAGGGCTGAGATCTCAAAATGCTTTCGGGATGGGGAATAAGGAATGGAGAAATTATGGCTGAACTCTCGTGGCGTTCCAATCTGCGATTGGATGATTTTCATTGCAAGCAATAACATGGAGAAGAGTGCAAGAACTCAATTCACGTGAAATTTTCTGACTTGGTAGTGGCTAGGAAAATGCATATATGGTTTACTTAAGCGCGTATTCTCAAGGTCAGAATGATAAAGAGCTTTCAAGGTTCATTCCAAAATCCCTCTTCTAGCATTGTCCCTCTCACTCCATGATTTGGAGACAACAACCAAAATGGCGTCTATTGAAACTGATCCGTCGACCCAGAGCAGGAAGCTCGTTCTCTGTTTCGATGGCACAGGCAACTCTTTCAGTGGCTCCGGCTCTGACACCAACGTGGTGAAGCTCTTGCGTATGCTTGACCGCAACGACAAACACCAGTACCACTATTACCAGAGTATGTAGAATGATCAACACTGAAGACCTCTCTGAGTAGTATCTGGCGCTCAATTGAAAACAGCTGGCATCGGAACGTACGATGTTGACGATACCAGCGTCAACAAGAACTGGGTCAGCGAAATGCGTAGCAGCATCTCACAGAAGATCGACATGGGCTTTGGTACCACATTCGATTCCCACGTCATCGCTGGATACAGATTCCTTATGCGCTACTACGAGACTGTAGGTTTCAAATCACACTTACAGGTACCTGCAAGCAATGGCGCTAACTGTTATTTGAAGGGAGACAGGATCTACATATTCGGATTCAGTCGTGGAGCCTTCACCGCTAGGTTCTTGGCTCGCATGGTCAACACTGTTGGTCTTCTCTGCAAAGGCAACGAAGAGATGGTGCCCTTTGCATACAAGCTTTATCAGAACCGCCTGTCCAAAGACAAAGAAAAGAATATGAAGAACCAAGGTGACGCTAAGGACAACGAGAACAATGTCGGCGGTGCCCAAGCGACCGAAAATACAAAGGGTCCCACCGTCGATATCCAAGAAGCCACGCCTGTGAGCCCACCATACACGCCAGTTGACGAAACCTTCCCCAATGGAATCAGAAGCTCCAGTGACGCAGGCAAAAAGCCCAAGGGCTGGAGGAAGAGGGGCAAGAGGGATGAGATCAAGGCCTTCAGCAAGGCCTTCTGTCGCAAGGAAGGGAGTGACCACGGAAAAGACAACATCAAGGTCTTCTTTCTCGGCATGTGGGATTGCGTCAACTCTGTGGCAGTTCTCGAGCAGGTCGGCGACAAGCCGTCCTCAGTGATGGGTACCGCAAACTATGTCCGTCATGCTGTTGCCGTGGACGAGTTCCGAGTCAAGTTCAAGCCTGCGCTTCTCGCGCAAGATGTCGCCGAGGTTTCCAAGGGAAAGCACTACCACGAAGAAGATATCAAGGAGGTCTGGTTCCCTGGTAACCATGGCGACGTTGGCGGCGGCTGGTCGGTTATAAAGGATGACCCAAACTGGAAAGCCAAGGAATTCGAAAGGATCAAGAATGAGAAGGCGAAGAACAACGATGTTAGGATTGATGATTATCCCGACTACTTGAAAACCTCAACCTTTTGGAATAAGTTTTTGAGCTTCTTTGGAAGAGGAAAGAAGGAGGAGGACCTCGATGATACCGAGGATCTGCAGCTGAGCGACGTTCCCCTTTCCTGGATGATCCGTGAGCTTGAACTCGCGGACCAGGAGTATGAGGCGAAGACGGGCAAGACGGGCCTGAAGTGGCGGCCAAGGCGCTTGGAAAGGTTCAAGTTCAGCATCTACCAGGACAAGGTGAAGCAGGAGCAGGCTCTGAATGGATGGATTCACGACCTCCTTCGACTTGGAAAGGGAATGGGCTACTTCAAGCCGTTGATGTGGTACCTCCTTGGTAAGTGACTCCACCTCTCGAAGGCAAAGTGTCTTGGCCAGAGCCAGACAACTGACGTGATGGCTTTTCTTTTGCAGAGATTTGCCCTCTTATCAAAAGATGGGAACTCGACGACGAGTCCAAGCAATGGGAAATTTGCCAGTGGCCACTCAATAAGGGCGGTGCTCGAGACATACCTCGCAACGCAATCTTGCACGAGTCTCTACACCGACGCCTTCATAACGATAAACACTACCAGCCACAGAACAACCATGGTAACTTGAAGGAGGCGTGCTTGAAGAAGAACCGCATGCATTATGATCCTCATACGACTCATCACGGAGATTGTGCAGAGAGTTGTTTCCACAATACCTGGAAGTTCAAGGCCCACGGAGATAACGCGGCTAAGATCACATCTCAGACGACGAGCTGAAGAGTACATTTTCTTCAGGTTGGCTTGTGCTTTCGTGCAATTCGCTTTTTGGAGTTATTTTCGAGAGTTTTCAACGGATAGTTTTATCATGTACTCGTACCTAGATTGAACTCCAAACCTGACATAAGTACCTGTACTCTCTTTGTGTCGCAGCCAGTTACTGCCGTACGATACCGCTTTCCACAAGCCGATTACCCGTCTTGTATGGTATATAAATATGACCCTCATACGGATCTTCCACTTAGAGGATTCAAGCCACTTTCTACTATACATGTCTTCCACTTGCTACCTCGCTTTGTGATACTTTGCCTTATTTTATAACCTAAATGTACATTATGAGCGAATGCATGACGTCCGCAATCGAAACAGGCTGGCGCTGTCGTATATCTCTGCATTCGAAATATCAAGTGAGGGCATTGAAAGCTTTCATTCAAAAGAGACCAAGATGTTATTCGTGATGCCCCAAGTCTTCTCCGATCTTCAGGATGGAGGGTTCCGGATCTACTTCTGTAAATCTCTCTGGCCTTGGTAGGTTCTTGTATTTGAGGATGTGCTCCGAGATGCCGTTTTCATGCTGCCACTTCAAAATTGGATCATGTGCCACACACTGCCTCTTGATATTGAAATCCGGATAAGGGTTTTCTTGGGTCTTCATCCAGTTGTGGGAGATCAAATCCAAGCTCGGGTTGCAAGTGAGAGCTTGTAAGAGTATATCTATCTATTGAACGTGTTAGAAAGGGCGGCATACTTTCTGTCTATGCTCCAGACTTACGCAGTGCGCCAGATGTGCCTGGTGTCGTTGAGGTGCCATTGAGCTAGTCCAATCGTTAACCTACGTTCACATGCCACCTCTCGGCGATACAGAGAGAAAACCTACATGTTTTTGTAATGATCACCATAGTAGAAGTCAAAGTAAGCGTACTTGCGCACTGCGTTGAGGCAATGGAGTTGGTGTTGCATGTCGATCTCGACGAGGTACTTGTCTGGTCCGACACCCCACTCTTCAGGGATAGAGACCGAGATTTTAGGGTCTTTTCCCATCTTCCTGAGTGCATCGCCGCTCACGCCGAAATACTCGATCCGCGCCATATCATCCCAGGCTTTATCAACTTCATCACTGGGTGATCCACGCCAAATGCGTGGAGGTGTGTAGTCGTTGAACAATGTTCCTTTGACTTCGACTGTTTCTAGCTGGATGGGGATATCATCGAGAATCGGGCCTGTGATACATGTCAATCAGAAGAACTCCAGGTTCAGGTAAGAGAAAAACGTCTTACTGTAAGGCGAAACGCGCTTCATTAGACGGACCGGGTCATTGAGCCATCTCCAAGAGATGAAAAGGAGCCCACACGATGTGAAGAAGAATATCGCGTTGATCGCAATGATAACCTTAGAATGAAGGCTCCATTGCCCTCGAACTTGTCGCGACTCACGCCATGATGACTAGAGTCTGTCAGTGAGCTATCGTTGAGGACTCCGAGTGTGTGGATTTCCTGTGGCTTACAGGGCTTGACAAATCGTCTTTTGAGTCTTGGTCCGGGACACTATGGTAAACCTCTTTCATTTTTGACAACAGAGTAGTTGATGCCGGAGGCAAGTTTCAGCTTTAGAAGCTCCCTGCCTCAAATGCTTGAACCTCACTTTCCGACAGGATAAGATTGGCGGTGATTCGAGGCTCTTGCCTCCGATAGCGAAAAGATGGATTGTGCCGATGATGCCGTGATCACTTGTAATCGTTAGTTGCGATGGTATCACCTGCCAAATACTGTCAGGCCTCGCTTGCAAGACCTGGTAATCATAACCAAAGCCAGCATCTCCTCGAAGGCTGATACGGCGGTCTCGGTATCAAGTAACACATGAGGATGACTGAAGGATTCGCCAAGAGCGAGAAGGATTGCCAAGAATGTGACGATTAAGTACGAAATGAGATCCATTCCGCGACACTGAGGGGGCGAGCCCTTGACTTGCGAGCGCTTGGGAAGGGCTAACTCAGAAGTCAGGCAGAACAACCGGACCGATCACTCAATTCTGTGTGGTGGATTTGAGACGCACAGGAGTAAGCAGTTGCATAGGTATCGCGTCCAAATGAGGGGCAGAGGGGCGAAAGGAGAGATAACAAATCCTCTTGAACCCCAGTTACTGATCCCACCGCGGCAAGGGCCGGTGAATGGAAGTGGCGCTAGGTCAAAGACGAACTGATTTTACGGCGCAGATGCTTAGCCGACTGGCGAATGACACTAATTTTCAATGAGTCTTGTTAATTGCCCAAACGTTTCGGTAACTCTGGATTGTGTGGTGCTTGGCATTGTGGGATGTGTACTTACCTTCTCCATGTGGCTAGAAGATTCGTCCCCTGTTTAACTTGAACTAACCAGTCAAAACATAGAGAAGTGAGTCTAGACAGGCGCGAATGGATTCACTGCTTCATGTGAGCTTTACGCATGCCTTGTTTGGCTTGAGAGGCGTGATATCGAGCCGAAGGAACGGAACGAAGGATTCTTGACTATTACATTGGCGGTGTCTGTTCCGTGCATGCGTTCCGCGGACGTACTATACGTTTTATTGCATCTTGTCAACGCAATGGGTGCTTACGACTTCCATCTCGTGAATGCTGATTTCGCCGAGCCGGAAATAGAGGATAGAGAGAGGGGAGCTTGGGATTTGAGAAAGACATATAAGAATGCATGTATCTTGACTGATAGTCGCAGCACCATCAGTCCACTGTGCTCATAATTAGCACCATTGCTTTGAAAGGTCAACACCATAGTTGTTTCTCTCACTCTACTTCAAAATGCGTGTTCAAACCCTTCTTACTGCTGTCGCCGCTTGCGCTTCGTTGGCTGACGCCGCGCCGGTTGCCACTGAGGCGTATGGTCCTCCTTTAAACCCTCACATCCCGGCCGTTGAGTCCAAACGAGAAAACACGGTTGAAGCCTATGGTCCTCCCGTTAACCCTCACATCATCTCGAAGAAGGATGCCGTCGAGGCTTACGGTCCTCCCACCAATCCTCACATCATCTCAAAGAAGGACACTGTTGTCGAAGCTTACGGTCCTCCTCTGAACCCGCATATCCCCGCCGTTGATACCAAGAGAGACGCGGTCGAGGCTTACGGTCCTCCCACGAACCCTCACATCATCTCCAAAAAGGACACTGTTGTTGATGCATATGGTCCTCCGACAAACCCGCATATCATTTCGAAGGAGTAGAGAAGTCGAAGAAAAGTTTCGTACCAAAGGAACAGCAAAGCAACGGTTGATGGCCGCAAGAGGCGAGGAATTGTGGGATTAATTAGATGGCCAGCGGAAACGGACGTATTCAACTACATGGGAGAAGACACAGAAGTACCAATTAAGACAATATATTAGCAAACAAAACGTTTTAACTCAAGCTTACTATGGAGCCAAAGGCTGTAAAAGATGCAAAGGGGAGAGAGAGGTGCGCGATGTTAAGACCCTTTCTGACTTTATTTTACTTCATGATGGCACGATAGCTGCTGCAAAAGCGAAAGACTTCCGAAACCGAGAATCGAACTCGGGGCTATGCCTAATCTCTCGAGGAGATGAGAGGGCATCATGTTGGCCACTACACCATATCGGATGTTGATGTATTTCTTCTGAAAATTCTGCAATATGATCTTAGGGTACGTTGTGGTCCCGCCCTAAACGAGTAGGTATGCTCGGTGGAATGCAGGTTCTTTCTCCGTATTACCTACCCCACATCCAGGACGCCAGGCAGATCTTGCCCAGGCTGACCCTGCGTGCCTGCCCAACTGCGCAGGGTTGATACGCTGAAGTTCGGACAAGCTTAATGCTTCGAACCATCCTTATTAAGTCTAGAGCCGAACTAAAACACTTGTTGAGAATAGGAAGCCGATCTCCGCATTGGCCGAGAAATAGAGGCCTGCCGTGAAAACGCTTCCCGTTTAGATGGCGTCTCGATGCGATTCGCTACCTGATATCGGCGTCCGTGCTATGACGACATGAAGGTTCCTCCAGTGCCGCGATTTGCACCTCAAAACGTAAACTTCGACTTTTGAGCCAAATTTGAGAGTTTGCCAACGACTACAGCAGACTCCAGATCAACCTCACCCACCGCAGCCACCGGCTCTCAAAGACGATCCGCCGCCAGCACCTGATGCACCAATAGACCATGGCGGTTATGCTGCGGGCGTGCAGTTCAACTCTCACCACTTCCCGGCAGGCAACGCAATGCAAGGATCTTATCAAGAAGCAGGTTGCGCGATTCAAGCCTGACTATCTGCTCGTTATGCTTGGGTTCAACGATATGGGCTGGGGTGTTGCAGATGCCGAAAACACTCTTGGTGCCATGAAAGAGCTCGTGGATAATGCACGTGCTGCAAAATCAGACGTCGAATTCGCTCTTGCTGATGTACCGATGCGAACCCCAGTTGACGGGGCAGAGAGGCTTCCTCCTATGGTGGAAGGATACAACCAGCTTCTTCGAATATCAATCGAAAAGTGGACAGCTCTCGAGTCCCCGATCGAGTTGGTGAAGGTCCGGCGTGGATACCATTGTTCGGAAGGAGGTTACGATGGACTACATCCAAGTGCTTTGGGCGAGTTTCAAATTGCAAAAGCTTTCGCTCGAACTTTGACCCAAAAGTTTCGCCTTGGAATCAAAGAGCTCACTATACCGCAAGAGATCCCACAAAGACCGACGCCAGTGCCGGCGAATGTTGTTGCGGAAGCAGTTTCCTATAGAGTCTCTGCGAAATGGGACCCAGTATACGGCGCTATCGGCTACGATGTCAGAAGCCGCAATGATGACAATCTGCCGTGGAACGAGACAAGAGTAGATGTGGCCCAGTACTACTCGACGTGGACACAAGAGAGACAGGAGTATCAATATCAAGTCCGGACCTTTAATGGAGAAAGCCTTGAGTCCGCCTGGTCTGCCACGGTCTCGGCAACTGCACATCCTAAAACTGCTCCGGGACCTGAGAATATTATCATCAAACCTGAGATGGACAAGGTCCTTGTTGAATGGGAAGAGCCTCCAAAGCAAGTCGAAGTGGACCGATACGAGATCATCCTCGTAGATCTGTCATTACCGGGATCTTTTCCGACGAATCTTGCGGTGAGAGGAACTGCGACGATATTCGCCGACCTATCGGCAGGCCATCGTTATGGTTTAGCGATCAGTTCCTGGACAAAATATGGAGGCAGTATTCCGGCAGGAGGCCGGAGCTTCACTGCTGGCAACGGCAAGCCGCCGACTCCAACTCAACTCCAAGTTGAAGTTCAGGATGCCACCACCGTGCACCTGAAGTGGGCAAAAACGAAGAGTGCAGCAGGATATCGCGTGTGGGTGCGGAAACTAGTGGAGAAATCGGACTTCGTGGAAGACGGAACGGTTGATTCTGCGGAGTATGGCATCGCGATTCTGATGCCCGGCGCCTGGAACTTTGAGTTCTGTGTTTCTGCATATAACGGAAGCCTTGAGTCGGAGAGATCAGGCAGCGTGGGTCCCAATAAGAAGCCGCATAAAATCTCGGTAAGGCGTACTGCCTCCAACGCTGCCCAGCTGAAGTGGTTCGGAACTTATCACTGGATGCCTGATCTTTAGCGCTTATTTCGGTTTCAGAGATTGCGCTTTGCATAGTTATGCAGATGGTTCGAAAAGAGTGCAGGCTTGGCGGTGTGACGGGCTAGGTTGATTTCCAGACCTCGATTTTCCCTGCCATCTTTTGGCTTGACCTTTTTCAAGAAACATCAATACGAATCAACTACTAGGACAAGATGGCTGTAGACATTGTATCAATCTGTTTAGAACAGGCTCTGAAGCCCACCTCGAAGGATAGCACGAAACCAAGATCCTTTGATTTCTTTGACGTCCTTGGAACGACGGGGTGCTTGCAACAGTGCGCCATTTTCAACTCTTGGAGCACACTGTCCCGATCGGACACCGAGAAGTTGAGAGCAGAAAATGACAACTTCGTCAACAATGGAAAGAAGAAACCAGGCCGAGGCAAATCTTTCACGTACGGGGATCTGGAATGCTCAGCCCGGAACGGTTGTGGAAGCTGCAAGGCTGTCAAGACTATGTTGGATAGCGCACTCACCAAGCATTTTGGAGGAGTCACTCCCTCTACGACATTTCAATGGGTTGCAAGATTCAATGGCACTCTAGAAATGAACGCTCCAGACGGCAAAGTGTACTTTGTCAGACTGTTCAACATGGCGGGGTCCACTAATGTCTTCCGACGGATACAAACTACCAACGGCGTGGCTGGGGATACCTCTTCTGATATAAGCTTCCAGAGGATCCGAACTTGGATCAATGACTGCGAGCTGCATGAAAAATGCGGCAGAGGTAGAGAGATGAATTTGCCTACCCGACTCATCGATGTCGTTCAGCCCGGAGACAGGCTTGGAGTCCGTCTAGTGGATACATCTGGACAAACAGGTACTTACATGTGTCTGAGCCACTGCTGGGGAAAGATCAAGATCAAATCCAAAACGGAAACCCACAACCTGAAAAGGCGACTCAAGTTGATACCTTGGTCTTTACTTCCACCTAGCTTCCAACAAGCAATTGAGATTACGAGGAAGCTCAAGATTCGCTATCTCTGGATTGACTCACTCTGCATCATACAAGATGACAAGAAAGATTGGGAGAAAGAGGCAGCTCGGATGGTCGACGTTTACCGCAACTCATACGCGACTATTGCCGTCAGCTGGTCTCATGACTCTCAGGGAGGCTGCTACTCTCAGACAATCCCAAGTCAATTCTATAACATCACGACCGAGCTTGGTGACGAATTCAGAGTCGCCTTGATAACAGGTGAAAAGCGGGACGAGATGCCAGACTACGCTAGGTTACAAGAGTATTTCCCCCTCTTCAAAAGGGCCTGGTGTCTCCAGGAACGCCTCCTTTCGCGGCGGATTATTCATTGCAATTATGGAGAAATGGCATTTGACTGTGCTAGCGGGTACTCTTGCGAGTGCGGTGGAGAGCAACATCACAATTGGCACAACTTGATACGGACCTCTAATACTTATGTACCGTTGCGGTCCAGGTCGAAGTACCTAGCATTGCTGAACAACCCATTGACGACATCAACTACCGCCATTACCACAAAGGATGGGAAAATCGATCCTTATGAGAGATGGCACCGAGTTATCGGCGAGTACACCTGTCTCAACCTTACGTTCACAGGGGATATGCTCCCAGCGCTATCAGGTCTTGCGCACGAGACTGCTGAAGTGACAGGGGACACATACTTGGCTGGTATGTGGAAGAAGAATCTCGAACAAGACCTCTTGTGGCGCGTTGTTACCGTAGCAGATTGGAAGAAGCAACGCCCGAAGATACTGAAGCGTGGATGGGTAGCCCCGACTTGGTCTTGGGCTTCCACAGGAAGTGGCTGCAAAGTAGACTATCCAACATTCCAAAATGCAGAGCTATTAGAGTACAAGACTCCCGGAATCATGGATACAGCTCAAATAAGCTGTTCACTAGCTGGAGCTGATCCCTATGGCACGGTGTCTTTTGGACACCTCACAGCGGTGATTAGGCGTTTATCCGTCATGATACAAAGACCATGCTCGCACTGGGATCGCAAGAGGCGCTGGACAAATTGGATCTACGGCAGGTATTTAATTTACGCCCGGGAAGACAAGCGTGAGTTTCGGGAAGAGTGTGCGCCAGTGACGGGCGAAGCACCACTGGAGTTTGGGTCCGCCGAATCGGAGGTATGGGTTGACCCTTCGCTCGAACGGATGGACCGCTGTTTTCTGCGCAACAGTCGGCCTGAGAACTTTCCGGAACTGTGTAAGCATTGCGCTTTTCTGCCAGCTGAGTTGATCTATATCAAAGGATATGGATTGGGGAGCAGAAATGCGCGAACAAAAGGCACGCGGGATTCATTTCTGATCGTTGCCAAAGATGCGACGAGTTCCTATGTAAGAGTAGGGCTACTGGAGGTCATTTGCGACGATTGGAACGAGAGGCAGATTTGGTATCAAAACGTATGGGAAGCTGCAATGCCTGAGACCTCTATCACGATCTATTGATGGCTGATCCTTGAATGGATGCTCACTAAGTAAGTAGGGTAGCGCAAGTTCGAAGAATGAATGGCATCATTCAGATAGTAACATACTTAATACCAGCAGTATCATTTAACGCAATGGCACTGCTAACATGTCTCATGATGACCCGTTCTTATTTAAAAGAGGTTTTAGGATGCAGGAAACCCCTATGTCCCGACAGCTACACAAGTTTGAAAATCTCACGCCCTGACTCTTCAAAATAGTCTTTGAGCCGCTCCAGATTCGATGCTTTCAGTTCCCGCATATCTATCCCTGCAATATGCTCCCGGTATGTTTTGATCCAAGCTTCAATGCTCGGCTCCAGAGTTGAGTGCTCGCTCCGGATGACCGGCGTTTGCGAGAACCCTTGTTCTACGAACCGGACGTAACCCAGACGTTCATAATCAACCCCTTCACCTCTAATTGCGGCTTGCTTTGATCGAATAATCAGACAAGCCATCTCGGGATGATTGCTTGTCTTGACACCAAAGTCCGTTATTCGAATAACGCGGATGGGAATTGACCACGCGGCATCCGTGTTATTGATTGGGGCGTCTAATTGCAAACCCCTTGTGTGGCCGTCGCCTTGGCTGATCCACAAGTTCCCGACGACGAGCCAGACGGGGCTGACACCATATCCAACAAGTACTGCAAGCCATTTCACTAGTGTTCCAGAGATCGCAAAAGTTGAAAGCAGAAGATGGGCAGAATCGAGCTCCCCGGTTGGATCGACGATACCAGCTGGAACGCAAACTGCCTCCAGAATATCCGCAACAGGAGCATAATCTTCGCTCCCTGTCTTGCCCAATGAGAACCAACTCCCCTTACCGAATTTCTGGAATCCGAATCAGAGTCGAAGCGGATGGACTCATCGTTGTGGTACTCAAGAGATGCCCATGACCATGATGGGGCTCTCCATACATCAGGACGCCTTTCAGGGTTGTAGACGAGCCACAGAAGATCCAGATGCAATGAGCCCATCCAAAGTCCTGCTCGATAGAGTTTCTCGTACTCGGGGTTCCACAGTTTCGCAATGCCGCCCAGAGCCGGAAATATGTCTTTTGAAAACGTCAAGTTGAGAGCACAGTAAGACTGTACTGTCTGTGTCGCCACATTTTGACGCTTTTGGTCTACTTGGGCGAGCGAAGTAGTGCAGGGGTAAACTTGCTGTAGTCTAGATCGTCATTCTGGCCGTTTCCTTGAGCCGAGGGGGACTGTTCTTCCGCAATCGAACTGTACTGCCCGCTCAGCTCGGCCAAACTGCCAGAGAACTGGATCTTCTCAGGCAAAGAGGTGGAGGTTGAGATCTCACCACACTCACACATCATTTTCGAGCGACACTCCCAGTTCACTTCGGATCCCGCAAAGTGTACCACCCTTCCGGATAGCAGACGTTCCTGAAACACCCATGCCCTCTTCGTGATCGGAAAGTAGGACCAGAAGCTATCAATATGCAGCAGTTCTGAATATGCGTGTAGCATCACCTTCGAGTCATCTACATCGTTGACGAGTGATAGTGCCTGGGCTTGGTGTTTGGGATCCAAGGAAGAAGTGTAAAGCCCGCGGCTAGAGTCGACTGCTTTGGAAGCTGCCAATGTGATAAAGGCATTCTGATAAATGTCGGCCATTTTTGCAGCTTCCCTCTGCCAATCTAGAGGGTCGTCTTGAATGATGCACAGGGAGTCGATCCATATATACTTGAGGCCAAGACGGCGAGTAAAGTCGATGGCGTCTCTGAAAGTCGGAGGGAGAGCCGACCACTGAATTTCCTCGGTGAATTGAGACAAGTTCTTCTTAAGTGTTCGCAGCAACGGTCGCTTGCCCCAAGGGTGACTTAAACAGGCGTATCTGCCAGCATTGCCGTTCGTCTTAAGCAAACGTACTTCAGACGCCTTTGTGCCGATGCAAATAACCCTACTTGGCAACTTGACGTTGTCATCCTTACTGCATAGCGGGTGGTCTGTTGTGCAGCCATGGAGCCATTGCTTCACTGTCTTTAGAGTCGCTTCTGAGGCAGTATCCCGGGGAATAGACTTATATTCGGACAGATGCCGGTCGCCAAATCCCAAAGTCGGGAAGGGACGTAGACGTTCAGTCAAATCCGTACCTAGCTCAACTTCATTAGCCGCTCAGCCATTAGGGTACTTAGTTCCAATTTGAATCTAGTAAGTTACTGTCATGATAACGACTGGAGTTGCTTACTTTTGGACACACAAAACCGGAGTGGGTTTCCCCCATCATCACGTATAGCCTCCAGAACACGAGGGAATGAAACCCATCCAAGTAATCTGCCCGCAGAAAGATAGTCGCCATAAAGCTTCGAGACTGCTTCGTCAAGGAGTGTACATAATGGGTAGCCATCCTTCACTTCCTGTCTCAGCAAGCTCGCATCTTCAAGGCTCCTTTTACACCTTTGCAGGCCTTCGCGGTCACTCTTCACCCGATCACACCACTGAAGAAGCGCACTCAGGAGGACTGTCTCGGATTTCATGATGTTGTAATGACTTATGGAATGTAGTGTGACATCCGTGGGCCTGACGCACACTAAGTACCTCCTTTAATTGAAGTTCGAGGCTATGTCGTTGACGTTGGAGCTAATCACAGTGAGGCAATAAATGTTTAGAATTGAGGGGAGAATCACGTGAGGACTTGGCTTCTACGGCTGAGTGAGACTTAGCTGCTCTCTGCCAGCCGGAAGACCTTCGAGTGACACGACTTCTCCTCGAAAAATAGTGTGTAGTCCAACATGCGGCCTAACCAATAGGCTCAACCGCGGTCTTCTGTGACTTTGTCACCTTCTCTTCCTCTTCTCGATGCCTCAATCCTGCGCTGTCTCGACGCTTCTCTCTTACTCACGTGAGTAGAGGCTATTTCACCTAATGTCACCGAGGTTACAGCGATCAAATCAATATCGGCCGCCCTCCCATTATGTCGCAAAAACGACGCCGTTAATTACGGGCAGCAATTAACGCCATATATACCCTACGACACATTACTCTTTCGGCATTATTCGAGCTTCTAGTTCTGTTGGGCTGAGTCGAATCCGGGCTCTTGTAGCAGGTCCATCATCGCCGTATTAGTGTAGAAGAAATCCTCTAATTGGGCAGCGTTCGTCATCCACATCATCGGGTTCCCAGGCCTCAAGCTCTCATCCATGGCATCGATGCCGACGCCCGCGATCCCAGACGTAGGGACCACGTCCGGTGCTGTGCTCGTAATCTGGGCGAACGCGGTGGTTTGCTGTTGTTGCTGCTGATGTCCCCCCTCAGTAGATCCTTTCGGCGGGAATCCCAAGGCTGCTAAGTAAGCATCCATCTCGGCGCTAGCTTGGGTCTGTCGTGACTGAGGAGTCGACGCGCGGAACTCAACGAAGCGGAGAGCAACGCTGTAGAGGACTTGGAAGAGGCGGCACATCTTGGCTGCTGCGTCGGACATTTTTGATGTCTCTTGCAAGAAAACCACGAAGGAATGCAGTCGTGCCAAGTCTTCCTTGTCTTGCGTTTCGATTACCTGACAGAAAAGAACGATAAAGGGAATGAATGGTGCAAAAAGCACAGTCCTGTGAAGAGATAAGGTCGTGTTAAACGCGGTAATACACCATGTGAGTGTAAATTTGACTGACCAATGAATGTAGGTTGCGAAGTAAACATCATGGGACTTGCGCATGATGGCAACGCATTCTTGGTGTTTTTCCAAAGCTGCTCGTGCAGCCTTAATGCATTCAGGACTGAACGTCGTTGGCGATCCTTCAACTCTTGGGGCAGCACGATAAACCAGAGTCAGGAGTGAGAGCCGCAGAACGTAATCTGAAGACAGGTAGAACTCGGCAAAGTGCTCCTCCACCCCGTCTTTGGCAAATGCCTGGTAGTTGGCCTATTTTCCGCAAGTCAAGTCACCCAAGATGTGAAGATAACCTCGGACTTACAGTGGCTTCTTTCGTTTTCTGATCGATGTCGTGGAGAAGGGAAACCAGCTCATGCACCCGCGTCTGGCGAACGTGGTACGGTTGGATCATCGAGTCGGGGCTGTAAAGCAACTCATAAATCTGGCCCTGACACTTTGCTGTTCGAATCCACAATACTAAGTATGGAAGTATCGGGCTTGCAACTGGTTCTTTCAGTGATGGTAGAGGCATAGTGATGTGCCAGTCTGGAATTGTTGATGCTCTGCCGAGGCGAAGTGACAGACTCTTGTCGATGTAATAGACGTTCCAGAAGAGGAATTGATGCCAGTGCATCCCGTGAACTGTCGGCTTGCCGTCATCTTTTGTGTTCTTCAGAGACTCTGCTCGATGATATCCAAGTGTTTGACATAGTTCTGATGCTTTGGAGGACAGGGTCCAAGCAAGGGTAGGTTTTGAGATCTCAACAGCGTGGAACGTCTTCCAAGGAGTCAGCTCTGTTCAGTGTTCTTGTTGGTGTAGAGTCCGATACTTACTCCGAATAAAAGCGCGACAATCACATCCGAAGATGCCGGCATGTGAAGGGGAAGGTTCGCCAAACACGTTTCCAGATTCACGCGGCATATCCTGTCAAAAGTCAGCCCGCTGTCGTTTTTCAGATAATTCAACATCGGCTTTACTTACTTCGCATATTCAAAATACTCTTTTTGTTCACCCACTGAGACTTGCGCAGCGTAGTCTGTGAATAGTGAATAAAGCCCTCCATTCACAGTGATATAGTCATATTCCGAGTAGTTGTCTGAAAAATAGACATTAAGACAGAGATCCGGGAACCGACGGGAAGGCAAAAAGTCGTATATCCAAGCCATGCCCGTGAGACGTTGACCTAAAAGCCGATCAGGCGGTAAGCGAGTGAAAACAAAACTTCAAAGGCTTTCCCATCGTGCTTACTTTTTGCGATTCTGATAGTGTGCACAGCCTTCTCTATGGGCGGCAACTCGATGCCCTGAGCCCGAACCCGAGTAAACGGCTTCGCGTGAGGATATGTCATCTCCCCCGCGGCAGCCGGTTGCTTCAAGGCATTGACGATTTGTGACAACGCGTCAAGAGTTTCGCCGAGATCTAGACTTGAGTCTTGCAGTGACTCTGTGCTCACCACCTTTTGCAAAAACTCTGTAGCAAACACAGAGTGCGCTGCGAGAGAAGAATCTCCCTCGACTATGCCACCTTCGCCTTCATCTGATTGAATGGTGTGACTTGCAGTTGTCGCAGGCGTCGAAGTAGATGAGACGCGTTGAGCTGAGCATGGTGGGCCTTCAGCTTGAGGTGTAGCGGCTGTGGCCATTGCAAAATTGAGTAGCTCGGCTCGACTTGTATTATTAGAAGATGGATTAACTTTCATGTCCTGCAGGAGGCGGATGACCGTCTCGAGCCGACGGTCAATTTGATCAATTTTGCGCTCACTGAGTCAAAGAAGTTAGTTGAGACTGTACAACACCCTATTTGAAGCTTCGACCTAGTATAATGATCGCATATTGTGATGGGCTGTTAAAAAGGCGAACACTGTGTTGGATGCCATGCTTGCTTACTATTGTGGGGTGATGAGAATTCTGGTTCGCTTCTCCTTGGGCTTATTGTCGGCATGTGTACACTCGATCTTGGCGTGTGTGCAATATGAACAAGGAGATTCTCTGTTGCAGCGGATCTGTTTTCTGGTCAATTTTTGCTTAACGAATGGGCCAAAGTCGAAAAGCTGAGAAGCCGCGTTGTCGTTGACTTCAGGCGGTGGGTACAAGTAAAGCATTGGGTGTAAATGGCTTTCGACAAGCAAACTCACCTTGCGAGCACGGCAAGCGTCACACTAATTATTCCAGTCAACTCAATACAGTCTTCAAAGACCATCTGCATCACTTACAGCCCTACGAATAGCAATCTGAGGATTCGCCGAGGATGGCTCAGGTGCTTCTTCCGGCGCATCGTCAGGCCCATCCTCATGACCGCTGGCGTCCAGCTCGCTGGCGTCCATGTCTCTTCCTCCGCTAAGCGATAGGCCTATGGCAAGGGTCCTTCGGAGGCCACTACTCGTCGATCTCGTAGGCGAGTCCTCGGTGTGCAAGCGGACGATGCTGGAGCCGATGAGTGTACAACAGGGATTGTGAGAACTTGATTTTGTTGTCGGAAGAGGCGAGGTCGGGTCCCAAGATATGAGAAAACTGCTGACAATGAGCCTTCACCCAACTAGGAAGCATTTGCACATGTTTCGTTTTTTATCGTTATTTCTTTTCTCGTGCACTGTTTCGGGGGCCGCGCGACCCGGCCAAGTCCGCGGGCTGTCGGCTGGATACAATACCCCAATGTGGTAAGTAATGGGTCGTCCGAAGTCTATTTATACACTGTCAATAGCCACTCTAAAGCTTTCGTCTGAACAAACTAGTTCAGAAACTTCAGTTCTTTAGTCAAAGCTCCGCTACATAGGGTTTCGCTGCCTACCTTAGCTTACTGTAATATTCCGCGGTCGATCAACGGTTGGCACAACGTCTACTCCGCAGCGTCGTGGTCATTGGTAAAAGCCTGGCGCCCGGCGTATTATGCCCAGTGTTAGAAGATGATTGACTCATTGGCGGAGTTGAGGAAATACACATGCAAAAACGGTAAAGAAAAGAAAACACCTTAGACAAGCCTCTTTTCCAAGCAAAGACTCCCCAAGAAAAGCACTCTTACTCGGACTGATTGATAACAAGTCAAATTCGGTGGTATTTGTGTTACAATTGGTCTCTTGGAGTAGCAGAGCTTGTTCTAAGGAATGAGCGGTGAATCTATCATACTCTTGTGTCGATCTCCCGATATCTCTAACAGTCTTTGTAAATCGGCAGTGACTTGAACCCATATGCCTCAACCGGGACATTATTCGCCGGTGAACCAGCGAATCTTGCGACAAAGGAAAACAGCCCTGAAGAGTAGAGAACAAACATGATCGCGTTCAACAGCCAAACTCCCCAGACCGTCTCAGGATGGAGCGAGTGAGGCATACCGGGTGCCAATTTTTGTGCGCGAACAACAGTAGGGCGCATCTTCTCTTCGTAGTCGCTAAAGGCAGCCTCCAGGTTATTCGGATGCTGTAGAATCGCGCCCGCCAGATTGTAAGCGCCGCTCATCGCCAAAGTTGTTCCCATTCCGGATAGAGGAGAAGCACAATAACCAGCGTCACCCAGAAGTACAACCCTTCCTTTGCTCCATCTGTCCATCTTGATCTGACAGACAGTGTCGTAGTAGAAATCATCCGTGGCAATCATCTCCTTGATGACGCGATCAGTTTCCCATCCGAGACCCTGGAAATACTCTTGCAGAAGGGCCTTTTGAGCATCCGTACTTCCACCTTTTTGCTCGGCAGCAGCCCTTAGCCGTTCATCTTTCTCGTTGACAACGGCCATAAAGACCGTTGTTCTGTCTTCCACGCCAGACGGTCGAATCATTATGCCTCGGCGACCAGGTGCATGGAACCAACGACGCCATGCCGAATCAGTCGGACCACGGGGCATGCTGAAGAAGCCTCCGTACATCCCTAGCCTTCTCCTCCTGTCTTCCTCGCCCTTCTCGCCCCAAGCAAGAATGCGCGTTCGACTTTGGACACCATCTGCTCCGACTACCAAGTCAAAGGTTCGCCTCTCACCGCTCTTGGCGAAGTGGACGTGGACCTTGTCTCCATCCTGCTCTAGGTCATCAAGAGAATCACCAAAGATGTACTCGATGCCAATGCCGCCGTCAGCCTGAACATCCTCGTTGACTTTCTGGCTCTGCTCGAGCAGCAACTGTGACAATCGTCCTCTCAAGATTTCGATATCACTAGTCGGCGTTTGCGTCTTCCCGCTCTTGTCCGCCCCGAAAGCTGCCCAAACTCGGTTCTCCTTGTCGACCAACTGCACCCCTTCTTCGCCAGTGGTAGCCGCCCGAATGGCAGGTTCAAGTCCGAGCTTGCGAATGATAGTTACACCAGCGCCTCGAACGTCGATATTTTGGCCTTGAGGGCGAAAGACGGGAGCTCTTTCCAGGATAGTGATGCGCGGCTTCTCGGACGTAGGTACCGGCGACATCAGCAAGAACGTGGCTAGTGTCGGTCCGGCTATACTGCAGCCCACGATCAAGATATTGAGAGGTGCCATGATGGTAGGACCACTGTCTAACTGCTGCCCCTAGGATCATTAATGCCAAGCATGGGGGTGCCAAGGCCTTTAAAAGATAACGGGCGATGGCGCCTGAGGTCTGTCTAAGAAACGAACGCAGAGACGTTGTGAATCTAATACGTCATTTGGCTGTTATCGAGATCCTACCGGCATTTGTCTGCCGAGGGCTGCCACTGAGTTCATTCCAGGCACTCCTTTGTGCGGTGGCTGCCTTAGCACTAGCTAAATATGGTAGGGCTCGTAAGAACTGAGGTGAACTTGGTTGAAATGCACTACTACGGACACCTTAATATCTGTTCACACTATTGAATCAGTTCAAAGTGCGATTTTGCTCTCAATTTCCATGATACGCTACCCAGTGAACCTGGCGCATTCCAGTAAATCTGACCAGCCTTGTATCCGATGTTCTAGGAAATGATGCATGCAACAATCAGATGTAATCTTATCTCATGTAGCTGCATTTGAAAGAGAAGCAGTCACAAGAATCCTCTTGAACTTGGGATGCAGTGTCGACCTGAGGCGTAACTTGTTCAAGGCTCGTTTAGAATACAAGAGCTTTTTATTCTGACATCTGGACATAGGCATGGCACGTCATCGGATGAGAGCCGGTTGAAATCTCTTTATGGGTGGATGGCAATTATTGTCAAGCTACCCATCGATGAATATACTCGGCATGCACAGATCCTGAGCACTCTATTGTCTGTTTTTTAGTAGCTGTTTTGAACTCCGTGCTTTTAGGCCATATCTAAATTCCACGGTTGTCTTTGAATACTATTGTTGGTATTCCTTTCACAGGGAAGTTGGTTCGAACCGTAGGGTCCTGGGGGTGACGAAGTATCAATATCTCTGTATTGATTGATTCTGCGTAAGGAGTAGAAGGGAGATTCCAACCGGAGGTTGGGTGGGTAGTCGAGGTCTAAGTGTACCCCCTCGAGGTGGCCCATGCTCTGCCCCTACTCGCGGCCGAATTGGACTTCCAATCCGACAACTATCATAAAGTACATGTAGGTCCTGTCACTCAACCTTGACCACAATCTTCCCAACAAAGCCCTGGGCAAGCATAGCTTTATAAGCCAGTTTGGCATCATTCCACTCGAAAACTTCCGCAATGATTGGTTTGATCTTGTGTTTCTCAACAAAAGCACTCAGATCCTGGAGCATGCCCAGGCTGCCGTACATCAAGCCTCGAACTAAGATACAAAGTTAGACACGAAATCTGGGGTTCGGAGTTATCTTACTCGTCTTGGCACCAAAGATAATCTCCGGAATGAGGTCATGTTTTTCGGGAGCAGACATGAATCCAATTGCTGATACCAGGCCATCCTGTCGCAGCGCACGCAAAGACTCTGCAATGGTCGAAGCACCAACAACGTCAAGGACTTGGTCAGCGCCACGGCCGTTGGTCAAACTGAGAATCTCTCTGCTCCAGGTGGGGTTATTCTTGTAGTTGATTGCATGCTTTGCACCAAGTTTCCGAAGAAGATCAAGTTTCTCCTCCGACGTTGAGAAGGCGATGACCTCAGCCCCGGCAGCCACGGCGGTCTAATGAGCGTTAGCCAAAGTCGAAGAGTATGCCATGTTACATGACACAACTTACCTGTAGCCCGGCAACACTAACACCACCGGTACCCTGGATCACCACGGTGTCTCCCCTTTTGAGTTGCTGTGGGCCTCCAAACAACGCATTCCAAGCCGAAACGTATGGGCCGCTGAGAGCTGCAGCTTCCTCGAATGTCAAGTGAGAGGGTAAGGGGGCCAGCGAATCCTCGTCAAACACAGCATATTATTGCAAGACTCCATCGATGTTCTTTCCGCCGAGTCCGAGTTTGATGTCGAAGGCGCCTTGAGTTTGGCCGGTTTTCCAAGACGAGTTGGTGGCGTTGATGACCTTGTCGCCGACCTTCCATCTCGACGTTGGCGAATTGACTTCGACGACGACACCAGCGCCGTCACCGAGTGGCACTATGCCATCGTCGGGGCCTCCTCCGAGGTAGACAGGATCCGAAGTCAATACTAGGAGGTCTCGGTAGTTAAGAGAGGCAGCGTGGATTCGGACAAGAATCTGGCCCTCCTTAGGGCTGGGTTTGGGCACTTCCTCGAGTGAGAGGTTTTGATCGATGCCTTCATCAGTACAAGCTCCTTGAACTTTATTCCGGATGCGCCAGGCTTGGGAATGATATTTCGACATTCTCTTGAAATTTGTGCTTACTCTTTTCTGAATATCCGTGCCGTTTCAAAATATAGCGGAAAGAAGTTGTTCTTGAAGAGTCGAGGAGCATGAAAAAGCGAGTAATGTTGAATGCACTTTGATGACACGTATTCCATCTTATATTTACTCCATTCTCAGTAATTTTACTTGCTGGTTCATCTTCGGTTATTATCTTTACCGTCTTACACCGCGGTCCGTTTGCTACGACCGTGAGAAGGTGAGATTCTCATAATCTGGAGTTCCACGGAGCAGTAAGCAACCGATCACGTTTCTGCCGCATGCGAAAGATAAATCATCAGCCGCACCACTACGATAAGCCGTGGCTATTACAGTCAGACTATGCTATGGCAAGTCTCTTGAACCAGCTACGTACCTTCGTAATCAAACTTCTGGACATCGATCCACGGACTACCGTGATCAAGCCAGTGTCAACAATTTCGCGGGTCCAATAACGTTATTACCCCCCCCCCCCAAAGACGCTTCAAGTGCTTTGGTCGCACGGCCGTACTGGGGCAGTGTGCCTCCCCCTATATCCTCACTCAGTGGCGGACACCCCCCCCCCCCCCCCGAAGCATTCCGAACTTAGTAGACATATATTGCAGCCCTCGTCACCATGTGCACGCAGAGAGACTGTATGATGGTTTCAGCAGGGGGACTGTTGTTACCGTTGGTATCGTAAGGGGGGGACGGTGAAGATGGAGACGGTGATGGTGGCTGGGAGGTTGTTGATCGGGTAGACTTTATTGACTTGCAATCAGAGGATAAGTAGATCAATTTTTTCTGTGCTGTGCCCAATGCTGGCCAAGATTTTGTGCAAACGGAGGATGTCAGGGATCAGCCACGAGGGGCTCGAAAGCCCCATTACCGACTGACGGCTTGCGTCTGTCTCTATCCCCGTTTAACTGTTTGGAGATGCGGCGACATCAAACCCGTCTGGTGGAAGGGCTGTGAGGTGATTTGGCAGTAAAAAGTCTTTCCGCCGCCAGAAACGCAAGGTTTTCATAACCCTGTGATACGGATATCTACAGATAGGCTTGCTTCGAGTTAATCAAGGGGCAAGAGCATTGGCCAATGCCTTGACCTACAACCCAGACTCGGCTGCCCACATCTTCGGCAGCAAACAAATATCATGATTTTTGATCTGGTCCCTCTCAAAATTTTGTTTCTTGAGAAGTTCACATTTTCTGTCCAGGTTCACTCACTTCGTCGCCAGCTGATTGCACAATGGAGGCAGCAGGTCTAGCTTCGAGTATACTGACGTTCATTGACATGTCTTACAAGATAGCCAAGGGAACCTACGAGATTTACCAGTCTGCGACTGGGGTCACTGCCGAGAACGCCCATGTCAGCAATGTCATCACCGACCTGGAAGAGGCCGCCGCCGGACTGGGTACAGCTTCCAAAGGACATCACGCCGAGTTAGCAAACTTGTCAAACCAGTGCCGAACCTTGCCAGTCGATCTGTTGAAACTTCTTGCAAGGCTAGAGAGACGGGAAAAGAAAATCTTTCATAGTTTCAAGGCCGCGATCGTTGGTGCGCGGAAACAGAAAGATATCGCTTCGATTGAGAGGGGGCTGGACCAGTATCGACAACAGATCATCCTCCATCTTACACTCAACATTCAGTGAGCAAACTTAAGAGCCCCCAGCCAAACGATCACGTACTGACTCAACATTTCGCAGCCGAGATCAATCGCCAAGCAAAGCCCAACTCGACCGAATACGAGACGACAGCAGTCACCTCGCAAATGAGTACGCTGCCAAGCTAGATACACTGCACAATCAACTTTCCAAAGTGCTAGAGGGTGTGGAAAGAGCCAATTCGCGACCGTTCTTGGACAAGCAGGTTCCAAGACACCAGGAACTCAACAAGGCATGCCCGAACCCTATCAACCGACCTCACCGAGACGAATCTGCCCAAGAAGCATCCCACAGAACGACCCACTATGATGAGCATGCGCCATGGGCAATTGATCTGAGGTATCTTGCAAAACTGCTCAATGACTTGAAATCTTGTGCCAACACCATTGAAGCGGAAAACAAAATACTTCAGAACTTGTACTTTAATACAATTTTTCAGAGAGAGCGCAGCGTCTCCGAGGCTACATCAAATACCTTCAAATGGATAGTCAAGAGTCTTCTATCACCTGCGATTTCAACATCAGCTGATACAGATGAATTACGTTCTACCAAAGAGTCCAGACGATCCTCCTCCTCCAGCTCCTCGTCGGAAACAAGCGATAGAACCGTGGTTGAGCACAGTTTCAACACTTGGAAGGAAAAACTACTTCTAGAGACTCAGAAACGGGAGGCTATGGCAAGATCCCTGCATTCTTTCCTGAAAGATGAAGGAGAGGTCTTCTTCATTTGCGGGAAAGCAGGCAGTGGAAAGTCAAAGCTCATAAAGTTTCTTAGCCAGCACTCCAGCGTGAGAGAAACCCTGGCAAATTGCGCCAACGGACGAAAACTCGTTCTCGTCACCACATTCTTCTGGAGTTCTGGCGACCCTTTGCAGAAATCTCTGGAAAGATTCTACCGCACCGTGCTCTTTCACACGTTGAGGCAGTGTCCCGAATTGCTCGAAACAATCATCCCGACTCTGGTCGGCACAGCCGTCTCCCCTCTGTCGGCAGCCATGTCATTGTCTGAGTTGAAGGCCGCCTTCAGTCGAATGCAGTTGCTCGAGAACGCCGCAAGCTACCTCTTCTTCTACTTTATTGATGGACTCGATGAATATGAGGGAGACTCTCTCAATCACAAGCATCTTGCAGAGATGCTAAGAAAATGGGCTCGGGCTGATAACGTCAAGGTGATATGCTCTGCCCGGCCATCCGCGGTCACTCTCGCAATTTTGGGCGCCAGCAACACGTTCTTTGAGCTCCACGACTTGACAAAGGCCGACATATATGCCTTTGCCAAAACTCAATTCGAAGAGCATTTAAGAGAGCCTGCTTTCGTAACAGGTCAGGCAGCATGTCTGGGCATGCTTCAGACGATAGCGGAACGCGCCGATGGCGTCTTCCTCTGGGCCAGCCTTGTCGTCAGGACTTTGTTGAACGCGGTTCTGGAAACACGAAGACGAGTTTTGTATCCGTAGGAGGTTGGAAGAGTGCCCTCAAAGTCTCAACCAACTTTTTCGTCGGATGCTCGATGCCATTGATCCTTCTCCATCAGTGAGACTACGGTCAGAGCTTCTCTTACAGCTGGTAGCAAGCCGAGAGGCTCCTATAGTCCATTTCAACGCCCTCACGCTCTCGTGGCTGGATGAATCTCGGACTTTCCAATCTCTTCTGGTTTCACCCAAGCGCTCGAATCACGAGAGGTACACGGCGAGCCAGATTGCAATAGAGCAAAAGAGGGCACGAAGCCAGCTGCACACTTTGACAAGGGGCCTACTTAATATGGAAACAAACCAAAGTGTGGCATACCTGGTGAGCAACAAATACGGTTATCCGTCATACTACCGATTCCAGTTTGGCTTCTTCCATCGAACCGTCAAGGATTTTCTAACGGAAGAATGGTTGCCAAGCCTGACCCAACGGCCGCTCATGACGTCTCAGCAAGAGGCGGCAGTAAAGGCGGAGCTGCTTATAGCAGAGATCAAACATTGTCCTGAACCGCACCTCGGCTTGTCGAAAGCAGTCTATCCTGCTTGTTACTTCAACAAGTTGGACTTCTTCACGTCTTTCCGACTCTCTCCAATTCGGGGACTTGGTCTTTTTACTGCACTCGTTCAAGAAATGGCGGATGCCATCTGCGGCATGAATGATGCAAGAGCTGCACGAGGCGAGCAACAACACTCCACACTTTGGTTGTCACACAATATACTAGTTCCGGAGCGTGAGCAACCGACATGCAAGGATACACCTGGGTTGGCCCCCTTTTCGTTTCTGCACCTCGCTGCGACTCTTGGTTTGACTGAGTACGTCAAGGAGAGTGTGGCGAGTATGGACAGCCCGACTGCGGTTGACACATCTGACATCAACCTTCTGCTATCAGGCGCTTACTCTTCAAATCTGGCTTTGGTAGATTTTCTGCTTCAGAAAGACTGGCATCCGAGTGATCTCATTTCAAGCCGTGGTCTCAAATCGTCCTCGATGCCCGAAGGAGGTTTTGTTTCTGTGTGGGAGGCCTTCTTGTACCCAGTCGCATGTCTTTTGACCACTTTCTGCGCTAGCGAGTTTCGTGGCCCTGTTTGGAAAGTCGTGCCACTCATAGATTGCGACGAGCTCTTGAACGATAATTTCTCAATAGTCGAAAGCTTTCTACGCTCCGGGGCAGGTCCGGCGAATGCATTGGCAATGTACGCCGTCGAGTTGAGGGTGTAGATAATCATCCGGTTCCGGATAGATGTGGTGTCGGAGATGAGAACGGTGTGGATGTATCCAATGCCACCGCTTCCAACGGCCCAGAAGACCTGGTTTAGCAAAGTAAGTAACAACTAGAGCAACGCAGGAAGCAGGTCACGAACCTGTGCAGCGGCGTACGTCTCCACGTTGCGGCAGACGGCCATCAACATCAGACCGAAGCAGCAGAGGAGATGGGCTAGCATGTAGCCTTCGATACGACCAAAGATATTGAGAATCTTGGCGAGCGGCAACTGCGAGACACCGCCAGCCAGGCCTGAGACGATGCCAGTCGTAGCGGTAAGGCCGTGACGGCGGAAGGACGAAGTCACGTAAGGTCCGAGGTTGCTGTTCATCTGATGTTGCATCGAATGGGTGTAGGATGTAACCCAGATCCCAGGAAGAGCATCTATGTCAGTCGGGGGCAACCCCATTCCCGCAGGCTTGATCTGACTTACAAGATGTAGGTGAAGATGAGTGCTCTTCAGGTCCAAACCGTGGTGATGGCCTGGATCTTCTTGACACCATTCTGAGCCTCCTCCTTCTCGTCCTCGACATCGTTATCGAGACTGATCTCTGTCGTTGTCTTGCCCGGTGTCTTTTCGTCAAGGCTCTGAGTCTGACTCTCAGCCGCGGCTTGCTGGACGAAAGGGGAGCTCATGATGGGCAACTCTTGTCACGGAACGCCTGGCTTGTGGTGCGGGTATGCTCTGAGGTCACGGGAAACACTCTCAACGACATCACCTTACAAGAGCGAAGACCCACGGGTTATGTACTCGACTCGCCATGCAGAGTAAGTCACAAAGAAGGAAACGATTTTCACGAAAAGAAGCTTAACACGAAGGAACCAGCAGGATGTTACGTAAATCCACTCTGCCAACCCACGGTTACCACCTGCAGCGGAACTGACAGACCGAACGAGACCATCTTTTCAAGGGTCTTTTTTGTTCAACATGACTGTCATGGACGACAAAATTCCGGCATCGGACGAGATCGTACGGCACAGCGAGTAAGAAAAAAACTTCACATGGACCATGGCCGGGCGTCTTGGTCCCCTCATCGAGCAGCATGTCAGGTTGCCCAGTCCCCCCCCCCGAGTTTGCACGAACGAGCTCCACACGCCATGACTTGGCACTGGGCAACATCCTTTCGTTGGTTGACTGTTGGCTAACCGGGCGAATTTCTCGCCGCGAAAGGGTGTCCTAAAGCGGTAGTTACGAGCCTGCTCCTTCAGATGTGGTCCGCCAAGTGGGACACAAGACGTCGTATTAAAGACTTTGCGCGCCATCTGCACCAGGGGCGACCATGGCGTAGCCCAAGAGGCCCCGTCCCCTTCGCGCAGGGCGGTTCCCGCGCTGACCAACGAGCGGGCGGGATGCTGGGTCCCCGAAGGTCGTATCGCGCCGGCTTGGCGTGTGCGGTTGGCAACGGATCAGATAAAAAAAACTTTGTTGCTTGGCCCGCATGCAAGAGCGGATCTGATAAGATGAAAACGGGGCACCCATCGGTGGGAGCCCGGGATCTGGGTGGCTCTAGGTTCTAACCGAGGGCATCTTTGGGATCCATTCGCAAAACGGTACACGGGGCGAGAGGTGACATTTCCTGCAACGTTGTTCTGCGGTTGGCTTCATCATCTATTGGTCATGGAAGTAAGCTTATACCTGGGTGGGTTCATGAAAATGTTTGAGAGTGGCGCGTGCTGGGAAGTTGACTGACAACTGAGTAAGTCGTGCAACCTGATTCTATCCGAGGTCACTTCATGATGCCACAGAGGGCTTCACAGATTACTTTGCCATGAGATGCAGGAGACATACTTCTCTCTCAGGTTGGTCAACTTCGGCATACTCTTTTCGAGCGCCGCCTTGGTTGCTGCCCTTGTGATGAATACACAAAGATTTGCAGCTCAAGAACCAAGTCATCAGGACTCCTCGATGCTGAGATGGGGCAGAACGGCAAGACTCCACTTAGACTGATAGGCAGCGATAGCGTAAGGCAAGGTTACGGGCAGACCGTTATGGATACACGCCTGAATTATACCGAGAACGCTCCCCAAACTCGGCCGAGTTGAGACGCGATTCTAAGGATTAGCTGCCAACGTTACAGACCTAATAATTGACAAGAGTTGAAGCGAGTCCTGTCTGTCGAAACCGGTCCTCGAGGATGCCTCGTCGGAGTCCCAATCCCGGGTGTCCGAACAACATGCGATCTCTGTTGCAGACCTGAAGTCTTGGTGGTGGTCTCGGAGACTGGCTGGAAGATTCCAAATCTGTGGATGAGCTCGTCCCACAAACTCAGTTGTCTTCCCAAATCTCGAGTCTGACAACTTGAATCACTTCATGGAGGGGGCCAAGCATGCTGCGTCGCACAATGTGATTGAAGTTGCTGGCCATACGTGCCTGCAAGGGAACCGAGATGCCGTTGGTTTGAGCGCAGTCATCGGAAGTCATCCGGCAGCCTTTTCTCGGCTCTACAATTGGAGGCTTTGATAATGGTCACAGCGGCGATTCCCGTTATGGTGAATTCACCTGCCTATAGCATCAGATGCCCGGAAGGATTGTTGTCGAAGGGACTCGTGCGACGGCGGTCGCAACAAAGTTCACGTTGCCGATGGATGCGCTAAACCACTTTCGGGAACCTGAAAATCCCAGGCAACGACGAGTGGAGCCCCTTTTTGTCACTTCAACCTTCGTCTTACCTCACGCATCTCCGACTGATCAAGCTCGACAGTCAAGATCAAAGGCCAAGGTGAGTAATCTACCAACTACTGAATCCATAATATCCAACTAACCTGCCATAGAATCTTGGCCGATTTGAGCTGAGGCGCTGAGTCTGCCGTTGGACCCCAGCACCCCGTCAGGACGTTACCCCCGCGTAGATCCTCCACCCGTCACAGCACCCAAAAAACCATGGCCAACATCTTCCGCCAAGCCATCTCATGGCTCTACACCACCTTCGCCGTCTCCATCCTCGGAACCTGGACCCTCCTCATCCTCGGCGGCGTCGGCCTCACGGCCGTAGACTCGGACCCAGGCCTCCTCCCGCTCATCGCCTTCCCCTCCCTCCTCACCTTCCTTGTCGCAAAGCTCATCGTCGCCGCATCACCCCCAGCAAACGCCCGGAATGCCACCACGGCTGCCGCGGGCGGCGATAATCTCGCAACCTGGCTCGCAACAGCAGACTACGGCTCCCCCCACGGCGCCCTCGTCCTCTTCCTCTTCTCGGTAACCTGGCTCCTACACCTCGCGCGCGTAGTCTTCGCCCTCTTCCTCGTCGTCCTGATGGGCGCCTTTTTCGTTTTTGCGTCTTCGCTCGACGCAGCTGATAAAGAGGAGACGGAGGCCGGCGGCGAAGGTCTCTTCTCCGACGACGGCGCGCGTAAGAACTTTACTACCGCGCTCGCCGAGTTTGAGGAGAAGGCCGGGATCGGACTGGGCGATTACCTCGTTGATAACCCGTGGGTTGTCTTTCAGGTCGTTGCCGCGCTTTGGGGCATGATGAATCTGTTGCTTATGTATATTACGGTGTATGCTTTTGGGGCGTTGAGGAAGGTGTTGACGACGCCGCTTGAGGCTTGGGCGAGGGCTGGTCAGGAGGTGGCGGCGCCTGCTCTTGTGGCTGGGAGGACTCCGGCGGCAGTTGCAGCGGCAGCAGCAGCAGCAGAGACGAGGGCCCCGGTAGTAGTCGTCGAGAAGGAAAGGGTGGTCGTGCCGGCCGAGGCGCAACCTGCGAATTGAGTGATGGCGAACACGAAAGAGAGAACGGGGTGGCCGTCTAGATGAGCAAGGAAGAGAGCAAACGGAGGACGATTCATATCTGGATCTGTAGCCTCCCATCGCCAAGCCGGGGCGGTGAACAAGCTCGGACCGGGAGAGGGTGCGTGGGGACTTCGGACTCAGCTCCGGGTGGGTCTCCGGCACCTGCCCGTCCAACTTCCCCCCCCCCGAGGAGGCAAACGGGACAAGACAGGGAAGGAGCAAACCACATATACCTGCCACCAATGGAATACACTACACCCAGTGACCCCAAGCTAGCCCGCGCCCAGTCAAGAAGCACCTGCCCTCTGGTCTCAGTATCTCTCAATCAACCAAGGCAACCGTGGTGCAGTGGTTTAGCATTCCAGCCTCCCATCCAGGGAAACCAGCTGGGGACCTGGGTTCGAACCCCGGCGGTTGCAATTGTTCATTTTTGAGTCGTTGTAGTAGCTATATCGTAGCAAGGGAGCTTCCCCCCTTTTTATCAGCTTGGCTGGCTTAGGGGCCGCGGCTATCCTTAACATCCTCCTCCAAGCTACTACGAGCCACATCCTAATTCCTCCTAAGTATTAAGGAGATAATAGAAAAAAAGAGTTCACCCCACCGGTGCTAAACTAGGGGCTACATCTCTCAGTGCTCATGCTGGTATTCGAATTCGGGTAGCCTGTCGTCGAGTAGGCTGTTGGCGGAATCAGCTTGTTGGCCATTACCCATTCCACCACCCAGCCAGTTTGACCTGACCCGTCGGCCTAGACGGGCGCCTCCTGACTGGTGATAGGAATGAGATTGAGGCGGGATATATATATACCCTTTTCGTCGCAGCATGTGGAAGGTACGGTCTAGTCGAACTTGCCTGGCAGTCAGCACCCCTTGAAACTTTCCATATCGTCTCAAGGACGCCCATCAGTGACACGAAGGGTAGACTACATCAAGACCTTGGAAGTGTTTTTTGAAGCAGATGATAGATAGATCTTGTCATCGTTGAGTTTTATCACGAAGCCAAAATGTGCCTTTCAGGCATCCTATCTGAGTAATATCAATAATGCCCAGGCATCACTAGACTAGACGGCGTGGTTTTGCCATGTGACGACCCTGCCACTGGGCCTCCTTCGATTATTGACGTCGGCTTCAGTCGTTCTCGGTAAATGAACTCCACTTGGATTAGCATTAAATCAACTACCTCCAGTCTACTCTTCTACTTCTTCTACGTGATCTAGTTGTTCCGTGTACCCAAATCCCCTCTGGCAAAGTAAACCCAAATCCACGCCATGCATCGCAAAACACGCACACCCGCTCTACCACTGACCTCCCTCTGCCTCCTCATATACTAGCCCCCTCCAAAATTCGACACGCCTCCACAATCTTCTCCGTAATCCCATCGACATTCGTCCAAGCAAACATATCAAAATGACTCCCCTCCGTCAGCAGCACCTCCTCCACAAACCCAGGACAATACCCATCCCACCCAAGCTTCTCATCCGCACGATACACGTCCACAGAGCTGATGCCCTCCACCGGCATCGGCACATGCTCCTTGGCCTTGACAAGCACAGCCCGCGGCGGCCTCTCCCACACGACCTCAGCCGTCTCCTTCTCCTCCTTGGAGACGTAAAAGTCCTTTTCCACATCTCCGCCGTCTGCCGCTCCCGCTCCCGCCGTCGCCTTCTCCTCCTCTCCGTCATTATACCCAGCAGCCTTGGGAACCGACACCTCCGCCTCACCCGCAGCCCCGCACCTGGGCATCTTCCACACCCTCACCACCTGCCCCGCCATCTTCATCGCCCTCTTCGCGAGCCTCACATTCTTCGGCTCCTCCGTCTCCCTCTTCTCGTCCTCCACGAACCTCCCAATTTTCAGACTAGATCCCTCGGGCCAGACGGGGTACACGCTATCCACCATCACCAATCCCACAATCTCGATATCGCGATCCTCATCCCCTATCAGCCTCGCAATCTCCAACGAAAGCAAACCGCCCAGACTCCACCCGCCCAACAAGATCCGCCTCCTCTTCAGTCTCCCTCCATCTGCGGTGGTGGTGTATGAATACGGCGCCTGGGCGGGGTACTCGCGCCCCTTTGTGACGGTAGTCCGAATCATTTGGAGGTAGGCGGCCGCCATCTCCGGGACGCCGCCTTCCCAAGGGACACCGGAGTGGAAGCGCGGGTTCGCGATGCCGAAGACGGCGCGGCCTGCGAGCTGGGAGAGGCAGTGGTAGGCGAAGGTTGTGCCGCCGCCATCGTGGATGAAGATGAGGGGCGTGAGGGTTTGGCCGCGCGGGGTGGCGGGCTGGATGACTTCGCATTCTTTCGGGGCTGGGTGGGTGCGCATTTTTCCAACGTTTCTTGAGGTTGTTCGCTCCCTTGGATGCTGTTGGGTGTGAGGGATTTCGAAAGGTGGTGGTGAGAGTAGGGTGAGTGAGATGACGGGATCGCGGGCCGATCTTGAATTCGCAATCGGAGAGTGCTGATTCTCACAGTAAGGAGCCGGTGCGGGGAATTCTGACTCTGTCTTTCCCTCCCGTAGATTGATAATCGTAAGCTGACCGAGGCAGATAGATGTTAAAAAAAAAAAAAAAAAAAAAAAAAAGAAAAAACCCCGTGAGTGGTAAGAAGAGAAGAAGAAGGACCCCCGCGACGTAATATGAGCGAGGAGGCAGTTTTCAGTGAAATGAAGGATGATTGAGGGTGAGCGAGAAAAAAAAAAAAAAGCAAAAGAAAAGATGAGATGAGATTTGCGCACGTCGCAGAGTCGCTAACTGCGCCCACCTTTACAGTTACAGGCTCATAAGCACATGCAAGAACGGACGCCGCAGATACAGCTGCGCCCAATAGCCTGGCTTTTCCTAGGTTCCTTCACGCACTCAGCAGGCCCAGTTTCCTTGCAGTCTGCAGCGGGGCGCGGGGGGAAGGGGGGATTCGATTCCCTTCCGCATCGGCGTTCGGCGTTCGGCGGTCCCGTCCCGTCCCGTCTTCGGAGGGGGAGGGGGAGGGGGAGGGGGACCCACCGGTTCGGAGGTTTTTTTTGTCGCCGAGTCGGGGGGCCGAGCATCATATATTCCTGATGACTAAAGAACTAAAGGAAATCACCAGGCCACTGCATTCTTGAAAGATCAATGATTCCGCATCTGGCAGGATCCATGGGTTGTTGCGCGCAACTCTTCACTCATAGGATTGAACTGTAATGAATTCCGTCTGAGAAACGAACCGAGGCACAAGTCGAATCCACCCTATACTGCAACAGGACACTAGCACAAGAAAACATGCCCGAGATACTTTTCTTCCATCATCTCTTCATGACGTGATTCCATTTGATGCAATTCTAATGTAAATCTACCTTCCTTGCCACCCAGAGAACCAACCTCCTACGCCCTGAGCGAATACTTCAACAATAGCTTCTCCCTTGGCTTGGACGCCGAGTGCCTGTTGCGATCCACCGAGTCCTCGGGCACCCTCGCCATCTTATTCCCCTTGGCGTCCACCAGGTGATAGTCGAACCTCGCGACGAAGAGCGCCGTCGTGACAGCCATTTCCATTTTCGCAAACTGTTCCCAAAATGTCAGCAAACATGTCCACGCAAAGGAGTCGATGGAACTCTCCCTGAGGTGAAGGCATCTCGGAAAAACAAGACAACACCAAACATGGAAAGCAACAAAGGACAAAAGAGAGAAGAAAGAAGGAAAGAAACTCACCCTCATCCCAAGACACGGATGCCTCCCAGCACCCCACCCGATAAACGCATGCGGATCCTTCTTATCCTCCTCCCGCCCAGGCAAATACCTTGCCGGATCCCACCGCAACGGCTCCGGAAAAATACCCGGATCCATATGCGTCGTATCAAAATGATACACCACATACGAATCACGCGGCACAACCTCACCACTCCCGCCAATAGCAACATCCTTCCCGCTCCCATTATACCGGAACCCGCACCCCGTAATCGTATGCCGAATCGTCTCCTTCAACCCCAACTCAATCATCGGGAACTCGGCCTCCCACGTCTCCATATCAAGCCTCCCCAGAATCTGCTCGGGCGTCTCCTCCTCGGACCGACGATACTTCGCAATCACACCGTCAACCTCCCTCTGAATCTCCCCGTACCACCTCTCCTCCGTCGCCAGGAAGCACAACAGGTACGCGGCGTTGATCCCGCTATTGATCAACCCCGCAAACAGCGCGCCCACGATAAACGCAACCATCTCGACCGTGCTATGCCCATTCTCCATCAGAGACTGCAGCGCATCGCTCCCCGGAACCCCGCGGTCCTTTCGTTCTTTAATCACCTTTTCCAAAATCATGTACATCTGCGCACCGCTATACACCCTCCTCAAATGCCCCACCGTCGGCATCCAAGGAAACATCACCTTTGTCGCCGTGCTCGCGCTATCGATCCCCTCAAAAATCCGCAGCACGCGCTGAAGCAGGTCCTCGTCTTCCGCAATCTCGTCGCAGCCCACCATGCGCATCGTAAGCTTGAAAACGAGGCGGTACATGTCTTGGAACGGGTCGCTGACGCCCTCAGTTGCTGCGCTGACGCTACCAGTGGTTATTAGGGGTGTGGTGGTCTTGCCGATGCGGGAGGCGAGCTCGTCCATCGTGTCGCGCGTGTCCTTGATCAGCAGCGGGAGGCGCGTGTCGAGGAGTTCTTTGCGGAGGAGCTTGACGAGATTGCGGTTGAATTTCGCGCCGAAGCTGTCTTCTTCGGCATGGCTGTTTTTGGCTACGTCGATGCGCGGGGTCGCGTTAAAGAGGGCGCCGTATCTGTGATGAGGGGTGTATGTGTTAGTCCATCTCACCATCATCGCAACCACACGGAAGCATCACCAGTCCAACCGCCTCCAAACACCAAAAGCCAGGAGACGAAAGTAAACTCACCCCTTGGTAAAATCCAAATCCCGACTCTCAAAAAACACATGCCGCCCAGCATCCCCCGACAACCCCACAATCCTCATCTTGCCAAAATAAAAACTCCAGTTCCCGAACCGCCCGAACCGCGCCCCCTCGCTCAGGAAATTCCCCCGGTCCGTGAAGAAGCGCGGCGTCCCGAGCACGGGGTACCCGCGAAACACCGTTGGCGCATTCCGCGGAAAGGAAGGACGGTAGGCGAGGAGGCCGACGGCGTAGGCGAGACCCGTGAGGAGGAGGACCCAGATGGAGGTCGGCCAGGTTTGCGGGTTGAGGAGGGTTTGTCTTGCTGCTGTTGCTAGGGACATTGTTGGCGCGATGTTTTCTTCCCGTTCTGCGGTAGCTTGATCTTGTTCGGTGCTTTGTTGCCTGGTTTCTTCTCGCGAGGAGTAGATCTCTCTCTCTCTCTCTCTCTCTCTCTCTCTCTCTCTGTAGATTCGTCTTCTTATCTGGCAATGTTTCTTTCCAAAAGGCTTCCAGAGGACTCGACGAGGAAGATGAGATGAAAGCTCCGTGGCAAGAACACGAAAAAAACAGAGTTGACAATGAAGGAGGAGCAAAAAAAAAAGTAAGAAGGGCAAGAAAAGGTAGGAACGATATCAGTCTGCGTAATAAGAGCAGATGAAAGTGGGTGTGGCCCAGCTGAGACGAGTCCGTTCGAAACGCTCGGGCAGAGAGAGAGAGAGAGAGAGGAGCGAGGAAGATGGGACTAACACCAAGCGACGCAACTAATTTACCAGCTAACAATTACCCTGCCATTAAAAAACTCACAGACATCAGCACTTTTCCCTACCCAATAACTTGGGGGGCATGGCGCTAAGGCAAGCGTGGCAAAGCTGCCAGACGAAGGAACTTTGGGGACCTTTGTCCTAGTCTTCGACCTCACAACCCCTCATTCTGTCTCGAGCAGACATTCGGGTAGATCCCTACATCAACTACGCACCATCCTAGAAGAGGGAACACTCCAAACATCTCCAGCTGTGTTTTTCCCGCGCAAGCTTTCCTGAGATTCCCGCCTGACCGCACCAGGTCCCTGGATTCCTGGGAGCAACATGGTTTGGCAAGACGATGGATGTCGTGCGGCGTGGCAAAAAAAAAATTAAAAAAAAAATTAAAACCCCATCCCCCCCCCTCCACATCAAAAGCTCCAGGTATTCATTCCTCAAGGAATCAAGGATGTAAGCTCCGGCCGCGGGAGAATAGAACTCTCCCCGCGCGCCCGCGAGTCCTCGGCCCCTCTTGACGGATCCTGAATATTGAGGCGAGGAAATTGCGCAAGCTTTGCGTATCTACACAGTAGGATCCGTGACGATGGACGACGGGGCTCTCGACATTGTCGGATCCATTCATCTGCTCACAAACACGAAACTCCCCATTGGGCATAGACCCCCCACCCAGGCCCAGGGTCGTCGGGGTCACTGTCCACCGCGATCTGCTTCCCTCCCTCGGCGACCTGCATCCCACCCCGCAGGACCTCGCTCGAGTAGCTAGCTAGCTATCTTGCCGTACGTGCGTGCTTGCTTGCCCTAACTCCGTAGTATTGTCAGACGTAGTCTTGATAGCTGCAGAAAGCAACCGGGGGAGGGATACACTGCTTCGCCTCGGTGCTTTTTGGGAGTGGCAGAAAGAGCTTGAGAAGGCCGGCAACCAAAACGCCGAGAAACACACGAGACATCAATGGACCCCGCCGGATCAGCCGCTAGTGGCAGACGGCGCACGGCAGATGCGTTAGCCAAAAGGTGAAACTTTCCAAACGTTGAGGGGGCAAGGCAAGGCAGGGGACCGGGGTGTCACAGTGGTCGTCTGCATATCTATCCGTTCCGTTTGGAGATGCCATCCTAGGACAGTCGGAGCCTGTGTTGCGTATTCGCTCTCTTAAACGAGGTAGACGAGCGGGCGCGCGTATCACGCAGGAGTCGTTCACCGCCCTGAGATGTTTGGTTGATGGATGCATCGGTTGGAAATACTCGGACATGGCGCTTCTCAGAATAGTCCCTGTATCTCCATCATCTGCTGTCCGGAATGCCATGGCGTCTAGAGACGTGCAGCTTCGTATACCTCGCAATCTCTCGTCAGTCTTCTCCCGGGTCCTAGGAAACTCTGTATAACCTCCCACCCGTTACTACCGCTTTTCATAATCCCACAGAACCGGTGTATACTACCTACTCCGTCCAAAAACAGACTTTACACCTGCGCCGGGATTTGAACCAAACAATCAACGGTTCCCCCTCCCGTTTCTTCCTTGCCTTCCCCCTAATTACCCTCCGACTTGCATTTATCCAGACATCCGCAGTATCACCCGTTCATCACCAAACCACCAACCGCCATATCCATCCACGATTCTACGCTCCCGCAGGTCGCGTGAATAAACCTCCCGAGTGGGAGGACTAGTAATAATCCCGGAACCTCGTCTTTGATACCCTATCCTCATTTCTTCCATGGCAGGCGAAACATTGAACATGGAAAGAAGAAGAGGCATCGTCAGTGTACGAGTCCAGGCGTATCGGCATGCATTTCCTTGACTGGTGACTGAATTGCTAACACCCCCCATTCTTCGTCTTCCTCGCTTCTACCCAAGAACAGACTTTTCTACTAAACTCCATCCATCTCAATTCAAGCCCTTCTGAATGACCATCGTGACTTATCCCCAGCACACGGCTCTTACCCGCCGCCAGTGACGCACAGCACAGATAGACCTATCCGAGACTAATCAGCAAGAACACTTGATAACTCACACCCAAATAGCACCACAATCTCAACGCTCAAGCAAGCATGAACACCTTAAGCCAAGTCAAGACTTGAAGCTCTCGATAATCGTATACTTCTAATAGACCTAAAGGAAAAGGGGTATCGTCTAACAATGCATGCCATGCCACCGTTCAACTCATTCCAGAAACCTCAACCATCCGACCAAGGTCTCCTATCCACATTGTTCATTGAACAATACCGAGGGGCAGCATCTTCGCTCCCCATCACGGGACCAACGCCAACATCCACACAACAGCGCAGTCCAACAACACATCTGTCCTGCAGCCCCAGACCACCAACTTCACTAGACAGCCTCCCAATCCATAGCCTCAACCATGAAATCAAACTCATCCTCCTCCATCTCAACAACCCCTCCCCCATCACCTTGACCGCCACCAACCCCCATCTCCGCCTGCACCCACTGCTCCGCAACCGCATACCCAGCATCGAACCCGGCAAAGATGTACCTAAAAATCCTGTCCAGGTCATAGCTCTCCAACGGCGCCGTCCCAGCCCTCTCCCTCGCCGCCATGCTAGCCCCCACGGGCCTACCCGCGTTCCCTTTGCCGTCTGGGTCGGCCGGATCCTCGGCATACTTCCACCGATTCCGCAGCTCCTTGGCTCTCAACAGCTGGAACACCACCTCGCCGCTCCCCAGCGCCTCATGAAGCGGGTTATCCTCCTTTTCCAGCGCGGCAATCACGTTCTGGTGATACGTATGCGTCGCCTGCTGTGTCCCGTTCCCCTGCTTGGTCATCGTGGTCGTGGTAACCCACCCGTCCCTCGAAATCGTAATCCCAAACACCCCCATCAGATGCACCAGCGCTCGCTCCAGCAACATGTAATACTCGTAGAAGTCGAGCTTGAACATGAGCTCAGCCTCCTCGGCGTCCGTCTCGCCCCCGTACAGCGGGGATCCAGGCCGTGCTATGGCGTGGTGGTATCCGTGGCTCAGGTACGGTAGCTTCCATTTCAGTCGGCGGACGATTTGGATGTATCGCTTGAACTCCTGCTGCGACGAGGGGCCGCCGATCGGTCGAGGAATGTGAGGAGTGTTTGTGGCGGTGTTGCCGTTGCTGTTGGGTGTAGCTACGGGCGTCGAGGCAGCCGTGGCGGGTCGGTAGGCGCCGTTCTTGACCGGTGAGGGCGGTCGTGGTGCCGCGGGTGTGATGACGGACGAGACGAACTGGTTGGGCTGGTATTTGTACGAGGGCTGGGCCTTGCCTCGGGCGGCCCAGATTGAGTCGCCCAGACCCTTCTTGGGTTTCGACATGGTGTTCATTTCGAATCTTGGGGCGTCGGCCTTGTGGGCGTCGGCCTTGTGGGCGTCGGCCTTGTGGGCGTCTGTACGCAGTCGTTACTTCTTTCTCGTTTTCGGGGTCAATTGCGGTCGCTTTTGTCGTAGAGGGGTTATCCGTGCAGGGAATCAAGGCTGCTCAGTATCGTGTATGAACAGAAAACACAGGAAATGTGTTCGAATCCCAAGAAATTGACAAAAGACCCAAGACCAAACTGAAATTCGAATTGTCGCGAGGCTGCTAATTCGATGGCATTGACGAATGCACACAAACAATAAATCGTAGAGACTGGTGGTTAGAAAGAATGTCTGCAAGCAACAACGTTGCCGCTGATACTTGAATAGAAAAAGATTTTGATCAAAGGAGTCGGCTGCCTCCTTTGTGTCTCACGTCGTTGTTGGAAAAGGGAAGTCAAGACGTTGTCTGGTGGTGGTGGTGTTGAATACCTAAAGGATGGTGGGGTTGGAACGGTATGTGCACAGGTTCCGGGCAGGTGCAGCGGGGAGACGCGCCTGACGCGTGCCAATGGAAGGTACCCATGGAAGGTGCTTAGGTCACCTCAGGTACGTCCCTTGGGCCTTCCATTGTTGAATCCTTAAAAGGGCGGGGGACCTTTGTGGGCAGGAACCTCATGATGCCTTACCTCAGCGCCCCAAAGTCCCTAAAGCATTAGTAAGGTAAGCTCAGTACTCCACTTCAATCAACATACCATCTCCCAAGTGCCTCACAAATATCACCACCCTCATTCTCCAAGTGAGTGTGTACAAAGTGCCCTCGGGCTTGTATTGTATGTCGAAATCGTACTCGTACGTATTTCTAGGATATACAGCTTCAACAATGCCCCGTCAACCACGCAATAAATCCTCCAACGCCGGTCCCGGTTACGGTGACTCTCATCCAAGAACGCCTTCATCAGCCATCCGGCCGGTCTACTACGCCTTCTTCGTAGCCTTGGCAGTGCCAATGTGGGTATTATGAACCTGCTTCGCATTAGCGTCATGGTCTTACACCAGATCGTTGATCGCGAACTCACTTTGGTAGCAAAACGCAAACTCGTCACCGTCTCCTTCAGATGCGCCTCCAACGGGCTGACCATCACAAACATGAGTGTCTTGCTGTTGCCTCCGAGAGAGTACTGAAGCAGATGCGTCAACTTTGAGTTGCGGTATGGGATGTGCCCGCTCTTCTTGCCGAGCGCTTCAATCACATCGCCGAGGCACGACAGAGACTTGTTGATGTTCTGTGTCTCCCTCATCCTGGCGCCCTCGGCCTGCGAGTGTTTGAGCCTCTCAGAGCCAGCAAGATCCACCAGGTTCAGCGTACCCTCGCAACGCTCTCCCGTTGCCGAGTTGTAGCCAGACAGCTTCAGGATGAAGACGCTGTGCGAACGCGACGACCTCTCGTTGGCCTTGGTAGCCGCCACCGATCGGTTGTTCTGCGCCTCAGCAAGCATCACCTCGACCGTGTCGGCTGAATCAAGAGACACCGTCTTGCAGTTGAGCACTGCCGTCTGCTTGCGTGCGTCGTCATGACGAATCTCGAGCTTGCGCCCCTTGCCGTCTGACTCACGGCTATTGGGTGTCAACAAGTCGTTGAGCTCCTCGTTGTATACTTCAATAAAGGAGCCCTCCATCTTGTACGTCCACTGCTTCTCCTTCAACTTGGTAACCGTGTCGTAAATCATGTGTGTCGCGCGAGGAATCATGCCGTCTGCCGAAGACATGGTGTGCGTCTTGCCAGATCCCGTCTGGCCGTAGCAAAAGATGCACACGTTGTATCCGTCGAGTGCGCTCTGCACGAGCTGCGAAATCTCGTCAAACACATCTTGGTTCTGGGCTGACGGGTCAAACACCCTGTCAAACTCAAAGTTGACGTTCTTGTTCGAGACGTCACCGAAACTGTTGACTTCCTGTGTCTGCAGTGCAATCTCGGCGGATGTCTTCTCGTCGGGGAAGGTGACCTTGGCCGGCGAACCCTCTGACGGGCCCAGTACAGGACGGACTCTGCACATCACGCGGATGTTGCCCTTGAGCTCCTGGTACTTGTTGAAGAGAACGCGACGTTCCGTCTCCTCCTTGATGAGCTTCTCCTCGGCCACCTGAGCAGCCTTGAGCGCTTCTTGGAGTCTGGCTTCCATGTTGGAGAAGGAGTCTGACTGAGCCTTACTGTCTGACTCAAGGAACTCGACATGAGACTTGAGCGAGTTGATCTTGGCCTCCAGGGTGACATTGGAGGCAGAGAGCTCCGAAATACTAGCTTCAAGACCCTTCTTGAGACTCTGCTCACGGTCCAAATCTCCCTTGAGTGTCTCTACAACACCTCTCATTTCTGATACCTCTCTGTCCTTCTTCTGCAGGATGGTGTTGAGGTCTTGTTGCTCGTGACCAAGCCGCGTTCTTAGATCTTGCACTTCCCTCGACTTCTGATGGCGCTCTTCCTCAATCTCGGCCTTGAAATGTCGCTCAAGAGCATCCAAAGCCTCACGGTGACTCTTCTCCGCTCGTTGTGTCTCATCCTTGAGCTCGCGCCGCAGCTCGTCGAGTTCATGGCGGTGTTTCCGGGCCTCATCCTCGAGCTCATACTTGTGGCTGCGCTTCTCCGTCTCGGATTCAATTGTCAGTTTTTGCATCTGGTCGCGCATGTTGTTGATCTCATTTTGGAAATTCCCGTTGCGGTCTTCGAGTTTGTCTCGTTCCGCTTCGAGTTCCGATACTGCCAGCTGATTAGTTCAGTCCACGCTAGCTCGTCGTCCGAACTACTCACTTCTCTTCTTGTACATCTCCACTCGCTCGTCCATCAGCTCCTTGTCGGACAGCATGACAGTCATTGACTCCTTCACCTGTTTAAACTGCGAGTCAAGCTCGGCAACCCTGCCCTCGACATCCCAGCCTACGAATTGAGTCAAGTTAGAATCTTTTGTAAGAAAGTGAGGTCTAGAAGGAGAAGGGGATCTGGCCGGGGATCTTGAGTCCTTGATAGCCAGGATTGTTTCCTCGAGTCTTTCCATCATGGCCCTCGATCGCTTACAATCCGGTGAAGGGGTGACAGGATCGGTCATGCGACTGGCCTGCCTCTTCTTGGGCGACAGATCTGGCGGTTTCATGAGGGCCCTTCGTGATGACGCGCGCATGGTGACGTTGTCCACTTGCGCGTTGCTCGCCAGAGTCGAGATTGAACTGACGCTGGTGTCCCCATGTTGGCTGAAAACCACTTGATCTTCATCTTGTGCTGAGCTTGTAGTACTGGCGTCGTCCTTGATGGATAGTGCGCCAAACCGACTGCTGAGAGAAACTTCTCTGTGCGAATGCATTTGTGACGTGTGACTGGCATGTCTAGCCTTGCTAGGCTGAAATTTAAGGGGTCGCGGAAAGTTCAGTCGCTGGGATTGCAGAGCCGTACCATGCTGTTGTTCTATTGGTCCATCAAACTCTTCCTCTGATCGATGACCGTATGCCGTGCGCGGTCTCGTATGCGGGTTGGCGTTTCGGGTCCGGGGCTGTCCGTGTACCGACTTTGAATGAGCAAGGGAGGACTTTGCGCGTTCATGGCCACGGGGGCCGACGCTCGCGGAGAAGTTGCTGGTCTGATTGTATCGTGATGTCGTCGTTCCATTTCGAGGTCTGATGTTATTCGGGTTCTTGAGCTACTGCGAGTCAGCATGCGAGCTACATGTGGTTGTTTTGAGCGAGCATTGGGCGGTACACAACGCAGCTCATCCCTGTCGTCCGTCTCGTCGTCGCACTCCATGGCCGGGTAGCATTCGCCCTCTTGGACCTCGGCGTCTAGGAGGAGTCGAATACCACTGCGCGTGTTGTCGCTGTCGCTTTGTATTCCGAGCCACAGCTGTAGTCTACCGGAGACGCTGCGCATGTACGTTGGCGCAGAGACTGAAGAACCGCTTCGAGAACGAGAGCGTGGTCGACTGAGGGCGTTCCGGTCCCAAGGAAGCGGGAGCGACGCAAGCAGCCTTGGCCAAAGGGATGGTCGAGGAACGGACTGGATAACCGCCCGCCAGATATGCCGTATAGAGCGAAAAAGATGCACCGCTATCCACAGAATCATCCGAAAACCGTCAAGCCGGAGAACGATGCTGGAGGCCGTAGTCGACTCGGGGGCCATGTCCAAGGAGAATCTCGACGCAGGATTGCCGGGGATGAGATGCGAGGTGCACGATTCACAGAGACGCAACACAACGAAACCGGGGACCTACCTCTGCCAATGTTGACCCGGGCACCCGCTTGACAGAAGGCGCCCTGGCGATACCAGAAGCGCCCGCGCCTGCCGCCGCCGAGGATGAGTGCTTGGTCGGGTATTCGCCTGCCCTCTCGGCGAGGGTCTTGTGGTGCTTGGTAGCCGAATGCTCAGCTATAGAAGGCACGGTCAGCAGCTGCCGCCACCGCGACCACGACGACGTATCCCACCGCCGCCGCAGCCCGGGAGGATAGTAGGACCAACCTGGCTTCGGGACCTCCCTCTTCAAGTTCATCGCGCTGTTGAGCGAGCCGATCTTGGATGCGCCCGGCGGCGGTATCATGGACGGGTGCGCGCGCGTGTTGCTTTGCGATTCGTTCATTTCGGAGAGGCCTGAGGAGAAGGCGCCTGGTCGCGGGAGATTGCTCTGAGGTCGGATGACGGAGGATCGGAAGTGGTGTTGCTGTGGAAGTGAATGTTGTCAGCTGGGCGCCTTTGCTCTATGGTGGGTTTGCTATATATATCATGGCCTTTGCGACCATCGTCAAAGCTTCATTTCCCGGATCCGAGAGAGAGAGAGAGAGAGAGACATACCGTATTCTCCGCAGTGTCCATGTTGAGGATGCTGTCTACGCGACGAGCTACAACAGGTATGATGATGTGGGACACGAGGAGCAGCGCTCCGGTTCTGCACGCGGTGGGAGAAGACGTTGTGAAGTTGGAGCAGGCATGCAGCAAGGAGCAGCGACACTCGAAAAAAGAGCCCACAGCTATGATTGCAATATGGGGAGGGGTGTGGGTTGTGAGCGTGGGATTTGTTTGCTGGGCTTCCCAATCGGGGGCTGTGGAGGTGCATCACCAGGGTCTGAGTGTTTACTGTGAATTGTGTACACACTCAAAGGACTCTGCACACAACTGCGGCGGCCGGGGTGTGGATGGCTGCCCGGGGCAACGGGAACTGTGGAACGCTGACATAATCCATCATCAAAAACACTTAGGTAATCAGGCTGGCTGCATCTGGATTGTCACTTCCCGCATTCCTGCCTCAGGCCTGAAGCGATTTCAAGTCCGAGGTTTTACCTGAGAACAGCTTACCTCAGCAAGATCAGGTTCTCAGGCGGGAGAGCGGGGCCGCTGCCGTCCAGATTTGGTAAGCGGTCGCGCACCAGCAGCTCCTCTTCCCACTCCGTGCCATTGCATCCCGTCCCGCAGCCAGGCGCAACCGCAACGTGGTGGTCTTTTTTTTTTTTTTTTTTTTTTTTAATATTTCACATGTCACTGCTGGCCGCCGCCGCACCATGACGTTAGGAAGCTCATTCGCCAGCTCACGTCGTATCTGAGATTTGTTTGTCTTGCTGCTCCCCAACGGACCAGGAGTTCGGTGCTGGGAGACCACACAAGTTGCGTGACACGAGAGCAGCAACAACTCCCGAGTCTCACTCCATTTTCTCTTCAGCTTTCTTTCCCCTCCTTCTGCTGCTTGTCTGTTCTTCTCAACGTCCTTGCGTCGATTCGTATTCCGCCTCCGCCCTCTTGTACTTACGCCAAGTTCCGACTAAGCACCACGACCGTTGCGATCCGGAGCCTCATGTCGCCGTGATTCTTCCGTTTACCTACCCTCCGCTCTCCCGGTCAGCTTGGACTTATACGACCTCTACATCTCACTGTTACAATTCCCACTGCCTCTCACAATGGAGAAGTTTAGCCAGTTCCGCGACAAAGGTCATTACACCCAGCCCATCATGACACCCAGCAAAAGACTGAGACTAACATCCCCCCAGGCTCGGGCATCTCGCCCTTCATCCCCGTCAAAACAGCCCTCTCCCCCGTCTCCTCAATCTTCCACACCTTCCTCTTCTTCATCCGCCTCCCCCTCTTCCTCACCTACGCAGCAACCTACTTCCTCTTCCTCCAACACCTATGCCCCTTCCTCCCCGTCGCCGTCCGCAAAGTCCTCCTCTGGGGCATGATGGGCATCCCCGGCATCTGGTGGGTCGACCTCCAGCTCGACGGCGTCCGCCGCGGCACCCTCGCCGACCAACCCCCGCAGCGCTTCCCCCACCCCGGCTCCGTCATCGCCGCAAACTTCACCTCCCCCATCGACGCCGTCTACCTCGCCGCAATCTTTGACCCCATCTTTACAATCTCCTACCCAAACACCAGATCCGTCGAGCGAATCTCCCTCCTCCGCGCCGTCTTCTACGCCCTCTCCCCCGTCCGCTTCGCCCCGTCGCCATCAAACCGAAAGCTAACCGACCTCGCCGCCCTCCAAACCCGCTACCCGGACCGCGTCGTCGCCGTCTTCCCCGAGGGCGGCACCACCAACGGCAAGGGCGTCCTCCCCTTCACGCCCTCCCTCCTCGCCGTCAGCCCCGAAGTCCATATCTTCCCCGTCAGCATCCGCTACACCCCCGCCGACGTAACGACCCCGATCCCGGGCCGCTGGTTCAAGTTCCTCTGGGACCTGCTCTCCCGCCCGACGACCTGCATCCGCGTCCGCGTCGCCGAGAGTATCCTCAACTCCTCCGCCGCCCAGACCAACGGCGTCTCGTCTTCTGTGGCTGCTGGCGAGACTGCTCAACGACGAATCGGGGCCGGAGGCGGTGATGCGCCCGCGCTTTCGATCGAGGAACAACGGGTGCTGGATAAGGTTGGCGAGGCTCTGGCTAGGCTGTGCCGGAATAAGCGCGTCGGGTTGACGTTGCGGGATAAGTCCGCCTTTATCGAGGTGTGGAACGGGCGGAAGTGAGCTACCCAAAGCTTTCCTAGAATCACCCAGAAATAGCAGGGGACGCGATGGGGAGAAGGAATGTTGGCTCAGGCAGCTTGGCGGCCGTCGTGCTTTTGCGTTTTTAGCCAGGGTGTTATTGCATAGCTAGGAGCTTCGGAGGCGCTCGTTGTGCCATGTTTCGATGCACGTGGAAGTCAAAAAAGCGGCATGGGCGGGGCTTCTGTTAAAGGGAATTCGCTGTGTAAAGGTAATGCAGTTTCGACGTTGTGAAGTGTGGTTTTTTTTGGAACTACGTATACCACAAGTACCTATTGAATTCGACGTTCAACTGTCCTTGCCTTTTTGAAAGCAACACACTCGTTGTTCATTCTACCGAGACTCTCTTTACGATGAACCAACGTGAAACAAAACTCCGATTTTGGACTACCTTTTCCGAAGCCGTACAAGAAGATGGTATAACAGTGTAGAAGAAACCTCTAATAGAAAAAAGAGGAGGAAACATAACCCCGCCGCTCCCTTTTTGAATTCCGCCAAAGAGAAAATTGACCCAAAAAGAGGAACTTCTCCTCCCTTCCCCTTTTCCTTTCCTTCAAACCCCCCGGGACGCAAAAGTCTTATATCTTGCCGTCCGTGACGCATCCAGAGCTGGCATCGCTCACAAGATCAGAGTACTTCTTCAGCGTACCCTTGGTATACTTGGCCGGCGGCGCCACCCACTTGGCCTTGCGCTCCGCCATCTCGGCATCCGACACATTCGTATCAATCACCCTCTTCTCCGCATCAATCGTAATCTCATCCCCATCCTGCACCAACCCAATCGGTCCGCCCTCCATCGCCTCAGGCACAATATGTCCAATCAGGAAGCCGTGGGAACCACCCGAGAACCGACCGTCCGTCAACAGCGCGACATCCTTACCGAGACCGGCGCCCATAATGGCGGAACTGGGCTTCAGCATCTCAGGCATACCGGGGCCGCCCTTGGGTCCCTCGTAGCGGATGATGACGACGATCTTCTCGCCCTGCTTGATCTCGCCGCGCTCCAGGGCGGCGATGAAGCCGTCCTCCTCGTCGAACACGCGCGCCTTACCCGTGAAGACGAGACCTTCCTTGCCGGTGATCTTACCCACGGATCCGCCGGGCGCGAGCTGGCCGCGCAGGATCTGGATGTGGCCCGTCGGCTTGATGGGGTTGCTGAAGGGGCGGATGATGGGCTGGTCGGCGGGGAAGTCGGGCGTGCTCTCGACGTTCTCCTTCATCGTCTTACCCGTGACGGTGATACCCGAGCCGTCGATGAGACCTTCCTTGAGGAGGAACTTGAGGAGGCCGGGCGTGCCGCCGATGCGGTGCATGTCGGCCATGACGTACTTTCCAGAGGGCTTCAAGTCAGCCAGGAAGGGCGTGCGGTCCGAGACGGCCTGGAAGTCGTCGACGGTGAGCTTGATGCCGACGGAATCGGCGATGGCGAGCAAGTGGAGGACGGCGTTGGTGCTGCCTCCGAGGATATTGACGACGACCATGGCGTTCTCAAAGGCCTGGCGGGTCATGATGTCGCGCGGGCGAATGTCCTCCTTGAGAAGGTTCTTGATGGCGGGACCAATGTTCTCGCACTCGGCCTTCTTGGTGGCGTCCTCGGCAGGGCTGCTGGAGCTGTGCGGCATCGTCAGGCCGAGGGTCTCGATGGCGGTGGCCATTGTGTTTGCGGTGTACATGCCTCCGCAGGCACCGCTGCCGGGGCACGCGTTGCGGATGATGTCGAAGCGCTCCTCCTCTGTGATCTCGCCGGTGATGTACTGGCCGTAGGCCTGGAAGGCGGAGACGATATCAATGGACTCGCCGCTCTTGCTGCAGCCGGGCTTGATGGTGCCGCCGTAGACCATGATGCTGGGGCGGTTGACGCGGCCCATGGCGATAGCGACACCGGGCATGTTCTTGTCGCAGCCGGGCAGGGAGATGTTTCCGTCGTACCACTGGCCGTTCATGACGGTCTCGATGGAGTCGGCGATGATCTCGCGCGACTGGAGGGAGTAGCGCATACCCTTTGTGCCCATGGAGATACCGTCCGAAACACCAATGGTGTTGAACTGGTAGGGGATGAGGCCGGCGTCCTTGACGGACTTGCGGACGAGGTTGGAGAGGTCGAGAAGGTGCATGTTGCAGGGGTTGCCCTCGTACCACACAGAGGAGATACCGACCTGGGCCTTGTTCATGTCATCCTCTGACAGGCCGGTGGCGTACAGCATGGCCTGGGAGGCGCCCTGGGACTTGGGCTGGGTGATGTTGGCCGAGACCTTGTTCAGCTTGTCGTCGGCGCGTCGGGGCGCGGTGGAGGAGAGGAGACGTCTGTAGAGGGTTTGAGGTTAGCTATTGTATCCTGTAGGGTTCAATTGGGTATTCGTACGCATGGCTGGCAAAGGTAGGACGCCTTGTCGCAGCTCTGAGAGCTTGTGACTGGCGAGCGATGGACCGAGAGAGCATTTCGTCGAGGGTATCACCGGGAAGCCCCAGGAGACGACACAACGGAACGGGAACGGGGGATGGTGGAGATGGGTGTGTAAGAGGATGTTGATCTGTTCAATTGAGTTCCAATTGATCTCTTTTTCGAATCTTTCCTTGATTCTTCCCCTTAAATAACGATGCCAGGTGAGTCACGAAGGATTAGAAAAAAGAGGTGCAGTGGAAGAAAGACCCGAGATCACAGGGACAGTCACAGGGACACGGCGGACGACGTTGCGAGCGATGGTTTTTTTTGGAGCAGGCCGCTAGCAGAGCCGGGGGGGAGGGGGGAGGGGGGTGAAACAATTTGGGGCGATGTCGGCTCCTAAAAATTCTGGAGCTCCCCGCCGAGTGCTCCCCGCATTGAAATACCTTGTCGCCCATTGGTCGCAGCTGTGGTTCCGACGCTCCGTTCCCCCCAGGTTTGGCTGCGTTTGCTGCGCAGGTTGAGGTGAGCCACCGGCGTCGGGTGCAAGGTCAGCAAGGTCAGCCACGGTGTGCGACGTCAGGACACCAGTTGACCACACCACCACCAAAGGTCAAATGCAAGACATATTGGTGCAGCTTATCTTCAATTGAACTTGCATAGAGTCTCTATTGTTTTGAATGAAGATAGTCCGAGGCCGTGAGAAACATCAAGGTGTTGTGAAGTTGTTCCCAACTTTACCTCATCAGATTACCTCATGCTTATTTCCGATAAGCCCGGAATGCTTCCGGTCCCGGAAGAGCCCCAGTTTTTCAGACCGATCCCGCCGGAAGTGGGTCGCGGCTACCCGGCAACGCGCGTGCTGCCTCCATAATCCTCTCCTACAATCGCGGCTCAGCTCCCTTAGCTTCACTACGAATAGAGCCGGTGTTACAAATCACACTTCTGGATATCAATTGAGCAAGCCCCCCATGGCTTAGGGCTTCGTCTTGTGCTCCTCCGTCGAATCCTTCTCCTTGAGGTCCTTCTCCTCCCTCCGCGTCAAAATCTCGTCAATGACGCCCATGCTCTTGGCCTCCTCCGCCGACAAGTAGTTGTCGCGCTCCATCAGGTCGTGGATCTCCTCCAAGCTGTACTTGTCGTTCCCAAACGACTTGTTGATATGGCGCTTCATAATCTCGTTGATCTGCTTTCGGATGCGCTGGATCTGGTTCGCGTAGATGAGGATATCCGACGCCTGGCCCTGCGTCCCGCCAAGCGGCTGGTGAATCATGACGGAGCTGTGAGGCAGGGCGTATCTCTTGCCAGCCTCGCCTCCCGTCAGAAGCAGCGCTGCCATGGAGGAGGCGGCGCCGAGGCAGACTGTTGATACTGGTGACTTGATGTATGTCATTGTGTCGTAGATGGCCAGTCCTTCAAATCTTCATCAGTAACCTGTCTTCCGCGTTTCGCCCTCCGACTGGAGATTGGGTATGTTCGCGAACCTGATGATACTGAGCCTCCTGGTGAGTTGATGTACATTGTAATCGCCTTGTCGGGGCTATCGGACTCGAGCCACAGGAGCTGTGCTACTATCGATGCGGAAACGGTATCGTCGATCGCGCCATTGAGGCAAACAATGCGTTCCTATATGTGTCAGCTTGATGCGCGCGACAACTCGAAGTGTCTATGGGATCGTACCTGAAGCAGCTTGGAAAAGATGTCGTCTACCTGCGTGGTCAGCTAGGGGGGTACCCAATTGCCGTAGCGGTCGCTACTAACATGTTCTCCATCCGCTCGACTGATCAATTAGCTATCGCGACCTAGATATGTCCAAAGTGCCATGGGTGAACGAACCGAAACCTCGGTGATGTAGGGCAGAGGGATGTTTCCGACGGGCGGGCTGCCGCCTCCTGCGACGGGAGGGAAGCCGCCTGGGACTGGAAAGTTTGAAAAGGCCCTGACGTGCTGCCGCCGCGGGACGGCTCTCAGGGCTCGGAATAGTGTCCTTTGACAGTTCATGGCTGCGGCGCGATGTCAAGGTCGCTTGTGTGGTGTTGCAGTGTCAAAGATGCAGAACGAATGCGAAAAGCGGCAATCAACGGCAGTGTGACGTCCGCTGGGAAAGCTGCTCGGCGCCGCACCCCCCAAAAACGCCCCCCCTGCGCCCCCCGAGCTCCGAGCTCCCCCACGCGTCCTCGTCTAAAAATTGCCCCGAGGCGCGTAAAGCTCTTTTTCGTCTGCGCCGTATTCTTGAGCTGGGCCACCACCCCGGGGACCCGTTCCGAATCTTGAAAACCCCGGGCGATTTTCTAACGTCTGTTGTAGTACGTGCCTATTACCGTCAGCAAGATCCCCCCTTTCGAGTCGACCGAGACCATTCGCGGCCACACTGGCGACAGTTTGCGACTACTGCTTCCTCCTCCGGGGGTCTACCCCTCGATCGCGATGAGGCCATTCCCAGGCATTCGACGAGTGCCCCAAATTTCACATAGAAAATATGGCTCAAACCCCCCGACCAAAGCGTGGCTCGAATTCCTGTCCGGGGCGTCAACAAGGGAGACAGAATCCAAGGCAGCGAAAAGGAATCGGCTGATGTTAAGAAAAAAGACAAATGCAAATGCGCCAAAGCGCAAGGCAGAAGAAAGACAGGCGCAATTCACCAGGAGAATACAAGAGGTCATAGGACACGACGATATCGCCAAAGATGTACGAATCGACAAGGAGAACAAGAAGGTCCGCACCTCGGCCGGCGACCTGCCCATCTCGCCCGTCATGGACCCCGTGTGGATGGACGTACGCACGAGGTACAGGACGCCCAAGCCCAGGCCCAAATCCACACACCGGCCTCCTCCCTCGTCATCATCAGGGAGAGCGCCGAAGAAGCACAAGTACGTAATTAAAATGGGGTGGGATGAGAAGAAGCAGGATAATACAAAGTACATTATCGTGAACAAGAAGCCCAATGGGGGCAGGTTCCGCGTCAAGGTGCAACAGAATCCGTACGGTCAGTAGCGTGCCACGCATCCATTTGCACGAGGATTTTGAGGAACGGAAATGCTGATACGACTGGCTCCCTGTAGTTCATGCCCTTGCCTCGCCTATCCGATTCTGTCCCGTCACGGGGGCATCTCTGCCGAAATACTTTCTTCAGAACTTCAAGGCCGTTACGAACCCAGACACCAAGGGTCACTGGTTCATGCCGGGCGACATTGAAGTATCGTGGACACATAAACAGGCCATGGAAGATGTATGCGGAGAGCTCGACGATGTGGAGGACGGAGTTGAAAAGCATGACGATGTGGAGGATGGGTCAAGGGAACACGCCGAAGAGAGCCCTAAAGAGCTCGACAATGAAAAGGACGAACTCAAGAAAGCTTTCAGAGAGGATGGCGAGGCCAAGAAGTCTGATGATGCCGATGATAGGTTCGAAAAGCGTTTTGAACAGACGGCCGGATCCACGAAACCTGAAGAGGAGGTAGTCGAATCCAAAGAGCAAAGCGAAGAGGGACCTCGAAATCTCAACATCACAGAAGAAGACTTTGAGAAACATTTCGAAAAAGCAGTCGGATCCGAGAAGCACAACACAAAGGAGAAGAGCCGCTCTACAGCGATATCAAACAGAAAACCATCCAGAACAGAACCCCTCGAGGATTCCCTCGCAAGGCAAAAAGAAACAGACCAGCTACTCATCGAATCCCCTTCCGCCTATGTGGTCCTTAGGAAACCCATCATCGACTCCATGGCAGGAAAACGTGGCAAGACGCCCTTTGGAGACGGGTGGAGGACGCTCCTGGGCAGGAACCAAAAGGTCATGAACTCGGACATTCCCAAGCGTCTGGTGTGGCGCGAGGACATGGGCGACTTTGTCCTCGACAACCTACGCAAGAATGTCATGAAGAACATTGCTTACTCCGTCGAGATGAACAACCAGAAGAGGTCCTACATTGAGCCCCTCGAGAGGTGGGAGGATGTTCACGAGTCGGAGAAGCGGGGCTGTTTGCTATGGTATGACACGGCAAAGGTTCCTACGGAAGAGAGTCGGTGGGATGAATGGATGAAGGAAGGACAGATCAAGCCATTTGCGACCTACGATGTCCCTGACGCAAAGTACGAAAAGAGCCTGCCCATCTACGATATCGGGCGGCTCATGGGGCCAGAGTACCTCGCCAAGCTGATGAAAATGCCCCTGTTCCGCAAAAAGTCGCTCTTCGTCGTCAAGAAGAAGCCGTCGACCCCGCTACAGCTCTACCTGTGGAAGCTGCAGGCGTACATGGCCGAGTATCCCTCCGCAGAGAAGGTCGCCGAGGAGAGTGCGGAGAAGCGAAGGCTCGACAGGAAGAGGAGGGAGGAGGAGCGCCAGGAGGAACTCGTCCAGGAGCAATTCAGGCTGGAGGAGGAGGCGAGGGAAGGGTACATCAGGGCCAAGGCCGAGCGTGCCCGGATCATTCAGGAGAGAATCGAACGGGAGATGCGCGGGGACGACGAGCCCAAGGACAAGGCACCCGAGGCGGAGGTCGAGCGCGAAGCCGGGTTTGCGACCACCAGCACAGCTACGCCAAAAGGTTCGGCTGCAGTCATGACCAGAGATGCCTTCGCCACCCAATTCATGTCGACAGCACGAGTTTCAGCACCCAATGCTTGGGGCAGCGCCGTCATCAAACCCATAGGTACGACCAGGATCGACAGGAAGGCTGAATTCTCCAAACGGCCCACGATGAAAGCCAGAGCCGAATTTACACCAAAGCGCTCAGCCAAAGCTCCCGCGGCGCCCATGACCGCAGCCGACTTCACCGCCCAGCTCATGGCCACAACTCGAGTCGGTTCTGGATCTGACTCTTGAGGTAGTTCCGCCATCAACCCCACAGCTCCCGCCAAGGCCATCAACGAGACCGATTCGGCTTCGCGTCCTTCGACCAAGGAGGCTGAAGGTGAAGCTACGCTTGAACGTGCCAGCACCACAGCTGAGACTACGTCCAAGGCCGATGCTAAAGGAACAGCGGAACCCCAAGCAGGAGCCACAGAGCCAAAGGTGAAGCCACTCAAGCCAGTTAAGCCACGCTGGTAGACCTATGCCGTTTTGTTTCCATCCAGGCAAGTACTTACCAACGAGGGTTTTCTTGGATACAAAAGGAAGGAGAGGATGGTCACATCAGGGTACATGTACAGTGAAGGAGCGAAGGGGGTGGCTACATCGTCCCCATGTAAGAAGGTGCGATGAGAGTCGAAGAACTTGAAATGGAGCCATATACCCATGAAGAGAGGCGCTTCATTGACGTCTCGAAGTGTAGGAAATACCCCAATCAGCAATTAAATCAAGCATGTTCATCATTCAGGTGACAAGAAGGTGGTACCCAGAGGTCTTTCCGTGTGTTCCTTGAATTGAGTGATCTTGGGGATGGTCCAAGATCTAATCAACCAAACATAAGAGCAATCCTCTTAGCTGCTAGATTCAAACACTACCAGGCTTGGACTCTTTCCCACTCATCTTCATGCCCCAGGTGGAAGATCACTATTCAACAACAAACAGTTCCTCTCAGTGTCATCTCCGAGAAATCCAACAGCAAAGGGAGGAGCTATATCTCTAATCCTCCTGCCTTAGCCTTGATCCATTTGTCCTTGCCTTCCCATCTATGATTGGCAAGGTCCTCTCGAATGCCTCCTTCCTCCTTCTTTCACATCCCACCCGTCTCGACCCTATTTAAACCTCTCTTCTGCCTCTCACAGCTTCAACTTTACACCTCCAACCTCTCACTCTTCCACAACTTCAACACTTCCACACATCAACGGACTGCATTGCTTCCAAAGTTCATTGCTTCTCACCTTTATTGCATCTAGCCTTCACTACTTTTGATCTTCACTTCTTCTAACCTCCTTTACCTCTCTTACCTACAACCCTCTTGCCTTCAAACCTTCATTACAACTGACGTTCAACATTCTTCACAACTTCAAACACAAACATCATCAGGGCCATTTCCCAAGACCATCGCTCACTTTCTTTGCCCATAGTTCTCACTTAAACTTTCAAATCCCTCTTGACATCAACTTCCTTACCTCCAGCATTTCACTGCAAGATCATTGGACGTCTTACTTGAGCCAAAATGGCCAATGTGTCCAAGCTAATAGGGGTCCCTCACGGATCAATTCTCACCAACATCGGTGACCGAGTCAGGGCGAAGGAAAAGGCCCGCGAGTTCGGCCTTGGTGTGCTTCAGGACATACCCAAACTTCTCCAACCTATCTCCAACCCCAGTCACAAGCAAGATGTGAAAGATTGGGAGACTAATCTCCGTGAGTCTTTCTTTCATCGTCTTTCGGGGCTTGCTAACTTTCTTACCAGAGAATTTGAAGCGTACATCTCAGTCTCGAGAAATCCTCGTCGGCGTCCAAGGCGAAACAGGTCTGGGAAAGAGCTCCCTTCTCAATGAGCTTCTTCGAAGCGATATCGTTCCGACGTCACAAGTGGAAGCTTGCACGGCAGCTGTTTGTATCTACGGGTACAACCATGAAGTTGGAGACAACAAGCGCTACAGGGCCAAGATCAAATTCAAGAGTTGGGCCACTGTCGAAGCTGAGCTAGACGGTATCAAGGAAGAGCTTGCAGACCCAGGTAACCAACATGAAGCTCAAGATGACGACGATGCAGACCAAGACGGAGGTTGCACTTACTACAACAAACGGAATATCGACATTATTCGCGCTTGGTCGGGTCTGAAGGAGGAAGATGTCCGAAATCTTTCATCGATTCAGATCATGGAGAAAGGGAACTTTAATAAAATTCGCGGTCGGGGAGCTCGGATAACCAGCGACGAGAAAACTTGCGAGAAAACCATTTCAGCCCCCAATGCGAATCAGTTTAAGAAGATCCTGAGGCCTTTCGCGGAGAGTGTGGAACTGAACTCACACAGGACTCAGTATTGGCCGTTGGTCGAGCAGGTCGAGGTATATCTCAAGGCCCCCATTCTCCGTCATGGCATCAGACTCGTTGATCTCCCCGGCACTCAAGATGCTCTATCTTTCCGGGCAGAGATTGCTGAGACATTCCAAGACCGATTGGCGAAACAGATTGTCGTTTCTCCGGCATCCCGAGCAGGAGACAATAAGGCAGCCGCAGACCTCATCTTCACGGAGAACGACTTGATGAGATTTCATTTGGACAACAAGTTCAAAGCAGACTCTCTTTGTGTGGTGATCACCAAGATCGATGACATCCAAACCGCCAATGCTGCCGATGAGTTTCCGACTGAAGAGATTATAGAGCTGCATCATCGTCTGAGAGGTCCCCCGCAAGAAGAGTCTGAAGATGAGGAGTTCGATTCTGAGGCAGAAGACTACACGCGAGTGTCTGTGAAGAAAAGAGGTGGCACCAAAAAACGCAAATCCATCTCTGGTACTTCAAGAGATGCCAAGAGACAGAAAAGTGACTCGCATGAAGACGACGAGTCCATGACGACACGGCTAGTTGAGACGCAGTTGGAAGGCGAGCAGGCAATTGAAGAGGGCGAGTCTCACTTGACGTATCTCTGCATTCAGGAACGGAACTTCAAAATGGTACAGAACGTTGTCGAAAGTCTGCTGAAAGCAGCAAAGAACCACTCGACTTCTAAGGCAATTGCCTCATCAATTCCTGCGGTCTTCCCTATCAGCAGTCATGCATATCACAAGATGAGTAACGGTAAGGATCCGAAAGGTTTCCCAACCGCGGAGTCCACCGGTATCCCAGCTTTGGGTAATTGGCTTACCGATACGTCTCTTCCCATTAGGGAAGCATGGGTTGACAGCGACCTGCATCATATTCAGGTGCTTTTCGACGCGGTTCATGGATGGACGCAGGATGACTTTAATACCTTGCCGATTCTCACCACAGATGAGAAGAAGAAAGTTCGACAAGCAGTCCGTGATGTTGGTGACGATTTGAAGGTAAGTTGAAGTCTGTCACAAGAAGGGAACGACAATGCTGATCTTTCATAGCAAATCATAAATAAGCTGAAGAGCAAGATCCAACGCCATTTGATCCTCATGAAGCCATTAAGACAGAAGAATCTTGTGAGAACAGCCTACATCAGGCTTGGCGAGAACGGGGAAGACCAGGTAGAGAGGTCGTTTAACAACCTCAAACATGCCGTCAAGGCATGGGAGAGAAAGAACCCGAGAGGCCATGCGTCTTCTGCAGGCAAACATGAGAAGCTGCACTGGAGTACCTACAAGGCTTCGATCAGGAGACACGGAGGTCTTTATAGAACTGTTCCGAAAAAGGGCGCAGCTCGACGCACCTTCAACTGGATGGCTGATGTGTAAGTGCCACTCACAACGTCCCTAATTTCCGTCGAGAGCTAACTTGGGAAAAGGCATACATCATTCTGGAGAGGGCACCATGAGAAGTGGCAAACTGCCTTCTCGCGCAAATTTCCCACACTAAAAGACAAGGTCAGGGGCACCGTACACCTCGCGTTCGAAAAATGGATCGGACTTCTTCTGGGCGACGAGGAGCTTCCGGTCTCATTCCGGGACATGGTGAGGAAGAACTCTTACAAAATGGAAAACGTCTTCCTGTTCTTCACAGACAAGATTTTGGCCAGCATAGATGCCCTTCGCCTCAAGGCTTTGAGAATGTCAAAGGTTGACGTTCTGAGCAAGCTGCTCCAGGAGATGAAGCCGGGTTTCGAGGCCGCGCTCAGTAAGACGGGTGAGTCTTGTTGTCCAATGGGCCTCGCGGAGAAAATCAGACACTGACTTTCAAGCAGGCAAGGGAATCATGAAGAGGCAGTCGGCAGAGATATCCGAGCACGTGCAGAGCGTAGGTTTCGCCATGTTCGGAAAGGCTCGCGATGACCTCGAGGTGAAACTCAGAGACGAGGTACACCAGGTGATTCTCGCCACTAAGCGTTACTGGCAAGAGCCCAAGGACGGCTGTGGCGCGATGATGCACAAGGAGTTCAAGCGCATCTCAACCCGGCTCTGCGCTAATAAAAGCAAGAAGAACGATGATGCCGACGAGATCAACGAGGAGACGGAGAAGAAGCTCATTGATCTCATTGGTGTCTGGCGGAAGGAGTGGGAGAAAGTTCAAGCTCGTCTTCCTCAGGCTGCGCCCTTGATCGCTTTTGATGATCACGATGACGACGATGACACTAGCAACGAGTTTGCCAAGGAGGATGAGCTTGCCGAGGCGACGGCGCGCGGTGAGATCGTTTTCAAAAAGGAGCCTAGTGAGGGCAATGAGTAACTGGGAAGAGGAGCATTGGGAGAGGCTTTCACAGAAGACACAGTTTGCTTTGGTTTTCGGGGTTTATTTCTTGGGTTCATTATGCTTATTTATTCTTGCATTTCCGATCTGGTAGGGGCAAAGTTTGGAGGAAAATGCGGGCCATGCTCCTATTCGGAGACCCAAGCCGCTCATTAGTTTCTTGCTCCTCCTTTTCTACAACATGGTTCTCGTTTGCATTCGACTTTAGATAGTCACAAATTTCCTCGGATCGAGGCAGCGTTGCAATTTAATATTGGCAAAGACCGTTCTCAGCTTACAACACTCCCTGACTGTCTGCATGTTTGGGTGAGTTGAGCCATGATGAGGACTGGGCTCTCTGGCCACTTCCATCCAATCCCTGTCTAAAGCTGCAGCTAGTCCTACCCGATTGTTAATATGGTTGGAATACTTGAACATCCCAAAGATTCCGGAATCTTTCAAGTAAACCGGGGGAAGCTTCATGTCAACGCCCTTCTACCTCCCACCGCAGTCCCCGCGTTTTACAACCTCTCGAAGGCAACGTCAAACCCTCACAAGCACTTCCCAACGCAAGCAGCAAAAGACACAGAAAAGACCTGGAGGCTGTCAACCACAATACCACAACTTTCCAACCTTCGTCATTCCCAGGTCCCTAGTCCCACTACCGACCCCATCTCTGCCCATCTCCCCGCCCCGCACCTCAAATCCTCACGAAAACCCTCATCCTCCGCAACGGACCCCACGCACAATCAAACAAGAACCCTCTCTTTCTCCCTCGTCCCCAACCAGAGTTGCTCAAGCATCTCGATCATCCAGCGTCGATGGTTTAGTGGTAAAATTCTCCGTTGCCATCCAGCAGCGTCGGGGAGCCGGGGGTTCGATTCCCCCTCGACGCAATCTTTTGCTTTTTGGGGGTTGTGACTGCTTTTGCGTGAGAAGGGGACCGTAGCTGTTGATGTAAGTACTAAGTGAACCTTTTTGGTCCACTTCGAGCGGTTCAGACGTGGTATGAGGTCGCAACCCATGTTTTGAGAGGCATGTTGCAAGTCCAGATAAGTAGGGAGTTGGTCTGCTGAGGGGTTCTTGATTCGATTCCGGAGGCTCTGTGGTACCGGCTGCTGAAGACAACTAAAGAAACGCCTTTGACTTGCATCCGAATAGTTCAAGGCCCGCCTCAGCATTAAGAGAGACGGAAGACCGCAGGCTAGGATGTGCTTTTTTGTGCGAGACGCAGCGGATTTGATGCGGCAAGCAACCTCCAGAGAAGACTAGGAATGCGATCAGTATGGAGCCATGCACCAACCAGCCCAACATACTACCTTCTCGGATCAAAATCTGTCTTATGGTTGGAGTGAAGTCGTCACACAGATTCAATGGGACGCATATGCGTCTGTCAGTGGCACTAGAGTTGACCAAGACTGAGGCGAAGTAGGAACAACGGGAACGGCTGACTATGGCCAACAGACCATGAAAGAGTGCGACTTCAGATGGAAAGACCATACTCGCTCATCGAATAGAGAACAATTGAGGCCTCAAACTGGAACGAAGAGCAAATTCGAAGCCCAGCGCCAGACCCTTCGAGTGCGACTTACATCACATGTCTGGCGCAAAAACACATCGCGAACGTGAACAATCTTGGCAGTCAAATCGACAACTCGACATGACGTGCAACCCAACAACAGCCGAGCGCATCCAAACCTCCCCTAGATGCTAGAACACGCACAGCAATTACAAGATTTGCCCTGGTCTCTTCGTCGATGCTCAGACAAGGCATCAAGAACTCTCCCGCCCATCATCGACTGAACCTCTGAACCCCCCGCGCGTCGCGCGCAAGCCGTCTTAAACCCACAGACGTGATCAACAACGAAGATCGCCAAACCCAAACCACTCCCACGGGTCCCCCTCACGCGAGGCTGTACCTATCTCAAGCCCTCCCGCCGATCTCACAACCCAACTTAAATCAAGCCCAACCCAGTTCCCTCTCAGCCCTAGCAGACGCCAAGCTCACCACAAGATCCAGCCTCAAGCTCCCTGCCGTCCCTCATCCCCCACACCCGCCCAATGATGGCTCCTTCAATGACACCAACTTACAAGCCGCGCCCGCTAACACCGGAAAGATCCGAGAGTAAGATCAGCTGGATTCCGGTTCCAAGGAACGCCGGCACGACCAGAGATGAATGGGAAGACAAGTACCGTAGTCAAGTACTAGAGACGTTGCTGACGTAGTGATCTGGAGGCTACCAGTCTCCCGCCCACCGACAGCGACACGAAATACCCAGAGACACCGCTTGGTAGCCTCACATAAAGCATCAAACACGTGCGCCCCTCTCTGCCAGCTCCAATCGCATCGTCAGGACTCGCTCGGGAACCTTATCCGGGAAACCCAAGTTCCCCGCCGGACCGAACGAGGAAAACTATCATTGAGAAGTATCCGTACCTTAAGTAATCCCCCGTCTATACTCTCCTCGTGGCCTCCAAAATATAAGCCCAACACTTCCGCGTGGCGGACGTAGACTTATCGAATCGGCAAGAAAGGGCAGAAAAAGCATGGCTCACTCGGTTCAACGATATCGTATCCGTAAAAGGAAGGGAAACCATCTACACTAAATCATAAATGAGACGATTGAAACGCTTCAACCAAAGCACCGACCGCCCCGCGACCTCCAGTCATCAAATCACTAAAGTTACCAAAAAGCTCGTTATCCCACGCCCATCTAACGCCAACCCGGCCACACGGTCGGTATCCGTAAACTTCGAGCGGGTGACGAGATGAGATGAACTAGGCACTATCCGCCAACGGGATGGCCCTTGTATCTCTCCAGCACGGTATCCGCAGTCTTGGCTCCAAAACCAAGCAATTCATGCCCGCATTCCAAACGTGAAATCAAGCCTCTGCAACTGGGAACAACGGTCACCCTTATTTACCTACGGATACACACTCAGGTACTGACAGGTGCGAATCGGTGTGGCCCGTGGGCTGTCTGTCTGTCTGTCTGTCTGTCTGTCTGTCTGTCTGTCTGTCTGTCCGTTCGTCCGTCTGGCAGGCAAGCAAACTTGGGACACACCTTTCATCCTCGGAGATCGGAGAAAACAACAAACAAACTGCTTAATCGCGGCAGATCCAACAAAGAAAAGACTACGAAAATAACAGCGGAGAAAGAAGGAAACATCTAATGGTGTTTCCTATAGGACAAACAAAACAATTAGCCACGAAAAGGGCAAAAAGACAAGCACATGTCAACTTCGCGGCAATCGCTCCAAAACCCGAATCGCACACCTGCAGCAAGCCCCCCCCCCCTGGTCGGGATCTGGGGCCGGCCGGCGGTCTCCTTCGTCGCTTGCTCGCTCTTTTCTCCCCCTCCATGCGGATACCATGACCATTCTGCGGGTCCGGATTACCAGAACCCTCGCACACACACTGTCAGATTTGAACAGGTCTAGTTTCCATTATTTGTTTGTTTAGTGGAGACTATCTACCCAAATCTAGACCCCTCCCCTCGTCCCAGCCCTCGACACGGAGGAGCAGTGGTGGTGTGGGTTCGAGCATCGGCCCTGGAGGCTCCCCCTGTTCTGGGCTCTATTGTAATGCAGATGCTGACAGCTGGAGAGATCCGTTCAGCGCAGGGGGTTATTGACAGAGGAAGAAAACATTGGACGGAAATCCCGGCTTGGCAAAGAAACAACGGAAAAAAGCCATCATGTCTCCGCAGCACTGCAGTACCGCAGTACCGGCAATGTCGGTCTTCATGTTCACTTCGCCGACAGCTATCATGACTCTCGTGACAGGCTGACCGGCAACAGCTTGCCTAGTCTTCCAGTCAAACCTCAAAAATACGCGGCACCATCGTTCCGAGTCAAAGTGGCTCCGATACGGGACAAACGGTGCCGGAAACCCATCAGCCTCCCGACCCAACCGGCTATTCAGTCTTTCGCAGCCCGCCGTCCGGAGCATACCGAAACCGACCCGACAGCCAAGCGGCCAAGAGCCAGGCGAAAGACGCACCTGTTGCTGGGCATGCGACTCTCGATTCAGGTTCGACAGGAACACCACTCCACCACTCAACTCCATCCATCTGCAAAGCCCATGGCCGGGCTTCCTGCATGCAGCTGCATGTCCTCCGGGTGTGGGAACTCCCCTACAGCTGAATGATGAGGGTGTCGGTGATGGGAATCCGCAAATGGGCGCAAATGGGCGAAAGTGGGAATTCTCTTATCGCGTCATGCCCGCCTGCCCCAGGGCTTCGGAAACGCTCCCCCATCCTCGTCGAACTCGGCTCCGTACCCGTCCCTCAAAGTCGTGTAGATCAGCCCGTTCAGGGCACTCGGTTCGGTTGGTTGGTTTCTCATCCCCTCCGTTTCGGTTTGGCGCGCCGCTCATCTCTCCACACTTGCTCCGTCCCTTCATCTCACCTCAATCACGTCCATCAACACCCACCCACTATCAAACACCTCCGGGTCATCCTATTCGGGGGAATCATCATCAAATCGTTCGTCGCCTTTCTCGGGGGAATTTCCATCGTGCTTCTGAAATCGTTTCATCTTTCGTCTTTCCATTCGTCGCTGGACTACTAATCTCCGCCTCTTCTCGCGTCTCATTGGTATCGGGTTCATCCTCTGCGCCTTTCTCCGTGCGTCAAATGCTATTGTACAATTGTGTCATTCCGTAAAAACGTCTGCTCGCTGTGTGTTGGAATTGGAAAGCCCCTCCCAGACGCCGGCCATGACATATCATCCATGGCGTTATGCCCTGACCCAAATACTCCGAATAATTATCCAAAAATCCTTGCTCTGTGTTTGTTTGGCCTTTTGAGGTATCATTGATCCCAATCCTGACAACCCGGGGTGGTCGCCTTCGTTTGCCTGCCCGAAGGTGCATTTTGTTTTTCTGCGGCCGTCGCATCGTAGCGTCCTCTTCTCGAATCAGTAAATAAGAAAATATTAAAGAAAAGTAAGGAATGCCGCTTGTCCGTGGCTCGTCTGATGGCGGAAGCGCTCTCTACCAATCAGGTCGATACAACATCACGACCATGGTGATGAGTTTCGCCAAAGAAGTTGACAAGTCGATCAAAGTCTCTGCCACGCAGTACTTTCCCCGCTCGATTAGATGAGCGAGAACTTGGATTGGGGCATGTGGCCCAAGGCTGCTGCCAAGGCCGAATGTGAGTCGGGGGCATGCTCGGTGTAATGCATGTCTTCCTCGAAATAGGGCAGCACTTTGATGCCGCAGTGTTGCTGGAAGAATTGAGTCCCAATGTCGTATCGCTCCCTGCATCGTCTCTCCCACGGATCGATCTTGAGGGGGCTGTGGAAACAAAAGGTGTTGTGCTCTGCGCCCCGCACCGGAAAGACGAGGCCGGCCTCCTTCATCGCAGTCCACAATTCCAGAGCTTCCATTCTCGTGTTGTCGGCGTTGGGCCAGGCGGCTTGCATCAGCTGAACAACAGCGTATCGCAAGGCCAGATCCTCTGCACTGCCCTGTCCATGGCGACCTGCTATCTGTCTCCGTAGCGGCTGGAGTTCGGAGAGCAGTTTCTCGAGTCTCTCGGGGTTGGCGTGGTTGTAAAAGATGGCCAAGTCGATCCACGTCCTGGCTACGTAAGGATGGCGCCGTCCGTAAATGGCTTCGAGTTCCTCGGCGATGGTGGGAATGCAGCCCCAGACAAGCTCCGATAGTGTGATCGGTCCATGCTTTTGTTGCACTTCGTATAGTGTAGAGAACGTCTGTCGCAGGGGATGCGAGCGCTCAAAGTTCGTCGAAGAATATGCCGCCAAATATTTGCAAAGGGCAGTCATCATGCCCGCATCGCGATGCACCATTCCCAGCAATAGTTCCTTGATGCCTTGTGGTGATAGTTGTTTGAGATCCATCTCCAATCGTTTGAATGCCTTCATTAGTTGATGACCACCCGCGTCGTGTTCGCCCATTTCGAATTTCTTATTCGCATCAGCAAACATGTCGCTTGACCCGGCACCCCAAAGCATAATCGATGTCCATCCGACCTGCTTGTCAATTTCGACCTCGAACTGGCGGCAGTGCAAAAATGCTTTCCGCATATTCCCAACAATCGTCTCCTGCGCTCGGAGCAGGTCTGGTGATCGCAGATAGCCCGGAGCGGGCGGCGGTGTCGGGGTACGACATCGCACGTATGACGGGAGCTGAGCTGGCGTTTCAAAGTCGACAAGATCGTACTCCGTCACTCCTTTCCTCTTGAGATACGTGCCCAGATTGACGACCCTGCCGTTACGAACGAATTCGGACACTTTGCCCTCGGCATCGCGTTGAAACTTCATAGAAAGTAGTCTCTTCACTTCGTCCTCGGTGTTGTTCTTTACAAAGCCCCACTGGGAGAATCTGGTCTTGTACATCTTCGGCCTACGACAGTGAGATGAGATGAGCGGGCGTTGATGTAGAATAGAAACTTACGTTGCTTGGAAGCCATACTGGTCCGCCATGATCTGCATGACCTCTTTCAGGGGGCGACGCTCTTCCAAATACAGATGCTTGATGGTCCCCTTGAAAGACTCCCATGCCTCAGCAGGAACCTGCTCCCGCGATGGCCGACTACCAGTTGCAGGCTTTGGCGTGGGGGCGATACTGGGTGCTCGAGCATGGCCCTGTAACATGATTAGATGGAACACTTTGCCAAAATTGAAAGACAACATACGGGGAATGATGTGGTAGGCGGAGGGCCAAAGGGCGTTTGCATCCCACCGGGGGTGCCGGGAATGAGGCTCGGGGCCGGTGTCGGCGCTGGGCTGAAGGGTGTAGGAGCAGGACTAAAAGCAGTAGGTGGCGGGCTGAAGGCGTTGGCATTCGGGCGTGGGCTGAATGTATTCGTGGTTGATAGAGAGCTGAAGGCGTTTGCAGGGGAGCTTAAAGCGTTGGCACCTCCGAAGGTTGTTGCCGACTGACTGAAGGCACTAGGTTGGGAAGCGAAAGGTTTGGACACTACGCTGAATGTGTTTGGTTGGGGACTGAAGTTGCTTGCTTGGGTTGCGAAGTGCTTAGCCGTCGTATTGTTGAAGTCATTTGTCGTCGGAAAGTTAAAGGCATTAGCTTGCGATTGAAACCCCTTGTTCGTGGTGTTGTTGAAGTCACTGGTCGTCGGGAAGTTAAAGGCGTTGGCTTGTGACTGAAACCCCTTATTCGACGTGTTGAGGAAAGGATCTAACTGACTGAAGTCGGCGGTTTGTTGCGGTTGTTGATGCTGTTGATGCTGTTGTTGCTGTTGCTGCTGTTGCTGCTGTGGCTGCTGCTGCTGTTGGTGTTGGTGTTGGTGTTGTTGGTGCTGTTGTGGTTGTGGTTGATACTGCTGAGGCTGATGATGTACTTGAGGAGGCGCGGGGTTCGAGGGACCAGCAGCAGTAGCCATACGACTGTTTCCATCTCCAAATCGTGAATCCGGCGTGAACATGGGAATGTTAGACGGTGCGCGATCCAACACTGGCTTCGTATGTCTGGGCACTGGGGGACGATATGATTCCGGAGCACGGAAGAAATTGGGCGTGGCCGGGCTGTGAGCGACTGGACTTGTGATTCTACTCATTCCTGAAGAGCTCATGTTTGCTGTGCTGCCGTGCATGCTGCCAAAATGTGCCGACGACGGGCTCGCTATTGACGGGCTTGCGACTGAACTGGCCGGACTCATGATCCTGTTACTGCTTGGTGGTGCTGCGCGAATCCCCTCAAACCGCGCAATCAGGTTGGACACTCCGGCGGGGGGACTGAATTCATCGAGTTCCATTCCTTCGTCTTGCTGTGGCGCGTTGTTCATCGAAGACCCAACGTCGAAACGCGCATGCTGCTGCGCGGCTGGTGAAGTCCAGTCCATGGATGAGTCGAAGTCCCTCCGGACGGAATCTTGTTGCGGCGGCGGACATGTCGAGGGACCGCCAAAGTTGAGCGGAACACCAAACCTAGAGTATGGTTGACCGGATGTGTTGAGAGCGAGGCGGCCATGTTGACTGCCTCCATATTCTGATCCAGAGGGAACACCGCGGGGTGGTTTGTCCCCAGAATGATTGAACATCTCGGCCGCGTCCCGCGTCCCCCGTGGAGCAGAGGTTCGGACCGCTGGCTAGAAAGATGTCAAGACTCGGGACGAGTCAAAGCTCCTCGGTAGGACAGGTGCCTCGTGTCGTCGTCGAATGCGATTCATCCAAGAAGCCCAGCACGCTGCCCTGGTGGCAAGCATCAATCGCCCGTCAAATGGAGGGGGTGCCACTGGGCCTTCAAATGAAAGACGAGAGCGTGGGAGGAGACCAGACAAAAGTGCCCATGATCGTCGCCACATAAAAGAGAAGGTCTCGGTCACTTTGGCTGCCAAGTTAAAAATAGAGCGGCAGAGGAGAAAGCGTCATGGTCCAGTATGGGTAACGAGAGGGTTCGAAAAGATTAAAGACTGACTGAAGGGCCCCCCGACAGTTGACACAGGTCGAGGTCAGGACGGGTCAGGAACAGACAGGTCGGATTAGGATAGGACGGGAAGCCAGAGCTGGAACTGAACTGGCGGAACGACAAGCAATGTTGTCTTGTGCGGCAGCGAGAGATATGGGGGTGGATGGGGGAACAATGGATGGGGGAGCCGTTGCTCCAGGCCAGTTCGTCCTTTCAATTTGGGCTGGTAAAGTGAGTGGTAGGGCTCTCTCGCTTCCTCTCTTTCTCTCTCTCAGTCTCTCTCTCTCTCTCTCTCTCTCTCTCTTTTCCTTCGCGGCCTGTCTGTCTCTCTTGGTCGAGAAAGACGAAGACCACTTTCCGGTGTTGAACTGGCATTGGTCGGCGGTCGCCAAGTTCCTCCGTGTGGTGAAAGCTGCAGGCAAAAGTTCCTTCGCGTAATTTCCTCAACAAGGAAAGCGAGCGTGGCACATGGGTAGAACAAGCCCGTATCCCGTCCCTTCGGGGCTCTCTTTTTCAGTGATAAGAGGGCCTCCCAGCAGCAGCCAGAACCGTAGCTGGGTCCGTGGAGCTGCGCGAAGGGAGGGGGGTAAAGAAGCGTTACATGGCCAATGGCTGTTCAGACGGTCTGGCAGTCCGGGCGTCTGCTAAACGAATGGGGAACCATTCACAACGCCTTTTGCTGGTCGGAGCGGGCGCTGGCTACCAATTCGACCGAGAGAAGCAAGACGAGTTGGGGGTAACCCTCGACGACGGATGGGGGGGGGGGGGGCATGCCTTTGCTATCGAAGCTGGGGGCAAGGCGGTTCGTCCTTTGGTTGACTCTGTGGGTACATGCGCACTCCCTTCGTCCCTCACGCTCGCCCTACTGCGTGTGTGTGCCTCTTTCTCCAGCCTCCGCGTCCAGGAGAGCCCTGGGAATTCGTCCAATGTGTTCGACCTTGTCGACATTGCTACCATGACCCTGTGAGAAAGTGCGCGATAGGTAGGCGACTAATTCCAATTTCCAGGGTGGCCAGGAGGCGGGGAATAGGCACAATGGTGCCACCACTGTTCTAGATTAAGAAGGTGAAAGAGCGTCCTGGTCGGCCTAAAAGACGCCAACGACCGAGTCCTGACTCAGACCACCAATCATCGTGCCTGTTTGTAAGTATCCTATCAACTAGGCCCTCCCCCTTTTCGGAAAGGCCGTGGTGAGAGAGACAGATTGACAGCGTCGCGAACTGTCACCAACCAAGCATCAGGTTCCAACCGGGCCTCGCTCGCACCCACCGGACAGCCTTCCGACATGTTCCCTCGGTCCAGGTCCACATCGCTGCTGAGATTCAAAGAGCGCCGCTGTCCGCCGTCGACCATCATGAAGGATGGATGGTTTGCTGCTCGCTTTTGGTCCTCGTTAGCCAAGCATCCAAAGCCATCCGCCCTGTGAGGGAAAAGCTGGGGGAGCTGCCGCGGGCGGTGGACTAACGCCGTAGAAGCATGGTGCATGTTCCAACGGCCTTCCACCAAGCCAACCTGGTTCCATCCGATAAGCCATTTGTTGAGCACGGCCAATGGTCAAGGTGCTGTCAGAGACACATCCGAACAGCGCCGCTCCAAACTAACCCGTCTGGTCTCTAGAAGGCCGCGATCGCGGGTTTTCCATTTCAGCTACCTTCAATGGGCCGGCGTCGGGACTGGACCAAGAACCGGCTTGGGGGCGAGTTTCCGCGGAATGGCCGCAAGACAAAGCAGATCTCTGTCTAAGGACGCCACGATTCAGACTCAAGTAAAAGCTTTTGGTTGGAAATTGCCATGGCATTGGGCGGCTCCTGTGGGCACTGCCGAGCGGCGGTCAACATGCTTTCGGCCGGTTGCACCGCAGGCTCGTCCGTGCTGTCCTGTCAAAGCCGAGGCGTGGCCAATGGCTGACTTTGATGGCTGCTCTCGTTCTCGTCCATCGTGGGGCAGAGCGTTAGGCGTCTTCAGCCTCTCTGCAGGCCAAAGGAAATCCGCCGAAAACAGCGGGAGAAGTGCAGCGTAGCAAATGGCAAGTGAACAATGAGTGGCTGACAACCCTGAGATATGAACCGCAAGTTGCGAGATGCCGAAAAACATTTTCCAACAGAGCAAAAGATAATAGGCACCGGCTAATGTCCTCGAATTTTCAACCCCAATATCTGCGGAGCCAAGGAGATCCCTGCAGTGCGTCTCACTAGCACGAACAGCCGGCGACGGGCTCCTTGCTGACCTAAAATGAAGGTGACCTGACATGAAATGTCAGTCAAGACGCACTAATTAGTAGACTGTTGTCCAAGCTGCAGCTTTGACCATAGCGAAATGTGCTTGGCCTTGGACCTGGGCTAGTCGAAGGTGGTGTTTAGCATAACGCTCATCGGGCAGCTCAAGAGAGAGAAAGTCGGCAAGAGCTGAGGCTAAGAGGCATGCTCCCTCTTTACGTGGGTCCCCACGGCAAGGCGAACAGACGCCGACGGGTCCACGCATGAGAACACTCCATCAAGTAGGCCCGAGGAGTCGGCAATGTTAATGTAAAGTGACGCGAGCCAAAGCACGACTTCTGGAGTCCAAAGTCGTGCTTAACGTCGTGCTCCAGCAAAGATCTACCCTGGAATCGCTCATGGCTGGGTCCATGACCCGGGGCACGCGAGCCGAGTGGCTCTGAGGATTCGTGATCGCCATTGGAGTCATCCACTCCTCGGAAGAGACCGATTGTTTTCCGAAAGAGCGTACTCCGTAGACATCAAAATGCGACGCAGCCGTAAAACCTGGATGGGACAATGAAGATGTCTCCCGAATTGTCGATGACGCGCTTCGGATCGATTTGAATGCGTATGTCAGGATGTGGGTGTGGCAGCCATCAGGCGACGAAACGGCTTTTGGGTTATCTTTCGATATTATCGAATCAGCTCAGCTCACACTGCTGGCTGGTGGGCGATGGCTTTGCTGTGCCATGATAAGTCGGGGTATTTGGAAATGCGAACCTTTTTTCCAAATACTTGGGTCCTGGTCGTTTGGTCGATAAGGAGCGACAAAGTTCCACCATGTTTGCTTTGGGAAGATCGAACAGGGTACTTCGGTCAGGTATCCGTTGCTGTTGGTTCTCAAGACCTATGCTAGCCGGCCGGTCTTTTCTGCTGTGTACTCCTCACTCACCGAGATTGCCGGCAATATTGACGTAAGTTGGTGCGAGATTTCATACAGCTCGAGAAGGGCTGTTCGTTGCAGAGAAGAGCTTTGAGATAACTCGAAACTTGGCGTCTACGTCGGTAGAGGGAGAACAGGCTTTCGTGGACGAGGAAGCCGAGCCGCAGGGCGGATGTAAGCAGTCAATAGAAGGACGCGAAACGGCTCGATGCAAAGCAACCCCAGGCTTACTCCGCGCCAACGAACCACGACAGCATCCGTGTTCGCATGGACCTGAACGGCGCTCTAGACAAAGAGTTTACGTGGATGTCAATATGACTGTCGATCTTCTCTGTCTGCTGCAGCTGAAGCATGGGATCTGGGGTCTTGGTCAGCGCGTAGCTTGGTGACACTTACTAGCCGACGCAGACGCCTAATGCATGGTATTGCTAGTCCAATGTATGGAAGAGAGGAGCAACGTGATGTAGGTGTCAGTTGACACAGATAAGAACAGGGCAAAGCCCTTGATATGACCTGATGGCTCAGAGATGCCAAGATATTCAGCGAGGCAATTGTGTATTCTGGGCTAAGGCTTATAGATCCCCAGAGTTGAACCTCGTCTGTTGTTAGTCAGGCATGGTCAAGCCAAGCTCGTTGCAGTCGAGATCATCGTCTACCTCTGACAACGCTGGGTGAGGTGGACCAGAATCTTGCAGCGTCTGCAAATCTCTATACCAAAAGAGCATGGCTGTTCTCTGGGTACAGACGGTATGCTTTGATGTAGTCAACAGTGGCAAGCAGTCATTGGTCCGGGAGAGCCTCGAAGACTCCAGATTGGGTTCATTGCTCCGCGATTGCGTGGCACGCGTGGCTATCGACGAACGAGAGGCATCAAGAGGCATCCAAAACGTCGTCTGGCGGCACATGGTAAGCGCAGGGCCAAAAGTTCCGGGGATAGGCGTTTGGAGTCTTGTTTTGGCGCAAGTTGTCAGCGCATCGGTTCCTTTGCAAGCCAAGCCAAGGTGTGTCGGACGGAAGGACGCCGGGAAGAGGCGAGGGAAACGCAGGCGTGGGGGTCGGCGTGTCGTTGACAAAGTGACTGATGCTGAATGAAGTTCAATAGGGGTCAAGAGGTTGGAGGGTTGACGATAGAATGGGGTCTGAATGGCGATGAGAACGTTGAGAGAATGATACCTGAGGTAATACTTGGAAGGAGAGGCGGGTTAGCCTTCGATAGCGTTCCATCGATTGTTCTTGGGAAGAAGCTAACGAAGGGAATGTTCTGCGGAAGGTCCCTTGCCTCCACAATGAAATGGCGGAAAGAGGAAGGAAGTAATGGCAAGTGGAGATTGCTTCCCTCAAGTGTGCTCTTGCCCATGATGGATCAGCCCTTGGCATGTATTTTGCTTCACTTCGTGTCTTCGGTAGTTCATGTTCATTCTAAGACATCATCTATTATCATTTGTGAACGTGGAACACTCATGCCCAGCCAGGAAGCCGGGGCTTTCTATCATCTCTGATTGTACGGTGTACAGAACAAAAGCCTCATCAACGCAGACGCCTTGGCCAAACCTGCTAGGTTCCCAAGACTATCTACACTCGTTCCTACCTATGCTATCGAAAGACACCTGTAGAAGGTACCTTTCAAGCCCCCCTTTTCTTTACTTGGCAAAGCCATCACGGATGTCAACGAACCGCAAGTATCTGTCCTTGGCCCACCGGCGCGAGCTCTTGCCGAACATGATCATCGGCAAGCTCAACCCCATGATGACGAAGCTGAGGACCCCGAGGGCGATGAAGCAGTTCTCCATGCCTGAATCGAGCCAGTAGCTAGCTACGAAGGTGAAGAGCATAGCAATCGTGTTGTTGATGACGGCTACGCCAACCATGCCTTCCAATACCATCTCACTGCGAAGTATCGTTAGCTAATGTTTCTTTACATATCTCTAGGCCTAGCTGGGAAGAGCTCAGAACTTACGGGAAAGAATCGGCAAGATACGCCAAGCTCAAGTCTCCGGCACAACCGTACCCGAAACCGATGAAGCCCAACCCAACATACGGAACAGGCCAGTCCCAGCCGCGCGCGCTCCCGATGCCAAAGAGCCACATGCCCGTCGGGAATACCAACGTGCAGAGCGCCATCAGATATAGACGGAACTCGGACTCCATGACGCCCTTGTTCCGCTTAATCATCCACAACATGAACTGGTCACTTCCGTAACCGCCGTAGATACATCCGATCAAACTTCCAATCAGCGTCGGCAAGTTCATATTGCCTACGGCAGCCGCAGAATAGTTCCACGGCGGGCCATACCACCAGTCCTCCTGGACCGTCAGGTAGAACGTCAAGCAGATGTTTTGCAGACCCCACTGGAGTCCCGCGTACCATACCGCCGGAAAAGTGAAGACTCGGAGGGTGTGCCATAGGCGGAAGAGATACTGCTTGAATCCCGTGCCCTGGAGGTTCGGCGCCGGCGTGATGATGCGGATGCGGTCCCAGTACGTCTTGCGGCGGGAGTAGGAGAAGGCCATGCGGCCACGCGCGGTGGTCGAGACCATGGATCCGTGGTCGGTGCCCGTAGTCGTCTCGGCGAGGTGCGGGGTCTGCTGCTTCTCGGTGACGGAAGCGTCCTGGCCCGAAGCTGGGTCTCTTTCAATGCTGACGGAGTTTCTGGCTGATGCCTGTGCCGAGGTCTTCTCTGGCACCACGGTGGCGGCAGTTCGATGACCGTCGTCTACGGGGTAGCGTTCGCCGTTGCCGGTAAGATAGCGATCTCGGTTGAATTCCGTCTCTTCGAGGCCAAAGTAGATGACGATCAGACTGATGCCGCAGATGATGGTGCCCACGTAGCCGATCCATCGCCAGCCGAGGCCGCTTGATACGTATGCGCCGATGAGAGGCCTACTTGCGTTTAGAACTCTCACGGTTTTGCACTCTTCACACTTGCAGGAGACAAACTTACCCAAGGTAGGTTCCAATGGCAGTCGCAAAGGTGTAAATACCAAGCACACTACCCGTCTGGTGTTCAAACCAGATATCGAGAAGCGATAACTGCACAGTCGCCTCACCAACAGACTCGGCAGCACCAACAAACAGCTGCGACCAAACCACGCCGCCAACATTGGTGATGCGAGCATACCAGATGAGACCACCAATGTTGACAACCATGGAGATCAGATACCCCAGCCGGCGACCGTACAAGTGAACCAGCGGCGAGCTCAGCAGGGTCCAGTACCCAATGGCAATGAACAGCACGCCGGCACCGGTGTTGAAAGCGTCATAGCTGATACCGTACTCCTCATTCACACCATCGGCGCCGGAACCTGCATTGTTGGAGGTCGCGGCCGTAAGACCGACAATATAGAGCACCAGGCACGAGTGCCAGATCTTGCGGGTCAGTGACCACCGCAGAGGATCATTGGGGCTCTCAGTAGGCTGAGGAACGAGGACGATGTCGCCGTGCTTCAAGAGCGAGGCGTCTCCAGGTAAATTGTTGCCGTTCTCATCGTAAAGGCGTCGCGTGCCCGGAATACTTTCGGGTGCTGACAGTGGTGTTGTGATTTGTGGAGCGGCCATCGGGCAGTTGAGAACAAACACAACTGACGTTGCTTATCGCCTAAACTGTAAGTTTTTGGTCGTATGCGGTTCGGTCGCGTGTGCGGCGGGGACTTCAGTCAGCCCTTTGAACGGTTGGGTATTCGGTATGTGTGTAAATCACTTCCCGTGAAGTTCGACGCCTCCAGCGTCGTTATTGCTAGCAGGGAAGCATTCCGTCTTTGAACAATTGGAAAAGGGGGAAAGGAAGAAAGATCTCTGAGCGCGTCGCACTGGAAAAGAGATGGAGAGACTGAATCAAAAACACAGATAAAACTCTTATCTCTAGCCAAAAAAGATCGCCTGAGTGCAAGTTTTGACCTGAGATGGGGCGGGCCGACGGGACGTCATAATCCTTGGAACCAATTAGAATTGGTGCCCAATCATCAGATGGGGTGTTCATCGAGATGTTGGCGTACTCCGTAAGGCAAGGTACCCGTAACGTTATAATGTGGTAGCGAAATCCGCAACGGCCTTGTTGCCATCCCATTTCCGATGTATCATATCAGCACGGTCTACTCCTTGTCCTGCTAGCAATGGCTTTGGCCGTAGGCGCAAATTTGTTGCCTGGCACTGACCCAGAGTTGGGAGTCGAATGCTTGTGGTCAAAAACCGTTTTGAGGCTCTTTCAGGCTCAAGAGTCGATGCTGCTGAAAATTTCGGCATGCCAAGCCCAGCAGACGGGGCATATACCGTCCGGTAGCCAATGTCAGAGAAAGGAAACTTGACAGCTTTCAAACGGCAGGCGGCAGACCTTCGGGCTTGACGTCCAGCAAGAAAACCGTTTGTAAGTCAAAGTAGAGTGCTATGCTCAGCCGAACCTAAATCTGCCAGTTCGTTAGCATAGCTGCAAGCCCAAACGTCTTGCTTAGCTCAGCCATCCTACTTTGGCGCATATGTCACCTAGCATGCCAACAGTTGTTCAATGACGGGAGACGGCACACACCCTGACACCTTAGCCTTGAACTCGGCAAATGCTACCCAGAAATGTGCCAGAATGCCGTGATGTAGTGGTGTTGGTGGAAGTGTGGCGGTACGCCAGGGTGGCTGTGGTGGCGTAAGCTGCAGCCACACTTGACTGCACTACAGGTGGTGATCGGCAATGTCCTGTTGAACGAGGGAGGTGACACGACGAGGCAACGAGATAAGTCGAGGTGATATGATTTTCGTGGGGACACATTGCATTGCATCTTGTCGGCTGTGCAGGTCCAAGCCTCATAAGGCGTCAAATGCTGGCTGGGATCCCAAATCAAACTTCCTCAGTCACTGGTCACTTCCGGCGGCGATCGGCCACCGGGGCCGGGGCTTCTCCAGATCCCAACGGGGCCAATTGATCTTGGATGGTCAGCCGATGTAACGACATTCGCGGCCTCGGCCACGCCTGTCGAGTATTTGGACTTCTGGAGGTCGCATCAAGTGACGTTGGCATCCATCTTGGGGCTTGTCAAAAGCAAATCGCGGGGCAGACGCAAAGAAGCGGCGGACGGGCGGGAATCCGGGCGTTCCACCCCCTTGCCAAGATCCGCCGGGTGAGCTCTTTCTCCGGTATTTTTTGGAGAGACGGAACAATCACGAGCTGCCATTGGAATAATGGAGGTTTGCCCCCACCTTGGCCCGTGACCCCATCCGTCACGTGGGGTTGACGTAAGTCACTGTCCCCAATTCCTCCTGAAGTAAGTGTCACTTTCCCGTGCCCGTCTCGAGTGGGCACTTGGGGAAAGTGTTGACTGAGGTGCAGCTACCTGCGGTAAACCAGCCTGGAAAGAGGCAGAGTGAGGCAGGCAGGAGCGGCAGGTCGGCGCCGCATTGAGCTGTGTTGGTGGGTACGTACCTCTTAAAGTGGCCGAGGTGAGGTGCCCCAACGGCCACCCGCGTCAACCTTGGAATCCAAAGTGGAGGGAGTGGCACAGGCACTCGCACTCGTGGATTCATGGGACCATCTAGAGCTCCTTGCTCATCGCTTCAAGACGCGGCCCCGTCGCCTCTCACCCCATAAACATCCAGTCGTCTCCGTAACTTCGTACCAAGTCCCGAATGCGCATCCCAAATACGCGGACACTACCCGAGATTCGTGAAATGGCGACCCCTGATCTGCGACCCTGAATACCACCTCCTTATCCCACTTCGAGTCGCCCTTTAAACTTCTCGCTGCCCCGTCTGATCCGGATGCGATCCCGTTGAACACAGTCGCCGCTTGCATCCCGCAGCAACATCAATCCGCACCGCGCGGCGATTGCTTCTCCGAATACCACCGCCCATTACTGAATGCGCACCACTGAATCAACAGCTTGATAGCTCAGTTGGCAATAAGCAACATCGCCACACCTTACATCCCCACGAACCTCGAGAGACCATGGCATCTACAGCTGCCTCCCCTAACGGCGGGGCTCACGACCATGTCCTGCGGCCGAGGCCGAGGAAGCCACAACACTCCCAGTTGGCGAGGACACAGAGCAATACCTCCGTCGGCGAGATGAATGGCTTGACACCTCTATCAGAGACTGGCCAGACGAGCGGCACTACCAGGTAGATAACCTTGTTCCTCACGCAAGCTCATCACTTTCGGCAGACACCAGCGCTAACGTCAATGTCGTCACAGTGGCCGCTCGACACCAGTCCCTCACGATGCCCTCCCCTCCGTCAAGAGCATGTCCTCGGCGAAAAAGCAAGCTCGCGCTGAACAACGACGCCGTATTTTCCCCACGATCGAGTTCGCGAGCCGCGTTTCCCACTTGGATCCCAACTCCGACTACCGCGACTTTCATGGCTTCTTCAACCTCTTTTGGATCGGCCTCGCCATCATGGCCATCACCTCCATGCTGCGTAATATCAAGGATACCGGATACCCCATGCGAGTCCAGATCTGGACCCTCTTTACAATCAAGATTTGGCATTTGGCCATTGCGGACTTCCTCATGGTGGCGAGCACGTTGGTGTCACTACCTCTCCATCGGCTGTGGCGCTCTGCCCCAGCCAACGGAGCTCTCACATGGAAGAATGGAGGCATGGCTGTTCAGAGTATCTACCAAGTGTTATGGCTTGCCTTTTGGATTGCCATTCCCTTTGTGCTCGACTGGACGTGGACCGCGCAGGTCTTCCTGTTGCTGCACACCATGGTTCTGCTCATGAAGACACACAGCTGGGCCTTTTACAACGGCCACCTCAGCGAGACGGAGAAACGCCTTTACGCTCTTGATAACCCCTCGACAGCCTCAAAGGACCCAGTCTATCTATACCCAACACCCGATAACCCAATGGGAACCGTGAGCAGCCCCAAGACCCGCGACTTCAAGGCCAAGTCAGAGGCCACGGGCACGTCAGACACAGATTCGACCTCGGACGAGATCGAGCAGCTCCGCGAGGACCTGGCCCAGGAGCTTACCTCGCCCATGGGAAACCTCGCATACCCTCGCAACCTGACGTGGCCAAACTACTTTGACTACCTCCTATGCCCCACGCTGTGCTACGAGCTCGAATACCCCCGGACAGCCCGTATCGACTGGCAGAACCTCATCTCCAAGATCGTCGCCGTCTTCGGCTGCATCTCCCTACTGACTGTCATCTCCGAGGAGTTCATCTTGCCCATCCTCAGCGATGCCTCCATCCGTCTGAATACCGTCCCGCCGCCCCCAGTCTCCGAGGCCCTCCTGATTCTGGCAGAGAGCATTTCCTGGCTGCTCTTCCCCTTCATGCTCACCTTCTTGCTGGTCTTCCTCGTCATCTTCGAGTACGCTCTCGGTGCCTTCGCCGAGATTACGCACTTTGCCGATCGCCACTTTTACTCTGACTGGTGGAATTCGACTGACTGGATGGAGTTCTCCCGCGAGTGGAACATCCCCGTCTATAGCTTCCTGCGCCGTCATGTGTATAGCGCTAGTCGTCCGTACGTCGGCCGCCTCCCGGCCACCGTCATCACCTTTTTGATATCTGCCATGGGGCATGAAATTGTCATGGCATGCATCACGAAGAAGCTTCGCGGCTACGGCTTCATTTGCCAAATGCTGCAGCTGCCCATCGTGGTTTTGCAACGCACGAAGTGGGTGCGAGGCAAGGAGACGCTGAATAACGTGTGTTTTTGGTGTTCCATGGTCATGGGACTGAGCATGGTGAGTGACATGGCTTCCTACTGACATTGGATGATGGCTAATTCTTTGCAGATTTGTGCTCTTTACGTCTTGGTCTAAGGCACCTGGATCGTCGCGATCAGCACCGCATCTTTTCATTTTCGAGTCACGTATGACCACCTCATCTCCCAAATGTCGCATCGCCGAAAAGATGGTTTAGATGAATTTGACTGAAGCTCACTGTATTATTATCAAAGCACCTCTGTATCATTATCCCGCATCTTTCACGGGGCGGCGTTCCCCAAGACAGACAGACACAATCATTTCCGTGGCGTTTTTCTAGATAGGTCTTATACCCCCTTATTTACATGCCCGACGGGCAAAGATTACATTATGTTCCGGACCGCCAGTGTGGCAGTCAAGGCTCAACTCATTAGAAAACAACGTGATGGCAACGTCGGTTGTTAACAGCCTTGAGATCAGCAACTTGATTGCTTCATATGAGCCTCGGTCCTGAGGCGAGAAGGTACCGAGACCCCCTGCTTCCACCGTGGGAAATCTCTGTGTTGCATTCAGTCCATAGACTGGACCTTTTCTAGCCGACCATGATTTGTGCTGCTTGATCCCTACCTTGCCCTCTCTTGACGCCAAAATTTCATCTCGCTGTTCAAACTTGAAGCTATCACGTCTGTCCAAAATTCATCCCCAACATCCCAGATCACCTGCCTTGGTCCATCATGTCGTTGCCATGACGCCAGTCACTTAGATAAGGTCTTATTGCAACGCAAGGTAGCAGAAGTTACTTGCACCTGCTCGCATCTGGGTCCAACTGATACAGAAACCCCGACTAAGTACTTGGGTATGAGATAGACCAGGCAGCGGAGTTTTGACACAAAATCGGAAGAAGCGTCAACGTAGGTAGCATTGCGATAATGGAGCTGCACCGGGAATAGCCTTACATCAGCCCAAAAGTCTGATAAACCCCACGAATCCTCCAACATCCATGGAAGTTCTTCTTCCGACAACCTCACGAAAGCATCCAAAGCAAATCCAACAACACAAAGCCCACATACACGCCCCACCAGACTTCCCCTCCACCCTTTCTGTCACGCCGTCAACAACCTCAATTCCTCTTGATAACCATGCCCATTCCTCATTCAGGAGGATGTCTCAACAACGCATCTTCCTTCGCAATCTCATCCTTGTTCCCCAAAAACTCAAAGTCCTCGTCATCCAGAACGCCTATGGTGTAGTGCCGCGTCTGCGTAGTCTCGCGCCAGAACCAACCCATTCGAAATCGCAGACCAGATAGTTCGCGGTGGAGGTTCTCCTTGGACATTAGTTCGGCGCCTTCGGGGAGATGGTGCATTGCGTTTGAGTCTTGCAGTAAAGCCTTCGTGGCGGCCATGCTGTTGTATCCGTCTGGCGCCAGGCCTTTGACCTTCATGTTGAAGAGCCGTGAATTCCTGAGAGGCTTGAACGCACTGGATATCAACATGAGAACTTGAGAGATTGCTGTCAATGACAGTATTCCAATGATGGCGTTTGTTACTTTCGAGTTCTGGACTAGGCGGCGACGAGTGAGGTTGGCAATGGCCGTGTTGGTATCAGGAAGGAATGGCTGAGATCCGTCCCTTGAATAGTTTGTAATGTCGATTCGGTTCTCAAGGTTTGCAAGTTGAGCGGCTAGGAATCCGTACAAGTGGTGTGTGTCGTTGAGTACTTCGTCTTCCCGGCCTGGGTCCCCGAACGCTTCCAAGGGAAGTCGACCGAATGGTCGGAGCAACAACGTGAACCACGGATCCAACCACTCCGATTTTGGATGAGAGATTCTCATCCATTTTCTGTTTTGACTGCCAGGATCTAACTAATCGTCAATCTATGGTATGTTGAATGGTATGCTCCAAGGCTGAGCTTTCGACATGTCGAGGATTGGCGGAGTCCTCTGATCTATTACATACTCTCCTCGACTGAAAGTTAAGTTGACTTCGGTGGGCACTTGTACCCAAGCATATTTGCATCTTTTCATGGAGAAGTAGACGAAATGTTCCTTTTCTACGGAATACTTCCCATAGGCATAGGTCCGAAATTTGGTGGTGGCGGCTTCAGCGTCACTTTGCCGGAATCCCAAGTTGCAGGATTTGTTACAAGTATACGGACTTTCTGGTGACTTCAACATTGTCGCAAAGTATAAGTACTGGCGTGCTACTTCGTCCCGGGCCTCTCCCAAGGATTGCGAAAGATTTTTCCGAGTGCCATTAGGACAGACAAAGGTTTCGGTAATTCCAGGGACAAGATATAAGAATGCCTTGTCGTCAGTTTCCAAGTCAGTGAGGTTGTATGTGCTCGATGGCACCATCCAGCAAGTTGGATTGAGCTTGGCCGCTGAAATATTGACCTTGACGGATGTGTTGTCGGGCAGACTCGATTGACGGATGTCACCGAGGATTGGGAATACAATGTCATCATAAGTATTCTCGGGGTATGTCAATGATCCTTCGCCCTGGTGAAGGAGAAGACTGTTCAGGATCTCCCTTCTCCAAGAATGCTTTCCGCCGTCGTCTTCAGCCTGAGCGGGCCCAAACCAGGTCTTGTGTTGTAGTTGTATCGTCCTGGGCACTGATACAGTCTCCACCGTGAAGATGACTGAAACTAAGTGTCAGAGCCCTCCCGGATAGGGGCTAGTTAGAGGTAGTAAGGAGTCCAAGCAACAAAGGAGTAGCTCAGATATATATACAGCGCAGGAAGTACACGTCGAGGGAGGAGCAGATTTCAGTAATTCATCATTCTACCCCTAACTGTAGTTGGCCTCTGAGAGCTTCCACCCTGCGTCAACACCCCAACTTGACACTAAGGTTGTCAAGAGCCCACAGATGATGGAAAGAAATTGGGTCAGCGTGACAATCCCAACCCGGGCTCGAAATGAGTGTAAAATGGCCCGTATCCCAAGCATGTCGAGAAACGATACCTCAAGCTCTGGACCTCTGCATGGTGTTGACGAGAGGGTCGAAAATGTAGCCAGTCCTCGGTATGTAGAGTCGCATGAGTCGATATACAAGGCGACACATAGCATGATAAGTGCCGGGAGAGAAGTCCACAAGAATCGTTTGGGGCTCCCCTCGTCATAGATCGTTGCTGTTCCTGGCGAAGTTTCCGACTTCCATTGAGTGTACCCGAGGCCTATTGCTATGGCGACGACCAAGACAACAAAGGTCACCCGCGCCCAGGTTTGTAGTACGAATGGCAAAAAATCGCAGGTACCCCATTTCGGCCCAAAGGTTTTGAGCCGAGGAGCGGATGTCGATGCTCCTTCTGCGTGGCTCCTCTGATCTCTGAGGACAAGCAAGTTGCCAACGATTGTCATAGGGTCTCTGTACCAAATCTTTGTGTTGATTCTGAAGAAGAGGAGAACGAAAGTAAGCAATAGCGTAGTCATTGCAGATATCATCGCCATTGACAAGCATGTCCACTTATTGACCATGAGCTTGCTGATAGTAATAGACCTAGTCCCATTTATGTGTAGCGTTTATTTGGTCATTTGCCGAAGACGATAGTGACCGATCCATGGACCAAGGATACGAGACATATTCATGGCTGAATGGTAAAGTACCTCATTCTCATATAGTGAAGAGTCTGCCGCATCCAAGCCATTGATACCTTGCAAGGTACCGAAAAAGTCGTGAGCAGTAGCAACCGGACCCAGCACGCGATTGACGACTGACGTATTCCAGGTATTAGAGGGTACTGAAGCACCCATAAAATCCCAAATATTTGTAACAACGGGGGTTCTGATCTCGTCTGGTAGCGATTGAAAGTAAGGTATCATGCCATTGTCGATGACTTTCACTCTCGATATCCAAGAGCCAGAAGTGCAGAGTACTGCTGCAAGGTTCAGCATGATAGGCGATGAAGAAATCTTGGAAGGTTTTCCAAGACGAATCGCAAATTACAGAGACTGGTCGTACTTGCTGGACAGTCCTGTACATGATAAGGACTTAGACAAAACAGTTTGACTCCCCCATTGACAATAAAGCCCTTTCTTTTTCCAATAATTTTCGGGTTCGTACACATTAGCGAGGACTTCGATGCTTGGGACCAACGGCAACGGCTGCTCACAATCATCAAAGCGAAGTGTCAGATCCTGGATTGAACCTAACCGGAAAGAATCGCTGTCGTATGGTTCAATATCCGAGTAAGAGTAATTTTTCAACTTCAGACATTGCGTTTCTGTGAAGTAACCGTCGACGATAGCCTCGATAGGGGCATCGACAGTACCTCGAGAGCCATTCCAACTTTTGAAAGTCTGGTACGAAATGTTGCCGGTGACGCCGAATGGGTATTCAATACGGAAATTGGCAACGGCTTGCGCCATATGGTATGGACTACTATCTTGAGAGATATGGTCTGCCACAAGAGTGTCGTATTTGATGGCCAGATTAGTGTTGAGTGAGTTCAAAACCTGGATGTTGACTGCGTCCGTAGCGTTGATTGGTTTAATGCTGAATAAATCAGGCGCAAGGACAATCTGAGTTTTGAGGGAAATTGATATGATGACGACTAGAAAGACAAAGTAGTGTCTTCTTTTCACGGCCTGAATCAGCACCTTTGGTAACATCATTGCTGAGTAGTCAAGGTTGTAGTCGTCAGCGTTCCTGGTTGACGGGGAACCATGACGGTAGGCGGCCCACGGCATGTATCTCTGGACTTGGGTGTCTACCCTTGACCAGAACGTGGAGATAAGCGTAAGGGCTATCTAATGGGGTCAGTTCATTGCTGAATATCTCATAATAACATCCTGCTGTTCTCTTTGGAACTTAGAAGGTTGCGTAGACGGTAGTAGTCGTACCTGCAGTTGGGCCGAAACGCCAGAGATAAACGAGACCCTCTCGTGTTTCCGCGAGGCCGTTGTTTTTCCAAGAGAGGTAAAACATAGTGGGAAGCGCAATGGTGGCAGCAATGAAGAAGATAGCGAAGGTAAGCAGAACGGCGGACTGGAGCCATGAAGGGCGCCAAGTCCAACATTTTCGGACAAATATTTGTGCTCATATTCAACATCTCCATCGGGATTGAGATCCGCGTTGCTTGAGACTTCGTCTTTGGCCTCTGCCACTGTTTCCACGTCCTGTATAGGGCGTGTCGTGTACAAGCATAGCTCGCATGGCTCTTGTTCATTGGCGACTAGTGGCTGTACAGAACAGGCCGCTTCTTGCTCAGCCTCTCTATCAGAACCAAGACTGGCGCTGCCTGCAAGCTCAACAGAGTTCCTCGTAGCTATGTTGGAGTCGTTGACTGGATGGTATGAGGATGGATATGGCTCCCTTAGTCGTTGGTCGTTGGTGAGCGCTGTCTCTCCAAGAAAGGCTAGCTCTCTCCCAGTGTCCCTGGAAGCAGGACTGCCAGACATCTTTCCGATGCCTAAATTCGATGTTCGTATGTCGAGAGATGTAATCGAGGGTCTTTGGTCTTTGGTCTTTGTTAAAATGTCAAGGAAGAAATACAATCTTGAGTTGGGCAAATACAAAACTTACACAATCCCTATGACAACTTCAAGCACTCATGGAAGTTTTAAGCAGTGAAGCACAGGCCCCCATCAGGAATTGAAAGTCATTAACCTAAGCCCAATATCAACATTTACAGAGCTATGTTTTGCACCTCACACAAGCCCTTGTTTGTGGCTTAATCTGGGGTATTACGTGTTGATACATGCCGAGTTCCTGACGATGAAAGCGAGGCCGCTAAGAAGTGTATTTACAGCTCGGCTACCTCGTTGACCAGACGCAGTTCATGATCGGTGTACAAGAAACAGTGAATCAGCCCATTTTTTTCTTCAAAGTGTACGATCATCACATTGATCCAGTTCTAACTCGCGCTGAATGTCTGACTGGATGCAAGCAGCCGCTCGCATGGTACCTGGTGTTACCGAGTCCCCGAGAGTGGCTGACGGTCATACCCAGCACCATTCTTACTGAACATCATCAGCGACAATGATACCAAGATCCAGAGAGAAATTGTAAGTTGGACTATCTATTGAGATCAATGTGATGGTGGTAACTTGTTCCAGTGGGACCTTGGGTGCCGTCTCAGACGGAGGAAGGATGATCCATATCCGGCGCCCTCTATCCCCTAATCGGCCGCCGCTTAAACTTTACCCAAGCACCGAATGGCCGTTTAGCATTCTAAAGGTGCGCAACGCGTCGTCCACGTCCCCTTAATTGCCCCCCAACTTACTCCCAAAAATGTACATCACAGACTCCACCCTCCACGGCCTCGTCGCCAAAGTCCGTGAATTCCAACGCAAAGAAGGCTACGGCGTCATAAAAACCCGCTCCAAGCGCTCAGCAGGCACCAAAGAAATCTACCGCCAAGACCTAAGCTGCGATCGCGGCGGCCGTCCAAAGGCCTCCGTCGCCACGGTCCGCACCACAAAGTCCAACAAGACAGGGTGCATGTGGCGCGCGCACCTGACCCTCCAGGCCGACTGCTGGGTCTGCATACCGCACAACATGGAGCACAACCACCCGCCGCTGACCGATTCCTTTGCCGCGAGCCGGTCCTTTCGCCAGTTGAGCTGGGAGGTGGCCGAGGGCGGCGTGCAGGGGATCCGGGACAGGGTGGATGCATTGTCGAGGGGGGACCTGCCGACGGGGAAGTTGACGGCCCGCGTGATTGCCGAGAAGATTTCAGAGGAGACGGGGGCGTTTGTGAGGGAGAGCGATGTGAGGAATATTCAGGCGAGCATACGGCGCGCAAAGGCGCGGGATGCGTCTGCCGGCTTTGAGAACGAAGAAGAAGAAGATGACGATGAGGAAGAGGAGGAGGAATGAAACGTTTGCTCTAATCTCGTATGTGCCACCGTTCCCCAAGTCTAGCCCCAGCTCATTACACATGGGCTGAGAATAAGACGGGAGGCCTAATGTAGGCAGAAGGGGTGTCACCGAGGTGCGCCTGTACACCTATCTGCCTCACGCCAGATGTCGTCAAACAATAAGCAAGGCGGCAAGGCCTGGAGAGGCCGTCACACCAAAATTCTTACAGAAGCCGAGGATGAGCGCGAGGCTTCCCTGTATATCCGTTGTCTTTATTTCTGTTTAACTTAAATATCATGCCTAAGCATAACGATACAGCTGAAGAGCGAGTATAAAACTACTTCTGTGATTTCAAAGGACATAGTTTTCCAACAACCAGGCTAGGCAAACTCACTTGGACTTGATTCTGGAGCGAGCCAGATGTGCGAGTTTAAAACCTGTGGGAAACGCGCAAGTCCTGCTACCTGGTGTCCTAGCCTTATCCCATAGGCGAAGCATGAATGGAGACAATTTTACCAACGATCATCTAGCTATCTATCCCTTATCATCTAGTACATATTTCACATGGAATACAAAGGGGCAAGCGCCAAGGAATAAAGGCCGTTGGAATTGGATGTGCTAGTATAAGTTCAGAAGTTTCTGGCTTTGACGTTCAGTCAATTATTTAAACACTAGAACGTATCTGGGATATAGTTCCGCGTGGCGCTAGCCATGAGCTACAGTGCTTGCTCCCGGAGAAGCCGCAGGTCTCCAAGGTTACTAATGATATACCTCTCGGACGTGCTTTCAAGTTTCGATCTCTATCTGTTGGAATATTGACGGCAGAAAAGGGTGGATTTGGAAGGTGGTCTGGGCCGTTGCAACGGCCCTTCCACCTACTTACACCCAACGGAGGAATCGTGGGCTACGCCCACCAACTTCCTCCTTACACAGATATACGCAGTTCAATACCAAGATTATTGAGCTTCGTACCGGCCCACAGGCCCCTGCTGACGTGTATACCAACACTATCAGCCTGAGTGAGAAACTACCAGTCTAGATAATCACTACGAGCAGTGTCACGAGACTACAGATCGACATATGCACCAGCCAATGGATCAGGTACTCACCGTAGCTGTTGAGCCGCGACCCAATTCAAATTGATTTGCTTCAACACTGCACTTGCCTGCCTGAGGTGATCCGTCTTAGCACTGGCGCCGGACAACTGACTCCTAGCCGCTTCGAGAGTCTCAAGGTACTCCATGCTCATCGTGTCCGACGCAAAAGACTGGTCATATGCAAAAGTGCCGGCTGCGATGCCGTTCTGGAATGTATAGGAAAATTGGTCAATGCAAGTCCGTACAAACGGACAGTAAAATGAGCTTGAGATCACAACCCTTTCCCATTACTAGTGAATGAAATAGCCAAGCCTAGGGTACTTGATCACTTGCGTGAAATGTTCATACTGTAGTCGAACAGGCCAAGGGGAGCATAGAGACAAGGTATGCGTATTTGACACACTCTATCCACGGCTAGATACAAATATAAATATATATAGTTATATATATAACGTATATATATATATACCAGTTCAATAGAATCACAGCCCAGAAAAAGGACAGAGCCGAACTTTGTTCGCGCAAGACCTTTGAGAAAGAAAAAGCTTCAACTTTGTTGTATTACGAAGTACGAAACGTCGAACAATCGACCTACTTACCCGCAAGAGCCTCCCGAGAATCGGGACTAGACCCTCTACACAATGCTCCCTCGTCTCTAGTATATAAGATAGAACCAACAGTTCTCGAGGTCTTACTACCTACAACCCCATGGCTGTAGTGTCTTCGGGACTCAGAGAGCAGGAGATGAACTGGTCGAGTATTCTGAGGTTATCGTCCGGAGTAGCCATAGGAATGTACTTCCAGTCTCCTCCACATCGGCAAGGCGACTTTCCATCAAAGACTCACCGTACCTACTTACCCTCCTCAAGCTACGTAAACACAATCGAATACTCTCCAGAAACAGACGACTAGTAAGCATCTATGACCGCAAGCACTTCGCAATGAGGCTAGATCATCGACCTGCTAAGCCCAAGTAGCTTTAGAGAGCTCCGCGTCAACCGAAAGTGGGATGTCTACCTGGCATCATGGAGACAGCCACGAACCCTGTGCCAGATCCGAAGAGGCATGCTAACTGTCTCTGTCGTAGAACTCCAAACATGAAGCGCCAGCGTCTCTTTTTATACTTACCAAGACCGCCTCAACTTCAGGCAACAGCAACCCCGCTCTCAGCCTTCCCATCCTCAGGTCGAACTCGGCCTCTTCTCACCTTCCATGCACTCCAGGACAGCCTGATCAGGGTAAAGTGTACCACAGCACCCTCGCCGAGGCTCCAAAACTAACATGTTGATTACACAAACACAGCCGCAATATAGAAAGTGGAAAAACACCTTTCCCCGCCCAGCTTCCCCCCAGATAAACCTGCCAACAAAGATGAAATCACTCGAGCATGCTGCATGCCACATTCGCTATGCCCAATCAGCCAACTGACCTCGCTTGAGATCCAGCATTACCCAGCCCCTACTCGCACTTGCATACCCCCCACTCCATCAAAGAACATCACCGAATCGAGAGTCAGTCAGATAGACGTGGTCAAGAATGCATTCCATTCGACGAGAATCTAACTATAAGCGCCCTCCCTGAACCCATGATATTCCCTTCATGATGATCATCATCTTTCCCTCATAGGCACATGCCTGCCATGATGGTATAATAACTCCTCCTCTTTCTTATGTTCCCCTTTTCCCTGGACTCGTGCAAAAATGAGTGTGGTATATCCCCTCCGCTTTGCAACTCTTCGTAGCGAATGACCAAAAAACAATGATTTGACAAGGATGAAAAATATGTCTTAAGTTTCGTTAGAGATCTGGGAGAATACCCAGTAAAATGTGTAAAATATATGTCGCCATCCCAATGCATGTATGTGTGTATCGTCAGACTCCAGCGTACAACAACTTCTGTGAGAAACCCAGGACGTTCCAAATGTCCCCGTTGCGTCAACGACGTCGGCTGCCTGGAGCTGAAACGGGGCTCAGTCTGGCCGCGGGGAAGGGGGGAGACGGTAAGGCTTCGTTGTTCGTGAACGCCTCATCACGAGGCGCCTGCCAAAACTCGAGAAGCTTCCTTGATCCCCACCCGACCGCCACTTTGACCAGACCCCGTCATCCTAGGCAACCACCGCCGCCTAGCACGTCTCGCTCCATAAATGCCAATCAGTAGCCGTCTCAAGCGGCCTCAGTCCCTCAAATGCCCCCAGCGCCATTTCGGGCTCGTCAATCGCAGCCCTCCCACATTGATATCAAATAAAACAGATCGGTACTCGTTACTGTATGGTTTTTCTTCTTTCATATCGTCCCCTTCATACCAGCACGAACCAAAGAAAAAGAACCTAGCAATGGAAACATGGAAGCTAACAAGAAATAGAAAATGAAAATCAGCCGCGCAAATCAGGTCGCAAGGAGAATGGACATCGACGCGTTCCAGCAGAGCGACCTATCTCTCATCGCGAAGACGGCGGCATGATCATCGTGAGATCGAGACGTGGTTGAGCTGCGCCAAGCTTTCGCCGCTAAGCGTACTAGTAGGCGGTATTGTACTCATCGCGGTAACGATGCGGAATGTTGGAGTACTGAACGTCATCATATCTCGCCGTCTTCACCTTGCCGAAATACGCGCTCGAACCCGAGTAGCTCGCCTCCCGAGACGGCATGGGAGGGCGAACATTGTAGTAGTCGGTGTGCTTGCTGGGCTTCCTCGGAGGAGAGTCGTCGCGGTACGCAGATGCGTAAGCGGCCTCAGCAGCGACTGGGACTGTTCTACCAGCGTTGACGGTATATCGAGTTCGATGGCCAGTCTCATACGACATTGCCTCGGGAGAGTGAGTTCTGTGTCGATGGCTCCTTTGCTGATAATGGCGTTCTTCTTCCGATTCAGAGTCCTCGCTCACCTGCGGCTGCAGCCTTGAACGGCCACGGCCCCGAGTGTCGGCAGACTCGGCAGGCACATGAGAAAAGGTTTGAGCTCTAACAGGACCAGGAGGAGGGCGGTTGTACCCATCGTTGAAGGTGGCCGATCTGCCCAGGTGCTTAGGCGGCGAAGTGGACGCAGGCGAGGACGTTGCGGAGGCGAACTGAGCCACGTGGCGAGTGCTAGGAGAGGCATCGACGACATTAGGCGATGGCGGAACTGGCGCCTCCTTTGTAGGAGACGACTTCTTGTGGCTCGACTTGTCCCGAGCCTTGGTCTCAGAGGAGCGCCTCGACTTTGATCTGCGACTGGTATCCTCCTCAACAGTAGGCATGGGCGGAGGGGGAGGGGGAGGGAAAGGCATCGCAGCCGGGGGTGTCGGAACCGCGACAGGAGGCGCATGTCGAGGCTCATAAGAGGTCTGGGCACGGCTCAGACCCGGGTGAGCCTTGCGTGATTGTTCCATGTAGGACGCTGCGAACAGTACGGCATCGTTGTATTTGGAACCTTTGGCGTCAGCCGGGACAGGAGGCAAAGGCGGCACAGGAGGCTCTTCCCGGAGAGGAGCGCCGTCACGCGGGATCGAGCGGGACCGCTTGTCCTTCTCCTTCTCCTTGGTGCTACTTGATTTCTTCTTGTCGGATTTGGCGAAATAGCCGGACTCGTCGTCTTCGACGTAGACAGGCTTGTGTCTCCGCGATTTCTCCTCAGCCTCGCGTTTGCGGTCCTTTTCGGCCTTCTCTTGGCGTTTGCGTTCTTGACGTCGCTCTTCCTTCTCGGCCGCAGCCTTCTCAACGGCCCTCTTGGCGGCCTTGTCATAGGCCTTCCTTTCTGCGCGTTCCCTCTCGCGCTCCCTGTCTTTGCGGTCTGCGGCACGTGCAAGCTCCTCGCGTTCTCTGTCCCTATCTTCCCTACGTCTGCGTTCCCGCTCACGATCTCTTTCGTCATCTTGGCGGGACGGTTTCTCGTAACTTGCGGCCCGACGAGCCCGAGGCTCCTCGAAGATGGAGTTTGATCTGCTGTGAATTTCTTCGTCCCAAGATCGAGAATTGTACCCGGTAGAGTACATGGGTTTGCCGCCGGGCGAGGCACGGTACGTCGTCTTGTAGGTATCCGGTCGGGGCTCGGCGGTGCGGACTTCGTAAGATCTGGCTGCAGGCGCTCTGGGAGCCGAGGTGTTGGCGGACATGCCCTTGGCCATCTCCTTGCGGAGTTCGGCCAGTTTGACGTTGTCATCGTACTTTCCTCGCTCGTTTTCGTCGCTCAAAATCTCGTAGGCCTGTTGGACCTTTTGGAACTCATCTTGCTTTTGGGCCTTGAGCGTTGGGTCCTGGACCTTGTCGGGATGGCATTTAAGGACGAGCTTTCGGTGAGCACTTCGAATTTCTGCGAGTTGTGCATCTTTGGAAACGCCTAAAATCTTGTACGGGTCGGGTGGTAAAGCGGACATGATGGATATGTCTGGTGGCGTTGTGATGTTGGTTTGGGGGCTCGTGAATCCAGTTCGACGGCGGTCAGAGAGCGACTGATCAAACGAAAGCTGTGGTGAGGATGGAAAGACTGCAAGGCGTTGCTTGCGATCCGGTTCGTGTCGGTCTCTGGGCGGACGACGAGGCTATTGTTGCATTGAGGCGGTGATGACTAGGCACTCGGGGCTGTATGGATTGCCTATTGCAATTGCAGCAGACTGTTCGGGGTTATTGTGAAGTTTATGGGACCGCGGTACCCGGCGCGACGTTATCGATCCAGAGTGGAAGGGGTTCCCCAGATGGAATGTTGAGGGAGCAGAAAGGTTAAGCAAGTACGGTAGTAGTAGAAGAAGTAGTAAGGTAGTATGTAGGCTGAAGTGAAGTCGCGACAAGTGATGTACTAAGAGGGAAGAGGCAAAAAAGGAGGATAAGGTAAGGCGGAACGTTGGGTATCGTTAAGGTGAGGTGGTGATGTTATGGTCGGAGTTGTGAATCGAGTGAGAGAGTGTGTGTGAGAGGCAAATAGAGGAGAGCAGAGGCAAGAGATGCAATGCAGATGCGGATGCGGATGGGAAAAGAGGGCGAGAGAAGCAGCCGGATGCGTAGGGCGAGGGCGAGGGCCAGAGTCGGACGGGTGGTCGATCGTGGGTCGTGGCTCCTATCTCTGGGCTTTCCCCTCGAGGTGCAGCAGCGCAACCAGTGTCCAGTACGCAAGTGGAGTTGTTTTCGTGGGTTGATGTTCGCAAGTTGCGTTGGACGGGTAGCTCAAGCGAAAGACGAGATGGAGAGGGGGGGAAGACGTGCCAAATAGGTAACGGGAGGATCTCCAGAAGACCAGGAGGAGGAGGAAACGGAGGCGGATATGGGGAGCAGGCCGGGGTGACTTTGACACCCGTACTTCGTAGACTGACTTCCCAGGCACTGAGATGCTTTGCAGGGAAGCGAGACGAGTGCTGACTGGAAGAGCGGAGAGATTTTTGGACGCTGAATGACTGAGGATTAGAAAGGCAAATGGAAGAAAAGTGGCTTTCGGCGCACCATGCGACTTGCGAAGAGAGGGTCCCCAGATGCGTGGGTGGATGGATGATGGATGGCAGATGGATGGTTGGATTGTGGGTTGTGAGTTGTGGGTTGTGGATTGACGCGGGTGGACGATTGATGAATGGACGGCCGATGGTCCATAGAAAAAGATACATCAGGGCGTTTCCGTCCTGTCAGTCGAGAGCGAGCCGGTGCAAGCGTGGGACGTGGAAGGCGTGGTGGGTTATAGTGGGTACATGTCCGTGGACGGTGGATCACAGAGCCTGGGGTCAGCAGAACGTACCTCGGTACAAGACACATGTACTGTCATTCCCACTGGAAGGTACGGGCTTCAGGTACCCAGATACCTTACGTAGAAGATACGTACAGGTTAAAGTGCCTTAGGTACCTCACCTTACCTTACAGATTACGGCTTGGCCAGGAAGAGGATACCTACTGTGAGTCTGTGAGTCGGTGACGGAATCGGGTGCCCAAAGGGTCCAGTACCCAAGCCAAATGCCCCATTGCTCGTCATTTTTTGGATTCTGATTCTCAAGTGGCCAGACCGGGCGAGAGCTGCGAAGATGGAGTCTGGTGTGTGTTTCCCGTCCGGCTCGTGTACCTTGACTGCGGTATTCTCGGCGAGTCGGGACTGCTGAAAGCCATCCAGTGGTACGTATTCGCACTGCTCCAAGGTGGAAGACGAGGGTGGTGGACTGAGGACGTGACTTGACAGCACGGGGGCTAGCCAAGTATTGGAGGTGCGGCCTAGGTATTCGCAGGTGCTCTTGATTGACGATGAGGTCACGGGCTCTTGGGCGAAAAGGAGGGGGAGAGGAGACGATGACTGGACAAGACGGTGGTCGATGGCTGGGTCTGGGCCATTGCTGGTTGGACGAAAAGGACAGGATCTGTAGCGGAGCGTCCACCAGTCAAAAACGGCTGACAGACACTAGCGCAAACCGAGGTGCGGGTCAGCCTCAGGTTTGTGGCTCTCCGTTTCAATCCCACGAAACGGAGCCTCAGGGAACCTCCCTTCTGGGCCTCCTCTATGTCATCCTGTCTTGGGAGATGCAGCGTGAGAATCTGAACGGAGGGTACATGCCTCCCAACCACCTTCACATCCAAACCCCCTTCTAGCTCAGCCGTCACCACTTGATTTGACAAGTCATCTCCAGTCAGATGGATGCTTGACTGTTTTAAGGCTATCATTCAGTCGTTATTTCCTCTTCTAGAAGTGTGGTCAACCAGTGATGATCAGAGTGCCAGGGCTGTTGCACACAGACGGTAGCCTGTGAACAGGTACATTTACGATTGCACACAAGACGGCAACTGATACGCTCCTCGCATGCGGTACAGCACAAACGGGGGCGAGCGGATGGGGCTTGTAGCCAGGTGAGACGGTTCTGGCCTTGGCTGATGATGCTGTCCCTGACTGGAAAGGGATCCCACGTCTTCTTCTCCCGAGAGCGGGAGGGGGGACTGGGCTTCTGGAGGGGCTGGAGTGGGTGTGATGTGCGGCGTGCCCAGCGGGTAAGGCTTGTTGTGGATGGATGACCACAGTGACTTTATTGCTTGCCCGCCCATCGGTACGACCACTCTGTCTCTGTTACTCCGTACCGCAGTCGTCGTCGAACCTCAGACATCGTCTGGTCTTTTGGTCTTTTTGCCTTCCCACGGACCGGAGCTTGAGTCTGTTCTGTTCAACCACCTATTCTTAACCCCAGACGGGCAAGCGCACAGAGAGGTAAAGTCCGAGGTCTCTGTCAGTCGGGGCACCGTCGCACCCGGCTTGTCATCGGTCTCGTCTTCCTCTGCGCAACCCGCCGCTGAAGTCCGTCCCGATGCCTGTCTGGAGACTGGCGTCGACCGGTGTCTCGTCTGTGTCCTTCTTTCTGCTTCCACGGCCGTGGACAGGCCCTGCTTCCCTCTCTGTCCGACCCGCGTCGTCCGTCGCCCAAATGGGCAGAGTACAGCAGCTTGCGGTGGCTTGCTGCAGCTGTGGTAGGCGGCCGCAGGGGCGGATTGGATAGTAAATGACTGAACCCCCGGCGGAGCTGAGCCATGATACGCAACGCCTGACGTATGCGGGACCCCTGAGACCTGCCCGTACCGGTGGCTTATGGGCCTTCTCGGTTTCTTTCGTGCCTTTTTCCTGAAAAGAGGTCTCGCGTTGTCGAGGGGACTTATTTAGTTGACAGGTATGGCATGGAACCGCAAAAGGTCGGCCACGAACCGAACCTTCCAGGTGATGAGCGACAGGGACGGCACATGGGCTCCCGCCGTAAAGTCGATCGCTCGCGGCGGCCCTGGATACGGTGAAGGAGAGTACCGGTGGTGGGGTGGTTGGGGGGGGGGGCGGGGAGATCGAACCCAAACGATGGGAGCAACAATGTACCTCGCCTTGCTCTTTGCGGTGTAGAAGATACAACTTCAGCCCGCCAAGTGCTGTACGGAGTATCATGCTAGGATATCTTTCAAGATCCAAGGGGGCCATCGCGCATCGTTGACGAAGATGCCGACGACAACTTCCATATGCGCCTCGGCTGGAGGAACCAGAGGATGGGGCAAAGATGACGATGCATGAATCAACTTGAATCATTCTAGTCTTCAGCGCCTCTCGGAGGGAGCGGGGAGTTTCTCATTGACGAAGAAAAAGAGAAATCTCTTCTTTCACGAGGGGCAAAAAAGAATGGCAGAGCGGGTTTCGCGCACTTCGTCTCTTGTTCGCTGGATCCATGAGAGCCGAGTGTAATGCTGTGGTTGTACCCGCGAGTTAGGGATGGTATGGCACCGTAAACGCTCGTTCGCCTTGTCGATTGGGCAGCGGCAACACCAGTATCCAGGAGCACCTGTCGCCAGCATCAGGGAGGAAGCACCAAGGTGCCGCAACTGCACTGCAAAGCAACAGCGGAGGAAGGCAAGAAGGATGTGGCAGTGGACAATTGGAAGCAGGCGGTGGCTCGTACGTAAAGTCGTGGGTACTTTGCCTCGTGAGGGGTTGAGGGGCGATGTCCACGTACCGTCGACAAGAGTACTTCGGACTTTGGTCGACAATGTATCTCACTCCGCCGTTTGTCTCGCACCGTTCATCTGCTCCTGCCTTTAGTGGTTGAGTGGCAACAGCGCAGTCTGCGAACACAAGGTGGCACCTGGCATCCGTTCAGCCTCCAACGCTGCAGCTGGCCGCTCTTTGAAACGTTCGTCCGTTTTCAAGCAGTAACCTTGATTGTGCTTGGTTAGAGAGACGCCAAAACGTCCCGTGTCCCGAGGATAGCGCATAACGAGTGACAAAGTCAATCAGCACATAGGGGATGCCCGTTGGTGCTTAACAAAACGTCTCTTTAGCACACGCTAAGCAATCATCTGCCCGAGTCTAAAGGGACCTTGGCTGATAGTGTAATCCATCGTTCTGCGAACTGCAGGCTGTGTTTCTCTGGCCTGCTCGGCGAACGCGAACTTGAACCTCCAAGCCGGAGGCTTTCGGAAAGACAGTTGTGTTGCATCAAACCACTGTCTGACCCTCCTCCGGCGGGTTTCTGAATATTCTATTTTCCTTTCGGGCCATGTTACCGTAGATGGGAAGCTGATAGAGCCACCCGAGCCATAGTTGGCAGCAAAGAAAACATGATTTCAAATGCATCTGTCAGACGTTGCTGAGGTAATGCCCAGGCCCGGTTGCCCTGCAGGGCTTCAAACCTCGTCTACTTGCAGCTTGACTCCATCAGCACCGCCCATTCGGCTTGATGACACGCACTGCGGCGATTGCCCGGGGCCATCTGGCGGTGAACAAACACCTCGTTTGACCACCGTTTGCGATAAAAGCGGGCCTTTCGGGCACTGGAGCACCGTCCTCCGGTGCCGTGCCTTCCTCCGTCGACTCACGACTCTGACTCCTTCCAAGTTTCCCCATGAAGAAGTACGTAGTACGTACATCGGTCGCTTACCTAATGGAGGCAGGTACCTTCGGGAGACGCCCAGGGCCTGCGAGGACCTTCCCAGCAGCGAACACAACAAGCGCAGCGAAGTTGAGCTGTCACCGTCTGACCAGAAGCGCACCGTCTTCCTGCTAGCCCAACCACCCCTCCCTCCTCCAACTCTCTCCCAACCCAAACCGTTTCCCATCGATTTTTACTCATGGCACTCATTCAATTCGATGCCCAACCTCTCATCCGTCATCAGTCTACGGATAGAAGCAGCCCATGGAACGAAAGAAGATAGAAACAACCAAGTATTGAAGCCCAACGGCGATACAACGATGATGGCGACCAAGTAGTACAGATGACCAACGAAACGTATTTCGTGGCCTGGTCTGGCCTCGCCATGATATCAGACCTACCCGTCCACAGCCAAAGAGACGTCGCCAGCAAAGTCATGGGTGCGTCGTGCCCCGGGTCGATATGCCATACGAGGCTAGCCAACTTTTGCCCGTACCCATCAGCTATTATTTGAGCTTTCCGCCGGGAACGCGCAAAGACACTGGCAGGCCGCAGGCCACAGAACAGACGGCGCCACATGGTCGTGATCATCTTGCGAACCCCAGCCTAACCAACAACAACCATTCCACCTTGCCCGCTTCGTCTTCTAGCTGCAGGGCCTAGAAAGTGGCAGACGAGACGGGACGACAGCAGCAGCAGCAGCAGACTTGTTCTCAGCCATCATGTCTCTGGCTTCCATCGACTTGGGGAAGATCGCAACTAGCCTGGACATCGTCAGCCATACCTAGCCCTACGAAGCATCTTCCAAGTCTGGGGAGACTTACACACCCACTCGCAACTGGTGTCGGCTCTGTCTCAAATGCTTACCTCGGAAAGTCCTTTCACAGGCCTCACTGCCGGATGTTGTTCCACCATGCTTCGTTTGCAGGTGCATCCACGGCCGTTTACGCATTATTACCTCTGCCCTGCATCTTTCGGCAACGTATGGCAGCTCATATCCTGACGACTTACTCGCAGTATTCGCATAGTATTCGTCAATGGCCGCCAATGGCCGCCAATGGAGGCCGCCAGAGTTTTGACACGGGCTGTGGAGTGATTAAATTCGCTGGGTGCTTTGCCTGCTACCAAGGTCGGCATATCTGCAATGTCTCCGAATTCGCCCTCTAGCTCGTCGTGTCATCCAATGTCTACGACTGAGCCAGAGACTGGCGGGCTTTCAGGGTCACAGTCGACCAGTAAAGGCGACCACTGCAGAGTGTGTGCATGACACCATCCACAGTTCCCAGTCGGGCTCTCTGCATCTACAATCACACAATATCACAAACCATTCGACTTTCAGACTATTCGACTCTCAGGACATGTGTCTTAGCATGCCATCTTCTTTCCTCCGCGCCGTTGCATCCCACGCCCTCTCACTCGTGATGAGATCGTCGTCACTACGCGGGGTCGCGTGTCAGTGACCACCAGGAAGATCGGAAGCAGGTACGAACTCTGAGCATCACAGCCCCCAATCTAGAGACAGAGGCGCCCCCTTCTGGAGACTTTGTGGGTGAGAGTGAAAAGAGCGACCGACATGTGCAAAAATTAGACTCGCAATTTTTTTCGGTCCCCTTGCACGTGAAATACACCTTGGACTTGCGCTTCTACTACATGAGGAGGGGGTCCGGATCCGCTCGTCATTGGTTCAGAAGACCCAGGAAGAAGAGGAACAAGAGGAACAAGACCGTCCCCCGCGACGACAAATCAGACGAAAATTGGAACGCCCTCTTGACCAGTCAGACAGAGGCTCATCTGCAGCTAAGTAACGACGAGTAGGAACCCATGGGCGGGAGATTTTCCTGGAGCAGATGCCGCATTGAGGGAGATACGGTGCTTGAATCATGCTAGCCGAGATATCCTAGCAAAGGGCATGAATGTCAACGGACGACCAGACGTACCTTGAAGGCTTCGAACAGTACCTTGGCCTTGATACTCGGGAATTATTACAGTGATATTCCAGGCACGAGGAGTAGTCAGCGGCTTCTTACCCCTCAGCAACATCACCCAAGATTGACACTTGCTGTTTATCACTGGTCCTTGGCAGCCAGCCGGTGGTGAAGGGGTTTCACGTTTTAGCGGTCAGCGCCGTCTGGGCCAATGGTTCGAGAGGGACCGAATCGTCCCGTCTCCTCCTGTCTCGTGCGCGAGCGGGCCCAGGTCCGTCTTCTCCACCGCGGATGATCAGCTGGCTGGTGCCGCACTGGTGTGGATATCCGACCAAGTTTAACAGCTTCTGCTAAGGCATTTCCTTGTGAGTCTTCGGCATGGCAATCCGCTTCTTGGGCAGTCAGTCTCTATCTCCAGCATGGGAGCACCAGAAGCTGTCCTCAGCCTTTGGTCGATCACAACGCCCTCATCCCTCCTTGGGATGAGTTGTAGCTCGATCGGATTGGTGCGGAGCAGCGATCGGCCGTCAGAGATGCAGCAGCCTGCTCGCTGTTCGGGCCAACATGAGCAGTCAGACAGACTGTCACTGAGTGAGTGGTGAGATGAGAAGTGAGCGGCCAACGGCTTCGAGCCACGGAAAATACAGATACCTACGTGTATGCGCTGGGCCACCACTCCTTCAGCAGAAGAGCATTCCGTCCGCTTTGCCATTGCCGAAACTCTTCAGGGAATGCCCTCCAACGCTCCCGTGAAAATCTTCGGGAGAAAACCGCTCAACTTAAGCCACGACAGCCGGGAGTTCCCAGCCAAATTCTGCGTGCCAGTGACACCTTACTCCAGGGACCCGGCCGATAGCCTATCAACGATGAGATTCGCGAAGTGACTGCCGGGTCAGTTGGAGGGAGGGAATTTTCCCGTTTCTGACCACAAAGCGGATACCGCGCCAACAGATTCCCATCAACGTCTCCAATGACAGCCGCCAGCTACCACCCTCAATTCGTCAAGGCATGGGATGCCATCCCATCTCTAGTACCAGAATCCAGGAACTTGTATGCGGTCGACGACTTTGTCAGTCATCCTGTGGATAAGGTCGCTGCATCTTGCAATGCCCAGTTGGCGATCGTTCCAAGGAAACGGCGTTGAGAAAAGAGGCATTTTTGGCGGGAATAGGACAAAGCTCCTGCGTAGACTTGAGCCGGTCAATCGCTAGCTTGCTAGTCTGCGGTCCTCGCGGAGCCTGGGCTATGCTCAAGGTCTATTTTTTTACTGCGACATCGCTGCCTTTTGTGGCGGTGAAGTGCCACTCGACAACCTTGGCCTGGAAAGCTCTCTACTTCTTTGCTACAGCTTCCATGCTTGCCACGAGCTGTTCAATTGAGGAAATTTTGGGCAACTCTTGAAAGTCGAAAGCCTCTCTTTGGTGACAGAGTTTCACAGACGCATCCAGACTTCATCAATTCGAAATCTCGATGGCAACACCATTATGCCACCAGGTGACCTTTTCGAGGAGACGTAACAGAGTTGAGAGGGGTGATTGAGGGTCTCAGGCGCGAACAACCCCCACCAAGCGAATCGAACCCCGCGATTCCGATCCCATCACATCACATCATCCCACCTGCGCACAGCCGCCGCATCTGATACTGGGCTCACATTCTCCCGCCCGTTACCCCCCCTTCTCTTCCGACTCTCACGTCGTCCCTCCCTCCTTTTCAAAGTGCGTGAGCGCCTCTTGTCTGAGAGATGTCTCCACCACTGCGTTTATTGGGTGTTCGACAAGCGCCGAGCTGCACGTCTTCACTCCCTCTCCGGTCCTGCATGTCCATTCCCGCACGCGAGCCCGTCTCCCCGGTCTGAGAGACCGGAATGTCTACCTTATTTTTCCTTATTGTTGCCTTATAGCCTGCTTCCCACATACGCATCTGCCCTCCAATGGTTCTCGGGATGGATGATGGACATGCTGCTTCGCGAAGCAGAATAGAAATTGACCAAAGGCTGGAAGGACATGCCCCCTCCCTTTTCCTATCCGAACGCGGCGATTGGCATGGTCCCCAGCCAACCGGCTCCTCGCCGCGAGCTGTATGGCTGACAGTACAGAGGAGGCATATCCGAGGAGGGTCTTTTTCAACGTAGCATCCGTACAAGTGTACGCTGATCTTCGCCCGGGGGTATAACTGAGCTTTGTCCTATCCCGACGACTCGAAGGTTTTCCTTCCAAAGGGGAGTCTTGCAGGAGAGAGAGAGAGAGAGAGAGAGAGAGAGAGAGAGAGAGAGAGAGAGAGATAAAAGGCATGCGTGCCTGGGGAATCCGGCATGTTGTATCGCTAAACTCGGGGTCATTGGTCGGCAGCACGGGATGGACATACGGTATCAGGCATCCGGAGCCGGATAGATGGCCAGACGGGGCGGCCCATCAAGCGAGAAAGATGAAAGTCCCGGGGACCTTGACTCCATCTGCTTCCCACCTCTTGGGTTCATGTTGTGACGGTGGTTGATGGTACTGGCGGGCCGTCTGGGGTTTTGTCACCTTCTCGTGGCCGCTGATGGGAATTGGTCATGGTGTAGGCCTGTGTGGTAACACAGCGGCCGTCTTGAGAAGGGCCGCGTCCGCGACCTACCTTCCACCGAGCGTGATCTGATAAACAAGAACCCGTTGTAACGTGTAAGCACACGATGTACCGCGCAGGTCGGGGAGAGAGATGGGAGGACGGACGGGAAGGAGGGGAGGCACAAAGTACGAAAGCACGAGGCGAAGCCGCGAAGGGGGTTCTCCCGCGCCGCAGGGGACAGAATCGAGATGCAGGTCTGGGGCGCGGGCGACCAGGCCAGGCCAAACAGCCAGCCAGCTAGCCCGCTTCCAATCCCCTTCCTCTTCTGCCGTCTTGTTGTCTTGAGCTGTCCCAAAGGCTATTTGGTCTCCACTGTTTGTCTTTTGCGTTAGGCATCCAGACATGATTATTGAAATTCTTGTCCAATGGGAGAGTCAAATTGGAAGGTTTGGGGTGTGTTGATTGGTATCGATTGGCGGGCGGAGAGCGGATTGCGTCGGGATTATATGGGGGTTATGTGCGATGGGTGAGGAGAGTGAGGAGTGTATCGAATTGGGGAAGTAAGCTGAGGGAGAGGTTTTGGTTTCTGTTTCTGTTTTTCTGGTTTGGGGTTTATCTTGATGACTCTGATGCCTGGGATGGTTTCGAGTGTATCGGTAAGTCTAGAAGGGTTGGGGGTGAGGTAGGTTGTCTTGCTTGCCTGTTCTATTGGTGGCAAGGCTGCGGCCGTCTTACATCAGCTCGGCGGAGGGGATACTCTGCAGGTAGGTTCTGAGGGTTGTGTCGTGGGGGAGGGAGACAGATGGGTAGATGGATAGATGGGGTTGTTTACGAATGCGGGTTTCTTACATCAGCGACGAGGATTTGCGAATGGTGGTGTTTAGGTAAGAGGCGTGAGGTATGTAATCGAGTTGGATATCTTTGTCGGGCTGGCCGATGTGCCGGTGCTTCTCGTCAAACAGATCACGTGTGTGTATTTACGGCTCTTTCGACATGAGCTGGAGAGGGGCGGATGTTCTAGTGTATCCTCACGATGAGGTTCTCAGGCAGCGGTCCATGGGATTGTGATGAAGCTGCGTCACAATCCCACGCATCGATCGACCCTCATTTGATGGGTGCTAGTAGCAAGTGCAGCAATGTGCAAGAATCGTGATGGTGTGTATGGGTTAGGACTGAACCCAGCCAAATTTGCACTTTCAAGTCCCGCCTCAGGTCGTTGGGAGGGTTCGTGTGCCTGGCTGCGTTTGAGGGGCTGAGGATGAGAGAGGGGGGTTTAGGCTTGGTGTTTTTGGTGCCTGATTATCAGCGCGTAGTAGCGCTTATCGACGCGTGAAGTAATGTGCAAAAGTATGAAAGTGTAGAAGCAGAGGAGAAGTGCAAAGTTGAAGAGGCACCTGGGCATCTAGGCTGAGGATGTAGGTGGGTAGGTGAGGAAGTTGAGGCATCCTTCTGTGCTGTGAGGCTTCCGTCATGAGGCTTACACCTCTGAGGCTGCGTTTCCATCATTGGGTCATGGTCTGGGGAGGAAAAGGGGCCTAGGATGAGGCTTCGAGGCGGCTTGTGGGATGCATTGGGGAGATTGAACTTGGCCTTGGAAGCAGGGCTATCGCGTCGATGGTATGTATATTCCTTGATCTAAAGACGTTCCTTTTCTTGCGTCTGTGGCTCTGGTTCACCCTGTTGTGGTTGTGAGAGATGAATCAGTCACTCGAGGTAGTATGGAAGAAGAGAGAAGACGCACCGAGCGAGGCGGCAAGACCATGTTTGAGGCTACCAGCCCTTGGAATTGTAAGGCATACATAGTGTCATCAAGTTGAAGAGTTAGCCCAAGTGTGAGAGTCTGATGCCTCTGACTGCGCCGTCCTTCCCTTTCCTATCTCTGGCCTCTGTTCCCAGCCTAAATATTCCGCCCTCTGCCGCAAGTCTTTGCGGATACCAGGTACCTCACATTTCTTGAACGTCAAGAAGTGAGTATGACTCAATCCATTGCGCACAGAGGATGCATGGTACCACTAGAGAGTGCCTAGGGTAGCGACTCAGGTGCAAAGTGATGACTCGAGAGACTCTCTTGGCTCTAGATGTGTATTCAAACTCGTATAGGAGCATGCCGGTGCTCGGAGTTGAGAAACCTCTTAGGTTAAGCCTTCTGTTACATAACTCGGGGTTGCCTTGATCTAGATACTAGCATCATCGACACGTCCATAAATATGATCTGCTTGAATGCGCAGCTGCACAAGTATTTGCTGGCCAGACTGTTATTCGAGGGAGTTCGTGGCAGACTATATGTATAGCGCTCTGACAGACAGGCCGATGAGGCGATTGAAAAGACATGGTCTAGCGGAGATCGAATGACACCAGCTGTGTCGTGCAATGGCGTGCCGTGGTGTGTAAGTTTACATTCTCCTTGATATTAGTGATGAATGCTAGCTTCCAGTGCCTCATTCTCGTCACTTCGTGGCCTCTATGAAGGTTCGTAAAGCGGCCCGTAGTTGGGCAACGAAATCAGGTCTCTTCTCAAGTTCCAACGAGCATGCAGCAATCTCAGCCTCTTCTTCCCTCAGAATCATACCCTCATCGCGTTGGTGAAAATGAGGAGTTCCACATGCGGCTCATCTAGCTCTCGGACGCAAGCAGCCTACATGCGAACCTGCGGCGCAGATATCGAAAGAGGAAGGAGAAGAGCGACGCACCAACGGATAAAGATCCATAGGCTGTTGCCGGGCGATGGAAGGCTGTGTGTGAACTCGGAAATGTCTGAACCGGTGTCCATTATGCCACGAATGATGTGCGTCAAGGTCACCGAATACCCGCACCGTGGAGCAGAACCTTCGGGTTGAGGCTATCAAGACCGGGAAGGCAGACATGAAAGGTCCGATCTGTCTGGGTGCCTGCTGCCTTGCTTAAATCCCCTCTAGGGAGTAGTTCACGCAGGCTACCTCGGATTGTGTCAAACGGGAAAGCATACCTTCACCGATATGCAACACCATGCAGGCGCCTCGTCGCCAATGCAACATTAATATCATAGCCTCACTACTCAACCCCGAGCAAGGCGTCTACCTACCTACCTACCCCGTCCCATTGAGGCTCTCCTCAATTCGCGTACACGACCCGCGGCATCCCATCGCGACCCCACTCCCACACCGGCAAGTCCAAGTCCACAACAATAGGCTTGTTGACCGTCTTGCCGCCGACGTGTGGATAACTCGTGGCCATGATGGCGCAGTTTACGACGCACGTCTCCAGCCGGCCAAGGCGTCCGGCCAGCGCGGCGACGTCGGTGCGGGGGGAGGTTGGATCGCCGCCGAGGCCGCGGGTGCCGAGACCCGGCTCTGCGGCGGTTTCTGACGTCGTTCCGGGGATGGACGGAGACGTACCGGAGGGTGCCTTTCTCACATCTGCGCCCGATGAACTACTCTCCGGATGCGATCCGTCGTTGCGGAGAGGGTTCCCGCCCTTGATTGACAGATTCACGAGGGACTGCTTGTTCCCCTGCCCCGGATCACTCCACCACTCAATGCCTTCCTCTTTGAACGCCGAGCCACCGTACCCAAGATCCCATCGCACCCTCTCGACGCCACGTCCCTCATGAACATGTCCGCAGACAGCGAGTTGCGGACGGACCCGCCACAAAGCACGTCTCAGGGCCTCGCACCCCGCTGCCCGCCGGGCGCGGGATTCGTCGCAGTGGGTGTGTGGCGGGGTATGCGTCACCACGACGTCCGCTTCAAGCGGTATATCGTCCCAGAGCGTGGGTAGATCACTCGCCGCGGCGCCGACGGTGCCGTGCTGGGGCGCGTCGTAGCCGAAGGCCCATAGGCCGTTGCGTGGCGAGTACGGTGATCCGAAGATTGTGAAGGAGGTGTGTGGTCCTGAGGGGGACGAGAGACGGATTGTTGCTGTTTCGTGGGTGAGATAGGTTATTGATGGCGAGTTTGTGAGGAGGACTTTGCAGTCTCGGGGAGATTGTAGTGTTTGGTTGTGGAAGTGGGATCCGTGTTGGGCGTAGAAGTCTTGGTCTAGGGTTATGTCATGGTTCCCTGGGCGGGGTTCGGTCAGTGTTTTGAGGTGAAGGGATGAACGTGTGCTTTATTGTCCAGGTGAGGAGGTTTGACGGGGAGGGGGGGGGGGGGGGGGGGGTGACAGTGTGCGTACCTGCGACGACGATTTTGGTTTCAAAGTCTGCTTTTTCGAGCCATTGGACTGCCCTTGATAACTGGTGATGGCGTCAGTTGCTTGTTCCATTATTCCATACAGGATACGCCAAGAAGGAAGTGGACGACACTCGGCGAGCCCATATTTTGTTTACTCTGTTGCTACGATGGATCCAGATACTAGTAGAGAGTAACTCATCTATCCCCGGGCGCCTCCCACATGGCTCCCGGACGAGTAAGTTCTCTGGTCGGCAACTAGGAACTTCCTTCTTGTTTTTCTGTCTCTCCGTACACCTACAGAAAGGGCACGAATGAAGCACGTACCTCGGAATAGCTGCCTTGGTTGGTCAGGTCCCCCGCGTGGATCAGCACGTCACCCTTTGGCAACTTGACGGTAGTGTTGTGGGTGTCGGAGACGCAGACGAACCGGGTCCTCCGCAACATCGGCTGGCGTTGTGCCCGCGGCTGCGGCTGCGGATGCGGATGGTCAGAGGTGCCGGTGTGGCCCATGATCCCGGCGATGGATGTTGGAGGGGCCAGTCATGGACTGGGGGCCGTGCCGAAGCGGGCTCTGAGAGGTGAGTGGCGGCCGGCAGATGATGGGGTTGATGGTGAGTTCGGGCCGCGTGTCGTTGATATAATTCGATATTCGATAGACGGGGTGCGGTGGTCGTAGTTTGCCCCCCAGGTTCCCAAGTGCCGCGGCTATGGTGCCGGCGATTCACGTCTCTCTTGACGCCAGGCCCTAGGTACGACCTGGGAGCCTACCTGATGGACTGGTGATACTGCGTCTAAGCAACGGCTTACTCCGGAGGCAGGCGCTGTGGCCCACTCCAAAGCACGGCCGCAACCCCAAGTCTTAGTAGTTTCGGTGGCCCCGAGAGCTCGGTGGGCTGAGTAGTGTTTCTGCACCATCGTATTTTTTAAATACCTCACGTGCGCTTCACTGCCTGCAGTCTTTACGCGAACCCAATCCATATCTGTAGTATCGTGTTCAATTGCGATGCGCTGTATGTTCCCTAGGATTCTTGGCATCAGCCTAGACAACTGAATGTGGGACGTAAGCAAAGGGCGTTCGTTGCTCAAGTTCTCAATACAGGTCGCAAATTGTCGATACTCGACATGAGCCTCAACAATATAGATTAAAATCTCTCAAAATAACAAAGTTCACCCTCCACATTCCATGTGCTGGGCATTGAAACCGATTCAGTCAACTCATTGTCTTACCAAACCCGAACTCACATCTCCCTCAG